TCATTGGTATCACCTTCACCCGCTACGTGCGCGGCATTGCCTGCCTGAACAACCCCCACCAGCGCTACTTCGCCGAGCCCAACTGGTGGTATGCCCGCTTCAAGTGCTACCTGTTCGACTCGCCCCTCCTCCGCACCCGCCACCACCGTGAGTACAAGCTGTCGTCGGCCATCAACATCGGCACGCTCCCCAGCCGTCTCCAGACCATCTACCTGGTTGGCTACTTTGGCATGAACACCGCCTTCTCCGTCATCTTCATTGACTGGAGCAGCGACGGTGCTGCCTCTGAGCTCCGCAACCGCACTGGTGTTCTGTGTGTCATGAACATGCTCCCGCTCTTCCTTCTGGCTGGCCGCAACAACCCGCTCATCAAGATCACCGGAATCTCTTTCGACACCTTCAACCTGGTCCACCGCTGGGTTGGCCGCATCGTCATCCTTCAGGCTCTTACTCACACCCTTGCCTGGATGATCCCCAAGATCCAGAAGGGTGGCTGGGCCGCTGTTGGCGGTGCCGTTGGCCACAGCCAGTTCATCCTCTGGGGTACTATTGTAAGTCCGCTCTGCTCCCGCCGCGCCACTGCTTTTATTTGATTAACCGTGAAGTAGGGCACCCTCTGCTTCCTGGTCATCATGATCCAGGCCGCTGGTCCCGTCCGCCACGCCTTCTACGAGATCTTCCTCCACTTCCACATCCTGCTCGCCGCCCTCGGCCTTGCTGGTGTCTGGATCCACTGCCAGTCTGGTGAACTGCACCAGTTCGGCATCATCAAGGCTGTCCTTGGCCTCTGGGTTGTTGAGCGCGTCCTGCGCCTCTTCTGGATCATCTACCGCAACGTTGGCAACGGTGGCACCAAGGCCGAGATCGAGTCTCTTCCCGGTGACTGCCTTCGCATCAACCTGCAGATCGCCCGTCCTTGGAGGTTCAAGACTGGCCAGCACGTCTACCTGTACCTGCCCTCGATTGGCTGGTGGACCTCCCACCCCTTCTCCCTTTCCTGGAGTGAGGAGCAGGAGGCCTGGAGCGAGGAGAAGGGCATGTCCCTTGAGCGCCTCGACCTGTCTGGCCTCGGCAAGACCACCATGAGCCTTCTCGTCCGCCGCCGCACTGGTTTCACCGACACCCTCTACAAGAAGGTCGAGCAGAGCCCCTCCGGCAAGCTCACTACCAGCGCTCTGGTCGAGGGTCCGTACGGCTACCAGGACCTGACCTCGTACGGCACCGTCATGCTCTTCGCCGCCGGTATCGGTATCACGCACCAGGTCCCGCACGTCCGCCACCTCGTCGACGCCTACGACAAGCGCACCGCCGCCGTCCGCCGTGTCACGCTCGTCTGGGTCATCCAGTCGCCCGAGCACCTCGAGTGGATCCGCCCGTGGATGACGGAGATCCTGTCGATGCCCAACCGCCGCGAGGTCCTCAAGATCCTCCTGTTCGTCACCCGCCCGCGCTCCACCAAGGAGATCCACTCGCCCTCGTCCAGCGTCCAGATGTTCCCCGGCAAGCCCAACATCCAGGCCCTCGTCGACCAGGAGATGATGGAGGGCGTCGGCGCCTGCGGTATCAGCGTCTGCGGTACCGGCTCCCTCGCCGACGACGTCAGGCGCGCCGCTCGCAACCGCCAGACCAGGTGGAACGTCGACTTCTTCGAGGAGGCGTTCTCCTGGTAAACGAACAAAAAGCAAAGGCATCTATATCACAAATACACTTCTTAACCAACCACCTTTCCATTCATCCTACAAAAAGGTGCTTCTTTCCCAACTCTCTTAAGTGTTTTTGTGTCTTAGAACGAGCGTGGCGCTTGAGGTGTTGATCCAATCCCTTGCCCTCATGATGGTGGAAATCTCTCGAAAAACGGGTTGTCCGGTCCGATACATGAACGCCTTTCCCGAAGTCCCATTTTCTTTCGGCCTCTCCTACCACTGCTACTGCACTTGCTACTGCTGCTGTCGTTCTGGTCCGCTTGCTCAAATGTTTCCCTCATCCTTTCGCTGTACGATAATTACTGAATTTTAACCTTCTTTCTTTTTGGCTGTCAATTTTTTGATTTATTCTTTTTTTTTCTTTGCTCGGCTTTTTGACTAGAACTTCTAGTTGGAAAACCGAGCAGCTACAAATGAGCATACAATATCGAGGGAAACAGGCTCGTTCGTCGATCATGCAAGCGACGCGAATCTTGGCTTTTTTTTCTGGTTTTCTACATTCACAACCATAACGCAACAGTATCACGACAGAAAGGGGAAGAAAGGGAGGTTTGATAGAAGAGACAGTAGTTGGTTTATTGTCCTGCTGTTTTGTTTGGGTTCCGCGTTCCGCGTTCCTCCTTGTTTCGAAGCGTAGATAGGAAAACAAGCTCAAATGAAAGTCATGATGATCACAAAAGATTAAGCCATCTCTTCACCTCGAGAAATGATAGCCACATAATTCGCTCACCCTTGTTTGCCAAGGCGATGCCCCTACAGCGGGCTATTGCAGCCGAAGGCTAGCGCGAAGAACAACAGGGCCCTGGAACAGGGGCTAAGTGCGGCTCTCCAGGATGGATGATCTTATATAATATTTATGGGGGATTATTAGACTTTTGCGGGCACTTGAAGCTATCGTCTGGACATAAATGTATGACTGTAAAATCGGCATTTGCGTCTGGACGATAGCTTCAACTACTCATGATTTGTGCGAAAAAAACAAAGTATTGCTAACCTTCGGCTGCAATATCCCTCTATACTTGTGACCCACCAGAACAGGAAGAAGTCCGACAGGCATTATTACCAAGCCCTCGATCTTTTGTTTATTTTCCGAAGCATCGATAAAATTAGCCTTCGACATATGCGAGCACCTACAAAAGGAAAAAGCACAATGATTGCACCGAGAAATCTATCTGATACTTGGCGCCGTTGCACATTCATATCCACCATGCACAATAGGCGATACCTGCCTTTTTTGTGCTTCCCGTTCTCTTCTCTTCGCATCCAGCCGACTGCATCTTTCCTGCAGTCACAAGGACGCTTGCTGCTGCGTAAATGCCTCTCTCTTTTTAATCCAACCTCCTTTCTTCCCTCCCCCCTTCACATCTTCCCCTAATAAGAACGAAAAGTGGTAGCATAAAAGAGAGCAATAAGCATATCCATGCTCCGATTTAGAGAAGCCCCGCCACAAAAAGGTCCGCGAGCAAAGGGCACCTTCGTCTGGGTTACTGTAAACGGCCGTTTCCGTCGACTCGCTTCCAACCTACATGATGATGATACACATGCAAATCTGGCCCCCAGCCGCCCCGCTCTCCAACCCCCCCAGCAAGCCCTAACCCAGCTACGTGTCGCAACGGAAAATCTAGTACTGCTTTCTTGTACATACGGGATACTGCAGCCGCAAGCCACCGCAAAGAACGTTAGGGGTAGCTGTGCCTCATCAATTGTCTTTACCAAAAAAAAAAAAAACATAGTTGGGTAGTCGAAGCTATCATCCGGACGTGAATGTGAAGATTTTTGATTCGACATTTACATCCACTTAATCGCCTCAACTTCGCACGACATGAGCAAATGGCGAATTAGCACGGTAGCCTTCGTCTGCGACACCCACCCCTCCGTAAGACAAGAACACCGGAACCGAACCATCCGGAAACACGACACACCAACCGCTTTCCTTCTATCCCCGGCCTCTCAGATCGCTCTGCGGCCACATGCAGCGGGAGGGGAGCGGAAAACGAAAGCAGTAACGATAAAGCGTAGCGCCTTTTTCCGTGCACTATCGGTTCCTGCTACTCCCGTCCCCATCCATACGCGCGCGCCTAGAATCACGCATGCAGGAAGGACAATGTTTTTCCGACTCTCTCGTGTCGAATTTTTCTTCATTCTTTTCATCGTTCCCTGTCTGTCTGGTAAATGCAATGCTATGTCTCTTCCCACCATTTTAGGTGGCGGGTGGGTCTGGGGTAAGAGAGAGAGAGAGAGTGACGGATAGAGAAGATCAAAACTATATCGGCCATCATGATGTCTCTCCCGAGCAAAAAAAAAAAAAAAGATCCAGAAGCTAATCGCCATTGGTCCGTCCCTTTTTGTTTTCTCTGTCCATGACCCTCCTTGTAATCCCCGCTCACCCACCTCGCTTCCGCTTCCTGTTGCAAAACGTGTAGCGAAAGCAACGTAGGACGGACGGGGGCTGGAACAGCGACACAAACACAACGCATTGAAGCGCGCGCGAGAGAGAAAGAGAGACAGAAACATAAGGTTTATAGGCGATGGCGATTTGCGGGGGGGCACAATCGAGACGAGGTACAGCATTGTAGAGAAACGCTTTTATTTTTTTTCTTTTTCCTCGTGCCAAACAGTTACGCGCGAAAAGACCATCTGCTTTTGCATGATGAAGGATTCGTCGGCCTCGTGTTTGTTTGGAGACCTGGTCTGCCGTAGTCTCCGTCTGGCCTCTGCATTTTTGTCAAAGAATGCGGGTCTGTCCTAAGTTGCTGGTTGCTGAGCCGCAATATATGAGTAGATATGCAATGTCCGCGATGTTATGGTATGTTTGGGGGTTTGGCGGGCCTACGGATGATGCGAGCTGTGTAGTCAAAGCGAAGCAACAGATCCGGCTCGTAAAGCGGGGGGAAACGAGGCAAGTGGAGCAGAATAAACAAGGTCGATCATTGCTTCGTGGGCGCGTAGCAAGAAAAAGGAGGGGAGTAGTGGATAGTGCGGCGCCCCAAATCACGGAGGAAGTTCCCCCTGCGTGGGTGACGATGTTTCGAACGCGTCCGGTGCCTCCTCCGTCTAGGCGACCACCGCCCAGTGGCGGCCCCCGGCTGCAGGGGGCGGAGGCGTTTTTTTTTTCCCACAGTCCGCTCGCCACGAAATAAGCGAGCGCGCATCCTTCGTGTTGTCGCGACTCGCGATCTCGCCTGTCCCTGTAGGCATGCTGATGGAAACAAATGTGTTTTGCGAGGTCCCGCTCGGCGTAGTAGAGCGAATCCTCTGGAGCAGTAGGACCCCCCCCCCAACACATTCGTTTCTCGTTCACTCCGAACTGTTCACACTCCTCCAACTCGTCGGACTCGGCCGCCCTGCACCCACTCCCGCTCCTCCGTTGCCAACACCGCCGCTTCCGTCGCTTGCGCCACCGGCCCCCGCTAAGGCGGCAACAGCCCCGTCGTCCGGGATGAACATGACCTTCAGCCTCCCCGGAACCTTTCCACGCCACGAGAACTCGGCCGTCTCGGTGCGGACGACCAAGTCGCCGGTGATGGGCAGGTTGATGTCGATATCTCGCCACTGAGGCAGCGACTCGGGGTTGTCGTCCGCGGATTGCTGTTGCTGTTGCTGGTGGAGATGTTGTTGCGATTGAGAAAAGGAGCTGGAGCCGCTGCCGATGGCCACGGGTCCGCCGAGATGTTGCTGCTGCTGTTGTTGATGGTGATTCGGTGAGGAGAAGCTGCCGTTTACACTGCCGGCGCTGCTGAGGCCGTTGAAACTGTGGATGAAAGGCTCGCCGGTGGCTGCCGCAGCCGCGGCTGATGACGAGAAGAACGGGCTCTGGGTGCCTGCAGTAGTTCCGTTACCGGCCTGGCGCTGGTACATGGCGTTGGCATGGTGTTGTTGCTGGAGGTGGGACGGCGTCTGCTGCTGTGGCTGCTGCTGTACGTCCCCGTGCTCGTGACGAGCCTTGGTCTGGGCCTCCTTCTCCATGCGGCGGCGCTTGTACTCTTTGCGCCAGGCGGCCTGCTGCTGCTTCGCGCGTTCGGCGCGCTCCTCGTCGGTGAGGTTGAGGCGCGGGCGGCCGCGCTTGCGCTTGGCGGGCTCCGGGGTTGCGGCTTGCGAGGCGGGAATTTGTTCCAGTTTTACTTGTTGTTGATCGGCGGGGACTTGTTGGTGATGGTGGTTGTGGGTCGGCTGTGGCTGGGCCGATCTGGTCTGGGCGTGTGGCTGCTGCTGTTGGTGGTGCAGGGCCTGAGGCTGTTGTTGCGGGTGGTGCTGGCGCGGGTGCGGCGCGTGGGCCTGAGACGACATGGCTTGCTCGTGGATTGGCTGCGGGGGCTGGACCTGGGCTTGCGGATCCATGGTCACGTACTGCGAGTAGTAGGCCGCGGGATTTTGCGAAAAGAAGGCGGACGAGTTGGAGGCAGAGAGTCGCGACGCCATTGTGAACGGCACCGCGCGCGGCGGCCGGCCGGAAACGTGCAGACTTTAAGGAAAGAAGCTTCGAGACAAGGGGACGTGTGACGGCGAGACAAGGGAAAAAATAAAAACAAACGTGGGCGTGGGATGGGCAAAAAAGAAAAAAGAAAAGAGCAAAAGAAAGCGAAAAAAGGACGATGGTTGGCCGCGGGAGGGATCGACGAACGACGTCAACGCCCGGCAGCCGAAGCACAGGCCCCGGCCCAGGGTTCAAGGCAATTTTTCTTTCTTTTTTTCCCTCTAGCGGCCGTCAATAGGAAAAAGAACCGGCCCTTTTCCTTCTTCGCCATGCTTTTCGCCCTGCAGCCGCGCGCTCGCGTCGGTGCTGCGCCCTCTGTTCTTGTGTAGCCATTGGCCGGCTTCCCGCTGCTGCTGCCTTCATGCTTCCGTCGCCAAGCCGCCGGCCTGCGACACCACCCCCCTTCCCCTTTAACCACTCTCCTGTCTGACTTCGTCTACTATGCGTGTTTGATGATGCGACAAGCATGACTAAGTTTGTGTGGGCGTGCATCCGCTCTTTATGTCATGAGCGAAGGCTCAGGAAATATTCCAATTACCAAAAAAAGAACATCTGGTGGGCGGTGAAGCGAACGTCCGGACGCGATTGCGCGAGAAAACTACAAACATTCATGTCCGGACAGTAGCTCCAGCTGCCCCGTCATGTATTATATTCGAGAAGCTAGAACATTTCTCAATCTGACTCCGCCCGAGGCAATTCCAGCGAACATATACCCTTCCAATTTGTCGGTTCGCTTAGTACTGCAACTACAACACATGGAGTTGAAGCGGTGATATAGACATAAATGCGCAATATATATGAACGACCTTATCCGGACAAGAGCGCCAGCTAGCCCAGCTTCTTGCAATGTCAAGCAAATCGGCCTCGCATCTGTCGGCATGCGAAGTGCAGCGCGCAGCACGAAAGTGGAAGTGAGGTGAGTGAGTGATAGTCCGACCACCACAAGTTGCCTGAATAGGCTTAGCCCCAGGCGCGTCGGCATCATTCACATGCGCTGCTGCTGCGCTGCGGCTACAAGTAAATCTTCGCGGCTGCCAGACTCCCCTCCTCTGCAACTCCAACTCTTCTTCCTCCATTCTGACCACCCTGACGCTCATCATGGACGAGTACATCTCGCCCTTCAATTCGCCGCTCTGCGACAACATCGTCGATGTGCTCAGCGCCATCGTCTCCAGCTTCTTCGCCCTCATCGCCTTCTTCTTTGCCACTGTCACCGAGCTCACCGTCGGCATCGTTTCCCTCATCATCTTCATCGCCTCAACGACTGTCCAGACGGCGCTTGGCTTCGCTATGTCGCTCATCAATGCCATCATCACTTCAGCTGTCCGCCTCATCGTCGCGGTTTTCCCGCCCATCGTCACCTTGGTCCAGCTTCTGGTAACCTATGTCGCATACCCGGTCATAAATTGGCCTGACCTTGCCTTCATCTCACTGGGCATCGCTGCTCTTTCGTACGCCGTTATCAACTCGAGCGCACGCGGCTCCATCTATTCTCATTTCATCCAGCCAACCATACTTCACCTCTCCCACAAGCTGAGCATCTGGAAGGAAGGAATTGTCCTCACCTACCAGACATGGCAATTCGAGCGCGCCGAAAAGGCCGCGACCAAGGCCAGAGTCAAGGCTGAAGCTGAAGCAGCAGCCGCGGCGGCGCATGCCCAAGCCCAAGCACAAGCAGCACTTGAAGCGGCGCAAGCACTGGCTCAAGCCGAAGCCACTGCTGCCTTCGAAGCCGGACAAGAGCGAGCCCGAGCACAGACTGCCGCAGTCTCAGCAGCCACCGCCTCACTTCCAAGCACTCCAACCATTCCCCGTAAGACTCCTACGACGCTGCTTCTCAAGACAGCTCCGAACGGCTACTACAGCCTCTCTCCTCCGCGCTACACGCCGCTCTACCCTCCTCATCCTCGGACGCCTCCCACCCCCACCCCCAAGTCCTCGTCCAACCCCAACTCCACCAAGAGGCTCAGCCCCAACGAGAAGCTCCTCACCCACCACGCCGACATCGAGCGCTACGAATGGCACACCAAGACGGGCCGCTACTCCGACTGGGCGCGCAGCTACCGCCCTACCTCTCAGCGCTACCCGCACGTCCCCGCCCCGGTTCCCTCATCCCCTCCCATCACCGGCCTCATCACCACCGCGCCGCCTCCTCCGCGCTACCACCCTCACCCGCTCAGCATCCTGCCGCCTGAGCAGATGCACCTGCTGTACGGCCCCGAGGGCGCTGACGGCCAGCTCGCCGAGCTGCGCAAGTGCCTGCACCCGTGGACCACCTTCCCCGGCGAGGACGTCAAGAACACCGACGACTGCGACCCGTCCTTCACGATGCGCTTCTTCAACGCGCGCGTCGACGACATCGCCGCCTTCCTGCAGCGCGAGCGCAACTGGACCTGGATGTCGCCCAAGGTGCACGCCGCGGCCGTCACCTTGTGGCGCGAGGCGCGCATCAAGATGTTCCTGGGCGGTCCTCTCTACAACATCGGCCCTGACGTTGTTGCGATGTGGAACAACGATGTGCTGACCGGCACCCCGCTGGGCTGGCTGGGCGATTTGAGCTTCGGTTTCCCGCTGCGCGATGATGTCTTGAGGGCGGTGGAGCAGCGCTGGGAATTTCTCTATTCGCAGCCGGCTCAGCGGCGCTTCCAGAATGGCAGCTTGCTCGGCGGCGCATCGTTCGGAACGACAATCTCTTTCGCCTCGTCCGCGCCTGCTGCTGTCCAGTCCACAATGGCTCCGCAGCCTGTCACCCAGACCGTCACTGGCACTCAGCTGCCCCTTCCTGCACCTGCTGTTATCCCGGTCACTGCTCCTCAGCCCGCTGTCCAGGCTGTCCCCAACCTTGGTCAGCATGTCGTCGAACCTTGCACTCCTATTCAACCGGCTGTTCCCATCGTGAGCGGTGGCGGTTCATCAGTCCTGGCCAACGCTGTCGCCAAAAGGGTCACTCCTAGCACCCCGGGCACCCCCATCCGGTCGACTACCCCGGCAACTGCCAGCAGCCACGGCTCATCCACACTTGCCAAGCGCAGGTTCGGCGTTGTCGACGCGGTGCAGGCTACGCCTGCCATGCCAGGAACTCCCCCCATCAAGTCGTTCACTCCCTCCGGCAGTCCTGGCAGCGGCTCGTCCATCCTGGCGGCGGGTGCTGCCCAAATCCCAATGAGGCGCAAGCTCAGTGACGCGTCGTCCCCAGCCAGCTTCATTTCGACGGTCCACGGAGAAGATGATGACTGGGCGAGGCAGGGCCCTACCAAGAGGACGAAGGCCTAAATGGGCCAAATGGCCTCTTTCTTCTCTGTTTTGGGCTTTTAATTTTCTCTCCGTTTTTGGCTTCTGATATTCCTGCTTTTCCTTTCATCTTCTCTTGGGTTCTAAAAAAAAGGCGATTGGGCGGGTTTCTTTGGCGGGCTTATACCATATTCTCCTCTACCCGCTTTTCCTTTTGCTCCCTCATAGGTTTCAAAAACGGCAATTGGGTGGGCTTATTTTGCGATTTGGCATCACAGCATGGTCAGGATCCATGCAACACTACAGCGCCAGCTCCGGCGCCAACTCCTTTACGATAGACAACGAAAAAAACAATGTAAAATCCCTTCAAAACGCAAAGTCCTCTATTACCATGTCATGGGTCGTCGAAGCCATCATCCGGACACAAATGCGGAATTAACAATTATCCATTTACATCCATGAGCCTCCACCATCCACCGCCCACACCGGTCAAAATGTCTACAGCATATCTACCCTTCTACCGCTGTGGCAAACGAGCAGCAGCACATCCCACCTCTTCTCACACACATCTACACTCCCTCCCCACACCTCTCCCACACACCTATCCATGCAATTCCCCGCTCTCTCCCTCCTCCTTCCCACCCCCCTGAACCTGCCGCTGCTGCCGTTGCTCCTCCACCGCCCTCTCCAACGCCATCCTCTCCACCACCCCCTCCCACCCCCTCCTCACCACCTCCGCCATCACCCCACCCCCCAACTTCCGCCCGGCCTCCTGCACCGGCACCAAAAAGCTCTCGTACAGCAGCTCCTCTTCATCCACGCCCGTCCCCTCCCACCTGCGCGGCTGGTAGTCAGGCGGCTCGGCGCGCACGCGGGCGAGGAGGCTGGTTGGCTCTTCTCCTGGAGCAGCGGCGTCCGGATGAAGGGGAGAAGGAGCAGCAGGAGCAGGAGGAGCAGCGACGTACGGCACGCCAGGCCCTGGCGGCGGCATGGCGGCTTCGACGGCCGGAGGGAGGGTCTCGGCGGCGTACCAGAAGAGGAGGTACTGGGTGCGGGGGGAGACGGGGACGAGCTGGGTGTAGAGGGGCTCGGTGACGAAGAGGGAGGAGAGGGAGGGTGGTGGTTGGGTGGTCTCGGGGGAGGTGGTGGCGGCGTTGTTCTGGGGTTGGCGGTGGTGGACGGGGAGGGGGAGGAGGCGGTTGCGGTAGCCGGACTGGATGGGGTTTGAAGGTTAGTTTGGGGTATCTGTCTTTTGGAGTTTATGTGTGTGGGATGGCGGGGGAGGGGGGTCTTTATGGAGGGTTGGTATGATTGGTTGGCTTATTGGTTGTAGATGTGGAATTAATTGGGAAGCGGATCCTTTTCTCCATCTCTTTTATTTTTGCGGAATTGATGCTGAGATGATGATGACATGCGGTACGTACTTCTTCAAAGCCCTCCCGCTCCGCCGCTCGATTAGTCTCCTCGCCCGCGTCGCGACGGCCTTTCGGCAGGAACCAGTAGCGATCGCGGGTATGGCGGCACAGCACGACGCGGGCGGAGGCGACGTGAAAGATGGCGACGCCGCAGCCTATCACCAGATGCTCGGACGGAAAGTTGGCGACGACCGGCGGGCAGCGGACCGGCTGGCGCGTCGCCGCCGGGATGCGAACGGCGGACAATTCATCGATTATGTCAGGCATCGACAAGGTAAGTGGGGATTGAATGGTGATGTTATTTCTCGTTTGCGCGCGCGGGGGGTTCACGGCAGACGCGCGCGAATGCGGTTTGGAAAAACGCGGGGAAATGCAGGGGCGAGAGTGGGCTGTGGTCCCGGAACCCTGGTCACTCAGTTGGCGACTGCCGCATGCGACGGCTCTTATAGCCTTCCATGTGCTGGCAGGCACCGGGCGCGTCGTCTGGCTGCCACGATGGATGCCTGGCCTTGTAGCCTTCACACGGAGGAAGGTAGAAAGATTCCTTTGTTACTTAGGTACTTGGAACGCTAGCTGCGACGCACACAGATGCTTGTTCGAAGCTCGAGCTCCGAGACGGTGATGTCATTCTGCCGCTGAAGATCCCCAACTTCCCCAGACCCCGACCGACATCGCAACCAATTTTCACCACGAGCAATTTTAGTCTTCGGAATTAAGCGTTAGTAAAGGCGCAGGACTTCCGTTGCACAGACGCAACAAATCCTCGCACTGCCCACCACTGGTGTTTGCGAGAACAGCCATTTCTACAGCGCATAGCTGAATGCAGTCACCGATACCAATCATTCAAAGTCGGCGTTCACATCCCTTTCTGCACCAGGTGATCTGCGCCACACATCGGCTACAACCTCGTGTGTTTCGAAAAATCACATCAGAGAACGATTCGGTGGCTAATAAATTCCCCGAACCCAGGAAGCTGACCGCCATAGCTCTCCAAGCCCACGCTATCCAATCGATCTCACGGCAGTTTCCGACCGGATCCAGTCACGTCACACAACGTCTCCACATTTTCTTTATACCCAACACCATCGAACAGAAGCCATCGTCAAAATCACAACTCATGGATTCTAGTAGGCAGCAGCTCTCGGCCGATAGACTGCCTAAGGCTAGCGCGAAGAATAGCAAGCCCTTGGAACATCGGGTAACTATGCCTTGGCAATTTCAACATGTATGGGTAGTTGAAGCTATCGTCGGGACGAGAGTGTGTAATTATTAATTACACATTTACATCCGGACGATAGCTTCAACTACCCATGACATGTCAGCTTTTATTCAAGGAATATTCGTCAGCTTGGCTTTCGAAACAAGCAACAATGAGACAAAAATTATACATTGTTTCCACTCCAATATCTAGACAACGGTAGACAACAACCAAGGGTATCTCAAACAGACCCAACCCAATGCAATGAACCAATACAAAACCAAGCATCCAATGGATACCAAACCACCCAATGCCACCCCAAGAAATGCCAAAATCGAGCAATACCCCAAAGTCCAATAGTGCAAAAAAAAAATTACAAGAAACTGAGCTCATCCTCACTATCATCAGCGCCATCCAAACCAAACGCCGAGCTCAGCGAGGTAATGGTGGTCCGGCGACCGGCGCTGATGCTACCTCTACCACCACCACTGCGGCTCCTCCTCGCCCGCTTGCGCGGAGGCTCCGGGCTCGACTGCTGCTTGACAGGACTGGTGAGGGCCAGCTCATCGGCATCGTCATCAGAACTGCTTGCGCCCGTATCTTCAGGCAGCGTGTCCTCGTCTTCCTCGTCGTCGTAATCGACATCATCCCGCAGCGTCTTGAGCGCGAGCGGAGTACTCGTGAACATGGGCGTGCTAGGAGGACGAGCAGCAGAAAACCGCTTCTTCGAGAGGGGAGCCGGTGTGTCGTTGTTCTTATTATTATAGCCGAGGACGTCAGGCGTGCTGTTCGCCAAGAGGATCTGGGACAGCGAGGGACGGGACGGGGTGGACAGCACTTTCGACGTCGTCGGGCTGGACGGCGGTTCGGCTACTGCCAGGCTTGGGGAATGTTTCAAGCGCACGAGCGGCGTGGCTTCGACCCACTCGGAGATGCCGGCCTCCCAGCGGTAGCCGACGTGGTACTCTGCGTCTTTGTGGAAGAAGGACGTGTCGCGGTAGGGCATTTGGATGTTTTCCATCTCCTTCTCGATGTCGAGCGCGAACTGTAGGTACTCCCTTCTGTTGATACCTGCGATTCCGTTAGTGGCTTTGTATACAATCACGCCCGGGGAAACTTACCCAGAGAATCTTGGGAGTGGTTGGCAAACTCGTGGGCAGAATCTAGAGCAAGGCGCTTCAAGAACCACGAAGGAAAGCCGATAGTCTCCCATTTGCTGGAGAGAGTTGATTCGGTGAATATGCCATCATCAAAAGATGACACCCGGTAGGACCTCAAAGTCTCCACCATGGACATCAAGACCAAGAAAACGTTCTGTTGTGATTTGGGCATATATGCCTTTCCGCACGTCTCGGCAACTGAGCAAACTATGGCCGGCAGATTCAGCAACTGCTGACCTATTTTCTCCTCCAGCTCCGTTAAAGCCCTGATATGCGCAACAGGTGCAAAGGTGATGTGTGGAACGCTGTCATGTGTGTAAACACCAGTGATGATAGCACATGTAAGGATGTTACTCAACCGCTCGATAGTCGAGCTAGATCGAGCAATCGCGGTATCAAGATGGCCTTCAAGGATGTCGTAAGTGATGTCTGCAGCAATACCCTCGAGCGTATGTCGTATCTCATATTTGCCTCTGCTGCCATAGCTCGCTTCATTGTCCGGTAGGAGGAATATCGCAGCGAAGATGGCGGATAGAGATGAGACGGTGGTGTTCAAGGCCGTCTTTACTCCGGTGGGAACGCTCGGCTCCAAACAATCATCTGCTACGTCCGACTGCATACCTTCGACGTGTTGCAGGTTTCTGCCACAGGCAAGAGATAAGAAGACATGGATGAGTTGACAAGCTTCCGCGTGCGCCGGATTGCTGGAGTCGGATATGTGTCGGATAATCCTGCTCCAGATACTCTTGAATTGTGTAGTTGCGGCCCACTCAACCGGGATAAGGTTGGAGATTAGCATGCTGCGTACTAAGCGATAAAAGAAAGACCATCCGTCTATCCGCTCCGCCCAAGCGTGGGCTGCGGCAATGCCACTGCCAAAGTGGAAGAGCTCGTCCTTCGCAGTCTTTGGAGGCTGCTGTGGTGCTGTGGTGAAGGCGAATGCCGTCAGAATCTCCTCCGCCTCACGGTAAGCAAGCGCCGAATGACACAGCCGAACGAGCTCTTTTATGTGGGTAGTATCCAGGAGTTTTTCGGCGGTAGCCGTGGTGATGAGAGCTACGCCGTGAGCGCGCACGACTTCCCTCAAAGGCCGCCAGCCTGAGGCTGATCCCATAGATTCGAGATCCTGATAGACTTCTTCGCTGGCATCTACCTTGTCGACGTTCTCCTCCTCTTCCCATTGCTGTCGGCCTTCAATGTAGGCAGGGACCTGTCGCAGGCAGGTCGACATCAACGAGCGCGCCCCAGTCTTTGATGTGCGACTCTTTTCTTGAGCCTTAGTCGCCTGAAGTAGTACCCGAAAGGCCTGTAGGAGGCGCTCGACATGGCGCCTGTGCTGCATGGTCGATTCGCCGTACAAGTCAGGGCCATGGTCGTGCTTCAGCAAAGGGAACCTGTGCTTCTTCGGGGTCTGCAGAAATTGCCAACCATAAGGCTTTTGGGGATGGAAGTCATCAGATCTGGCTTGGCGGGCAATCAAAGGCGAAGGCATAGAGATCTGGCCAGGCTTACGCTCCCGAGGCGCTGGGCGCGCTTCGGCCTTTGAAGGGCGATTGGAATAGAAACGCTTAGTGCCTTTTTTCTCTGTAGCATGCGGTACCCAATCGGGATCATCAAAGTCCTTGCGGCGTCCGGAATCCTCGGCTTCTTCGTCTTCCTGCTGCCTGTCGCTTGAGATTGGCTCATCCTTGGATGCAGAAGCAGATCCAGATGTAGCGCTTGCGTTCAGCTGTGGGTAGACGATTTCCCGCAAGACTCTGATCTGCGCCGTAATTGGGCGGAGCAGCCTGTTGCAACGAGCGGTTGTCCAAGGCGGATCCCCAGCGAAGGGTGAGTCTAAATACACGCTTACTGTTTAGAGTCAATGGGCCTTCATAAATGGGTTAACAAGATCGTACTGTCTGGAATGTTTTTATTATGCGACATAGCGGATGCTGGGCTATGATGTTGAGCTATGATGCTGGCGACGTTGCTGAAAATGAAGCTGTCGCGAGGTCGAGGAGCGTGGTGTTGATCAACAAAAGCGCGCGGGCGGCCCCAGCGTCGACAGGATGCGCCCGAGGCGCTAAGCCTAGTAAGGAAACCATCAATTTTGGACGCACATCGTGAGCAGGGATTCCAGATCTTTCAAAATAAAGTCAGTTGTAAACCGAAACTAAGCAAACTACTATGTTTAAACAATAAGCAGGTATCTAAATCAGAAGCGAACAACCACCCCAACCCAAAGCGCCACGCTTTGCTTGGACGCGTTCTAAAACACAACCGAAATGCACAAAGGAAAACTCTAGACGCTAAGTATGCTGGCAGAAATGACTTAGTTGTCATCATCATCATCGACATCCTTCAGGCCAGGCACAGTCTCGAACGTGGTCTCTTTCTCGACGTATCCCTTGGCATTGCGCGTCGTGACCTTGTATTTGCCGCCTTCCCAGAGGTCCTTGATGGTCAGCTCTCTCGTTCTGCCCAAGCTCTCGATATCACCAATACGCTCCAAAGTGTCCTCCAGGAACTTGTCGAAGCCGGGCAGTTCGCAAATCTCTCGGAATGCTCTCTGCATGGGAACGGAATCTGCATTAGGTCAGCCATCAATGCACGGAAGAATGTCATCAAAACTTGAAGTAGCACATACCAGCTCTAACCATGGCGCGTGAGTCAATCGTGAAGACGTTGATGTGATCGTAGCTCTGAATAAAGTCTGCGCGCGTCATAATTTCTCTTGCCTTGTGAAGAGGAATCTGAGGAAGAATGTGTCCTTTCTCAGGGTCATAAGTTTTGTCCATTTCCTTCTCCTGATCAACGAGCGCTTTCGCAAGGACCATAGCTGCCGACTGAATGAGACGTCAGTGGGGTGAGATAAAAGACATCGGCAGGAGATACTTACAGCGTACTTCTGCTGGTCCATGACGTCGTCATCCATGTCCATGCCGAGAATCCAACACTGGTTAAGGAACCACGTCTTTTCAGCCTCACATATCTTATCACAAAGGGCAAGCATGTCCTTGGATTTGGCCACGCGGCTAAGGAACGAAAGTCGACCACCAATCTTGTCGTAGATGGTCTCCAGGACCTGCTCGTTCGGAGTTTCTCCGTGCCATTTCCACCTGTAGTGCTTCAACGCAGAGATGGCCTTCTTCTTCTCCAGATCTCTGATCGGGGTGACTTCCATCCTAGTCGCGTACTGCTTGAGGCGCTCATACACCCAGTAGTCATCGCTGTTCAGAATGACGGTGACAAGATTGGCAGCGGCCCATTGTTCGGCGCGCTGCTGGAGGAGCTCCAGAAGATCTTTTCCCTCGTCGTCATCCCTGATGAGATGGACGCTGTTGATGACAAGGATGAGGGGACGTCCAACCTTGTCTCTGCGCTTGAGCGCGACCTTTTCAAGCTTGTTGAAGGCTCTCTCGACATCAAGCAGCGCCGAGGCGTCCCTAGGGCCGCGAATCGAGAACAAAGAGCCAATGTTGTCCTCGTGGAACTCGAAATCCAAGGCTTTTCCAAGACGGATCCGGAAAATTTCTGGGTCAGCATGAGCTTCGAACATGGCAACACCATCTCCATCGATCTTCGACATGGCCTCGATCAGCATAGATGTTTTGCCAGTGCCTTTCTCGCCAATGAGCAGGTGGTAGCGGCCTTTGTCCTCTCCACGAATGATGGAGTCGAACTTTGCCTGTTCTTCACGAATAATCCAGGAGCCATCCTCTGCCTCCTCGCGGCGAGGTGGCCTGCCGCGAGCAAGGTCCAGAACAGGGTCTCCTGGGTTGAATGCATTGTCCATCTTTTCGAGGACCATGTGCTTGTAGTATCTGGTGTAGCTGTAGCCTACGATGCTGTTCGAGAGTAAGACATGGGGTCGCGACAACAAAAGCAAACACACGGGCCACATACCCAAGGACGGCGACGGAAGCGAAGGTCGTCATGGCACTCTCAAACATCTTGAAAGCAGTCTCGCGGTAGTCATTGCCATTCTGGGAATGGCTTGAGTGCGAATTCCTCGGGCGCTCACTAGGATCGGGGCCGGCTTCGGTTGGATCTGGCTGGCCGGGCTGTGGCGCAGGCGAGCCTCCTGAAATGAGGCGTCGAGGCTGGAGTTGGAACTTGGGGGCAGCAGCAGGCGCCCGCGCCTGCCGTGCGACGGTATAAGCGGCAAGGCGTCGGTTCGCCAGAGTAGATCTGGCTGATCGCTGGAGCCGGGGTAGTGCGGGTTGCAGCCTCCGCGCCCGCAGAGCTGGAGCCGCATAGCCGTACATTGAGTGCAAACGGGGGTGCGATGAAAAAAAAAAGTCCGAGAAGAAGCCGGCCAATGAACGGGCTGGCGCGCGTGAAAAAAGCAAGGACGGGCGAAAGAGCGTGCGAAAGGAAAGGAGGTGAAAAGAGTGACTGAAGTCGGCGGCAGGGAGACCTTGGAAGTGTGCGCGGCACGCAGGTTTAGTGGGAGGTTTTGGTCTCCTGTGTTGCGCAAGCTTGGCAATCGCAAATCGCAGGCGGAACGAGAGTCAGACCGCGCAAAGGCCGTCGTGTCGCGTGCGCTGCATGGCGCCGAGAAATGCGCGAAACGGCCACCCAGCGTCATCACCTACGGCGAATGGCACCGGTGGCATTGGCAGGCGGTCCAGCGGCGATGCAGCCCGTGGGCCGGCCGGTCCGTGCGTCGGTGAGCGCAGCGGGCGTGCGCCTCGGGGAAGACCGGCTAACTTCGTCAGAAATCCTCTAAACTTTTCGAGCTCCAACACCCTCCTCCACACCTCCGTCCACTTCATTTAGATGCGCCCGTAGCCCCCGCATCTCCTGAGCTCGGCGTGCGCCCATTGTCCTTCCCTTCCAGCACCGCCTTCTTAATTGGTCCGTTTCCGCTTTTCCACCATGGCCCAAGCCAATGACGCTTCGACTACAGGTAAGTGTGTCCGTTTGACTCGAAACCCATGCCAGCCATGCTAACGCTGCTTGCACTCCAGCCAACGCTGAGCCGACCGTCACGGACCAGAACCTGAACGGAGATGTCCCCGCCGGCGAGAACGGCGAGCAGGAGCAGGCCGAACAGCCCGTGGAGAGTATGTGAATCATTGCCATTGTTCAATGCCGTCACGCCAATCGAATTGACCGCTAATTCCTCTCACGCAGACGTCTTCACCCTCAACGTCAAGCTGCCGCACGAGCCGTTCCAGACTCAAGTGATTGTCAGTCAAACTCCGCTCCGCACCAATGCCAACCTTACGTGCTAAAGCCCGCAGGCGTCGACGCAAGAACAAGTCCAGGACCTCCGCCAGTCCATCATCGATTCGCCGCACACCTTCCAATACTCCTGCTTCCACCTCGAGCACAACGGTGAGCGGATCAATGACTTCGTCGAGCTTTCCGAAGTCCCTGGTATCGGCCCGGACGCCGAGATCCAGCTGGTGGAGGACCCATACACTGAGAAGGAGGCCAGAATGCACTTCATCAGAGTGCGGGAACTCATTGGCGCTTCCGGAGATAGGACCGACACTGCCCACGGCTCCCAGGCCGGCATCTCTCTGCTCCACGATGTGGCGGCTAAGATTGCTGCTGAGGAAAAGGCGGAGGGCACCCCTCTGGACGGCTACGATCTTGAATCCGCTGCCGCGATCAAGACCGTGCTGCCCCAGCCCCAGGAAGCGGCGCCGAAGACCGTCAAGGCCATCTCGCTCTCGCCCTGGAACCCTCCGCCGTACCACCTCCGCGCGAAGGGCCACCTGCTCTACCTTCAGATCACCACCAACGAGGGTGAGCAGTACCAGGTCACTTCCCACGTCTCTGGCTTCTTCGTGAACAAGTCGACCAACCAGAAGTTCGACCCGTTCCCCAGGGCAGCCCCGAAGGACATCGCCGCGCACTCTCTGCTCATGCTCATCTCGAAGCTGTCCCCCGGCTTCGAGGCGGCGTTCCAGTCGCTCCTGGAGTACAACAATGCCAAGGACCCTCTTGCCATGTTCCAGCTGTCCAACGCCATTCCGGCCAGCCCATGGCTCGTTTCGCCGCCGAACTCTACTGCGAACAGCCACCAAGCTGACATTACCCGCACCCAGGAGAACTACCTCATCTCCGGCCTGGAGAGCGCAGACAACCTCAGAGATTGGAACGAAGAGTTCCAGTCCACCAGGGAGCTGCCTCGGGAAACCGTCCAGGACCGTGTCTTCCGCGAGAGACTGACTTCCAAGCTTTTCGCGGATTACAACGAGGCTGCCGTCCGTGGTGCTGTTCTTGTCGCCCGCGGCGAGGTCGCACCTCTGAACCCGACCGAGGCCAAGGATGCCCAGATCTTCGTCTGGAACAACATCTTCTTCTCTTTCGGTGCTGATGGTGTTGGTACATTCGCCACTGACGGTGGTGACGAGGCCGCGCGCGTTGCTACTGGCAAGGACGTCATGGGTGTAAAGGCTGTGAACCAGCTTGACATTACTGGTCTTTTCACTCCTGGTACCGTTGTTGTTGACTACCTCGGCAAGCGTATTGTCGGTCAGAGCATTGTCCCTGGTATCTTCAAGCAGAGAGAACCTGGTGAGCACCAGATTGACTACGGTGGAGTTGAGGGCAAGGATGTTGTCGCGGAGAACGAGGCTTTTGCGCCCTTGTTCGAGCAGCTGTCGAAGGCTCTGAGGGTCAAGAAGCACGCTGTCTGGGACAAGGAGAACAAGCGCCACGATCTCGAGGGAAGTGTTGAGACCAAGGGTCTCCTCGGAACTGACGGCAGGAAGTACGCGCTCGACCTCTACAGGATCACTCCTCTCGATGTGACTTGGCTTGAGCAGTGCTGGGAGGACCCCTCCGAAGATGGCAAGCCGAAGGACAAGGAGAGGGATTACCCTCACAGGATGGCTGTCCTCAGGTCCGAACTCGTCGAGTCCTACGGCCGCACGAAGCTCAGGGAATACATCAGGGCTGAGCTTGCTAGGCGTAACGAGGCGAAGGAGGCCGCTAAGAAGGAGGAAAAGACTGAGGAGAAGGCCGAGGGCGAGAAGGCTGAGGGTGAGGAGAAGGGTGAAGGAGAGAAGAAGGAGACTGAGAACGAACGCGTCGACATCTCCGGCTTCCAATTTGCCCTCAACCCCGACATCTTCTGCGGTCAGGTTCCTCAGACTGAGGAGGAGAAGCAGGAGTACGCCAAGGACGAGGCTGAGGTTCGCGCGGCCTGTGAGCACCTTACCCAGGAGGTCATCCCGCGCCTCATCCACGACCTTAAGGAAGGTGATGTTGGCTTCCCCATGGATGGTCAGTCCCTGAGCAGCCTGCTGCACAAGCGCGGTATCAACTTGAGGTACCTCGGAAGGATTGCGACTCTGGCGGATAAGGAGGAGCCCAGGCTGAAGGCTCTGAGGCGCCTCGCGGTCCAGGAGATGATCGCTCGTGGCTTCAAGCACATTGCCAACGACAAGCTCCGCTACCTTCCTTCTCCATTCTCGGGTGCTTGCGTTGCTCACCTGCTCAACTGTCTGCTCGGAGCGGAGGTTAACGCAAACCCGGTCGCCGAGGTTGAGGCCTCTCTCAAGGCTCTCTACGCCGGTGCCGACTTTAGCTTCGAGACTCTGACGCCGGAGAGCCTCAAGGCCGCCGTCATCGAGGAAGTCAGGAGGAGGTTCCGCTTTGATCTGGGAGAAAACTGGATCGAGGCCGGCAAGCAGCTCCAGGTGCTTCGTGAGGTGTCTCTGAAGCTTGGTCTGCAGCTCGAGGCCAAGGAATACGCCTTCACCAAGGAGGACGCCGCAAAGATTCCTGAGCCTGTGTCTTCCGATAGCCTCAAGCCTGCCACCAACGGCCACACTTCTGGCAAGAAGGGCAAGAAGAACAAGAGCGCGGATCGCTCTCCCGCTCGCACTGCTTCTCCCGCAACCCCGGCTCAGAAGGTGACCTTCCGTGCGGACGATGTTCAGAACGTCGTCCCTGTCATCAAGGAAGCCTCGCCCAAGGTAAGCATCCCCGTAATTTTCAGTGGGTACACAGCTAACACAATTACAGAGCGTTCTTGCCGACGAAGCCCTCGAGGCGGGCCGCATCTCGATTGCCCAGGACCAGAAGGAGCTTGGTAACGAGCTTCTCCTCGAGTCCCTCTCCTTGCACGAGCAGATCTATGGTGTCCTCCACCCCGAGGTCGCTCGCGTCTACCACCAGCTTTCCACCCTCTTCTACGGTTTGGAGGAGAAGAATGCTGCCGTTGAGCTGGCTCACAAGGCCGTCATTGTCTCGGAGCGCACTCTTGGTGTCGACTCGTCTGAGACGGTCCTGGCTTACCTGAACCTCGGCCTGTTTGAGCACGCCAACGGTAACACCAAGGCGGCTCTTGGCTACATCCGCCACGCTCTTGATCTGTGGAAGGTCATCTACGGCAACAAGCACCCCGACTCGATCACTACCATCAACAACGCGGCTGTCATGCTCCAGACGATGAAGGCGTACCACGAGTCTCGCCTGTGGTTTGAACAGTGCTTGGCCATCAGCGAAGAGGTTTCGGGTAAGCAGTCGATCAACACGGCTACCCTACTCTTCCAGCTGTCGCAGGCCCTGGCTCTCGACAGGGACATGCACTCGGCGGTCAACAAGATGCGCGAGTCGTACAACATCTTTAACCAGGTCCTGGGCCCCAACGACCGCAACACCAAGGAGGCCGAGTCGTGGCTCGAGCAGCTTACGCAGAGCGCTGTTACGCAGGCTAAGCAGGTCCGTGACGTGCAGGCGGGCCGCCTCCGCCGCATTCCGCTTACGCCTCGTACGAACCTGCGTCCTCAGCCGAGCGTTGGTCAGACGGCGTCGGAGGCCGCCGGTGCGCCGTCGAGCGCGGCTGCGGGTGTTGACATGCACACGAAGAGCATCGAGGAGCTGGTCCGCTACATTGAGGGCGGCGATGGCCCGAAGAAGAACACGCCGAAGAAGAAGCAGCAGAAAGGCCCTCGGAGACCGGGCCGTGCCGGCGGTAACTAAATGCGCGTTTTGGAGTTTGGACTGTAGCGCAGGGAAAAGTTCTGCTGCATTGTATCATGCTCATTCCTTTTAAGATTTCCCTTCGTTGTGTTTTCTCCAAATCCCCCGTTTTTAGTACATATTTGCCTCACTCTCTCCTCTTTCAGCATTATTGGACAGGATGATGACTGGATGGCGGTTGCGATTGCATTGGGAGGGCAGGTGGCATGGGTACACATGCTCGGCGCTGGTTATTACTTGTGACTACTATTGCAAAAAAAGAAGACTCGCCGCTCTGGATCGACGCGATTTGCGTTAAAAAACTGTACTGTACGATTATACCTGTAGAATCAAAAAGCATGCTCATGGCTGCAACCGCGCCTAAGCGCACTTTCCTTGGTGTTCTTCACTAGTCTGGAGTTGGCCTGAATGAGGCGCCATTGAGGTCAGTGCCAAGCCGTGCATGACGCAAAACGCCCGTGCTCGTCCCAAGCAACAAACGCCAAAACACCAAAGCTTGCCGCGCACTGTTGCCATCAACACAACCGCACCCCGCCATCTTCATCGCACATCCCTGCAACACCACTTCACCCAGTGCGAAAAATGCCGTCGAGGACGGAAATGGCTCGCGACGACGGGGCCGTCGTGCCTACCGCTTCAACACCTCCACCCACGCGTGCCGCACGCCTGCCTGGATTCGTGCGCTTCCCGCTGCTCATCGTACTGAGCCTTACAACCTCACTGTCCCTGCTGTCCGCTGCATCCGGCTTCATTGATCCGCAGCTCCGCGAGGTGTCACGCTCTTCGAACGAGGATGTGAGGGTTTTATCCTCGATAGCGTGGAAGCTGACGGAGCTGTCGCTGGCATGGTTCGGAAACTTTGACGGTAAGTGGCGCAACAGCTCTCTAAGACCCCCAATGCACCTCAATCCACCTGCAGGGAGCCATCATACAAAAGTGTGCACCGCCAGGCTAACCATTCTCCACGCACCACACAGACATCGACCTCATCGCCCTATCCGTCCTCACCCACGCGCCGTGGTACTACCTCCTCTACACCTTCTACGCCGTCGAGCCGACCACGATCGGCATCTGCCTCAGCATCGATGCCCTCTCGCTCGCCGGGCCCACCCGCCTCCTCCGCGCGCGCGCACCGGCGCACAACCCGCGCGCCCCTCGCGCCGCCGTGCCCAACCGGGCCATCATCTCGGACGCGCAGACGGCATTGGCAACCTCGCTCCTCGGTGCCTCCGTCTACGGCGTAGCGCTGTTCGCGTCGCTGCAGACGTTCCTGCCGGCCTTCATGACGGTGCACTTCGACGCGCTGCCGACGCTGGCCGGCGCCCACGCCGCCAACCTGCCCTTCCTCGTCGCCAGCCTGCTGCCCGTCGGCCTCGCGGCAAGGGAGTTCATCCTCGTGCCCGGTCTGGCTGCGAGCAGCACGAGTGGCGATGCTAAGCGCAAGGCGTTCAACCCCGAGACGGCCGGCCTGCGCGAGCACTTTGTGCACAACTTCTGGTGGTTCGGTCCCGGCGCGCGCGCGCTGATCAAGCGCACGGCGACGCTGACTGTGTTGACGGCTGCGCATTCGTTCGTCCATGCCAGCACCGTGCTGGCTGGTGGTGACCAGGTCGGCGCGGCGGGGTACTCGGCGGTTTGGGTTGTGGGTGGGTTGGTGACGGGGCTGGTGTATGCGTGGGTTGAGAACGTTTGAGATGCGGGGCGGCGGGAGAGGTGATTTGGTTGAGTGGGATTTTTTTTTTCCTTTTCGAGGAGAGAGCGGGCTGGGTTCATTGGACGTGAGTAAGAGAGGATTGAAGGAGGACTTTGCCTAAAAGAAGAAAAAAGAAATATTGAAGGGTGATTTATGGAAACGAGGGGTGCATACTCTACGATGTAAAGGCGAACGGGGTTGAAACGGCGTCTTCCTCGACGGACTTTGGCTGGGTGTGCTTTGGGCCCTTTTGACTGGGTCGTCGTTGTGCTTCACACGCATTGCTGGGAGAATCAGGGACTGGAATGGCACATACTTCCCTCCGCTTCCTCTTTGGGTATTGAGAAACCGAAACGATTGGATTTTCCATGTCGGCCTGGGCTCGTGGTTTTCTGGCCAGTTCCTACTTTTCTAAGTCTTATTATGTCTTAACAGTGGGAGTGTGCGCTACAAGCGCGATGTCTTCCGTTCTTTTTTTTGCTGGAGTTGTGGGGTTATCAGCGGGGATCAGACGGGCGTATATGAAGATCTTTTGAGGAGCGAGATTGAGTTTTTGGCTACTGATGAATGCAATTGGATGCTGCCTATGACATCTATTCTTGGTTCCATGTGCTTCTTGACTTGCGCTACGTGGAAGGTGTTTATAGAGGGGTGCTACCCTACAACATATCGTAAGTATGCCTCTGTCCTTTTAAAAAAAAAAGATGAACAAATATGTGTCGTTGAAGCTATCGTCCGGACGTGAATGCATAATTATTAATTCGACATTTGCATCCGGATGATAGCTTCAACGACCCATGGTATGGGCGAAATAAATTCACGCTAGGCGTCGGCTGCGATACCCCTCCGTATAGGATGGTATGCCCTGCGTGGATGCAATGGTCCGATGCGTGCTTTAGAATCAATGGTCCTAAAGGCGCTGGTAGGCTTGTAAAGGCCTGGAGAAAGAAAAATTGCCAATCGCAGATACCAGGATGATACTCCCTGCGTGGATGCAATGAATCATTAAGGTGATGAATTGGTCTTATCGGATCAACCAGGTCGATCCGACCTATCTATCTAAAGTGTGTGGTCCCTTCCCAGTACGACCTGGGAAGGACCGCAACAGGAATAATTGTACCATTTCGACGGGGCGTATGAAAACTTAGTCTTTCTACGCATATGCTGTATATACTGGCTTTACACTACGCATAGCTGGCCTCGTTGATATATGCAATCTCTCGGATGTATGTGTGTCGCCCATTCCAGTCACCTCTCATATCTCGTAAACACTGATTCCCAGGAAGCCAGTCAGTGCGAGAACAAGCCTTCCACACAGCCAGATGGCTGTGTTGATAGGAACCAAATCGACTGTACGATGACGAGGAGAGTTCTAGCATCGTATGCTCTAATCTCACTGTCGCTGCTACACCAATCTTCGAAGCAAGGCGAGACCCTAAACCCCTCCAATTCTTCTTCCTCCTTTCTTTGCGTCTTTTTAATCTTACGTCTCCTTTACAATCCGCAGAGAAGCTCTGGATGAGGGCGACGCCAATGACGCCGCCCGGATCATACACGGCTATTCGGAGCCACATAGACCCCGCTGCGCTCCACCAGTCTCGCTTCGCACCATTTTCTCCTGCTCGCCTATCTTCGAATCGAAATAACTGTTGACTCGGCGCCTAATGTAACGTTCACCAGACATTCATCAAGGGGAGGGGGGTCAGACGCAGCGTAGCGAAGGGGGAGGCGAGGTGGGGGGATGGAAGCGTTAGGCGCTGGCCATTTCCTCACACACACACACTCTCTCTCGTGCCGCCCCCTTTCTCCTGACGAGCGCCGCCCCGCTCACGATGATCGAACAGGGTGGGGATGGGAAAGGGAATTCGGCTCTGTGAGACACGATAGTCGAAGTTCGACTATCGACTTAACTGCCTGCATACGCTACTCGACTATCTGGTTAGAGTGTATCTGTTCGGATACGATGCCGCCCCAGTGCTTAGATGCAAAGTACGAAAAGAGAGGGGCGGGAGGGGTTGTGAGTCACCTCATGATCTTCATAGTTGACAGCTACTATTCCATCGAACAAAGACTGTCCTGCGAACTTTTGACACCCTCTTCCGGACCAATCAGCAGCAATCCGCGCGCCCGCTTTTACTCCTCTTGCAGGAGGGGGCTGATCGCGGGTCTCTCAGTGGTTCTATTCCTACTCTCTCGGCAGAAAGATGGAGCGAAGGAACGGAAGAGGGGCAGCGATGACGGACAAAGCGCTCCTCTTTTTGTGGTAAATGCTCCACGTGAAGAAGGAAAGGCTAAAAATAAAGGGGGGGATCTACTGTTCATCACCTCCTCTTTTCTGTAATCCATCTCGATTCTAGTGGTGGGCTTTTTCTTACCCTTTCATCAGCACAAAAAAATGAGGCGTCCGTGAGCAACTACCCAAAAGGCGAAAACAAGACTTGAAGCGAAGTATGTAGGTAGACGGGTGTGGGGTTAAACGGTTAGAGAAGTTTTGAAACGAAACAAAAAAAAATTAAATTGGAAAAAAGGCCCCGCGCGGCGCCATCGTGACGATGATCAGCAAGGTTTCCTTTGGGGGGGCTTAAACGAAATCACGAAAACCGTTGAAAGGATCGTGAGCGCTCATCATACACGAGGTAGCAGCGGGGACCGTGCGCGCAGAAGAAGGGGTCGTTTGTTTCGGGATGACTAGGTGCTGTTGTTTCTCGTTACCGCTCCGTCGGTAATCTCACCAAGCTCCGCCGTCAGGTTGTGTCGTCTTTGCTCTCTCTCTCCGTTTCCCCCTCTCGGTCCGAGGAGACGAGCGAGCGAGCGAGCGAGCGAGCGAGTAGTGAGGCGCCCGCGCGCCAGGCGCACGCCCCGACGTTCGCTTAAGCGGAGTGTCTGTGTTCCGCCGTTTGCGCAAAGAGAGGGGATGTGAGAGCGGAGCGTGCGTTTTCTGCGTGGTCTTGTGATTTACGACCGAGTAGTAGGTAGGTTGTCCGGGATAAACTCCGACGTCATCGGCGCCGTTGGACGATTAGGGTGAAGTTATTTTTTTTCCCTTCTCTCCACCCATTCTCCCCCTGCCTGACAATATTGAAATCGGGCAGCGTTGTACGTCCGTAGCTATGAATAGCTGGTGACGTCAGGAGCCCGAGTCAGCAAGTATTGTTTGCGCTCCGCCGTCGGGAGGGTGGGAATGCCACGGCGAGTTTTCTTCAATTGGGGAATGCTCCTCCCCCTCTCCACCGCCACATCGCGGGACCCAGTTCGAAACAAAAAAGGCACACGGCCGATCGATGCTTGGCCGGGGAAACTCGTAAGGGGGGAAAGCAATAGAGTGCGAGTGGGCCACCACACCAATGGGAAAAGGATTCCCTAGCCAACTGAAAGAAGCAGCGGTCAGCCTTGTCGATATTTGATCTCGCTAGGGGATGTGGAAGAGGAGGGCAAAACAAGGCCTTATAACTGTCTATCTTATGTGGCGTGGCGCGCGCGTCTTGCCGCCGGCAAACGCCTGATGGCCTGTTTAGAGCGCAGATGCAGCACGACAAGAAGGACAGACGGCAGGAGGCGATCAGTGTTGGCATCCGTCGCGATGGGGGGCAATGTTCCTTACTCATCATATACTACACACAACCCTCCCATAATACCAACCAAAATAACGCCGCCGTCCTTGTTCCGAGCGGAGAAATAGACAGAGCACGAGAGAGAGTCAGAAAGAGCCCAGGCAAGAGGTCCACAGGCACGCCATGATTGCAGACTCCAAAACGCTTGGATCAACACTCGCGCATTTCCTTCCGCTTTTGTACCCTCGGAGCACACAAATTACCCCCATGACCAGCACGTTACCCTCTCTTGTTTCCCGCCAGCCCAGAGGCCCGTCTCGACTATAGCGCCGACGACGGGCCGACTGCCGAAGATTCCAGCCTTTGAGCTGCAGCATCGGTCAGGGCGGGCTTATAGTCGAGGATTGCAGCAATAATAAGGGTCCGAGTTTACCACAGCCGTCGATGACGCATCGCCGGCAACGCCCGCCTGCCGCGCTGCACGGCTCGAGTAAGACGACGGAGCAGAACTATTGACTGCCGTATTGCAATTCAATAGTTTCGGAGGAGAGAAGAAAGAAAAAAAGTCGTGTTCATTAACTTCTTTTCCAGCCTCAGCAAAGCTAAGCGCGAAACGCGCTTTTCCGTTTTCTCTCTAGGCCTCTGCCTTCCCATCGTCCCTCCCTCTTCCGATATCCTTTGAGTTAGCACGTTTCAAAAGCATCCTCCCACCTAGTCAAGGTCGTCCGTCCGGACGGACGACGGTCACAGCGCCGCCTATCTCCGGCAGGGACGGAGCCACATCAGCCCCCCTCCGACGGGGTATCACCTTGATAGATCGTAAGATAAGAGCTTGCAAGGCTGACACTAGCTCGCGTGAAGTCGAAAGAAAAACCGAGACGCGCGTTGGAGACGAACTCTGCAACGGAACTCCGGATCCATCGTTCATCTAGAGAAAACCGTCAGCACCCTATTGAGGATCGGAAAGCGTTGGCCCGAGCGAGACAGGCCAACCGGAGCGCGCGTCATGAGGGGGGAGAGTAGGCGAAACGTTGCCACAACGACGCAATCTACCAATGACAAAAGACCTGAACTCTTCTGCATTTCCCTCTTCCGGTTCTGTTTCCAGTGGAGCTTTTTGTAGTTTGACACATGCTGCCTCTTTCATACTGTGAGCCACTTCATCATCAATGCATCATCTCTGATCATGGAACACCGCGTGTATGAGCATTCCAAATCTCTCGTCTCTTGCTATTGGTACGCGAATCATGAGACAAAGGTTTAAGTATTTGAAATAGGGTTATGACACTCATCTGCTACTGCCAATGGTTTCTTGTTCGAGGTTTTGTCCCTGCAGCGGTAATCTTGTTCAGTCATGCCTTCGACGGATGAGTAAACAGAACGAAAGGGTTCAAAAGATCAACACAGCGATCCCATTGAGAATCACAGCATGGACTACGAAGAATGAGGCGGCGGACAAGGGCGATCGAGGTTGCCTTGTGTCCCTGATGCAGCTAGCTGAGCGCTTGAACGTGAAGCTATTACCGCAGAGAAGTCACAGCTCAGGCGCAGCAAGGCTGCGGCACAGGGCGTACGGGCCACCGTCATGAGGAACTTAACAGAGTACTGATCCAATCACAAGAACGGTATTATCGTGTCCTCGAAAGTATATTTTGGCGGTGTAAAATGTAATTGGACGGATGCCATATCGTGTCGCAGGATTGGAGGGGCGTGTGCGTGCAGAAACATGCTCCGCCCTCTGCGAACGACATGAAAACCAGGAGATATTCGAAGCCTAGACAGCATCTTCACACACAGCATCGCAGTCGTGCAACCACAAGCGAACCATGCAGACTGGCAGCCAAGGAGAAAGGCAATAAGGCAAACAAAGGGCCGAGTGTTGACGACGATGCTGTGCTCGAGGGAAAGAATAGGCAGACATGTGCATGGTCATTGGAATGCACAGCCGTTCCACTGCGCATCAGGAATAGCAGATGGAACATTCTTCAGCAACTGTTGCGGGCTGCCGATCGACTGCGATTTTAGCTCGCAGACAACGCTGCTGGATCGACGGGATCGTCAACCCCTTGATTAAGCACGTTACGCCCTGCCCACTCGCATCGGCGAAATTTTTGGAGAATCGGTCTCAAGAAGTGAGGTCTGGATGCTTACCGTCTTGGTTAAGACTTGTACCTTGGCGGCGCACAAACTTAATGCTGACAGGCACGCCACTTCCTGGCCGTTAACGGCGCACGGCGAAGCCGTTAGCGCCCTGTCACTTCGGCTGGTAGCGAGGAGTCCTACAGCGAACAAACGTGCTGTAACTTCGGGTAGGGCTGGTCGAAGCCGCGGTAGCATTCGTTACATCGCCTCGCGGGCTTGCTGTCACTTGCAGCTTCGAACCGCGGAAACCAAGGAAGGGGGGCCAGCGTGGAGACCGCGTGCAGAAGAGAGAACAACGGCCATCGTCAACGGCCACCGCCGAACCCAGCCCACTTGAGGCTAAACTTTCCCGGGATGGTCCATCGGCAATGCCCACAGCCAACGTGCGTCTGAATGGTGTACCGGCCAAAAACCATGTGGCTCGTAGAATGCGGAGGCATCGCCGCCACCCCGCGCTTAGTCGTGGCTTAAAAGTCCGGCGAACATTCCTCTGGCAGCGTTCGTGTGCGGTGCAACACAGGCGCAAGTCTATTGCGGAGCGGCCCACTCCGAGTGACCCTGTGAGAATCGCCACATAGGATTAAGTTGAGACTTTCAGATGTCGTGCGGCGTCGCCGCTGGGGTTCATGCTGCGCTGGCCCTGCTCCTCTGGGCTACGATCCAGATTAGCGTGGTGGATTGCACAGGGTTGTCTCGTCGGCCTCGGCAATATGATATCGCTACCTCCCTGTTGCGGTCAAAATCAAGACGAGGCAAACGCCGTCGTCATGCGTCCATTGATTGCCTGAAAACTTGGGTCAGGCTCTCACCCCCGCGGTCAGGTACGCGCGCGCTCTTCGAGACTCAGAGCCCCAGTGAACGACGTGTCGCATCGTGCCAATGTAATCGGCACGCTCAGTTGCTTGCGGTAGCGGCTGTCAGGCTGTGGCGGGCCATCCTCGGGGGCTGTGGCTCTCCTGCGGATCTGTACGACAAGTCGGCACGCCAATCCGTGTCTCTCTTGAATATTCAGGGTCTGTACATGGCCCCACCGGAGCGATCAAGCTGCGAACGATGCTCGCGTCATTGCTTTTTTCCTGTCTTCCGCATATAGCGCGCGCAAAGCGCCAGTGTTGGGGCGCCATGGGTTCGTTTAGTCGGACGCACAAATGCAGTTTCGTCCTGATTTTGTCGGCGTGCCTCATACCCCGGGCGCGACGCAAGGAATGGATCGTCAAAAAGAAAGCCATGGATTGCAAGAGCCCCGCTGGTGCAACCATGGCATTTGGACCTCGTGGTTGGTGATTGATCCGATGTAGTGCTCACTGGCTTGGCCGACCCCATGCCAGACGTGCGTCGTTATCGTGATCTGCTCTGATGGTCATGATTTGCTGGAATGCCGGCTGAGCGGTCTGCTAGGGTACGCTGCCGCTACAAATGGCAGCCTTGGAGGAAGGACGGCGGATGGGATTCGTGTCCGGGTCGGGAGCGTCTTTGCCTATTATCTTGCGTTCCTTGGCTCGTGGCCACTCTGGCGGTAAGTGGCAGTTTGCCTCAAGGCCCTTCATAGCACGAGCAGTCGCCGCCCGCCGGTGCCGATGCACGAGACAATGACCTGCAGCAGCTTCAGCTGGGGACTTGTCAGCCGCGATCTGCAATGGACGTCAGCGAGATCATCTGCCACAGGGTCTGAGAGGCGCGTGGCGGGCCTTGGGCGCGAGATGCGCCGGAAATCGAGAGCCAGTGGCGGGCAGCGGATTGCCGTCGATGGCGCTTGCCGAACAAGCTCTGGCTTGCAGGTGGTCAGCTTGCCGGATGCGCCTGAGGGCGGGCCGTACCAGCGAACTGGCGTAGCACTCGTCGATGAACGTGCTCGGCGAATATTGTGGGTGGTGGAGCTGGTGGCACAGAAGTATTCGCGCGCCTGCAGGCGAGGGCGGAAGCAGTATGGGCTCCTCGCGGTTCGATCATGCGCTGGAGCTGGATCTGGGGCGTTGTGCCGTCAGCATGCGGGCCGGGAGCATGGCGTGTTGCCGGGAGATTGACACGAGGGGCAGCGGTCTAAGAGGGTGGCAGTTGACTCGCAGCGCGCTGATCATCCCCGCGCCGGCAGCGGTGCGCCTCGTCTGCAGCCCGTCACGTTTCCACGCGGTGGACCGGCCGTCGCGAGCCAAGTCATCCGACACCTGAGGCCCCGGCGACAGAGGCCCACGGCGATCAAACCAAGCCGTCAACGGCGGCGCACGCGCGAGAATAGCCGAGCTGTGCAACGCGCGCGCGCATGCGGTCGATAGCGGCGCGCGCGGCCGAGGGCGAGCTGGCGACGCGTGATTGTGGGCGTGGCGGCATGCAACGGTGACGCGCGGGGGTGGTGTTGCAGCGGCTGGGCTGGCTGGCTGGCGGGCGGCGGGCTTGGGCTTGGGGCATGGAGCGGAGCCTTGGGCCCGGGCGGGCGCGGTCGGCGGGCGGCGACGGACCACCGACGCTGCGGCAGGGGCGCTCGCCTTCGCTTCGCCGCGCAGCAGTTTCAGAGTGCCAGCTGCGTCGACTCCTCGTCGCGGCTGGCAGCCGACTCCGTCCTACTATTCTCCGAGTGCCCGATCGAGGCAAGCCCGGCCTGGCCTCCTGAAACCGCGCCCGTTTCGGGTCGTCCCCAAGCGGCGCGCACAGCTACGGCTCGCTGCCGGCCAGCTGCCGGCCAAGCTTCTGCCCTATGGGCGTGCGCTCAGCGCTCGGCTTCTGCTACAGTGGAGAGAGGCAGCGCGCGCTGTTCCAGAATGCTGCAGCCAAGCCGCTTTCCATCTGATGCTGGCATCGTGTAGTAGCGATCACAGTCCCCATATACAGCCGCGCCGCCCGCTCACGCCTGCCTTCCCCTACTTTGGCCCTGTCACTCTTTTGGCTCGCCCTCTCCGCAGCACACTCGTTTTTGATTTGAGCACTGCTATCCGCTCGCGCCGGCTGCGACTCGGTACCTTGCTCTGTACATTCCTTTGGACCCACGCCACGCACCCCACGTCGTTCTACAGCAGAGAAGAGCCTAACTCTTGGTAAGCCCGCCTCCCTTGCGTCTGCGCGGCTCGTCGGCGTCACCGTCGCCCAGCCAGGCGTGCCGCTGCACGGCTCCCTCCAAGGGTCCGGCAGGTCATCATGCAACCCAATCGAGCTAACTTGCGCGGCCAGGACCTCCCAGCGGTTAAAAATGGAATTCAATGCAACATCCCAGTCCGTCGTCTGCCCCAGAGCCGAAAACACCACTGACGTTGTATAAAGATATCGTCCATCGCTTGGTGCGCCCGATATTTTCGTCCAGGATCCCTCTCGCTCCGGCCCGCAGATAATGTATTCGTATGGCAATGCACAAACGCAACCCTTTCAGCCAGCCAGCACGTGGTCGGTGCCACAGCCAGACATGAAGCCGCCTGCCACCTCGCGCCCCTCGAGCATGGGTGGCCAGAAGTACCATTGGCGGCCTGCTTCCGCTTCAGGCACCGAGTGCTACCCTGCCCAGCCCGCCCATGCCGACACTGGTACGTCGCCCGCCAGCACGCTGATATTAATCCTGACGACCTCCGCAGAATCATGGTGTCAAAAGGCGTGTGAGATGATGGACTATCCTAACATGGATCCAGACATGCCCGACTTCAACCCTACCTTCATGACCCACGACGAGGACAGTCCCATCATTGATCTCAGGCAGAACCCGACCATGCGCCAGGACCCCAACACCGGCTACCTGCAGAATCCCTCGCAGCGCTTCTCTGGCGCCTCGTTCTCGACGACGAGCACCGGCACTGGCTTCACGTACGATGACTTTTCGTCCGAGACGGACACCCACTCCTACACAGCGTCTGACTATGACAGCTGGGGACCCATGGATCCTTCGTCCAACCTCCTGTCGCCCCTGACCTCCCCGCAACGCCACGATCCCGTGCGGACCGTAAGCCGCGGCGGCGCCTCGCCGGGCCCCCACAACCACTCCAGCGTCCGCTCGTCGCCCTACACCCTCGAGAGCGACCGCATGAAGAGGTGGTCCACCGGCATGACGGGCGCTGCACCCACGTCGACCCCGGCTCTCGCCGTCCACCAGGTCCAGGATCGCTTTGCAAACTACGGCCAGCGCCTCAACCCGCAGTCGATGCCCGCCTTTGGCGCGAGCACCATGAGCATGCACCGCCCGCAGTCCCAATACGTGCTTTCCTCGCAGCCGCACCCGCTGCCATCCACACAGGGTCCTATGTTCTCTCCTCCGCACCAGCGCTACCAATTGGAGGCCCCCCGTCCTGTTCCGTCCCAGGGCATGTATGGCCTGCTCCAGAGCAATGACCACCAGCACCACGGCTGCTCCGCCCATTTCGCCGATTTCTCCGAGCCACCTAACCTGTACGCATCCCTGCAGCAGGAACCTTCCGACCCCCCGCCAGAAGATTTCAACCCGTCGGATCCCGACATGGTGCCCAAGGAACAGGAATTGCGCTTCGAGGGCGATCTCTACACCCCCCGCTGGGTCCGTGGGCACGGCAACAAGCGCGAGGGCTGGTGTGGACTGTGCAAGCCGGGCAGGTGGCTCGTGCTGAAGAATAGCGCTTATTGGTACGACAAGTCGTTCACGCATGGCGTCAGTGCGAACACGGGCGCCGCTTTCCAGGGTCCGCGGGATACCCGTCGCACAGAGGGAAACCTGGACGTGTGGGAAGGCTTGTGTGGTAGCTGCGGCGACTGGGTAGCGCTGGTCAGCAGCAAAAAGAAGGGCACGACGTGGTTCAGGCACGCTTACAAGGTAAGGGATCCTTCCATATCCTCTAACAGCCCTCCCTTGTATCAGTCTCATATTTCAGCTCCACGCTCTTACGCGTCATGTTCGGGACTTTCATTACCATTGTCAACCAATCATCCACTGCAGTCACACTGACATGTCTATCTCCTAGTGTCACACTCATCCAAAGGCCAAAGATGGTCCCAAGCGTCGCCGCGAGACTTCCTCGCAGCAGGCTTCTCGCAATGCCGGTGGTGCCAGCAGTACCCGGCCTTCGACTGCCGTCTCGCTTTCGTCTTCGCGCCCTAACAGCAGCAGTCACCCCCAACAGAGCACTCCGTCGATCAAGCAGGAGCAGTCTATTCCAGACTCAATTCCCTATGGCGCCAAGACGCCTGGGAGTGACTCGACGCCTTCGCCTCGCGGTGGGCGTGGGCCAATGGTGTCGCAACACCCGGCGATGCATCAGCAACCGCAACAGGCGCCGCAGCAGTCGTACATGAACCATCTTGTCCATGTTCCGACACCGCATCATCAGCAACACGACAGCGTTGTCGGCGCCTCGATAAAAGGCTACGGGGGCGACTGGGCCGGCATGATCTGATGATGATGTAGATGTATGATGCTGTGTAGTTGTGCGTGGGTGGCTCTTTCACTTCGTTTTCCCTCCTTGTTCCATTCTTATCCGATACCCCTTCGATGTCGCGATGAATGGGTGGCATGGTGGTCTTTTACATATATCCCTTTTACCCGAGTTTGGCGCTGGGCTAGGTTTCTTTAGGCGGGATGTGCATTTATCTGGATTTCGGCATTGTAGTGTTGTATTTCACGTTTCTGGCTTGTCTCTGTTTTCTGTACTGCTGTCTGTTCTTTCCCGACTGTCGCTACCGAAGTCATTTTCCGATGGTATCATCTTTTATTTGGACTTCCTCTCATCACGAAGTTACGACAGTAGGTAGTAGCTAGGTAGAGGATTGCATAGCTCCGGCGCGTGTTTTTGGCACTTGAGTTGGGAGCAGGGGGAGAAGCGTCAAAAAAGGGAATATCAGCGATGTTTTTGTCACGTTCCGCCTCGCGCTTGTACAGTTGGACACCGCCAGATACAGACAGAGGACAAGACCTCGGTTCGATGCTGAAAAGTATCTGTAACACCGACTTCACCGACCCAATGACAGCTCTCCATTTGCGAAGCCCCAGGCTAACGTGAGAAGGCTTTTGTTCGGGATATGCTATAACCGACACCGCATTGATGGGGTTTATTAAGATCCGCCCATGACTATATTACGGCTGGGCTGAGACAGGCTAACGCCACCAACGCCGTCCTTTCTAACTCCACCGTTGGAGCAATAACTCCCTAGTTCCGCCTTTCTTTGACCCCTCACTCGCCCACCCACACAGCCACGCTAGCAAAGGGGTAGGAGATTTCCGTCTGTGGCTCGATTGTCGCCATTGCCAAGCTCTGAAGCTCTCAGGCGTGCCAATCAAGCCACAATTGCCCTTCTTTTTTTACTCCTCCGCTACATCAGGCTCCACTGCGGTCTTCCATCCTACTTTAACATGTGGCCCACACCCCACTCACCTTCTACGTCCGGTAAGAGCACCCGTGCTCGCGCCTGCGTGCGTACCCAGTAGGCATGTGCCGGAGAGTAGGGCCGGCGGGCGCCGCACCGGCCAAGGCTCCGATCCACGTCCGATAATGTGCTGCGGCGTCGTCCGTCTGATGATCAACACAACCGTTCCCGCCCCGTCGTCATCATCGCTGCCGCCGCTGTCTCCGGTGGCGCTATCCGCTCCACACCTGGGGCTCGGTTTAGAAAAACGTTGTGCCAACTTTTTTTTCAATTTTCCTTTCGGCCGTGAGCGATGCTGATACAGAACTGACTCGTACTTTATTGTCACAGGCGGATGCAAGGCCTCTTTGGATAAATCCGACTGTCCCCGCCGTTCATAAGGGCCGGGAATGTAACGACTTACTCGTTCCGTCAGCTGCAACGGCGTGGCGCAGCGGCGCCGCCTCGTCATCCCTCTCCCAGGCCATGGATCTCCCCTGGTTTCTGAGGTGCAGATTCCCTTTCCCAGCCCGCCGGGCTCACCCAGCGTCAAGGCGAAACAGGCCAGGGGAACGAGGCTGGACACCACTTGCGTCACAATCCACCTCCTTGGGAATCCGCTGATATTAGCTGAAGGCCAAGCTTAAAGCAACATATCACTTTTTTCCTTTTTCTGTCTTCCCATCCCTTTGGATATCCGACGAGTAATGTGCGAATCTCTTTTCTGGGTCGTACTCGGGAGCAATCCTTGCCCTCAACTCTCTCTCCTTTTTCTCATCCATGTGCACCTCTTTATCCTATTTTTAAGCTTTTTGCTCTAGCGCCATTGGTTTCACCCCATGATCTCTCTCTCCCCTTGCCTAGCCCCGCCCCGCCGTAGCTTGGCTGCAGTCTGATGATTGCCGCCAAAACGGCCTCAACGTTGTCAGATAGCCCCGGGATGCCCCAGCCTCGTGAAAGATCCGACGGCCGGCACTACTGCTCCTTCCGATGCCCTGCATTCGCTAGCGTACCTACGTGGTCCCATAGCTTACGTCCGAAGGACCCTTCCCCTGCCCCAGCAAAACCAGTTTTTTTTTCTTTAGACAGTCGTTGAATCTTAGGGGTCTCGTTTGTTGATTACAACTGTATAGTTTTTAATTAGTTGCGGTTTTCTAAGAATTGTTTTGAATTACGTAGTAGAATGCACCAATTGACGGAATATGGGCCCGATGCTTTGAAAACCAAAGAGGGAAGGAAGACAACGCTAGATGAGAAGATCCCTTTCCTTCCTATAGAGTTTGACCGCATTAGTGAAAGAGAGTCTCTATTGATAGCAGTTTCCCCGGATTTTAAAAGGAGCTTATCTTGGGTTACATCGGATTAATGCCTTTGTAGTATTGCATTTATGGTTGGGTACGCAGCTCGTGGTGATGTGGGTGGTCAGGTTTAGAGAGCTAGATCGGATCCTTTATTTGGTACACTATAAGGCGGGGGTCCAACGAAGCCCAAACCTTTTGCTTAATACCTAAAGAGTACTAGCGCAAGAATGCTCCAAGTTCTCACACTAGACTTTTCAACCGCAAGCTCTATACTCGGCTTGCGAATACCGATTCTGTTCAATTCAAACATTGTATCTACAGAATTATCAGCGCAAAGTGTTAACCTTCGCAGGAATCGTAACTCTCAGTCCCAACCTCAACAACCTACTTACGGTACTGAACCCTGAGGGGAAACAAAGCAATAAAAAAATCCACAACCAGAGCGTGACTACCATATCCGTGGCTCATTATCATAGCCTAGCATCTGTCAATTGAGGGCGCGCCCCAACAGAACTCTTTTAAAAAGGAGTAGCAGCCGCATCGGTTCCAAAGAGTCCTTCCACACGGGAAAAATATAAAAATCGAGAAAGGAAGTCACCACCTTCTCCAAAAGCCCTCACCACCCACAACGATCCCCGAAACAAGAAAGCCCGACAAGAGTGTGCAACACCGATGAAGCCCCACGTCCCCCTCCTCCTCTACGGCCTAGCCGGCGAGCTCGTCACTGCTGTCCCAACCACGGGGAGCGTGGGGCCAGATCGCCATGCTGTCGTCGACGACCCCATGTTCATGCGGCCCGTCAACTGGCCCCTTCCGGCGCAAGGTCCGCCGCGGAACTCCAACATGACGGCGACGACGCTCCTCACGGCTCCGTACAAGAGGAAGCGCTCCGTCGAAACCGTCTACACTGAGCACGATACGCTCATCGGCAGGCTGTTCCCCTATTGGAAGACTGTTGAGGTCTTTCCCTTCACGCAGCCCGAGGACGAGCAGCCCGTTGATGAGAAGCCCGCCGAGGAGCAGTCCGCTGATCCGAAGCCTACCGAAAAGAAGCCTGCCGACAAGAAGCCTGCCGAAAAGAAGCCTACCGAAAAAAAGAAGCCCGCTGACAAGAAGAAGCCCGCCAACAAGAAGAAGCCCGCTGACAAGAAACCCGATGGCAAGAAAGCCGACAGTAACGCTGCCGCAGCCACTACCACCAAGAAGCCCTCTCCCGGTTCCGACCGTGTTACGAAAAACGGGCCGTTCAAGGTCGTCTCCGCCGACATCAACAACTCCGCCAACAACAACAAGCAAGCCGACAGCAGCTCGGCCGCCGCAGCCGCCACGACGACCAAGAAGAACGACGACTGCACCTCCACCGGCTCCTCCACTACTTTCAAGCAGACCGAGGACCAGGATGGCGGTGAAAACAACAACAACGGCAACAACATCAACAGCGGCAGCACCGTCTACGAAAGCAACATCTCCAACAGCACCGTCGACGACTCGGTCATCAGCAACAGCACCGTCGTCGACAGCCGCGTCCTCGACAGCACCGTCTCCGACGCCAACCTCGTGCACAGCACCGTCGTCGACGACGTCGTCATCGACTCCAGCACGCTGGAAGACACGACCGTCGCGGGGCAGTCGGCCGTGACCGAAGGGTCCACGCTGAGCGGCAGCGACGTGCTGGGCGGCAGCGCCGTCGCCGGCGGCAGCACCGTCATCGACAGCGACATTCTCGACGGCGCCAGCGTCGTCGACGGCAGCACCGTCATCGGCGAGAGCCGCGTGGGCGAGGGCAGCGCCGTGGCGGGCGGCAGCAACGTGTTTGACGGGTCCGTCGTCACGCGTGATCTGGCGAAGAGGAAGATGCCTTGGATGCCCGACTCGGCTAAGCTCGCGCTGTGCATCTTTACCCCCTTCATCGGCTGCCCGATGGCGATAGCGTCCGAGGTGGACAATCAGGGTAAGAGGTCAAAGAGACAGCTGGTGGACGGCAGTGGCAGTGGCAGCGGCAGTGGCAGCGGCTCCGTCGTCACTCTCACGAAGAGGGTAAAGAACAATTTTGAAATGACGGGGATGGTGATGGTATGCACATTTCTGCCATTTTTGTGCCCGATATACGGCGATGGAAGGGAAAAGAGACAGCTGGCGGACGGCGGCAGCGGCAGCGATAGTGGCAGCTCCGCCGTCACCCTCGACAAGAGGGGAATGAAGCCGATGCCGGTGAAAGGGAAGATAGCCCTATGCGTGCTGTTCGTCCTTCTTTGCCCGTACGCGGTCATGTCTGGCTCTGACTATGCTGGCACCGGCTATGACAAGAGAGAGCTGGCGGACAGCGGCAGCAGCAGCAGCAACGGCCTCGGCAGCATCAGCAGCAGCAGCGCCATCGACATCCCCGCCGTCTACATGGCCAAGAGGGACAAGCCGCCCAAGAAGCTTTCGAAGCCGGCGAGGGCCGCCGTGTGTTTCTTCTTCCCCTTCATCTGCCCCGTGGTCTGGCGTCGTGGTCTGGACGATCCTGCGCCGCAGATCAGCAACGACAGCAGCAGCAGCAGCAACACCGCCCTCAGCAAGCGGTCGGCCGAGCCGGAGGCGAAAGACGCCCGCTTTCGACAATGCGGAGCTCCGCTTCCCTGGTGGTGCAGCAACGTGACCAAGCGCAGCAGCAGCACCACCACCACCACCGCCGTTGCGAATCTCAACAAGCGGAAATGGACGCCGGCCAGGTTCATCCTCTGCAGAATGCTCTTCGTCTTTTGCTTTTTCGACCTCACGAAGCGCGATCTCGCTCATGATGCTCCGGCTCCGGCTCCGGCTCCTCCCGCTCTCACTCCCAACACCGACACCGACACCGACACCACCAGTATCGTTGCCATGAAGAAGAAGGAGAAGAGGTCTCCACAGGACGAGGACCTCGAAGCCCACTCCCTCATAACTCCCATAGTAGATCTGTTGGGGCAAGAGTACTCGGATTACCCGCCCCCAGTAATGAAGCTCCCTCCCGGCGGCGACCCCGTCAACCCCGACGAGGTCGACAAGAAGAGGAAAAGGAGGAGCTCGGTGGAACTGAACGTCGCCGTCGATGGCACCACCCTGGCTCACATTGCCGCCGAGACGGATGGCGAAAAGGCCCCCCTCCAGATCGCCATTGATTACATCATGAGAGTTATATTGGGCCAGGTTCCTTCCGACCCTGTGGTGGAGTCGGAGAAGAAGAAGAAGGATGGTGATGATGATGATGATGCAAGGAAGAAGAAGAAGACGAAGAAGAGGGAGGAGGAGGAGTCTAACTGGCGGCCGTCGTCGTACTCACCGCAAGCACCACCACCTGTGGGGGGCACCGAGGTCGCCGTCGAGGGCAGCGGCAGCGGCGGCGGCGACACCAGCGCTGTCGTCGCCAAGAGGCAATCCTCGTGGAGCAAAGCCATTAGTATGATGGCGGGCGGAACCGTCATCATTGATTGGCTCAAGAAACATACCCAGGCGCTCCAAGACGAATCCGACGAATCCGACGAATCCGACGAATTCGACGAATTCGACGATGAAATCGACGACCTCCTCGACAGGAAGAGGTCAGCAGTACCGCCGGAGAGGAGGAGGAGGGACGTCGCCGCCGCCGCCGCCGCCGTCGAGAACCGCAACACCAACACCGACGACCCCCCAGCCCCAAGCCGTGATGATGATGATGATGACGGTGATGATAGCAAAGTCTCGAAGGTTTCGGATGCCATCGGACACCTTATCGACGGTATCAACGGAAAGAGGTCGTCGTCGTCGGTGATGCCAGCGGCGGAGAAGCTCGGAGGAGCAGCCGAAGAGGAGGAGAGCATGATGACGACGAAGCGCGCCGCCGACCGGACCACGGAATTCTACAAACCCCTCCGCGACTTCCCGGGCCATGGCAACCACCGGGTTAAGGAATTCTACATTCCCGCTTACGCCCCGCGCCATGGCCACTACCGGGCTTCGAAATTCTCCATGCCTCCTAACTTCCCGGGCTTGCCGCTGTCGCCCAAGAACTAGAAGAGGTTCGCGCCGAAGCCGCCGGAGAAGTAGTTAGTAGGGAGACGTTGATGGGGGATAAAAAAAAACTTGAAAAGGGGAGGGAAAAAATTTGTTAGTAGTGCGCGGCTGGTGCCGCTCATCTTTCTGCTGCAATAAGCACTTTGATGAGGGTGTGGTCGTGGACGCGCTTCGTTAGTGATTTTGAGCAATCAAGGAAAAAAAAAAAATCGGTGGGAGGGAAGGGTAGTAGTTAGTTGTTACACTATGTACTGTAGCAACTCCGTAGTTAGCTGAGTCATCTGAGCAGGGTATAGCCGCCACTCACTCCGGTCAGCCCACCCACTCAGTCCTCATTGCCACTCATTCAGTGTAGACAATACCATTCGTTTCCATCACCAGTTGCAACATCAATTTTCATGGCTCCTATAAATTTGCTTCCTCACTTCGGGAATTTGACCTCCACCATGTCATGGCGCGCGGAGAGAACAGCAGTCAGGAGGGAAAAAAAAAGAAAGGAGCAGTGTCAGGAAGAAAGATATCAGTTTATGACGTACAGTCCTTGATCCAGATACATATATGTACCGCGCGCAGCAAAGTGATATCGAAAACGCCTCCCAAATGCACTCGTCTCTAACCTCCTCTTTTATTTCTTACAACTACAACTCCTTCTTGCCCTCCTTTGCCGCAGCAGCAGCTTCCAACTTGGCCTTCTCCTTCTGCTTCTTCTCGCGCCTGTTGATGGCGGCCTCGGCGCCGATGCCGCCAAAGACCAGCCCGACGCCCAGCCACTGCATGCCCTGAATGCTGTGGCCGAACCAGACGACCGACAGCACCATCGTCAGCATCTTACGCGTGACGGTGACGGTGACCAGCAAGAGAGACGAAAAGTGCGACAGGGTATAGACTGCACAGAGAAGGTTAGCTTTCTTGCCCAATCAAGTGTTCCCCGAGGGGGAAAGAAAAGGATTCGCAACTTACAAATAAACACCTGCCCGACGGCGCCGCACGCCGCAAACGACAGCACGTCCCAGCCGACCTGCGGATAGCGCGTGACGAAGCTCAGCGCCTCCTGCAGCTCGCCGCCGTCCTGCGCCGACATGCCGACGAAGGCGCCGACGGGCGTCTGGGCGATGTACGGCGAGAGCAGCAGGTACGCCGACGTGAGGACGGTCGACATGATGTTCTGCGCGCACATCATCTGCGGGCCGGAGAAGGGCCTGAAGGCCGTGAAGATGTGGTCCTGGGTCGAGTTGGTGAGGCCGTCGAAGAGCAAGTTGATGCCGAGCAGCAGCAGGCCCCACGTCGTGTTGTTACCCACGGCGTTGGCGCTGTTGTGCTTGCCCGCCTTTTTCGCCGTCGACGGGTGGTGCAGCGTGAAGACGGCGACGCCCATCGTCACCAGCGCCACGACGGCGTACTTGTACAGCGGGTAGCGCTTGCGGAAGACGGTCAGGTGCAGGAACATGACCGGCAGCAGCTTGCAGCTCTTGGCCAGGATGAACGTCACGTAGTCGATGTACTTGAGGCTGGCATAGCCGAACGGCGACGCCAGCGACGACGTCACGGCCACCAGCGCCAGCGGGAAGAAGATGCGCTGCGACGGGAAGATGGGCGGCACGGGGCCACCCTTGGGCTTGGACGAGATCAGGTATGCGTAGCCCGTCAGCGCCGCGAAGGCTGACTGCACCGTGTTCAGGAAGATCGAGTAGGTAAAGGTTTCGGGCGCGGCCGGGGGACCGTAGCGCGTCGTCGTGATGCGCTCCTGGAGGAGGGCCCATGACAGACTGGGGACCGTCCGTCGTCAGCAAGCTGCCCATCTGTAACATCGCGTACATGCAATCCCATGGTGTCCTTACAATGAGGCGTATATGCCGGCGACGCAGATGACCAGCTCGGTTACGCCGGCTTGCTTCTGGGCTGTCGCAGGCGTCGCGCTCGGCTTGGTACTGCCATTTGCGAGGCTGCCGTTCGCGCCGGGCTGGGCGAGTGCGCCATTCTGGTCAGACTTCTTACGCGCCATGTCGCGTGTCTATTCGGAGGGGTTGTAGCGGATGTGCGACGATCGGAAACGTCAGGGTAGGGATGCGCGCGGGATCCCAGCGGGGCGGGCGCGAGGGCGACAGCGATTCGAAATGAGCGTAAGGAGCGTGGGGCTGGATGGGTTGGCCTAGCGGGCAGGCGTCGTCATGGTTTTGGGGAGCAGTCTCGGCTTGGGTCTCAGAAACGAGTGGTGGGCGCATTATAAAGCCGTGTCTGCGATTTCTCGATAGGTGGCATCAAGGTCCCTGGCCGGCCCCAGCCAAGCTTCCGCCGATCCTCGCGCCGTCTTCAGCCCCAAAAGCCCCACCACCAGCCAAGGAGCTTAAATTAAAATAGACTGCATGCCTTAGGCACATTCTGACCTCATCCCACTGAAAATTTCCCCCGGCTCTCAGCCCTATCAAAACGCCACCATCATACCTCTCTGTCGCGCTGCAATCGAGTTCAACCCCGTCACCAAACCGTGCTCTCTGGTCATCGTGCACCTTCTATTTATGGCATCTCACCGTACTGCCTATTTTGGAACAACCGACACAATGGCGGGCAGGACCCTCGCGGACTGTATAGTAGCAGTGCCCATCACACTTATGCAGCTAACCCGGACAAAAAAAGTCGAAGCTTCAACGTCTCCCCACTAACCCCCTAACTAAATATGACTCTCTCTAATCGCACAGTGTAGTTTTAGTGGAACGGCTTAAGTTAATCCCTACTAGTCGCCTGACTAAACAAACCGTGCAGTGACTTCTAGTGGGTGTAAACGCAACCAGCCACGCTTTTAGAGTGGAATGAGGAAGTCCATTTTTGTATCTTAGCTTGTCCTACAGACTTGTTAGAACTAGCCATTTCTATCGAGATTGTCCCGTCTTCATCCAATCAGTAGCCGCATTGTAGAATCGTCCAATCTCGAATACCCTCTTCAAGCTCGTAGAATCCGTGAGCATAGGATCAAGCCCAGCGTTCGATAACCAACATGTCGGAGCACAGCAAGCGTCGCGAGCATCAGCAGCCAGCAGCGCGGCGCCACCTCACTCCTCGTCCTCGAAACGCAGCCAGGCCATGTCCTCCTCCGAGCAGTGCTTGTCAGAGTGCTCCGTGTCACCCTCATCGACGACACCGCCGGCCGGAACATCGTCAACATCGGGGAAAGCGCCATCGCCTCCACCGCCGTATCCAGTCACACCGCCATAGGCACCGCCGCTTCCACCGCCAAGTCCGCCGCATCCATCGCCGCCGTTAGCATGACGACGCTTCTCTTCCTCTTGCTCTTTGATCTCGGCAATCTTGACCTTGAACAGGTACCACAGTGGCGAGAAGTCCCACATCTTGTCGGAGGAGTCGATGACGCAGCCGCGCTCTTTGGTGAGCCACAATTTCGTAAGCCTGCGCTCCGTACGCATCAGTAGTTTATTGCGTTCGCCCCTCATATCAATCAATTCACGGGACTTTGACCTTAGAGCATCGAGCGTCAAAGCGTGAGCCTTATCATTGACTGTGCAGATGAAAGATCAGCGTTGAACATAGATCATCTAGCTTTGATAAGGACAACACTTACTGAACAGCTTGACTCCATTGCCGGCATCGATCGGCGGCATCACCTGGTAGCAGGCCCTGACTGCCTTCTGCATTGATGGCCACTCACGGAACTTCCAACCTACAGCATCGACTACGACATAGCGAGGCTCGAACTGCAGCAGCCCATTGTCTATCTCGCCGTTCGTACCTGTCATCGCCACGTCAAAGTCGTCGTCGTTGTCACTGATGACAATGACATCAGGCTCATGCGAAACCTTACCGCGCTTAGCACTACGCATGCCGCTCTTGCAGCCCTTCTCGACGGCATTGTGGTGGGTACGCTTATCAGCGACCTCGTCAGCACGACTGCCGTAGTTATCCTAGTTGTAGTCAGTGTTCGGGCTGTCTAAGGGAGCCAAGGAGTACCAACCACAGAGATCTTTGGGACCAAAGTCTTCGTAACACTTTCATCGCTTGCAACAACGATGTCCTTGGAGGTGTGCTTGTTGTTGTTCTCAGCAGGCTCAGCGCATTCAGAACGGCCGTCCACGTGGTCCGAGAGATAAGGACTACCGCTAGACGGCTGAATCGAGTTCAAAGGTAAATGCTTCGGGACAGTGAATTCCTTGATGAGGTTGCCGACATTGGAAGAGACCTCCGAATCCTGGAGGACGACTTGCTGCTCGTCGATATAGACATCGTTGGCTTTGGTGACATTGCGTGGTCCGGCGTCGCGATGAGCCACATTGTTACGGCGCTGAGGGCCAATGCCCGTCGCGCCTCCGAAGTCAGCAATGATAGCATTGTTTGAAGCGAATGCCGTAGCATTGCGCTGCGCAGCGTCATTGTTGAAGGCGTTGTCATGACCACGCTCAGTGAGAGCAAGACCACCGAAGACTGCGACATCAGAGTCGGCGAGTGAAACAGCATCCGAAGAGGTATCCTGGTGGTTGGTAACCGCGTCAAGGCATCCAGGTTCGACAATGTAAGGCTTCTCGCCAGACGATTTGCTGTAGTTCAGACCAACATCCGGCGCAGTCGCGGGCAGAGCAATCCACGAGACTTTGAGCGCGTCAGGGTATTTCTTGCGAGCGGACCTTAGAGCAGAAGGCGGGCAATCGAACGGGCTCATGAGCGCAACCTTGGCGCGCAAGAGCTGGATGTCGGGGCGCTGCATGTCGTTTGGACTTGAGCGTGCGGTAGCGGGTCAATGACTGCGCGGTGGCGTCGGCGAGGGTCGAGGAAGAGAGGTGAAGGTGGCAGAAGATTGGTGAGGTGCTAGGTGAGCTGTTCTAACGAGGCCACACCGAATATGAAGTGACTTCCATTTTTGGAAGGAAGCACCCGGGCGTCGGCAGCGAACGCGAGCCCCCACGCAAAGAATGGTGCGATAACTCCAGCCTACCTGAGCAGACCGCTCGCTCTTCAGTGACCTGCTGATTGCTACAAATGGACGCTGGTGGACCCCGAGCTTTCTTCACGAGTGTCTGAATCACCTGAGCTATACTTTCGTCATCCCGCTTGAAACATGCATGCGATCCTATCAGCTTCCACCCGCAAAATGTTTGTGACCATGCAAACAACCATCAAAGCGCCGTGTGGCCAGCTTTATCCTGCTTGTCAATGTCAGCACACGCAATTTCATCGAAGCAATAAACTTCTGCATTATTCAATAGACTTGTCTTCCGATCGTCCCTTCATTCGTTATTTACAAGGTCATAATCAATTTGCCAGCACGCTTTAGCCAGCGGAGAGTGAGTGCCCCTGTAGATCATGCGAATGAAGAGGAAGGGGCCAGGATTTCGGGAGTAAGAAAGGGCAAGAGTGCTATCGAGAGTTAAGAGATTGTTGAGACAAAGGTTTTATGGGAGTTTTGGGTGCGATTTGGGTGAGAGCGAGGTGTGGGGGTGGTTCTTTCTGGCAATTTGTGGCCAGGGCCAACCGTTTGCCAGAAAAGACAGCGAGCCTGAATGCTGACGTACATACCCCGTTCGCGGGCTGGCGATGGGTAGACGTGCGGATATCAAGACATAAATCATGAAGTCGTAACCGCTCAACTTGCGAGAGGATTATGAGCTGAGAACGTAGCCGGTCGAAGCACTAAGGAGATTGCTTTTGGGTAATCATTGGAGAGCGAAGCCCGAAGACCGGAAGCCGCAGGACAACAGAATGTCCGAAGCAGCTGAACGAAACGCCTTTGCCATGCTTGTGCACGGCTGGCCGCGCAGTGCCGACGAAATTCAAGTAAAGGTCTAGGCTCGCAAGTGCCACCTTACTCCTGGGGCGCCTGGCTGCGGCGCATCTTCTCGGCCTCGAGATTCTCGTAGAGAAGGTACAGTGCCTTCTCGTTGCTGCTGGGACTTCCCATAATGGTGAACATGCGCTCGCCCGTCTCGTCGTGAGGAGCCTTGGCGATGGAGATGCGTGCACCCGAGCTCTTCCTGATCTCGCTGATCTTGCTGCCACCACGGCCGATGATGCACCCAACCATGTCTGAAGGAATGCTGATGTTCTGCGTCTGGATCTCCTCGCCATCCTCCGTCGTCGTGGGCATCGGAGGGCGCGAGGCAGCATCCGATCCCGAGCGGCGGCTGTAGGTGGGTGAATCACTGAAGTCGTTTCCGTGGCCGGTGCGGTTGTAGGAGCGGGTGCCGGTGAATCCGTTGCCAATGGGGCCAGTGCCAGCTTGGACCCGGACAGCAGGGTTGTAGAGGACGGTACCGTAACCGCGCTCGTGGTCGTCAATCAAGCACTTGCCGATCTCCCAGGTAGCTTTCTCGATTCCCTCGGGCGTTCCCTGAATCTCAACGATGCGCTCGGTGGACTGGGGGAGCATTTCCTTCTGTGCAACCATGCGGACGCCAGAGGCATCTTGGATCTGCTTGATCTTCAGACCCTGGCGACCAATGATGGTTCCCATCTGGTTGTGGGAAATGAGCAGGCGAACAGCTATGAGCGCGCGTCGTTAGTATAGCTCCAATGATTTTTTGGGTGCTGGCTGCTGCGGGGCACTGGAATGAATGAACAGATAACAGGGACGCGTGAACTTACGGTGGGTGCCGCTGGTGTTGATCACGCCGCCCATTCCGACGGAAGGCGCGCCCTCAAGAAGACCCTTGGCAACGAGGTGGTACGCCTTCGAGATGCCGCTCAAAGCACCGGTCACGGTAAGGACGCGGTCGTGAACGCCCGGAACGACCTTGCTGACGCCAGCGCGAACGCCAGTCTCGTCGCGTAGGTTGGCGACGTTCTGGCCTGCCTTGCCAATGATGACACCAGCTTCCTTGGAGGAAACAATGGCGCGCAGAGTCAATTGCGCATTGGCATATTCCTCTTCGGTCCGGGGAATAGGCTCGCCGGCCTCGTTGACGTTGAGATGCTGGAAGGGCTGGACAACGTCGTCGCCGACGGCGGGAGCTTGCATGGCAACTTCTTCGGCAGACATGGTGAGGTCCGGTGGTTTCCTAGAACAATCCGTTCAAAGATATCCAATGGCGTAGGAGCGGCGCGACGATGCAGCGTTGCGACGCGTTGGTGGGGCGATAGAGAAGTTGGTGGGGAAGCTCTGGGGCGCGCGCTTCATAACGTTAGCCAGCTGTTTGCGACGGAGGTAAATGCGTGGCCTGGGCAAGCAAGACTTACCGAGCTTCGGAAGGCAGTGGCGGGCGGCGAGCGGCGGGGTTGCTCGGCGGGCGGAAGAGAGAGAAGGTGAGGGAGCGGGGGGAGAGGAGGAAGAGGAATCGGGAGGCGATTCGGTGAAGAGGAGGGGAGTTGGGGGATGGCGGGCGGAGGAAAAGGACCTGGATGCGCGTGTTGTGTGGAGCGGTGGTGGTGCTTGAAGGTCAAGTGGAGAAAGGCGGCGGAGGCAGCGCGCTCTGAAGTGCCTGTGCCCAAGCGAGTGCTTGCAGCTCAGCAGCAGCTAGCCCACGCACCTGCCGGCCTAGCTCCCAGCAAGCCCCAGCAACGGTCCACGCACAAGCCTGCCGCGCATCACCTCCACGCTGCCTTCAAACGCATTCCCCGACACGCTGCTGCGCTGCCTGCTGCTGCAACGGCCGCTTAACGTACACCACCGCGCTAGCTGCGGCCACAATGCAGCAGGCCGATCCCGCGGCTCTTGCGCGGGCAAACAGCCGCCGGCGCGCATCACAGCCGGGTGCGTGCCCGACAACAGGCGCGCTGGCCGTTCCGTTTCTCACATCACTCGCGCTGAGAAATCGGTGGCGAGCAGCGTCTACCGCGCGTCCGCACGCCCGGCATCCATGTCGACGCGCCCCACACGGGTGCCAGATTCAGACGCCGCGGTTATAAGCACTGCCGTCTCGGATGAGTGCTCTCCGGTGACTGTCTCGGCCGGAGTTCGCACGTCCACACGTCAAAAAACACGACTCGATCGCAAGCGCCAGCGGAAAGGAATATGGTGTGCGGGACGAAGCACCGTCCACTATCGAGCTAGTTGTGCGAGGTCTGGTTACACGCCTCCAATCGCATCACGATCCAGCTACCCGGATGGCCCGTCAATGGCCTCAACGGATGCGCCGGCCAGCTTGTCCTACTTTTGCGCTGCGAATACCACCTTCTGCGCCTTCATCTTATCAAACAGATCGTAGCCCTCAACTGCATCCGACAGCGGCATGATCTTGTCCGCCATGAATCCCAGCAGGTGCTGCTTGCGCTGGAGCGCCTCCAGCGCTTGCGGGAAGATGGACCGCACTGGGCATCGCCCCATCTGGATGCGTAGGTTCTTGCCGTAGGCCTGATTGCCAGTCCATGGAATCTGCAGCCAGGGTCAGCTGGGTGTTCACAGCTCATAGGATACCAATCGAGACTTGCCTCGCCGTTGTGCACTCCCACGCTGCTAATGACCCCCCATGGTCTGAGAATCTCGAAACCCATTTTCAATGCGGGGCTCAGCCCAACCACCTCAATGACGACATCAGCCCCGCGGCCGTTGGTCACCTCTTTGATCCTCTTGTCCAACCCCTCCCTGTCGGTTTGGAAATTCAGAGGCTCAGCACCGAGACTCTTTGCAAGATCCAGCCGGCTCTCGATACTGTCGACAGCGAACAGGTGTTTTGGCTTGTAGTCGACAGCATTGATGAGTGCGCAGAGACCAACGGGCCCGCAACCAATCACCACAACCGTAGCATCCGCAATGTCCTCCTTTGAGAGCGAGGAGAAAGCGTTGGCGGCCGCAAAATACCCGGTTGGGAAAATATCGGCCATGAGCACAAGCTTGTTCTCTTCAATGCCAGGTGGCGCTTTCATGACTGTTGAGTCCGCCAGGGGGACGCGCACCTGTAACCATTCAGAATGTGATCCATCATTATCTGTATCGCAGGCGATTGAACTCACATATTCAGCCTGCGCACCATCCAGCGCTGGGCAGCCAAACAGCTGACACTTCTCGCACCTTGACGAGAACCCCTTCTTGCAGTAGAAGCACTCCCCACAACTGACAGTAAAGGGACTCACAACCTTGTCCCCCTTCTGGACTGTTTTAACGTCTGCGCCTGCCTCCTCCACCGTACCTGTAAACTCGTGGCCCATGATGAAATCGGTCCCGCTGGGTTGGTGGCCGCGGAACACATGCAGCTCACTACCACAAAGCGCGGTGTAGTCCACCTTGACGATGATGTCTGTTGGCGCTTGAATCTTAGGGCATGGTCGGTCTTCCAGGACAACCTTGCCTGGGCCTTTGAAGACGACAGCGCGCATTGTGGACTTCGACATTGTTCTTGATCGTGTTGCTTTGCTGTTTTTGAAGAATAAGTTCCGGTGAAATCAATTGACTTGGTAGAAATGTTTTGAGAATGACAATTGGATGTGAAAATGCTATCCAGACGTGGTGTTGTGGTGGGCTGACGGCGAATTTATGTCCATGTCATAGCAGCAAGCTCCGAGGCTTGCCAGCCCCTCATGGGCCACTTCCGCTACCCCGCATATGCAAAGCTGATCGCGCCGTCCCGAAAAGCCACTCGATATTGCTGAGTAAAGCTCCAATGGATGTTTTGTCATTCAAGTTCGTTTAATAATCTCGGCGCCGAGTCTGGTTCAAAGAGAGGAGAAAGGATTTAGGTCTCCATTCTTGGATGCTCATATATTGGACCCAATTTGGAAAGTCCGTCACGCTACCTAAACATCACCCCATGAATGACCCAATCAGAATCCAGATGCCCAAAAGCCGATGTCGAATGGGAGTTTCACGTATGCTGGAGAGGAATCCCCGACGCCGACATGCTCCAAAACACCATGCAGTTCCTTAAACGCCCTTATGCAAATGGCCTCGCTTCGTTTCGCTTCGAAGAAGGCAGTCCGTAGCTTGCGATGCCATTACGTGACCGTGCAGAGGAGCTCAGCCTCAAGAATGTACTTGCCCTCCTTGTACTTCTCCGAGGCCTCGTACGCCTTGTCGTACTTCCAGCCGACGGTCTCCTTGCACTGCCTGCACGAGATGTCGCGCACGATGTGCCTGCCGGTCGTCATGTTGCGCTCGCCGGGCTCGCCCTGGGTGATGTTGACAACAGAGTCGAAGAGGTAGGCCTTGCCGTGCTGGCCGCGGAAGTTCTGGATATCCTCCTACGTTAGCACCTTAAGTGGCATCGTACTGCATGCGGTGGCGTAGAGAGGGGGGAGCGCGCTTGTACTAACACGGCTGATGATGTCGTCGTGGTTCGACAGGTGCGTCTTGCAGTTCTTGCAACCGTAGATACGGTGCGAGTTGAGGTAGACGTTGTACGTGAGACCCATGGCTGCTGGACGAGGCTGGGTCGCGAGATAGCTGAGGGGTTGGAGCTGTGAGTGTCGCAGGAGGATCGGCGAGGTGCAGAGCGACCCGCGGATGGCTACGTGGTGGGACGAGTGTTTGCTGTGAGGATGTCGTCAGGGTCCAAGTGGAGAGGTTGTTATATGAGTGATCCCGGCTAAGGAGACTTCGTCGGCACGGCCGCCTCCGAGAACCTGGAGGTCGAGCTGTTGGGAGCTTCTCGTGAAGCTTCTATGGGGAGCTTGAGAAGCCCTGCGCCTCTATCCTAACCGCGAAACCCACGACCTTTCCAGATCTTTTGCGCGAAAGCGACACTGGCAATCACGGCGCGTCGCTAGCTGTTCGGCGATTAATGCGGTGACGTAGGCAACCTGGGGGTGTGGAGACTCTCGGAGGAGTGAGCGATGACAAGCTAGTAGCGGACACGCAGCAGCTGCAGGCAGCGGTGAGAAGAACGGCAGCAGCGCGAGCACGCCCAACGGTAGGTATGAGGCGGGCGCAGGCAGTCGTGAGATACGATTGAGAGGCGCAGGTGGGGAGCTCCAACTTGCTCTAAATGCGCGCGTCACGTGGGCATCGCGGAAGCAGCAGCCGCACTAGAGCAAGCGGGCGACTCATGGACGCCGTCGTTCCAACCAGGCAGTCCGGCGAGCGCCCGCCGTGACTGGCTGCCGTCATGCGGCCGTGTGCGGCAGCGATGGGGTCTTCACGCAGGGCGACGAGAGTGAGCAGGGATACCTCCGCGGCCAAGGCTGCAGCTCAGGCACGCCTATCGATAACACTCGGCCATGCTCCCGCGCGGATCGCTTTCCCCTTCATTCATTTGCCAGTCGACCAGTTCTCGTGGCCTCTCTATGTTTCGCAGTAGTGTCTCACGGTGGAGCCGTCAGCACGGTTGGAGGCGGCAATGTTCAGCGCCTCAAAGCGAGCCAAGCGCCAGGTGGGAGTACAACGCAACCACTGGCTGTAAATGGTAGCGTGTGACTAGGTTCTGCTGCAATAGCCTCCTGGGTGGTTTATGTGAGCAGCGCATGCTGCCGGAGACCCCTTCTATGGCCAGATGCGTGTGGGGTCATGCGCTCAGATTGTGGTGTTGACTCAGCCAGCCTCGAGACATCTCCTTCGTGCAAGAGATAAGAGTTTCTTTTGCGAGAAGTCATGCGTTGGTAGACCGTATACCTTGAAAAACAAAATGATGGCTGAAAAGCCAACAATGACCATAAGATGCCTGACTGGGACTCCCTTTGACATTTCTGCTGTTGCATTTTCTCAGTTCAACCTCCCGGCACGCATCATCTTTGAGTACCTTGACTTCTCAAGACGCGATTTCTAAAGAAAACGATGGCCATACAATCGCATCGATCCCCGTGCAAGGAATCATAATGCCTTTGCATGTCCTCGCCCATCAGTGACCAGCAGCGAAACTCATTGCACATGCCGGCCATAGAACATGGCGAGATGTGGTTGGTGTAGCAGTCGTCCACAGGATTGTGCCTTGGCATTATCATTGCGGCTCATGGCACGCCTCGCAGTGACTGCAAGTCGATGGATGATGCCGTACAACGCTCCCAATTGCTTTCAGACACGAGGGAGTGTGTCAGGGCATCGTCCGGTTGTTGAGTGGACGGTGAGAAGGCGCGGAGAAGTTTATATATTGTAATATGGCCCGGGATAGTGACGCAGTGGGAGGCCTGAGCAGCCGCTAGCGCAGGATCTCTTTGCGATCCGTCCGCCACGCTCGGGAGGATGGGGCGCGATAGCGATAATCAGCAAAAGTCAACGCCATGATGCGATTGCTTGCGTGCGCCGGTCTGCCCGCCCGCCATTGGGCCGCGTAGCTGGTTGCTGTGACGCGGGGTTGCAGCAAGTCGTGCTGGCGGGGAGAGATAAGCAGTCAGCAGCAGCAGCGGGCGCGTAAACAGACGGGCGCGGCCACGAGTTCTCACGACCCTATGGAATGTTCCCGAAAGAGCGGCAGATCCTAGCCGCGTCTGCCTTGGGTACCCGGTGTTCGACTCCGTTTAGTCCCCCCCTCTAGGCCCGACTGCTACATTTTTTCGGACGCCCAGGAGCCTGACCGTCCCGCCCTACCCAGTCTCTGAATAAGCGTCCCGCAAGTAGCGCCATTCCGCCGATTGTCGCCTCTCATGGTTCTGCCTGGCATTTTCTCTAAACAGCAGAAGAAGAAGCCGACCGACAGCTCAGCCTCACCTCCTCCTACACCCTCGCTGCACGAGCACAAGGCACGCACCAGCACGCCGCCCGCGTCGCCCGAAAAGAGGCCTTCGAGCCAGACGAACCGCAGTTCTCACAGCGCACGCTCCTCTCCCGTCAAGGATCGTCACCGGAGGTCCGACTCCTCCCCCACCAAAAAGTCGGCCTTTTCGCGCTCCCAGTCCCACGACCCCGACACCCACCCTCTCAATCTCCCGCCCGAGGAGCGCCGTCGCCTGTCAGCCCTGCACACCAAAATGAGCGAGCAGCCGCAGAGCACCCCGGCCACGCCCATGGACGTGGACCGCGAGGCCACCGCCTCGCCGTCGCCGAAGCCGAACGGCAACGCCGCTGAGACCAACGGCGACAACGCTGCTCCGCCGCCCCCGCCGCACCGCACGCCCACAAGCCCGCCGCCCGTCGATGCCGAGGCATGCAAGGCTGCTGGCAACAAGTTCTTCAAGGCCAAGGACTACCCCAAGGCTATCCAGGAGTACACCAAGGGTATGTGCGATTGTACACTTTTTCAGCTTCGAAATTTTGGCCCTGGTCACACGTTGGCCAAGGGTTCCCTGTCGAATTTGTGCCACCGCTGCTAGTTTCCAGCTGCAGCGTCCCTATCCAACCGAGCCGTCGCTTGCTTATTCTGGTTCTCCTGTATCGTGCTCTTGCTGACGATGTGAATTGCAGCGATCGAGGCCGATCCCAAGTCCGCGACCTACAGGTCCAACCGCGCTGCGGCCTACATTTCCGCGAACCGCTTCCCTGAGGCTCTGGAGGACTGCAAGGTCGCTGACGAGCTTGAGCCAAACAACCCCAAGATCCTTCACAGGTTAGCGCGTGTGTACACGGCTCTTGGTCGTCCTCAAGATGCGTTGGAGATCTACGAGAAGGCCAATGCGAGCGCAACAGACAAGACGGCCGCTCAGGCCATGGTAACCCACTTGACGCAGGCGGAGGACCTGCTGCGTTCAGGATCCTCTGGCTCCATGGTGATCCACGCCCTCGACCAAGCGGAGAAAGGTCTCGGATCTGGAGTCGCTGTGCCTAGGAAGTGGAGACTCATGCGTGGTGAGGCTTACCTGAAGATGGGTAACGCCAACGCACTTGGTGAGGCCCAGAGCCAAGCAATGACGCTACTACGCGCCAACAGCCAAGACCCCGAGGCTCTCGTCCTCCGTGGACGCGCGCTCTATGGCCAAGGCGACAACACCAAGGCCATTCAACACTTCAGGCAGGCCCTTTCGTGCGATCCGGACTTTAAGGACGCTATCAAGTGGCTGCGTACTGTTCAAAAGTTGGACAGGATGAAGGAGGAGGGCAACCAGGCGTTCAAGAGTGGAAAGTATCAGGAGGCAGTCAACACTTACACTCAAGCTCTTGAGATTGACCCGCAAAACAAGGGCACCAACTCGAAGCTCCTTCAGAACCGTGCGACTGCTAACATCAAGGTAAGGACTTATGACGACTTGTCTACTTCAATGCTGACTCTGATACCAGTTGAAAAACTACCAACAATCGGTGGATGACTGCACGCGCGCTCTTGAGCTTGATTCGTCCTACCTTAAAGCCAGGAAGACGAAGGCCAAGGCACTGGGCGAATTGGGCAAATACGACGCCGCTATCCAAGAGCTGAATGCCATTAAGGAAACCAACCCTGGTGAACCTGGCATCGACAAGGACATCCGCAGCATGCAACTCGAGGCCAAGAAGGCACAGAGAAAGGACTACTACAAGATTCTTGGGATTGAGAAGGATGCGGATGAGAACCAGATCAAGAAGGCCTACCGGAAGCTGGCCATCGTCCACCATCCTGACAAGAACCCTGATGACCCAGAGGCCGCTGAGCGCTTCAAGGACATTGGTGAAGCTTACGAGACTCTGAGCGACTCTCAGTAAGTGATCTGCATTTGCACGTTTCATGAGTAAATCATGGTCTAACTTCATATTCCTATAGGAAACGCGCCCGTTACGACAGCGGCGAAGACCTCATGGACCCTGCCGACATGTTCGGTGGCGGCGGCGGCTTTGGCGGCGGCATGGGTGGAATGGGCGGCGGCGTCAACATCAGCCCTGAGATGCTCTTCAACATGATGGGCGGCGGTATGGGAGGTGGCGGTTTCGGTGGCTTCCAGAGCGCCGGCGGATTCCCAGGTGGCGCTCGCGGTAGAGGTGGGGCGCAATACTCCGGAGGTTTCCCGTTCTAGTTGACTACTTAACAGGACAAGGAAACGGTGGATCCACTCGCGGTGGAGCTAGTAGAGGCACAGCGAGAGGAGCTGGCAGTGTGCCTCGAGGTGGTGGAAGCACTGGCAGAACGACGACTTATGGCGGAACGAAAACCGGTGCAAATAACGGGGTCAACGCGGCCCGTAACGACGGCAAAACCGAGGGCCCTGGCGCGAAGAATAGTACTGTTCCGGCGGCCGGCAAAACCAGCGGTGTTGAAACTTTCGGAAATCCTGGTGCGGCTCGCGCCACCCGTGGTTCCTACAAGGCTGCTAGTGGTGAATACAGCAACACGGATGCTCGAAGCGCTGGAGACTCTTCCAAGTTCGGAAGGGCTTCAACCTACGGGAAGGACCAACGTACTGCAAGATCTGCAAACCGAGCTAAGGATGCGACGTCCAACAGACCGACAAACTCTGTTAAGGATTCAAGTCCAAGCATGGCAACTTCTCCTAGCAAGACTGCTCCTTCTGGCAAGGCAACACCTGGCAAGCCGGCTGGAGTAAAAGAGCAGAGCACTCCCAAGAAGGCGGACAGCAGCAAGTCGAAGAAGTAACTCCGGATGCACGCTTCGACAGCGAATTTCCTGCCCTTTGCCCTGCTTCACATTGGTTTATTTCAGCGCCCCCTTTCATTCATCACGAATCAGACTTTCTCTGTTCAACATCGATTATTGACATTGCTCTGCGCCTTTCTGGTATTCTTCGACACGAATTCATTGGCATCGAACATGGGTGGGCTGTTCATGGTAGCGGGTATTCCAAAAGTCGGGTTGTCGGTTGATGGTTACTTGCGATGACAGGTGTCTCATACTCGACACGGCATCCTTTTTCGGGCATTTTGTTGACGGCACGGGCTAGATACGAGATACTTTCTTCATTGTTTTTCTCGAACATTTTCTCTCCTTGGGAGTCTGCTATAGAACGGAGGAACTTTTGTGCCTTGGTTATATTCTTTATCCCTGTCGTGTTTGCTTCTTTCCCATCGTCGTTGTTGATTTTGGAAGAGCATTCAAATTTGCACGCTTGTGGTTGTCGAAACTTGATTTTTTCGGTCTCGGTACAGAAGCTTGCTTTCACGCACGCACACACGATCATTGCAAGGCGTTCATATCTACACCTTCTCCTTGTATAAGTTCTTGTTTGGGCATTGCTTCTTTTGATATTTTCGTGCTGCCTTGGAGGAAGAACGAACGAACGTGATGCATGTGCTTATCCATAGACTGCAGAAGCGTTAGAGATAAGCAACGCAGGAGAGTCTTTCAGATGAGGTCGAAGGAGTTGAAGGCATTTCACCTTGGAGGCATTGTCTTTGAGCCGTCGATAATAAGTACTTGATATGGAAAACGGCTCTAGTTGCCAGTCATGATGCTTCAGCGTAAATGTGAAAAAGGAAGCGACTAAATACCACATACAAGACAGTGATCATTTCAGGCAGCGCCAAGTTGATTTTCAACCTCTTATGTTCTTTTACCCACCCGAATTTGTACCCAAGATGCAGTAACTAACCACGACTAGAGAGCGGAAGGCGGCAATGGGAAAGAGATGTTGGTAGGACGGAGCCACATGTAACCAAGCAGCCCTTAAGATTCGGCCAAGAGGGTCGCAGTGCAATTTCTACCAGAGAAGGAAATTGTTCGGAAGCCTACGTATTCAGATCAAAGGCTCAGAATTGCGCTTACTTAAACAATTAGCGTTATCGTGCGAGCACTGCTGGTCGTGCCTTCCTCCGCTACGGGGTGCGGCCGCGCTAGCTTACTTACTGAGAAACCCATACTGCGGACGTTCCACGTCTCTCCTCACAGCAGACAGAGACCCAACTTGCCAATGAAAACAGCATGAAACTTGAAAGTCGACAAACAGCCAAGAAACTATCATCAAGCTTCCCAGTATGGTTTCCACATGGTGTGCCAAGAACTACTCGCAGTCGTCCAGTACTGACTCTACGTCGCACAAAACAGGCCGTAGTAAGCCCAAATGAAGGATCGACCGTAACGTTGACGTCGTTATGCTCTCGAGCGATAATGAACCGGCAATCCGCGACGTTTAGATATAACTATAGCGCCAAACAGCCCAAAGCTGCTGCCAACAAGACGTGCCTCTGTAAACACACGGCTTCCAATCACACACCGAGCCGGATGACAAGGAGCTGAACGCGTTGGCCAAGTTCCACCGAGAGTGTGCGTTGACGATAAGACTGGAGAAAAAGTGGTGAAGCATGGTCTTGGGGACAAGACTATTGCAGATGTTTGCGAGGCTCTCATTGAGGGCAGCGTATTTGACACACGACACTCCGGGCCAATAGAAGCTATAAAACTGGGACAACGCTATCAAGGCAGCCACCAATCTTATGGCTAGCCCGGAACACGCTACGAAGAAGTGGTTAGAGTATTTTGAGGCATACTAGAAGCCAGCTTCTCTCGATGCGGAACCCACGGCTGCGCAAATGGATTTGGTCAATCAAGCCAAGAAGGAGCACCCATACCGCTTCCGTTTAGCGAAGCTATTGAGGTCGGCCTTTATACACCCATCTTATCCTTACACGTTAGAGAAAGTACCTTCTTACCAGCGCTTGGAGTTCTTGGGCGACTCGCTCATCGACAACGCTTGAGCAGGAAATAATGGACATGGACCAAGAGAAGACACCAATTTCTGGCGGAGGGAAGAGACGAAGAATCAGTCCAACCAGACACCAGCACAAACAGTAGCAGATGGGTTGGGCATCGGGATAGCGATCCTTAGCCTAGATAACATTATGGATTGGAATTCACCACTACCACGAATCGTGCAAATCAGTCTCTAAAACATACAATGACAAAGACTACACTCCTCACCTTCCGGGCTGGAAGAGGGCTTGTGTCTTCTCTCCACTACCACATCACCATGTTCATCGTTACAAGCCATACACGAATGTCACCCTCTCATCACCCTCCCTTTCCCTGCCCCGCCACTCCCCAATCCATCCAGCAACCTTTCCAGCCACCATACCTCCACCACCGCCAGCGCTCCTCTTCCCCTCCAACCACTCCACAGCCCTATCCAGTACCAACTGGCCCCTCCCACCCCCATCCACCCGCAACGGGCCCCTCCCCCACCTCCTCTCCGCCTCGACCTCGTCGTCGGTCCAACCCGCCAAAACGCGTCTCCTGCGCTCGTTCTCGGCCGCGATGAGGGCGCGGAAACCGGCGAAGCCGGCGGCGGCGAGCAGGACGGCGAGAGCGGTCCAGACGAAGCTCTGGCGGTAGCCACCGGCGGCGAAGCGCGGCGAAAACAGCAGCGAGGCGAGGACGCCGGCGACGTTGCCCCAGCCGTTGAGGCCGAGGGCGATGGCGCGCTTGCCCGGGGCAGGGAAGTTGTTGGTCAGCCACGCGACGGTGAGGGGGGAGGCGATGAAGGTGCCGGAGAGGAGGATGCAGAGGGCGAGGTAGCGGAGGGCGAGGTGGTTGGGGGTGTTTTTGTTGTTGTCGTTGTCATCGTCGTTGGAGGTTTTGGAGGGCAGGAAGATGGTGCCGGCGAAGCCGATGAGGACGATGGCCAAGCTGACGAGGATGGGCTTGGTGCGGTCGCGGATGCGGTCGGACCACGAGGTGAAGGCGTAGAGGGTCGCGGCGGCGCAGATGTATGGCGGGGCGGTCAGGAGGTTGGCGAGCGCCGGGGTGGAGGAGAGAGGGGAGAGGACCAAGGGGAGGAAGATGGAGAAGGCGGTGCTGGGGATGGACGACAGGATGTTGAAGACGAGGAGGTAGTAGACCTTCCAGGAGGAGAGCGCGGAGAGAACATCGTGAGCCGAGAGTCCGTGGTCCGTGGTGTTCATGCTCGGGTTTTCCTGTGGGGGTGGATAACCCCGGCCGTGAGGAGAGACAGACAGTAGGCCTTGAGCTTCTTCGGAGGTAGAATAGGTGGATTGGTGTGAGGCTTCGAGGTCTTCATGCTCCTCGTGAGCACGGAAAGGAGAAGGAGAGCGTTTAGGCCTGTAATTCTCAACTTCCCCTTCCCTATCTCGTTTGATGCGCTCCTCGCCCCATTCGCGCTCGTCAGGATTCAAAAACCAGGCAGTCTTTGCGCGCTCCGGTAGCCAGAAGAAGCCCGTTAGAGCAATAGTCATGGTGGTGCATCCCTCTATCAAAAACAAAATCTGCCATGAATGCCAACCGCTGCGGTCCGGCGGGGTGGTGGGATCCTCGATTTTATGGCCGTCTTGCCCGGGGAAACGCGAAAACACGGCGTACGAAAGTATTCCGCCAAAAGCTCCCGCGACGGCTGCTTGGCCGTAGAATACGGCTAAGCGTCTGCCAAATTCAAAGCGTGTATAGAACAGAGAGAGGTATGACACGGTAATTGGATAGAAGCCGGCTAAGGGACTGATTTAACACATGACTCGGAGATTGATAACATAACACGTAGCTCTTTGACGCACCTTCAAGAGTAGCTATAGTAATGCGCAGAACGTATAGCTGCCAGGCGGCATGCACCCAGACATGGAGCGTGGTGCAAAGGCCCCAGATGGCCATGCAAGCCGGGACCCATCTCTTCATGCCATACTTGCGTCCTAGAGCGGCGCCGACGGGCTGCAGTGCAACGAAGAAGACAAAGAAAAGCGCAACGGCGGTGTTGACATCCTCCCGGTCGAGGCCGGCGTCGGTGGTGAAGTGGGCGGACTCGGCGCTACCGATGTTTGATTTGTCGAGCGAGTTGAAGAGAAAGAGCAGGGCGAGAAAAGGCAGCAGGATGACGTCGAGCTTGCGGACGGTGCGGCGGTTTAGCTCCTCCTCGTCGGGAGAGAGGGTCTCGCCAGGGCGGAGGTCCGACGGCATGTCATCCCTGAGCTCGTAGCTTTCGTCGTCTTCGTCGGGCGTGAGAGCGCCTGGAGAGGAGTCGGAGCTGTTCGCAGAGGGTGGAGCTCTGACCCGGGGCTGCAGCTCGTACAGCTCCGACATGTCACCTGGGCGCCTGGCAGTTGGAATGCGCCGGCGGTGAAGGGCACATGGCCGTGATCGCTAGCGGCTCAAGTGTGGAGACATAGACACGGGAAGACGGCGGACGGAGAAAAAAGCAGGGATGGCGTAAGAGCTGTGGGAACGCACTCAACACGCGACGGCGCGTCCAGCGACCCTGGGAGAGGCTACACGTGAGAGCGCGGAGGTCCGCGACTTGGAATGCGGTGGCACAAGGCAGCCACGGCAGCCGCACAGCAGCGCGGGCTGCGGCGAAGCGTTGGATGATGTGCTGCCTGGGAGCCGGCGGGCGCAGGCGTCGGCCTGTGTTCGCCAATCCATCCGACTGATCGCCTGCGGTGATGACGCTGGTCACATCGCGAGCTGGAGAGACTGCCCAGTGCGGCTGTTTATTTGTTTTTTCCTTCTCCACCTGCAGCGCGTAACGGCCTCGGGCTGCATGAGCATGCGTGCAGCGGCGAATTGGAAGCTGACGCGAGTGCAACGCTCATGCAGCGCCGGCGACGATAGGACCTGCGAGGAGCAGCACAGCGAGTCATCGCGCCGCGATGATGCACAGCCCAGGTGCACATCTGCGGGGACGCAGCAACGAACGCTCGCAGCCTGGCGCTTGAGCTGGCTGCCCGTGGATATAATCTCCACCGAACCCTCTCCGACTTGCAACATCCCTGTGCGGCGCTCGGGGACCCAGGATTCTGTTCCCGCCATATCAAGGCCCGGGGCGTTGTTTGCGGGTAGAGCCGCTGCCTTGCATGCCCGCGACCAAAAACATCGTCACACCCACAACCCCACTCGTCTTTCGCCCTCCCGCTGTACATATCCTCTGCGCTTTTGCCCGTACAGTGTTTAGGTCAGTCTGCTCTCCCCGCCAAGTCTCGTGGAGGTTTTTGTTACTCTGTTCTGATCGCCCAGAAGCTCCCAGCCACCGCGTAAACAATTGCTGCCCACATGCCCTACGCACCGCCCTCACCGCAACACCGCCTGAACCACCCCCACAACAATACACAGCCCTCCGCATAGGCCAACGACCCGCAATTTGCCCACACTCTCGCCGGCACACCCTTCATATCGATCTCGACCGCCGCAGGCGCAAGCAGACTCCGCTGTCTGACTTGTTGCCCACCATACCCCCGTCATAATGAACGGCCCGCCTCCGCCGCCACCGCCGCCCCATGGCGAAAACCCAAAAACAACCGCCGGTGGCCAGGGTTCCGGCCTGCCACCCGGCAACTACGACATCTTCGTCATCCCGCCGCATAGTTCCGGCTCCGGCTTCCTCTACCTTCCTTCTCTCAATTGTCAGCGGAATTCCTTCCTCGCCGGCGTCGCCTGCACCCTGCTCGCCGTGCTAGTATGGACAATCATCGAGCCCACGATTAAGGCATGGGTCGCCGGGCTGATGACCAGCGGCGGAAGCGGAGTGCTGATCCTCGTCCTCGCCGTGGGCGCGGGCGGCTGGGCCATGGGAAAGAACCAAGGAGAGGGTGCAGCACCTGGCTCGGCCGCGCCGGGAGGAGGTGGTGCAGGGCCTGGAGCTGGAGCTGGCGCCGGCGCCGGCCACGCTCCCGGTGGTGGTGCACATGCTGGCCCTCAGCCGAATGGCTTCCCTGGCGGTGGCTTCAACAGTCCACCTCCTCCCAACCCTGGAGCCGGATCCACGCCTCGAGGATCGTGGGGAGGCAACACGCACAACGCTTCCGCTGACTGGGAGAAGGAAAGAGAAGAGGCAAGACAAAAGGAAGAAGCCCGCAAGCGCGAAGAGGAAGTACGACGCCAGGCAGAACAAGAAGCCAAGAAAAAAGAAGAAGCTGACAGGGCCGCGCGTGCACAGGCCGAGAAGCAGAAGTGGGAACAGATGCGTGCTCGCGAGAAGGAGCAGCGCGAGAGGGAGGCTCGGGAGCGTCTGGCGCGGGAAAGACTGGCCAAAGAGAAGGCGGAAAGAGAAGCTCGCCAAGCTAAAGAGAAGGCCGAGAGGGAAGCTCGAGAGAAAGAAGCCCGTGAGAAAATGGAGCGAGAGATCCGCGAGGCCCTTGAGAGAGAAGCTAAAGCAAAAGCAGAAGCAGAGGCCGCAGCCGCGGCGGCAAAGGCAGAGGCAGAAGCAGCAGCAGCAAAGGAAAAGGCGACCAAGGAGCGCGAGGAGCGCCTCAAGGCTGCCCGTGAACGTGCTGAACGCGAGCGCAAGGCCCGCGAAGCCGAGCGGCTGGCCAAGGCTGCTGCGCAACCGTCCAGATCTGCCAGCGAATCTGGTAGGGCGCCGAGCACGTCACCCAAGAAACCCTACGAGCGACCGACCGCCCGCACGACCGACGGAGATTCGCGTGCCTACTCAGGCTTCCGCCCGTACGACTCCCCAAAGGCACCCCGAACCACCGGTTCCGCGTCCAACTATTCCGAATCCGTTGTAAGCTCTTCCTACGCACCCTCGACGTCCACTGCCCGGACTACTCCCCCGCCCTCGGTTCGCGGTCCGTACAGCACGACCGATCCGGAGAAGATCGTGATAAAGGGGGTTTACCTGTTCACATCCGCCTTCCCGAAGCCTGTGGCCAAGTTGATATCAGGTGTCGGCGCTGTGACGGACGGTCTGATCCTCCGTATGACTACCGAGGGTCTGTTTATTGACGACGACGTGCGACATGTCGCTCAGCGTGAGTGGGATGTTAAGGCTTGGACGATGAAACTTGTTGAGACTGCTGAAGTTAAAGCAAGCGGAGTGTACATTGTCAGGGCCAGCATCAGGGATCCAGAGGGCAAGAGATACGTTTTCATCATCAGCATGGAGGAGAGCTGGAAAGTTGCGACGGGCCTGCAGAGGCTGCGGAAAGGAAGTCAGGTGCGCGCCCTGACTGTACAGGGGATTACGGCGGCGGAGTCGAACAAGATTCTGTCGTTAGTGTGATGAGTGGTGTGGGCGAAGAAAGGGGAGAAGAGGATCACGAACTGCAGAAGTTCCAAAGGTGGATGGTTTGTTTATTTCCCTTTTTTGATGAGGAATGCTGGGTTCGGCGTTTCGGGAGGCACGGGCAACCGACGGACCACTTTCAACATTCTGACCTGATGGCTCATCCCGTCACTCACCACTTGCCGCCGGCCTGACCGATCAAGAAGAGTGGCGTGGGTGAGGAGTCCTTTAGTTGCATACATGCAAGCGTTTGAGCGAGATCAGAGAAAAAGCTTGACTGGCATCATGCACATTTTGCAGCAGGCGGCATAAGCGACGGAGTTGATTCAACTTTCGTTTTCCTCTCTTTGTTCCTATTATTTCCTTTGTTCTTTGGACTTTTTCTTTTATTTCCTATGTCTTCTGGATTTTATACTCTGGTTCCTGGATTCCGGGACATAGGGGTTTCTGCGGTTGCCTTTGATATTGCTTTTAGTACAGAGTGCTCCGATCGTTAGTGTTGGAGAATACTTTGAACCTTTACATAGCTGTAGAGGAAATAGCGGGATACCACTCAGTTTAAGTAGGCCATGCTATCATTTCAGACTTCCTTTGCGGCCTTGCACGTTGTCGTCGGGAGCGCGCCATGGGCCTTCCACCTCGGAGGCAGCTTCGTAATAAAATCCGCCGTTTGGATTTCTCCCGGCCGCATTCTGAATTGGCTGTAACTCGCCGTATAGCAAGTGGCGCTTGGTAGGACATAACTGACACGTGGGACAGTGCTCGATGTATTTTCTCAGCTTCCGTACCATTCCTCGGATCAGGGGAGTGATGTGGATGTAGTTATACGCTCACCAGAATCCGCTATGGTTTTGCTTGTCGTGTCCCATTTTGAAAATGTCTCCTTGAAGCTCAGCTGGGATGCACAAGTGGTCCCTGCTATCCTCTGGATACACATATTATGCCGCTCCTGAGGGAGAAACGCAGGCCCCATACGGCTTCTGGTGCTTTGTCTTTGGAATTGTGTTCATCTGCCCCATCTGCGTTCAATGCTCTCGCAATTTGACGCAGACTGCCTGTTCTGTCCTGAGACTACATGAGGAAAATAATCTGGAGCAAGCTGCTGGTACCACAACAGGCGTCTGGGCTGCTGAGCTGATGTCTCGATGTGCTTGTATAATCTTGAAAGCTGGATATTTGCTTCAACTGCTCATGAGGCAGTGAGTCAGTGCAGATGACTCAAGTGTGTGGTGGTGGACAACACCGGTAGATAACGCAAGTCGCTACCACCGTCACCAAAAGTCGCTATCATCACCACCACGCCCACACTGAATCAACAGAAAAGATTCGACACTCGAAGAGAGAAGGGAAGAAAACAATAAGAAGGACATGGACGACTAGTAGACAGGGAAAAAAATAAAAAGAAAGTGATGCGCTGGGGAGCAAAACTACAAGCTCCTCCAGCTACCCCGGAGCGTGCAGAAACCCCGTCAACAGGTCCTGTCCGTTGGACCCTCGTGGGATTTTTTGCGATTCGATTCCCCTGCGAAGACCGGGGCTTGAACTCGAGCACTTGGCAAGTCACTCGAGTATCACCGGCGCCTACACATGGGCTATGCCAACGTATAGACGCCGGCGATGGAAGTGAAGTGGCGGAATTGAATTATATGCCCAGGTACTTCCTTACAGCACTCGACACGGCAAGGTGCCTGAGGCGCTGCCAGGTCAATCCGGTGGTTGAAGAGCTCAAGTGTTCTGCACACATTGCGCTGGCAAGGTGTAAGTCCAGATGGCACCTATCTGATGGCACGGTCAAGGTTTACTGCTCTCTCCTTTTTCGTTCTCTTTTCTATTTGCTTTTTCCTTGCTTTTTCAGTCGTTTGCTTTTTCGTGGCTGTCTGTGGTGGCGATGGTCAAACTTGAATGTAACGTCATCCCCTGTTTTGCACTCTGATACATTAGCGGATAATCGTCAAGCCATCGAACATCCGTGCGAAGTGGCAAAAGTGAATTCACGGCTGAATTGTGTCGAGAGGGGCCGTATCAGTTTTATTGGTGGAGTGGTGGAAGCTTTTTCCCACCCTGAACTGTCCAGAAAACGTCATACAACCAACGCTGAATGTAAACCAGAAGTCAACCCGGTAGGAAAGGATATCCTGTCAACTTTATCGTCCCGTCCACCCATAATTCCCAACATAAACCACATCACAAGCATCAGAGCGCCACCCACTCACTCACTTCCTCACTACCTCACCCACTCCCTCACTCCTTCTTCACCCCCAACAACCCCACCAACGCATCCACCACCGCCCTCGCAAACCCCTCATCATTAATCGCCCTCTCATCCTCGACGACCCTCACCCCACTCCCCTCCAAGCCCTCCCTCACCGCCTTGAACAGCGCCTCGTCCGCCTCGCGGTCCTCAAAGGGCCCGCCGGCGACGCTCATCAGGCTGACGCCGCCGCGCGGGACCCAGACCTGGATTTTCCGCGGGTCCTTGGCGCGGCGCAGCTGCGCGGCGATGTGCTCGCCGATCTGCGCGCACTCGGCGGCGGAGGTGCGCATGAGGGTGACGGACGGGTTGTGCTCGTAGAGGGTGCGGCCGGCGCGGACGTAGGCGTCTGGCACGGCGGTGGCGCGGGGGCCGAAGTTGGCCATGTCGGTGGCGCCGAGGGAGACGATGTGCGGGATGGTGGTGGTGGTGCCGCTTGCTGCGCCGCTGCTGCCGCCGCCGCTGCCGCCGCCGCTGCCGTTGTTGTCGCCGTGTTGGTGGTTGGGGGCGGCGGTTGCGGTTGCGGCTGAGGGGGCGCCTGTTGCGGCGGCTGAGAGGCGCGTGGGGCCGGCGGACATGTTGGTGCCGGCGATCAGGTGGTCGGCCAGCTCCGTCGTCGTCAGGTCGATGGCGGCGTCGAGGGCGCCGGCGCGGACGAGGCGCTCGTAGGCGAGCCCGCCGTGGCCGGTGGCGTGGAAGACGTGCGTGTCTGGGAAGGTGTACGGGCAGGCGGAGGGCGGTGCGGCGGAGAGCTGCGAGAGGTACTGCCGGATGGCGGTGACGGCGGGCGTGGTGACGCCGAACATGGTTATGCCTAGGCGGATGGGGATCTTCTTGTCGTTGGAGTTGGGGTCGTTGTTCTTTCCTGCTGCGCGGTCTTCGAGAGTCTTGAGGTAGGCGTGAGCCATGCCGACGATAGCACCGGCAGCGTTAGAGAGTACGGTGCGGAGGATGGTGTTGAGGCCGGCAATGTCGACGATGGAGTACATCAGGGTGATGTCCGTCTCGCCGACGATGGGGCCAGTCTCGCCGCTTGCGATGGTGCTGACGATCAGTTTGGGGAAACCCATAGGGAAGGCTTCTCGCATTACGGCTGCGGCGAGAGAAGTGCCTCCGCTGCCACCAAGGCCAAGGACCGCTGTGACGGATTCCGTGGTAGTTGCCGAGTCCCCTTGCTGGCGTTCGAGGAGTTCGCGGATGTAGTTTGTAGCGCAGGCGGCCATATGCTTGTTGAGCTGGCCACGGTCCAAAGCGCTGATGTCCGTTGGCGCACCGTCTGGGGCGTATTTGGCCGTAAGTTCATTTGAGGGGACAGTGATTGCGTTGTTGGAGATGGATTCACGACCGACATCTATCAGGGTGACAGTTGTATCTTTATGGGCGAGAATCCGCTCGCGAGTGTACAGTAGCTCTTCGAGCTTTGTGTCGCAGGTACCCAAAAGAATGATGCGAGGCATGTCGGGTTATGGTTGATAGACAGAAATGGACCAGGTGAAGGGTGTGGAAAAGGAGCAGAAGTCGCTTTTTGGGTCTAAGATATAGTTGCACAGAGGAAGTGGTTGGATATTTTGAACAATTACGGCTTCTTAGAAGAGTAAACGATCTTGGAACGAAGCCCGTATGTGATATGAGACTAACTTGCTATTGTTGACTTGGGATTTCGAAGCTCTCTCGACGTACTGAGAGCCTTGTGGTTCGCCCGACCTCGGCTGTAGACGCTCAGCGCGATCACTTGGATGGAACACGCTCGACGACGGGTGCAATGGACACGTGAATTGAGTGAAGTCCAGAGTCTCTGCTCGTTGGCTTGCGGTGTTCGTGGTGAACAAGTAAGCAGGAAGGGAGATCGACATGGCGGGGCGGAGGTGACGCCATCTTGCAGGTGGGGTGCAGCCTCTTTGACTCGACGTAAGAGGACGTGGTCACTCGAACAACAACGCGACGCTGATCGTGAAGACATCGAAAAGAACATCAACTCCATCTCACGGACCCAGTTTGGAAGGTTGAGCTAGTGGTCGCGGAGATGGCCCCGCCTACGAATCGCGCAGAGATCCTCGCAAAGCTGCGCACTGATGCAGCTAATGGCAAGTCGATTGTAGGAGCTGGTGCAGGTTAGTCCGTCCATTCCTCCCGGGCCGGGCTGCAGGGGCCATGGCCGGAAAGTCTGGGTCGGCGATGCTGACCGGTCTCCAAATGCAGGCATCGGTCTCTCCGCCAAATTCATCGAGAAGGGCGGCGGAGACCTCATCATCATCTACAACTCCGGGAGGTTCCGGATGGCCGGTCGAGGCTCGGTAAGAACTTCTCCTGGCCCTCCGCCAGGCAGGCATCTGACAGATGTTAGCTGGCCGGTCTGATGCCGTACGGCAACGCCAATGATGTCGTGCTTGAGATGGTGAGTTGGAATCCTTCACGCCCAAGATAATGTTCCGCCGCCCACATTCCTTCCGCGATTAGTCGAAACCTTGGGCGGATGCCAAAGCGCAAAAGGGAAGGCACTTATCGCGACCGGCCGGAAGCGTGATCGGCAAGGTGCAAGCGGTGCGCTGCGTCGTGAACAGTTGACTGAGCGTGCAGGCAAACGAGGTTCTGCCCGTGGTCGAGCACACGCCGGTGATTGCCGGAGTGTGCGCGACTGATCCCTTCCGCTCAATGCCGTCGTTCTTAAAGCAGTTGGAGGATATTGGCTTCGCGGGAGTGCAGAATTTCCCGACAGTATGTTTGCCACGGACCCAGCCACTATACATGGGCAAGGGTGCCCCTGACACAGTAGGCGAATCGGGCTGAGCATTTCTACATCAGGTTGGACTCATTGACGGCCAGTTCCGCCAAAACCTCGAGGAGACGGGCATGGGCTTCAAGCTGGAGGTGCAAATGATCAAGACGGCGCACGAGATGGGCCTGCTCACCACACCGTACGCCTTCAGCGTCGACGAGGCAGCGCTGATGGCGCGAGCCGGAGCCGACATTCTCGTTGCGCACATGGGGTTGACGACGTCCGGGTCGATCGGCGCCCAGAGCGGCAAGAGCCTTGACGACTGCGTAAAGCTGATCCAGGAGATGCGCGACGTCGCGGCCGGCATCAATCCGGACGTGCTCGTGCTCTGCCACGGTGGCCCGATCGCGCGTCCCAAAGATGCGGAGTACGTCCTCTCTCGGACGAAGGGGGTGCACGGCTTTTACGGCGCGAGCAGCATGGAGCGGCTGCCGGTGGAGGAGGCCATCACCAACATCACGCGCGAGTTCAAGCAAGTGCAGCGCGCGTGACGGGGGTGTGTGTATTTTTACCACGTAGCGAAGCTTCTGTAATCGCAGACGAGATGATGGTCCCTGAATCGGCGCTATAAGCACGGGATGCTTACCACACGCCTCCAAGCGCATGACGGATTCGCGCGACGGCCGAATTGATGAAGATCGCCCGTGGTCGCCCTAGGCGGACCGTTTGTGGGGTAGAGAATGCGCAACGCCGATTGCAAGAGAGGATCGATGGATTCGACCACCTCAGCGCTGGCAGGTCGCCGCAGGGCTGTACATACACCGCTTCGCGGCTGCGGGTGATTGGCACAAGCTGCAGCCTTACCAAGAGGCCGCCCGGGGCGACTGGCACAAGGACGAGGAGCGCGCTGGGCTGGGCCGCTAGCTGATAGCTGCGGCCAAGAGCGTTTGAGATGCGCACAAAGCCAAACTCCCTCTCAGGGCGATTCGCGAGCGCGCGCAAGAATAGAGCCCTCATTTCCCGGCTCCGCACTGGGCAGCACTGGCAATATCGCAGGCCGTCGCTTGTAGCTTTTGCTGCCGCACACTTGGCCGTGCGGTTCACGGGCTCGACGGTGCTGCTGCAGGGCACTGGCATTGCCGCCATGCCAGGGATCGTTGGGCAGGCCGCATCGACGCGCGCGCGCTGATTGGCCACCGCGCCTGGGCGGCCTGGGAACGGCCGCAGGCTATCCTCAGCCTGGCCTGGCGCCGCAGGCATGGCAGCAGCTTCGAGCCTGAGTGTTTGGACGCGCTCCAAACAGAGCAGCCCTCTCGCGCTGCTGGAGCCAGCAAGCTTCGTCGCGACCGGGGTGCCCGCAAATCTGCGACACTCACCGGGCCTCTGTTTGCTGGACGCGTGCGGTCGGCGTCACGAGTTGCTGCGCGCTGCGACCCAATAAGCCTGCGGGGCGCCAGCGATCAGAGCGCAAGCCGCTTCACACCGTCAGTCCCAGCCCGTCATCTGCCAGCAAGGCACTGCGCCAGACTACACCGTCAGTCTCGCCGAATAGTCCTCGCCTCCCTCTCCCTCCCACCCTCTTCACGCCCGCTACGAGACGAGCCGCAGAGGCGAGTCCGTGCCTGCACCGCGTCGTTGCCCTTGGTGCTACGTGCGCCCAGTCCTTCCTTCCCTCCCCGGTTCCAGCACGCTAGCAGGCATTGCTTCGTACGCCCCAGCAAGCCACAGCCTCACCTGCCCTCCCGCTGCACGTCGCCCCAGCTCGCCGCTCCTCTCTCTGCCACGACACTCCACGCGAACCCTCCACTGCGCAAGAAGACAGCCGCCTGCGCCTCCCAAGCAAACGCGACTGTGCATGGTTGCCCGTCGCCTGACCTTCAGCCTAGCTACCGCTGGCTGCCTGGCTGCATCGCCGTTCGATCAGCCCAGCTGGTAGCCTTTTGTCGCGCAAACCCTCGACTTCTTCCGCCGTCGCTCGCGCCCGCTCGATCCGCCGTTCCCCACCCGTGCGAGCTTCGTTCGATACCCGTCCCCGGCTGGTTTGGGGTTCCTTCGACCTTCTCTTCGTTCGGCCTGACCAACAGGCCCTGGCTTCCTCGAAAACATGAACGCACAAGGCTTTGGCAACATGATGGCCGGTCAGCAGCAACATCCCCCGCCACAGCAGCGCCTGCAGCAGGTCATACTCGCCCAGCTGCGACAGTCGCATCGCCCGCAGCCCGGGCAATGGCAGGCCACTCTGAATGCCGAGCAGCGTGCGGGTATGCTATGGAACATGTAATTCACCCTCGCTCCCCGTCTGCCTTTTGACGTCGCTGACACCCGCCTTAGCTATACCGCGATAAGGCTGGCCAAGACAGATGTGCCAGACCAACAAGTTCTACAAATGGCCTTCGGCAACGAGAACGAGCGCTTCCTCAAGTCTGGCAGCAGGGTGAGCTAGCCGTGCGCCTGACCCTCCCAACCGTGGTACTGACATTTCGCAGGAGGAGTACGTAAATTCGGTGAAGGGCTTGCTGCAACGGCTCCAAGGCATGCGCCAACAGAATGTGCAAGCTATACAAGCGTCGATGATGCACAACAATAACGCCGCGAACCACCAGGCGGGCATGTTGCCTCAGACTCCGATGCAGCCTAGTGGCTCGAACCAAGGACAGAACGGATTCCAGCAGCCATTTCCTCCTCAACTGCAGCATCAGATGCAGGCCTCACCACTGCCTATGACACAGAACCCGTCATCGATGGGTATGGAGAACCCCGGTATCCAGCCCCAAGCCCCGCAACAACATGTGCAGCAGCAGATGGCAAGAGGGGCCCAGTTCTCTCAAGAGGAGCAACAGAGGCTCGAGGCCTTGACAAGACAATTACGAGCGAGAATTACGCCAGACGAGGAGGCACGAATTAGGGCTCAGATGGCGCAGTTACCTCCCGAAAGGCGGCAGATGTTGGAAGCGCGAGGCGTTGATCCGGTCATGCTTCATTGCCGAAACCGAGCACAATCGATGCTCATCTCTATGAAGAAGGGCCAGCCAGGTGGTCAGTTCGGACAGCAGCAAAATCAGGGCATGGGTCGTGGAGCGCCGAACCAAGGGATGATGCAGCGGACCCCTCAGATGGGCAACGGACAGCCCCAACAGGGCGGCATTCCTGGCAATGCCGACTTTGATTTCGCTCAGCTCACCAACCAGCAAGCAGATGCCATGCGCTCCGCTCAAGCGGGGCACGATGTGGTCCCTGCAAGCAACAACGCCAACATGAATCAGATGGGTGGTTTCAATCCGATGGGTGGCGGGCAGCCCGGACAAGTTAACGGCCAAGGCATGGCGCCTGGCCAGAACAGGAACTCCGGCCAACAGCCGCCTTTCAATTTGCAGCAGGCACAGCGAGAGAACGCGATCCGACAAATGCAGGCCGCACAAGCGCAAGCGCGTGGCCAAGGTGTCCCTCAATCTCAGGCGCAGGCGCAACAAATGGCCCTTCGCAATCAAATGGGCGGCTTCAACATGGGCCCAGGCCAGCCTCAGAACGGAGCGATGCCGATGCTTACTCGACCGATGGTACCACCGGGTCAGCAAGGGAACGCAACGCCTGGGCAGAGGCCGCAGCAACCTGGTCAGCAGATGCCTCAAGGTATGGCCCCGGGAATCAATGCTGCACAAGCTGTTCAGCTCGCACAACAAAGAGCCGCGGCTGCCCAAGCCCAGATGCCCGGAGCCCCTCAAGCTTCCCGAGCAAGTCAGATTCCGGGTGATGTACCCGGACCCATAAGGCAAAAGATGATGGAACTGCCCGAGGAACAATTTCGCGTTGTACTTGGGAAATGGATCGCCCAGAAGCAAGCCGGTTGGGGAGGCAATGCGAACGTCTCCCAGCCTGGCCTGCAAATGACTCCACAAGCTTTGCAAGGCGGACAACCCGGAGGACCCATGGGAATGGGACAGAATTTCCTCCAGCAGAACCAGCAGCTGGGAATGATAAACCCGGCTCAGATGCAACAGCGGCTCCAGCAGGAATTGCTCCGAAGACAACAGCAGCAGCAAAACGGCCCGGCCTCCTTGAATCCGCAGATTCTGCAGCGCATGGACCAAGCACCGTTTCCACCAATTGTGACCCAGGGTATCAGGAATCAGGGAATTAATGTGCCGGATAACATCAAGTCTTGGGGACAGTTGAAGGAGTGGGCGTCCAGAAACCCCAATGTCATTTCCCTGGAGAAGTTGAACGAGTTCCAGAGGGTCCACTACGAGAGGATGACGCAACAGGGTCAGCAGCAAGCACAGCAACAGCAGCAGGCGAACAATGCAGGCATGCACGGACTTCCTGGGGGATTGCCAAATGGAGCCGGTGGCGCTCTTGGCCCTGGTCACCCGAACGGGCAGGCTCCTCAGGCGCCTATGATGGCCGGCGCTGGTGGAAATCCAGCGCAAATGCAACAGCAGATGGCCCTGAATGCACAGCGCCAGCGCATGCTTGCCCTTGCCCAGCAGATCTCAGCGCAGGACATCCAGAGGATCAGGCAACAGCAAGGTCCAAAGGTTGCCAACTTGTCCGACGACCAGTTGAGGCAGCAGATTGCGATGATCAGGCTGCAACAGCAGAGACAACTGCAACAACAGGGTCAACAGCAGGGAATGATGCAGCAGGTTCCTGGTGGCAACTTTGCCATGCAACAAGGTCAAAATCTACAGCAGCCTCAGCGACCTGGCCAAGCTCCTCAACCTCAGGCCACTCCTCAACCGAAGCCTGCACAGCAGCCCCAGGCACCCCAGAGGCCTGGGCCACAGCCTGGCCAAGCACCGAACGCTACTCCCAAGATGCAGGCCCAAAAGGGTGTCAAGAGACCGAATGACGACGTTGTCGAGGTTCAAGATCCGAACAAGAACCAGGCGCCGCCAATGCAGCCGACGCAATCTCAGCAACGGCCACCGACCTTGACCAAGGAGCAGTTCAATGCGCTGAACCCGCAGCAACAAGCAGCTTATCGCCAGTCGATGATCCAAGCCGCTCAAGGGCAAGGAAACAAGCAGGCTGTGGGTGCTAACGGGCAGGGCGCCCCCCAGCAGGAAGTGCTCAAGCGGCAGTTCACCCAGATGATGCACGAATTCATGAAGAACATGGAGCCTAGGCCGCAGATCCAGGACCTTTCGCAAGCGATGAAGGATCAGATGGCAAATGAGGTGCAGAAGGCGCTCACGTGGATTAACAAGCTTGACCAGATTATGTTCATGGACTGGGTTAAACATCGGGACGGAGATCGCGCCAAGGGTATCATCCAAGTTGTAAGTTGCCTGTCCTACGTATCCAATGATTGTGCTAACCTGGCCTAGCGCCACTTGCTCCATGCGCAGTTGGATCCTCAGACCAGGAAGCTGAAGGACAATGTTACCGTAAACCCAGCGACCCTCCAGAAGCTGCTCACCCACATCAGCTCCTATATCAAGGCCGTTGTTGCTGAAAACCACAACGAGAAGGCTCAGTCGCAAGCCAACGGGCAGGAAGGAGCCCAGCAGCAACAGCAACAGCCAGGTGCTGCCAACGTCCAAGGTGGGCAGGGGGCGGAGCTGAACGCCGTCAATTTGGAGAAGCTGCGGCAGGAGCAGCTTCAACGGTCCCGCGCACCTTCTAATGCTGGGGTCAACAAGCCTCCGGCTGCTCCGACTTCTGCTCATGCGCCATTCTCATTTGGCGGTGGCCAGTCTCCGAACGGTGCTCCTTTGTACGCTCCTAACGCTGCGAACCCACTTACTCCTGAGAAGCTCAAGTTACCGCAAAGCAAGAAGAGGAAGCATAACAACATGTCGACGACATCCACCCCGAGCCAGACGCCTGTTCAGACAACTTCGCCAATGGTCGGAAACAAGCCGTCTCCGGAGATCACAAGGCGCGACGCCCCTCAACCAGCGGTACCGGCGAAGCCGCGCTTCACCTGCCCGCACCCGACTTGCGACTTCAGTGCGAGAGGCTTCGAGACGAAGGACGAGCTTGAGACTCACGTTAAGGATGCGCATGCCAAGGTCGAGGATCCTCTGAAGTTCGCCATCGACGCCGTCAATGAGGGATTGGGTCTCAATCCCGATGGAAGTTCGAAGCCGAAGATGGAAAACAACGCTGCCCACCGCGGCAAGCCGGCGCCTTCGATGCCGAAACAGCAGTTCGCAACAAAATCTGGTCAGACGCCTCAAATCAAGGCAGAGGCGGGCACGCCTGCAACGGGCGCGGGAGCTACTCCTATGAACCGTGTGCCCACGCAGACTGGTATCAAGAACTCCCCATCGGCCAGTTTCAAGACGCCTCAGATGGCTATCAAGGTCCAGACTCCTGGATCCAACGGCGCGCCGGCCATGAACCGGACGCCTAGCAAGGCCATGAAAGACGCAAACAAGGCTGCTGACGCCACGATGGAAGACCAGTCGGCGCCGAAGCCTTTGGAGAACCCTTGGGACGAGTGCCCGATCTCTCCGGATCAGCTTCAGTTCATGTTCGCCGACGAAGATGTCGCCAAAGCCATGCTCGAACTACCCAACAGTGCATTCATCGCGAAGGAGGATCTGGAACGGGAAGAGCAGGAGAAGAACAAGGAGAAGGTAGAGCCTCGCAGCACGACCCCTGCTACTACTCCTTCTCCAGCTTCGACTAAGGATTCCAAGGAGACGGGCAGCAGCGACATCAGCGAAAACGACAAGCTCAACATCACCATCGCGGGCGACGACGCCGAATGGAACAAGCGCGCCCTGGACGCCGACGTGGACTTCAGCAGCATGATGGACTCGCTCTTCGTGCTGGACGAATCCAACAACATGACGGTTCCGCAAAACGAGGACAACCAAGAGATGACTGGCCCGTACGGCTTCTGGCGGGACAGCCTTGGAACGGGCGACGAGAAAATCCCGAACTGGGGCACCACCGAACTTGGCGCGCCGTACGACTTCTTCAACGCCCCTCCTGCGCCTAGCAATGAGCAGGATCTCAAAGACCTGTTTGGAATCACGACCAACATGGACGGCTTCGAGGATATGGGGATGATTGGTTAGTTACAGTTTATTGGCCATGCACCACTTAGTGTGCGGGTTTTTCTTCTTTGGGTAGATTTTTTTTTTTGGCTCTGCCATTTCTCATTCTCGCGTCTTCTTGCATACCACCATCTTTTTCTTCTTTTGTGTTTTCTTTAGGGTTGGAGTAAATTTCATTTGCGATCGTCTTGGATAAAAAGAATTGGGACTTGGACTACTGGCCACGGCCAGAAGAGAAGGCGTAAATAACGGTTTGCTTGGTTTGCCAGGGCTTCTATCGAGGTTTTGGTTTACTTGGGTTGGCTCGGTTGAGCCTCGTCATACCGGCATTGGCGTACGTTTGCGGGATTCCCGTTCTTTCTTTGCAAGTCTATCAGGTCTTTTTTTTTTTTCGCGGACTTCATGACTGAGGCATCGTATTGTCTCGCTCTCTCTTCCTTTTTCCGACTGGTTCATCGTTTCCTGTGTCTGTACGTGGCGCGCCGAGTGTTCGGATTCGCCAGCTTCCAAACAATACCCCAACGCATTTCTCTCCTTGGTTGATTACACGGTGTTACAATGGTGATGGTCTTGAGCTTTGTTCTTTTCCTTTTTTCGCAACGGAGAAGAGGAAGGCATGAGATGCCGGCGCGGAAAGCAAATGAATCTCTTCCATGACTCGAAACTTTGAAATGATTTCTCTTGTGAGTGGTTTACTTGGTACAACGCCACTTGGTTGTCCACTCAAGCATGTAACGACGGATAAGCCTCAGCATGTGAGCGTGATGATGCTGTGCACCGTGATACTGACTACGAACGGACGGGCAACGGCAGGAACCGTGTCTCGTTATACCGTCACAGTAGTACGGGAGGAAGTCTGGAATGTCTCGATTTGTAGAATGGGGGCTGAGCTAGTGTTCATTATGCCTGGTGAATACGGCATCAACCCGCTCAAAGCAGGCGAATGAGTCAGTACACCGAGACGTAGAGGATTCAAGCAAACACGGAAGACGTTGTAATAGAATACGCTAAAATGTTAGGTTGGAATTTAGCCTGAATGAGATGGGTGGAGGAAAGCCCAGCCGGGTCGTGGGCTTTGTGGCTTGCTTGCATACGGACCCCGCAAAAAGGGTGTGGGCTCCACCTCCGCCCGGGGTGGAGGTGGCTGAACTAACCAACTCCACAGAACTCGGCTCGGTACGGTTGGCGTCCAGGGTCTCAACTGTGTGTGGAGGCTAATAGCCATTTTTTTTTAACAACCGGCCAGATGGAAAAGTCGGGTTGTACGTTCGTTTTGGCGCATTTACCGGAGAACTTGGCTTGAGAAACGCCATTTTATCATTTAGCCTAGCAATATTTCCAAATTCTTGGAAAGGTGCTAGTCCCTGCTTAACGAGTTGATTAACACCGCAAGATTGGCGGCCAAGTTTTGCTGCACTGACATGCTCCTCGATGGTCAGGATACATCTGTCGTCGTAGTGATTGCTGTCAAGTTGCATGGGATCGCGGCGAGAATACTTCCTATCCTTCCAGACTCCTTTTCATGACAGTTAAATCGTATACACACCTCGCATATGCACCCACGTGTTTACCCGGTCGCCGATCTCCCGTACCTGATTTGCCTCGCGCCCAGCCCCCCCTTCTCCGCAATCCCAAATCCTGGTGGAGAAAATGCGGCGCCTCCGCCCCAAACTTGCCAGGATCGTGGGGAAATTCTCATTGGTTAGATACAAAATTCCCAAATATTGACCGGAAGAGTTACCCGCCTTTGACATAAAGCCGCCCGTTCTCCCTCGCCTTTGGGTGAAGTTATTGTACCACTCGAGTATTACACATTGCCGTACTCTTTTTTTTTTTTCCCCTGCTACCGCGACGCAATGAAGATCCTCGATATCGCCGCCGTTGCTGCGGCAGCCTTCCAAACCGTGGCCGCCGCGCCCACCACTTCCGAGCGTCACGATGGCGGGCGTCCGAAGGGCCTCGGTGACCTAGCGAGGAAGTCGGGCTTGCTCTATTTTGGCACGGCCATCGACAACGTCGCGTTTAACGACTCCAGATATCTCTCCATCGCGTACGACAAGCACGAATTTTCGCAGGTGACGCCGTCGAATGGGCAGAAGGTACGATTGAAAATCTCTCAATGGAATTTCTAAGTGATTGAAGGGAAAATGGCGGAAACTAAAATTGGGGGGAATCAGTGGATGTACACCGAGCCCTCGCAAGGTGTCTTCAACTTCACGGCCGGAGACCAGGTCGTCGATCCGGCTGTCCGCGCGGGTCAGCTTCTTCGCTGTCATGCTCTTCTCTGGCACAATCAACTGCCCGACTGGCTGACCTCGGGGACCTGGACGCGTGAGGAACTTCTGGATATCCTCGAGAACCATATCAAGAACGTAGTCACGTAAGTATTAGCTTGCTCATTCCCGATAAGACAGAAAAGGATGCAATATCTCCAGTCAATTGGAAGTCACTTGCCGTTCTCTGTAGTAGCCGTATACGGCCAGCATGATGGGGAAAGGCTTTTGTCATCATCCGCTACGAACCCCGTCACTCGAATCCATATTTAGAAGGCAGCAATTGCACAAGGAAAGAAACACCAATTAACTTGCAACAACAACAGCCACTACGCCCCGACCTGCTACGCCTGGGACGTCGTCAACGAAGCCTTCGACGAAGACGGCACACTGCGCTCGACCATCTTCTCCTCGACCATCGGGCCCGACTACATCGCCCACGCCTTCCGCTTCGCCCGCAAGCACGCCCCGCCCACCACCAAGCTCTACTACAACGACTACAACATCGAAACCATCAACGCCAAATCCGACGCCGCCCGCGCCCTCGTCCGTTCCCTCCTCTCCGACAACACCAGCACCGCCGCCCCGCTCATCAACGGCATCGGCCTGCAATCCCACTTCATCGCCGGCAGCAGCCCCTCGCGCGCCGACCAGGCCGCCAACATGGAAGCCTTCCTCGCGCTGTCGCCCGACATCGACGTCGCCATCACGGAGCTGGACGTCCGCGTCGAGCTGCCCAACGACGCGGCCAAGACGGCGCAGCAGGCCAGCGACTACGCCGACGCCGTGGGTGCGTGCGTGGATAACGCGCCGCGTTGTGTTGGTGTCACGGTTTGGGATTTCTACGACCCGTTGAGTTGGGTGCCGAGCACGTTTCCGGGCGAGGGCGATGCGACGCTGTTTTGGGCGAATTATACGCGGAAGCCGGCGTATTATAGTATTGCGGATGTGTTGAGGGGTTGAAAGGTATAGATTAGAATGGTAAGCTGGTGAGGATTGTGGGAATGCATGCCGTACATATTGTGTATATTGCCTCTGAAAGCTACGTAATTCGAGTACGGATCCGAAGACGGTTCGAATTACATGACCTACATAACATGCGCTTCGCCAAATAATCTACTTCAAAAACAACAATAACTTGAAGAATTTATTTCGTTGATTGATTGCAAAGTGTTGTAATGTTGATGGTCTTCTGCCTTCGCCTTTTCCGATGCGGAATGACGAAAAGAAAGATCATTTTCCATGACTTGAAATTTACTCCGCACACTCAGTGGCGTATTGTCTCGGTTCCCTCTAGAGTTCACCTCAAGATGACTAAGGAACGCCCTACGTAAGTTGTCAGTCTTGGTGAAGAAGGAAACTAAGTTGTTGGGCTAACTAATTGACCTACGTAAGCTACCCTCTGAAGCAGCTCTTGTGATAGACTTCACTAGGCACGTAGCTTACAGATTCATTTTGTTCTGGGGAACTAAGTTGTCCAGAGTCGCGGTTCTAAAGATCTTCGCGGCTTAGGCTCCTTGGAGATGCTAAAAATATTGGTCCGGCTTTATCTTTAGAATGTCCACTTGTACGCTAATTTCTTCCAGTAACTGCGGGGGATAACCGCTGCCGTCATTCTCAGCACATTTCTTGACAGTCTCTAGAAATAGTGATTGTGATGACGTTCCGGTATTGACATGAGCACCTTGGTCCAAGAGTAACTTGATCGTCTCGTACTTCGCCCGACCAGGAAATTCTGATGGCCATGCTGTGAAAAAAGGTTTCGTGAGTGGACCAGAGTATAAATCCCACGTGGAATTTAATCTTGCAATCAGAGTTTCCAAGGCTGAAGCTTGACAGTACTGCGCATCAACCACGAGACTGTTCTTGAATTTTTATGATGGCTCGACTTTTTCATTCGTAAAGCCTACAATTGTGACCATCAAAGGATCCACCACGTACTGCAGAAGGAGCTCGACAGCGGTGCAGCTGCCACATCTCGCGGCAACGCATAAGGGCGGGGCTATTTCAGTGTCTATGCGACCACTTAGCCTCCATAGTTGGCGGGGAATTCCGGGAACATCTGAGCCGACTTGATTGTCAAAAATCAATTGAGCTTTGTTCAAATTTGAGCACCAAATCGCCCGTCCCAATGGAGAGTGCTGAGCTTTCCCATCTGTATGATGATCCTTGCCATTTGCGAAGCGAGCTTGATTGTCCGAGATCAATTTCCATAGAGTTATGTCCGAATGGCCTGAAGCATAAAACAGCTCTGAAGACAAGATTGGGAGATAAGAGCCTCTATCAGAAATTCTGTTTTCGGTGCGAGGATCGCTGGGCTGTTCTGTAAGGTACCGCTCGACATATCATTGTAAGTCCAGCAGAATGGCTATCTCTATCGGAGATGACGGCAGCAGATCTACTTCCTGCGATCGAATCCATTATATGGTATGTTGGACGTTACGCCATGTCTCGAAATCCGGCCCGCGGAGAAATTTGCGAAGGACTTCATGAGGAGGGTGCTCCATGACTTCGCACTGTTTCCAAAAAGAAGGCCAGTGGTTAAAAAATTGTCCATGCGATGGAAGTTTCCACAGGATCGACGTCAAGAAGGAAAAGCATGATGGAGTCTGAGGACTTTCCCGTGTCTGTCTTTTTTAGATCAATAGCTCTTGTTTTCAGCTTCTTTTCACAAAGTCTTTTCTTCAAAGTCACAGGCGAATCCTTGCTCAATTCAAAAACACGACGGAAACCCTCGACACGAAGCCGCCCAGGTGCACAAGCTGTGAGCAACAGCATCTGGATAGTGTCTGACTTGTCTTCGTGGCGGAGCTGATTAGGAGTGCGCCGGTACATGTCTTCAAGTTGGTTTCTGGAAGGATGACCTCCAAGCCAGGCTTTGACCACTTCCGATCCATACCCAAAAGTGACGATTCGCGTATATCGGATGTACTCTTCTTTTGAAAGCAGGTGGAGAGTGTTTGAACTCAATGGATTGCTCCTTCTAAGGGCCGACACGACAAGCTACGTTTTATGAGGAACAGGCTACGCTAAACTACTTCTGGATTTCCCAATTAGGCTAACTACTTGGCGGTGCTGAGAGTCCTGAAACAGAGAGGCCAGAACACTCCTGATTCCTTATGGAGCCATGTCCCCGTTTGATCTCCCCTGAGGCCATATACAAGAACGATGTCCGCAATCGCCTTCCTATTTGGTGGAGGCTGATACAGAATTGTGATCCCACCGTGCTTTGAGAGGCCTGTAATGTCAGATCGTACCTCGGAAGGCTCTAAAGCTTCCTCGAGCGAGATTCGCGACCGTTTCGTTCCCTCGCCTTCGAGGTCGTGACTGTGAGAACTTTTGCATTTGAATGGTTTCAAGAAGCTCATTGTGACAGACTAGATGAGTGAAAACAATTTTAGACCTGAGGTTTGGAGTAGACGGCGAAGAGGCAAAGAAATGCTTGGGGCCAGCGGTCTTTCTATTATATGATGGGATTTCAGCTGATGACTACGGATTTGCATACCTATTCGCGCAATGAATGGGGCGAATTCGTGGCTAATAGACCGCCTGCCAAATCCTGGGCGTCAGCTCGGGCGCTTCGCATGCCAACGAAGGTCTGCATACCTAGTAAAAAATGGCACAGGGCTTCCGGAAATTCTCTAGTGCTCATCACCACCTCTTCCCAGCTGTACGTATGACACCCGTGATCTGTCTTGATAACGCGTTCCATGTGTAGGGCATAGCTATGCTGGCGCTTTCCTACCTTGCCTAGCCTGACTTACTATAGTAGGTAGTCCCGCTCAGTAGAAGACCGTCCAGTAGTTCGACATGTGTGGAAATGAAATATTTCATGTCATGTAACACACACTTCGCCAGAAGATATCCTTCAAAGCCGTCAATTTACACATCTTCATTAACTGCATAACGTGGATCTCTTTTTTCCCATCTCCGCGTGTACTTTGACCGTCTCAGGCATTTCTGGATATCCCTTCATACATGCCGTGCATTCCACACCTTCAATACCCGGGTCTAATGCTGCTTTGCCAGTAGTAGATCAAATTAACGTTTTTCTTTCCAGAACGAAACCCGCTGAAAACACCCCCAGGACCGTCACATGCGAGATTCGAAAAAGAAAAAAAGAACATGTGAAGAGGAAGAGGGGAGAAATTATGCGGGCTCCGACCAGTCGACCTGCTCCTGGACGTTCTCCCCGTTCTTCGAGTATCCGATCTTCAACCTGAGGCGAAGCTTCGGCGGCAGGGCCTGGAGGGAAAGTAGAATTAGTAAATGATCAGAACCTTCAAGCATGAATGTTGACTTACCCCATTGACTGCAGCGATCCTCATCTGCTGCGTAGCCTCCTGGCCTCCGTCTAGCTCGCCATTGCTGATTGCCTGCAATTGCAGCTTCTGGCTCTTCGGCACTGCAGCCTGTAGCGTGACGTTGCCAAGGTGGTCGAAGTTGCTGTTGTTGCGGAATCGTGCAAGAACCAGAGCAGTGCTTCCGCTACGTTGCACCTGGAACGTGATTGAGAGGTCGTTCTTGTTGTAGGCCGGGTGCGACGGAGCACCTCCCGGCGGAGGTGTGCCCGTCTGCGGAGGCGGAGAGGCCAGACCACCGAATAGATCTGCTGATGGCGGCGGCTTTGCTGCCTGAGGAACAGGCGTGCTGCTCTGACTCGGTGTGTTGAAAAGGTCCATAATGGCATTGACGTTTGAGCCTCCCGCCGGCGGCGGGGACGTGGTTTGAGGTGCAGGCGAACCGCCTCCGAGGATGTCTGCCAGAAGGTCGGCGTTGTTTTGAGAGCCATTGGCTGCTGAGCTTGATTCGGGACCAGGTCCATCTGAGCCTCCCATCAGATCAAGCAGCATGTCTGACTCAGTAACTTGGCTGGGCTTCTTCTTGCCAATCTTCGATGTCCGCTTGCTCTTCGTCGATGCCTCACCAAGCACTCTCTGCGACTCGCGGATCTCCGGAGGTGGCATCTTCTCCAGAACACCTCGCCTAATTTGATCGTATGCGAAAAGGTTACCGTACTCAACCGCACGCTGTTGGATCTCGACATCCAGATGAGTTTGATGGGACAGCATCAACCGCCTGAGGCGTTCTACTTGTGCGGCGTCGGAAAGGCGGGTAGTGAGCTTCATGGCGGCGGTGATGATGTACTCGGTAACAATTTGGCCGGCGTAGTTGCTGTTCAGGATGGTGCCGAAGAGATCGACAATGTCGCTTTCTTTGACATCCTTGACCAATTCCTCCTCTTCGTACTGGCCACCACGCAACAACGCATCACCATACTCACCAATCGCCCACGAACCAGCGAGCGTCAGACCTTCTTGCGTAATGTCGTCCTTGAGGCTAGCGTACAGCTTTTGCACGGTGTAAGTCTGAAGGTCGGGTGTGTTTGCAACAAGGCGGACAAAGGACGCGAGAATCTGTTCCTTGACGTAGTTACCAGCCTAGAGCAGCAGTTAGAAGAAGACAAAACAATAACTCTTGACGAAAAGTCACCACTGACAAGCTTGAGGACCCGGAGCATGGTGTCGATATGCCACCTCTTGTTCGGTGCAAAACGGTCGGCAGCAATGCCAATCTGGGTGGTCATGATTGGCTTGAACTCATTATCGGCAACCTCCAGGAAAGACAGCAACTCCCGAATCAAGACGCGGACGTTCTGCTCGTTGATCAGGGTAAAGCTGAGGTCCAATGCTCTTCTGCGAATGCTGATATCGGGATCCCTGAGGCAGTCCAAGATGGTGTTCCTATGTCTCTGCACGGCATTGGGTTCCACTGCCACGACCTTGATAAGTGTGTTCAGGGCAACATATCTGATATTGTTGTCCCTGTTGGCCAAGAATTTACCCAGAATATTGACACCAAGGACGCGCAGACCGGAGTCTGCTTCGATGTCCAGAATGGTAAGGACGGCTTCGTAGAGGATGGAGTTTCCGACGTTCTTGGAGGAGTCCGTGTTTGTAGCAACCTGAACATGTCAGCGGCCGTGCCTGGCTCGCCGCACGCATGGATCTTACCTGTGCAAGAATATCGTTGATCTGCTCACTGGTCTGAGGATCACCACGGCCAAAGACACGCAGCAAGCTGAGAATCTTGACCTGAAGGAAGGGGTCGGTAATGCCGTTGACGTCATGCTCGGGGGTGTAACCAGAGCTAGAGAGGCTCTTCAGCATCTTCACGAGGTGCGGTGTCAACGGCTTGAACATCTCAATGACACCGAGCTCGTCTCCCTCCTCCTCGTCAGCCTCACACATGCTAGTGACCAGTGTCAGACCGCAAATCAGGACACCGTGGTTGCGGTCGGAGAGCAGCATCTTGGCCTTCTCGAAGAAGTGCTCCTGCAAGTCGGGGACCTTGCGGCAGATTCTCATGGCGCAAATGGCAGCCTTCCGGCGGATGTAGGGGTTCGCGCTGGAGAGGATCGTCTCGACTTCGGGAAAGAGATCGCGGGACATTTCGATTGAGGCGATGTTGCCTAAGGTGCATAGAGCGAGGCCGACAATGTACTGGTTTGGATGGTTCAAATCACTGCAGCGGGCTGTCAGGATACGGGTATGGGTGTGGATTGCTCGGGAACGTACTTCTTGAGCGAATTGGTGACCAGCGTCAGGACCTCCTGGTTCTCGTCCAGCAGCAGCATGGTGCCCAGGTAGCCCAGACGCTTGTCGGCGAAGCGCGGCGAGGCCAGCAGCTTCAGGCATTCTATCTGGCCGAAGTGGGTGCGCTCACCCAGGGTGAAGAGGTACAGCAACTTGGCGACATTGTTCCTGCTAGGCGGGGCATCAGCAGGCAGCGGGGAAGTTGGGCGTCTTCGGGGCATTACCGGACGTTGGAGTCGTGGCTCTCCTCGCGGAAGCTGGCACGGATGGCGGCACTCTCCTTCTGCACGACGGCGCGCTCGTCTGCAATGGTCTTGGCGGCACGCACGTTGCGGATAAACTGCTTGACTTTTGGGACACTGTGGTCAGCCAGGCGGGTCGGGATGGAGCGTACGGACGGGGGACTACGCACGGGAGCTCATTGTGCCGACGTGGTGCTCGACGCAGAGGCTACGGGCGGGGACTGCTCGCGCCGGCGGGCGTGGCGGGAGTGGGTTGTGATATGGTCGACGTGGTCGCGGGCGGTCAGAAGTATGAAGCGGGAGAGCTTACCGTAGTTCTGGATGCCCTCGCGCCGCTGCGACGTCCGCGCCCTGGCCAAGTCTCCTGGCCCGACCGCCATCCGCTTTAGGCTGCCCTAAGATTAACTCCGCCGCCCCCGAGCCCTGATGACGCCGGCCCAGGATCAGCTTGTTGTCTCGCCCGCAACAAGCTCTCCGTCTCTTCCGCAACCATATATCACCACCACCCCGAGTGCTGCCTGCAGCTGCCGACTTCTTCCGCGCCCTCTCGCGACTCGCTCTCGACTTTTATTTTCGCCTCCATCACCTTGCGCCAGTCCGCGGGCATCGCGGAGCATTACCGTGATGTCCACCACCACTTCCTTTGAGCCCCCCGCCGCCAACGGCGATGCCATGCTAGACATTGCCCAGCCGCGCGCAAGGAAGCCCGAGAATCCCCAGCTGCTGCGCACTCTCAATGACGAAGCTACACCCTCAGGCCTCTCCAGGCAAGTCTTATCCTCCTGCGCAGAAAAGGGGACCCCTCAAATTAACACATCTCAACAGCGGCCGTTCGACACCTGTCCCTCCTGATGCGCCCCCTTCGGTGCACGCCACCTCGTCCGCCCGCCGCCAGGTTCGCGCCGAGCAGAAGCGCCGCCTGTTCCCCACGATCGAATATGCCGCTCGCGTATCGCACTTTGACCCCCAGAGCGACTACCGTGATTTCCGCGGTTTCTTCGTGCTGTTCTGGGTCGGTCTGGCCATCATGGTCGTGTCCAACATGGTCGGCCACTACAAGGAAACGGGATACCCATTGTCCATTCGCCAATGGAAAACCTTCACTGCCAACATTTGGGAAATGGGCCTGAGCGACTTGATCATGGTTGCTTCGACTGCCATTAGCCTGCCTCTCCACAAGCTTTACGACGCCGGCAGCCCCGACTTGCGCTGGAGCAAGAATGGCATGCTGATTCAGAGCATCTTCCAGGGTGTGTGGCTGCTCTTCTGGACCCTGTGGCCCTTTGTCCGTGGCTGGACTTGGACCGCCCAGGTCTTTTTCATCCTGCACTACCTTGTTTTGTTCATGAAGATGCACTCGTATGCTTTCTACAACGGTCACCTCAGTGAGACCAGGCACCGCCTTCAGGAGCTTGACCATCCCGAGACCGCCTCAATGGCTGCCGCCAAGAAGTACCCCAGCGCCGAGACTCACCTCAACCAGCTCACCCCGGACAGCGAGAAGGAAGATGCACTCCGGGACAACGACGACTCCCTTGCGCAATTGCGTGAGGATCTTGCCCGTGAGCTTGTCTCGCCCCTTGGAAACACCAGCTACCCCAAGAACCTGACCGTCGCGAACTACATCGACTATCTTTTCTGCCCCACGCTCTGCTACGAGCTCGAGTATCCTCGTACCGAACGCATTAGGAAGTCGGAACTGTTCTTTAAGACCTTGGCTGTCTTTGGTTGCATCTTCCTCCTGACATTCATCACCGAGGCCTATGTCATGCCGGCATTGGACATTGCCGCCGTGGAGCTTGAGCTTCCTGGTTCTTTCGGAGGTCGCACCACCATCGTGCTCGAGACCATCAGCAGGCTGCTTTTCCCTTTCACTGCAATTTTCCTTCTTGTTTTCCTTGTCATCTTCGAGTATGCCCTTGGTGCTTTTGCTGAAATGACCTGTAAGCTTGCTTCCCCATCTTGAAACTTTGATTCGAATGCTGACTCAAAACAGGCTTCGCGGACCGCCACTTCTACTCCGACTGGTGGAACAGCTGTGACTGGCTCGAGTTTTCGCGCGAATGGAACGTCCCTGTTCACCGCTTCCTCCGCCGTCACGTCTACTCCGCCTCCCGCCCCAGGTTCTCTCGCTCTACCGCCACAATCATTACCTTCCTCATCAGCGCCGCTGCTCACGAGCTTGTCATGGGCTGCATTACCAAGAAGCTGCGTGGCTACGGAGCTTTCGCCATGATGCTCCAGATTCCCCTCGTTGCGGTCCAGCGGAGCAAGCCCGTCAGAGGCAAGACCCTCCTCAACGTAAGCAAACTCGATAACCTTTTTTGACTTTAAGCTAACGCATTGTAGAACGTCCTCTTCTGGTGCTCCATGGTCCTTGGTCTGTCCATGATGTGCGCTCTGTATGTCTTGGTTTAAAACCTCATCTTGAATCATCCTGCATCATCTTGCATATCTCGGCGCCGTCACTCGCTTGTCAATTACCCCATTGGTTCGGTTCTCATTTGTAGGGGGATTTACTTGCTTTTACAAAGTTACCTGGTTCTCCGCGAATGATACCCCTCTCTCTGTGCGTGTTCGATTTGGCCGTACTGTCTCCTCATATATCATCTTCAAATTTCGTTCAAAGTTAAGATAGACTTGCGACTGCACATTTTTCCTATTTCCTTCGTTTTTTGTAAAGAAACATGCATATTGGAGAGGTCTGCATCGGCGTCTCCGGCGGTGTTCTGCATATTTCTCTGTATTATTAGACTCGTCTTTCATAAGACAAGAAACAAGATCCTCGCTTAGATGTTACACATGGTAGAATAGCATCTCTTATTGGTTGTTAAACGTCAGCCTAGCGCCAAGGCGATGTCTCTGATGGTGATTTTATCCTGCAAGCCATGACTTCATCGCGACGTCGAGGTGGCAGAATCATGGATGACAGAAGCACATGTCGTATTCTGTGGCGACTTCCACACTCCTCTAGCCTGTACCAAACGTGATCGTATTCGTGTCGGCGTAGTCGTTTCGTTTGCCATCTTAAAACAACTGTGGGACCCATCGTGCTCTAAATCTGCTAGCTTCCCATTTCCCCCTTTACAAATGGTTCGACATTTGCACACAGTTTGGAAAATGAAGGTTGCTGTACGAGCGGTCTGCCATTGGAAGGGGCTTTTTTCATGCGTCGAGCGCCAAATTTGCTTTCGCAGACCGCCTGTTCGACTTGTAGGTGTGTACAAATTAAGGAGTAAACCCCCTATCGTGCTAATTTGGATCTCTTCCACAAACCTAAATTAGGCACCGTGGTGGCAATTTTGACCACAATTCATTTACAGGGAGCGGGAATAGCTGTCAAATGCATCTGATGGATGCTATTGGACGGAGCGGGTCCAGCATGGGCAGGCAAAAAAAAAAAAAAAAGATGCCTAAGGCATCGAAGAGTCCGTGATCCAAATGTACAAGCACATAGGGAGCATATAGGGCTGATATCAGAGAAGTCGGAGCATATACTGGAAGGTTAGAAATAGGATGCATATGTAGAATTCCAACGTGGAAGAGAGATCGTTTAGGATAGTGTTCTTTTTACTATGTCCATCTCTTTTCCATTTCCTCCTCGTTTCGCATCTTCAACTCGACACTCAGCACTCTACTTCGCAGCCTGCTGCGCCGCAGTATCCTGAAAGCACCGGCAAGTTAGAACAATCCCCCACGAACAAACGAACAAGAGCAAAAATAGACTACAAAAGGAATGACTCACCAAATACACCTGATAATACCGCATCTTCACCTTGCCATCCTCCTTGACCAGGTTGGCGCGCGCCGCCCAGTCGACGCTGCCCTGGCGGCCGTCCTTGAACGTGTACGCAACGGTGCCGTACAGCATGACCTCGTCCGCGCCCTTGGCGCCGGCGGGGAAGATCTTGAGCGGCGCGTGCTGCCGCGACGAGACCTTCTCCCACATGGCGTTGCGGAGGCCGATGATCTCTGTAAAATATGAGTCGTTTCGTAGTTGTTAAGATATGGAAAAACATGGATAGAAGAAATCAAGATCGAAGGAATGGAAAAGAGAGGAGAAGGAAGATGTCCACGTACCAGCCCTGCCGTTGACCGTCTTCGACGCCATGATCAAGGTCGCATCGTCGGTGAAGTTATCGGCGTACTTCTCGTGCTCGCCGGGCGTGTCGGAGATGGCGTAAAAGTCCTCGAAGAACTGCTTGTACGCAGGGTCGAAGTCGATGCCAGCCGGGTACTCAGATGCGTAGGAGTGCGGCATTTTTCTTAATGGGCTTTTATTTCCTTTGGATCTTTCAAAATATTCAAATGTGCTTTTCTTTACTGCTTGTTGGTAAGGATGTAGACAATGTAGCGATAAAAATGTAATACAAACCTGTTGTCGTCAAGGACCCGAGACAAGGGAACCGCTCTAGCGAGAAACTCGGTTATCTCGATGCTGGACTGATGGTGACGTCGGTGCGCGGAAGGAACCGAGATGCGAAAATGGTGGTTGTGTTGAAAAGTGGTGGTGGTGGTGGTGGACCTGTTAACAAACGTTTCTACCCCGAGCAATGATAGATGGGAGAGGGAAAAGGATCAAAGTGGAGCTTGTAAGTCGGTGTCCAATCCGACGTCATACGGCAAAGGGAGAGCAAGCAGCCGAAAGGCGATGAGCCAAAAAACGAACATCCCTCGGCCCACGCACGCATCCCCCGGGAGCGGAGGTCCGGCGTCAATCCATTAGTCAGCTTCCGATGCTTGCCATCGGATGTGGGAAAGAGGACCAGGCGGGCAGCAGCGGGCGAAGCATCACGCAATACATACATGCATCCTCCCCCTACCCGACCGGGGCTGCATCTAAAGGAGTTTCGGAGCTGGAAGAGTTGTTTGTATGTACATGCGGAAGATAGTACAACTGCGCGGATGACCATTGCTCGGCATATTTCATTAGCCGGCTGCAACATCTCTGGCTGCTCAATAGAAGTCTAACTGAATTCATTGCTTGGTCTCACGATGCCATTATCTGTTTTCGTTACTAGTATCAGGTGCTGGAAGGCACCAAACGATCTTAAAATACCACACCACGGCTCTCTTGGGATCTACCTATGTGAGGCCCTGGTCATCTATTTCCTTGTTGGTTCTCGGCAGCAGGTGTAGCACCTATAGCGAATTAGTACGCAGACGAACAGATGATCCGCAAGAGTTATCGCAGAGTGGAAACTTACCCAACACCCAGCCGATTCCAGAAGCCAGTCCACCCGTAACCGCATTGGCAACCATATCCCTCTTCCTCACCCTATTACTCTCGTCACCACTACCGAGATCACTACCCGCAACCGACAGGTTCCGGGAAGCATCGAGAGAGGACCTGCCGCTGTCCTGGCCACCGCTGGCGCTACCGCTAGCTCCAGCACGCAGCGGGAACGCAGATTTACTGAAAGCCGCTGCCGCTCCTCGTGCCACGTCGAAGAGTCCCATGGGTGCTTCTTCTGTTGCACTTCGGCCGACTTCTCTGCGAGGCTGGATGTACGCTGCCTGGGTAGGAAAGGCGCCGGGGGCCCTGCTGTCCGCGTGATCGTTGAAGCGCTCTTCTGCTTCATTCTCTTGTGCAAGGAGAGCCGACATTTCTTCCTCGCAGCGGCGCCATGCTGTCAAGACTTCAGGCACTGATGAGGGTGGGGCTAGAAGCAATGCTTGGGAGAGCAACTCCATGCGCTGCTCCAAGCGACGGAGAGCGGGCGAGCCAGCCACTGTGGCCGTTGACGAAGCTAGAGAGCTGTTGGGGCTGCGATGACGTCCGGCTAGGTACGCAGCTCTCCAAGATATGTCGTCTACCTGACGATTGGCGCTCGGGGAGTCCTTTGATGCGGTCGGATCAAATGAGGGGTTGAGGCGGTTGACAACAAAGGAGTAGGCGGTTTCGAAATCGTCCTCGGCTAGCGCAGCCTCGATCGCCATGCCCATGACACGACGCGAAGCTTGCCTTTTGTGCTCTTCTGTATCGACATCTGACTCTTCGATCAGGGGGCCCTCTTTCTCAAGCAACCGTGCAGCAACCAGATTTTGTCCAATGGTGACCAAGTCATCGAGCTTGGTGTAGCTTCTGGGGTTTTGCTCTAAAACTTTAGAAATCAGAGACACTGGGTCCTCGCTAATCCTGATATTAACTGGCCGGAATGGAACCCCGTGTTGAAGTGTTAGCGAGTAGAAGGACAAAGAATGAGTAGCGGCGAGCAGGGCCTCTGTTGAAAGGAATCCGGGAGAGTTCGAAAAATGGGGCTGGAAGGCACTCATGATATCCAATGCCTTTTTCATACCGCCACGGGTGACATTTCCGTTGCTGGCATTGTCGTAATATTGCATAACCTGGCGAAGAACGCATTCTTCTATGTCCTGATCCTGCAAGTGGTCCCCTCCTCTCACCTCAGGCAGGTAGATGCGGACAGCGAGCTGGAGTTGACCAGCCACCAGAAGCGATGTCAATATCTCTTTCTCCAATGAGAACCTCGCGATCTTCCCTAAAACGCCAGGACCGTTTGCGGCGTGTTGCTCACCCGGATCCATGCCCCAGTTCCAGAGCCAGATGAGCTTGCTGCGGGCTGATTTCCACGACTCTTCGTCGAATTTGGTTCTGTTAGAGAGGCTCTTGAGAATTTTGATAACCAGCTGAAGTTGATCATCTTCATCCGAATGAAAGCGGAACTTGGCCAAGTTGTTCAAAGATATCGGATGTCCGAGGTCGGCTAGGATATAGGCAGAGTATACAAAGATTTGAAGTAGGGAGAATGTCTCTACCGTAGGAACGGTCAACGGATGATTGGGATTCAGAAGGGTATCAGGCTGCAGAATGGCGGCCGTAGTGCTGTGGAGAATGCTTGTATGGCCCTCGATTTTAGGTAGCATTTCCACGCTTGAAGCGAGATCCGGAGGCGGAATAAATTCCATGATTTGGGACAAGCGCACAAGAACACTATGTGCGGCTTGGACCGTGTCCTTGCTGTCGCTTTCGGCGGAATAGACAGAGGCAAAGACAGCCTGGGCATATCGCCTTTCTAGGTGGCTCTGGACTTCTTCGTCAAGACCATCCTGGCGGCTGGGATCCGCATATCCGCCAAGGTCGACATCGCCTGGCCCATCCCAGTATTCGACAGCGCTGCTTATGAGATCGAAGCGTTGCGGAGCCTTGCGCACCATCCACGCGTAGACATGTTCCCAGTCATGATGGTTCCTCGCTGCGCCCGGGGCAGCGTTCTCGCCCTGATGAGTTTTCTCCGCTGCTGAGATCCCGACGGATGAACTGCGGCGCGCAGTGTCGTGCACTTTCCGATCCTTTCTTTGGTCAAAACCATACATCCACGGGCCGACGATGCCCTTAATGTCCCTAGCTATTCTGGTATCATCGGAAGCTGATTCCGCTCTTGATTCCTCCGCCTTACGGACCAAGAATCCTACGCCTTGTGAGCCCTGAATGGCACTGAACTTCTCCAACGATGTTGTGGAGCCCTCGTCTGGGTAGTACTCGAAGTCTAGACGGAGGAGCGGCAGCACATTGGAGATGAACCATGCGCGAAGGTATTGGGAGTGGTCGAGGAAAGGGTCGACAAGCGAGGGAACTAGGCCAAGCAAGCCGGTCTCGGCGTCTATGCGGTATGCGCGGTGTATGAGGAAAAGCGTGAGGAGGTCGAGGTCGAGGTCGGCGCATGATGCGTGTGCCAAAGGCAGCAGCTCGAGCTTTTTGACGCGTTTCTGAGCCTTCGAATTGGAGACGTCGGCGACGGGGGTGGTATCGACATCGATCTTGGGGAGCTGCTGCGTGTAGAAGCGCGAGGCGACCTCTTGGGCGTAGGTGTTGTAGGTCGAGGGCTCGGCACTCTCAGGTAGGAAAGTGAGCAAGATGCGCAGCAGGGTCTCCGGGGTAAAGGCATCAGGCCTCGCTAGCGAAAGGGAGCGCAAAGCATCGATGTGGGAGTCGGCGGCGTAGTGAGTTGCAAGCAGCACGCAGTGGGCCGGCGAGAGCTCTTGAATGCTGGCCATGTCAAATTACGTGGCCCTTAAATATTACTGTCTGGTGCGAGCGCTGAGTGGAAAAAAGCCCATGTCAAATATGAAACTGCGGCGGGGAAGAGGAGGGCGGACAGGCGCCGGGGCGGAGGAGTGAGGGCGAGGGCGGGGTGTTGTAGAGCTGTCTTGGGTGTTGGGCGACTTTCGCGCAAGTCTGTCGCCAGCAGCTCCGATGATCCACAACGCGGTCGCCGCATGTCGGCCCGTCAATGCCCACTCTCCCCGCGCTGTGACATCAATCTCCGCAACACATCCGCAAGCACCCAATCGGTGTTCGTCCGCGGCGTCTCCGACTGATGTCCGTTGCTGGCCCACCTTGTTTAAATCGCCCTTCACCACCAGCTTCAGCCTGGCTATAGTTCATCTTTACATTGTAAATGGCATTACTATTACTGAACCGACGCCTTCGTCCCAGACATGCTTTATCGTATCCAACCGAGAATGCAAAATGCGAATGCGAATGCTCAGCACTTCAACATCTCCTCGTCCACCTCCCAGCCTTCCCACGTCGGCGCGTCAAATCCGTTGGGTCTCGAGTTGCGCAGGAAGCCGTTCCACGTACCCTCGACTTCTGAAACCGGCCGGACGAACTTGACAGGCGCATCGAAACCCCGGCTGTAGCTCTCGAAGAGATGCTTGCTCTCAAACAGTTCGGGATGTGTCAGCCTCATCGTCTTCAGCGCACGCTTGCCCACCTCGTCCACTGAGTCGTAGTGTCTCAGCTCAAAGAATGCCGGATCGTGCACCTTCCGAAGCTTGTCCATCAACTCCTTCGAGTAGAGCCCCTGCTGTAAGAGGAAAATATCGTACTGGCAGAGCGACGTTGTACCATGGTAGGATCCACCGTATTTGGCGCGCTTGTACAGCCCGACGAGCGCGGCGATGGTGCCCATGCAACCAGTGCCGTAATCGCTCATGGGGAACGGAGGAACGACCGGTTCATTCAAGCCCATGGCCTGTCCCTGCGCCCATGCAACACCAGTCACACAGTCCGCAATCTGTTGCCACCCTGGTCTACCTGCCCACTCGCCAACATGTCCGAAACAGTCCTCAGCCACGTAGACAATACCGCGCTTGCGCCTTTGGGCGAGCTCAATGAGCTGCTTCGGGCCGTATCCAAGACGTTCAAGCGAGCCGGGACGGTAGCCATCCAAAATAACATCAGCGGTCTCAAGAAGTTCTTCAAACACTTTGCGATCCTCGGGCTTCTTCAGGTTCAGGTCCGCCGTGTGCTTGCCCAAGTTTCCGTCAACCTGGAAGAAAGGAACATCGGGAAGATCTGGCGAAGTGACCTTGATCACATCCGCGCCGTATTCCGAGAGGCCGCGGCCCATGGCGGGGCCGGCAATAATCCTGCAGAGCTCCAGAACCTTGATACCAGCAAGGACTTGAGGCTTCGGTGCTGCGGTGGAGAGGCCGGGGAAGGGCACGGGCGGAGAATCCGACTCTATTTGCTCGACTCTCCACGGGGGCTCCTGCAGCAATGTCTTGCCCTATAACGCACGTTAGCCCACGTCCGGGGAACTCGCTCGACCGCCTTACATGACTTGTCTCCTTGAATTCCTCCCACTTCAAAGCCGTGACTCCAGCTTGCCTCTTCTCCGCATTCATCTTCTCGAGCTCTTCAGCAGTAAATTGTTTAACGTGGCTTTCTATGAGCTTGATACACCCCATATAATCCGTCATGTCCGGTCTGTGTCCTTCAAGGCCAACCATGTTCAAGGCGGTCGTCGCCTCAAGAGAACCGTGAAGATGGAAGTATTCGCCCGGGTTCTTGGTCTCGTACAGATTCGCGGAGAGTCTTCGGTAAAGGATGGATTGCGCTTGCAGGAGGTCGGTGTCTACTCTGTGTAAGCCAATGGCAAGAGTTTGGTTTTAGAAAACGCCTACCTTTCAGCTTCGACTTCACGTCCGGGTGTGCCTTGTTCATGCCGTCGACGGTGGAGAGGTATGCGGAGAAAAGAAACGAAGAGGCGCGGTCGAGATCGACGGTGATTTGCCTGTCCTTCTCGCCGTAGATCAGGTTGGCGATGGCAGCGGCCATGCCCGCCTCCACGGCCTTCAAGGCCGACGTAGCCTCCGTCTCTTTGAAGGGGCATGGAAAGTACGGGCTTCCCGTGTTCGCGGTGGTGAAATTGGCCTTCTGGATGACGTCTCTGCACTCGATGGGGATCTGGGTCTTCGCAAGCTGGAGCAGGCTTGCGAGCGACTTCCTCGTCTCGGCTTCCATGGAGTAGGCGTCCTTGGGGTGTCCATTAGTGGCAGCGGCGCCGTTCGGCGCTCCGTTTACAGCGGTCATTCTCAGGTACTGGCAATCACTCGGTAGTGGGGAGTGAGCAGGGCGAGATTAAGAGCAGACGCAGGGTTATAAATGGCGAAGGGAGGGCCTGCGGCAAGGGAGGAGGAAAAGTAGACCGCTCGTAAGCGCACCCAGATCCGAGGGGCCGCGGGAACGGCGGCGGGTATATATGAGGGCGCCATGATGGTGCTCAATGGACGGGGTTGTTGCGACGGCGCTGGTGGACGGGTAGGGCTGAGCTGTGTGGTGCGGCACCCGACGACGACTGACGGCAGGCCAAGCACCCAACACCACCGCTGGGCGAATCTCCGATCGAAGCCCGCAACCAGTCGCTTCCGGGGCGTGCGTTCACCGGAACGAGCTCGGACTGCGTGACCGCTCGCAGTCGACTATCAGGGCCCCGCGGCGGGGTGCAGCGCCGTGCCGTGTCGCCGTGACAGCATCCGACGCGCTTCCAGCTCGCAGCTCCTATCCGAAGATCCACCACGGCGTGACATCGACCGCCGGCAATTGCCCAGCACCAGCGCCCTCCTCCGACATGACGCGCCCAAAGGTACCGCCTGAACAGCGCCAGAGGACCGCCCAGGCCTGCGAGGTCTGCAAACGCCGGAAGCAGAAAGTGAGTCACGTCTCCTCGTTGAACCCAGCGCTTCCACTTCCGCCTCCGTCTCCGTCCCCAGGTCGCCCCGTGCAAGCTCCCGTCTCACCCGCCAAGCACATGCAACCGTTCTCCATGCTCTCCCGTTCCCCGCCGCCTCAAATATGGCCATTGCCCCAATCCAGAAAGCCGTGACCCGTCCGCCCGCGATGTGCATTTTGCGTTGCGGCCGTGCTCACCTGAGCTTGTCTCGTGTCATGTCATTGTGAATTCCGCGTAGAGAATGGCTCGCCACCGCCACTGAACGAATCGGCCCTCTGTTGGCCATGGCATCATTGGGATTGTCCCTGCTAACTACCGCTGTAGTGTAACGGTCTCTACCCTTGCAACACATGCGAAAAGGTACTACTCAACTCACTCCCGTGCGGGGAATCCGACCTCACTCATGTGCCGCCTGTAGCGCAAGTTTACTTGCATATACGTCGACCGGGAGGGCGACCCTCCAGAAGATGGCCCACCTACCAAGAAGGTCCAAACCGAAAATGGTTCAGGAGATTCTCCGGCCCGCTCCGGCGAGAGGAGCAAAGACAATGCCGGTGCGAATGGCCACCCTAAAAGCTCGTCAAGCCTTCAGAGGACATCGTCACAGAAGCCCAAGTCCCATGCGCATCAGTCTCAGAAGCGATCAAACCCTAAGCCTATCCACTCGGTGACCCAGGCTTTTGAGCCTGATGCTCTAGAGGCTGCTGAGGCCGCCGCGAGGTCTCTTCAGCATTTTGCAACCAGAGTAGAAGATCCGCCTAAGCCGCACGGGACCTCAAATACCGCAAGTACTGATGGCAATGAAGAAGAAGCCGTCATTTATTCGCAGATGCGAATGCTCCAGGACCCGACAGGAAGACTGCTCTACGTAGGAGATGCTGCGTCGCTATCATTCCTTCAACTTCTCCGGATGATGGTGGAAAACGTCTCAGGGCCATCAGCATTCACCACGGACCCGCGGAGACACAAAATCACTGAAATTCCTTTCTCACTGCCATCAAACATGAGGCATACTCACCTGTTACCGGACAAGAGGACCGCTTACATTCTGGTCGAGTCTTTCTTCATAAATACGCATGGCTTTTGTCAAGTATTCGAGAGGCATGCCTTTACTGCTGCTTTGGAGCGCTGCTATTCCGACCCCTTAACTACCGAGCCACCATGGTTATGTCTTCTCAACCTTGTCTTCGCCATTGGACTCATGCTAGCGACTCCTCGCCCTGACACCCCGGACGCTGCTATTATCGATAAGCTCCACAGGGACCATCCGGATAGGGCCGAGGTATTCTACATGAACGCCAAAAGTCTTAACGATCCTCTCCACGGATTCGAAGATGCCGATTTCTGGTCCGTTCAGGCTCTTTTATTGATGTCATACTACATGCTGGTAAAATCAAAAAGAAACACAGCTTTCGCTCTACTCGGTATGTGACTCGATAATGAAGCATTGCTATATACTCCTCAGAAGCTGACACTCTCAAGGCATGGCTGTGAGGTCCGCATACGCCCTAGGACTCCACCGAGAAGAAACAATGGTAATTTTTGGCCAAGACGAACAAGCGGCAAGACGGAATCTGTGGCGCTCGCTTTTCGTCATGGATAGATTCCTATCATTCTCCCTCGGTAGACCTGTTGCCATTTCCGAGGATGATTGTAGTGGCGACACTCTACGACCCGCGCAGCCCGAAGAGCACGATGCCTTTGGCTTTGACTCGGCTTTCCAAACCACAATAAACCAAGGCAAGACTAACGCCAGCGCGCTTGAGGCCGCCGTGCGAAGTTGTTCTGTCATCGGAAGGATCCTCAAGGAAGTCTATCAACAACGGAAAATTAGCACCCGTCTGGCACAAGAAATAGCTGATGTGTGCAAACTGTGGCCGAAAGCGTTGGCCCCTCAACTACACTGGCGGCAAGCGCCAGCGGCCTGTCCCAGTCAAGGAATTGCCATCCTTCATGTTAACCTTTTCTATTGCCACTCGATCATCCTCCTCACTCGGCCATTCTTCCTGTACATTATGAATGCTGAGACGCAGAAAGAGATGGGACACCAAACGGCAAGCTCCCATCAACGCCACAAATATCCTCGCATGGAGAAGTTCAGTGAGGCATGCGTTATTGCTTCGTCACACAGCATCGTCCTGGTTCAAGCCGCGTACGAGGCTGGTTACCTCCCACGACGGAATCCTGCTGTGATGTACTTCCTCTTTGCCGCGACGCTGGTTCTCCTGGCCAACGAGTTTGCCGGTTTGTACAGCAGCCGGGAAGCAGACCACTGTATCTCCAACGGCATCAACATCATGATGTACTGCGCCGACTGCGATCAGCAAGCCTCTAGGCTCTTCCACATCCTCGAAGCCTTCAGAGAAGTAGTCAGCCAACAACGCGACCGTCGACGCCGACTGCAACAGCCTCAACCCAACCTCATGGGCTCGCTCAATCAACCCACCCCTCCACAATTCCCCAGCTCAGCGTCACGCCCATCCGTGTCCTCAGAACCCCAACAACCCCAGCAATCCTTCATGCCGCAGCAGGACTTTTCCAGCGCCATGGGCCAGCAAGCCACACCACCCGACCTCACCCACCCCCACGTCTCGGTCCAACAAGCCGCCGCCGCCGGCCAACTGCCCCCCTCGGCTCTCCTCAGCCCCACAGCCACCGCCCCCATGGGCGCCCCGACGCCTCAGCACCAACACCGGCCCCAATCCGTCGCGCCCGCCTCGGGCGCCGGCACGCCGCGCGTAGTAGCAGCTTCGCCCGCGGGCAGCACTTTCTCTAGTGGCGCGCCCCCGACGCTGTCGCGCAACTTGTCGCTGTCGAACCTGCTCGACCTCAACGCGCTCGACAGCATGGGCGGCATCCCTAGCATCCGCAGCGACGACGGCGGCTCGTCGGGCGCGGAGGAGCACATTGACTTCGATGCGTTGTGGGCTTGGCCGAGCAATACGCCGGCTGTTGGGAGTCCGACGCGCATGGGGGGCCAGGAGGTGACGGTGCAGGGGATCAGCGATTCGGCGATTCCGTTGTTTGGGGTGTATGATCAGTGAGGGTTCGTGTTTCTTCGAAGGGGGAGGAACGAGTGTGCGTGCTGGTTGTGTGCACGTGTCTTTTTTATGATGGGATGCTATGGTGGTGTGGCGTTGGTGAGGAGATATTTGGAACGGTGGCTGATGACGATGACACCTTTGATCTGAGGGTGTAGATTCACGATGCATATACGTAAACCAAAATGGATATAAAGCTCTTTCCTGCGTGGGCACTCGAGATATCTAGATGTGGATGTACCTTTCAAATTTGAACGAACACGTCCGAAAACTGAATCCAACTACACCCATAAGTACACTCGCACAAAGCACTGGTGGAAAAGGCAACTTTGTAAGGCTTGGTCCGCATATAGTGCAACATAGCCCGATGCTGTGCTCCTCTTCTACGCTCTACAGGGGTCTGAAGCTAAATGAACAGAAACTCTTCCCCATACGACTTCATGTGTTCCTATGTCGCCATCCCCTTATCAGCGTTGGTCTATCAAGTAGTACATGCTCAGCTGCCTCTTGTCTCCGCAGTAGGCAGCTATTCAAGCGGCGATGGCGGTGTGACCGTGTTGGTCCCAGTGGTACCATGAAAACTGTAGAGATTGACTCGCAAAGGGGACCTAGCGGTAACAGATGGGCGACTGTAGGGATGGGTACTTGAACTAGCTTATCATCGGTAAGAACAACCGTAGCTTACGAAACCGGTGGTTGCGGAGTGTCGAGGTGACGAGGCAGCGTCGAGAAGGGGGAGGGGAGCGGCAATTTGAGGGGTACTATTCTTCACGCTGGCCTTCGGTTGCGATCACCCTTTAGTCCTGTCTTGAAAGCTGCCAATTCCGGTCATCACCATGTTCTATTTCATCATTCTGCGGCGAAACTCATTTTGGGTAATTGGATCCGATGTCCAAATATATTTATGCAATTCCAAAATTCACATTCACGTCGAACATTTGCTTTGGCTCCCCATCGTAAAGATAGTATTAAGTCTGCATCTGTATCCGAACGACTGCTCTAGCTCCCCTCCCTATCAAGATGGTAGTCTCCAGTCTATTACCTCTCCCATATTTGGACTCTCGCGTTTAAAAATAGACATTCCAGTCCAGTCCATGGCATCCTGTGCCTCCCTCTGAGTCCACACGTAGTAATGATTGACGGCGTCCACCATCTCCACCGAGAAGACATTTTCCAGCTCATCAACATTGGACAGATGCCTCTCGGTGGTTTGGTCTTTAGAGTCATCAATGGCCCACAGCGCATTCGCGAGGTTTCGTATTACGCTCTCTGTCCTCCCTCCTTCCCAGGTGAGATCAAAGAATTCCATGAGCGAGGCGCAGAGGAAGTCGGTCGCGTCGGTCATGCCATAGAGGCCTCTGATGAGCCGCTATGGAAGACGCAAAAGAGAGCAAATCAGCCTTCGTTCCTTCTTGTTTGTTTGTTTTCTTTCTTGCTCTCACTTACCCTCATATACCGGAGATGGCCATTGAATTCGGTGCTATAGTCAAACGCCAGAGTCTTACCACGATCCTTAAGACCTTCCGGAATTTCGTCGGCCTCCATGGCCATGGTTTTGAGTGCGCGCATCTGGGCAATTCTTCTGGCGAATTCCTCCCTGTATACTTCGTGCGACTCCCTTGCCGTCCTTGCGATGTGGAGCGCGTCCTCGAGGAGGCAGTGGACATGGTATCGGACGATTACAATTGAATCGCGGTAGAGATAAGCTGGGTCTTTGTTGCTATTGATCCATCGCATGGTGGCCGCTTCGAGGTCGAGCTTTGTGGAAGTCAGTTAAATCGGATTTAAGCTTGGTGGAGGTAATTGCGCATTTCATACTGCCATGTTTGGTTGCCTGTTGCTGAGCGATAAGACTCGGTACGTGTATGGATGAAAGTGTCGTGTCTGGTGATGCAAGAGAACTGAGTCTTTAAAGTAGATAGGAAGAGCGAGGACAGATAGTCGTGGTTGCCGTATTCAGTAGGTAGATCCTGACTTCTTCAAACCTCCAAATGGTTTCCCTCCTTCACAAGCCGAAAGCCTCCGCATGCCAAAACACGTCCCTTCCCCTTCTCACCCACGAGCCAACGTGCCTGCGCATCTCCTTCACCATCCCATCCGGCCCGCACACCAGGACCGCGACCGCCCCGGACGACGCCTCGAACGCCTCGTCCACAATGGCAGCCAGGTCCGGGCGACCGCGGGAAATGACCCGGCCATGCGGCTTCTCCTCCTTGCCGTTGTTCTCGTCCTCCTTCACGAGGGTCTGAGCGTCGGCGAGCTCGATGTCTTCTTCATCGTCATCACCTGCGAGCAATCCTTCGCGGCCGCTGTCCTCATCCACAGCGCCAGGACCACGCGTCACGAACACGTCGATGTCCTGGTTTGCAAAGGACGTGCATGAAGACGACGAAGAGCTGCCGGCAGCGTCGGGTGTTGTCGGTGGGAAGGCCCAGCGCGTCTCGGCCAGCCGTCGCACCGCCCAGACGAAGCGGACGCGGGTGCGTAGCGCGGGCGACGCGTCGCCGGGATTGGCACCCTCGGTGAGGCTGCGGAAGAGCGGGACGGTGAAGGTGGCGCCTACGCCGCCGGCTACGAGGAGGACGTGCTCGAAGTCGTTGAGGTCTGGTAGAGAGGCGCCGTAGGGGCCTTCGATGGTCAAGGGGATGGTGGGGTTGCCGTCGGTCGTCTGGCTGCGGAGGGAGCGCGCTACTGCGGCGAGGTGCTTGGTGTTGCCGGCGAGAGAGCGGGCGACCAGGAGCAGTTGTCTGTCTTTCGCAGGGACTGAGGCGACAGTGAAAGGGTTTGTGCGGTAGCGCATTGCGAACGTGTTTGCGTAGCTGAGTGAAGGTTGGCCCAACGGCGGCTTGCTAAGATGGACGTGTTGACCAGGTTTGAATTCCTTTGCGTCTTTGTCGAAGGGCAGCGGCACCGTGACTTGGACAAGATTGGTGCCGGGGATTAGAGTGATGGAGCCAGAGAACTGCCGCATTTTGGCTTGACGGAAGATTTGAAGAATGACGAATACGGCAAGCATTTCGAAGACATAGGTGCGGATGTGAGAGACGTGAAATATGAGGACGTCGACGAGAATGATAGCGAGGAGGACGTGGGTAGTGAAGAAGATGCGGTAATTCCAGTTGCGGATGTAGCTGAGGGCCGTGGTGCTCATGGTTGCGAACATGACGAATCCGATGAGGCCGGTGATGACATCCACATCACCAAGACGCTTAGTGAGAACGCCGGATCGGACGAAGAAGTTGAGGTAAAATGCCGCGTGTAAGCCGAAGAAGCCGGTGAGGATCTTGCCTAGCAGCTGGTGAATCGCAACGACACGCTCATACGATAGACGAGTCAACATCTGGATAGGAGAGTACGCGGATCGCATTGCAAGCAAGTACTGCAGCGGAAGCTGGGACGCTGCAACCATGCCGAAGCGCTTCGTGAGGTGTAGATAGTCTAGAAGCAAAAGTCAATATATTGAACTCAACCGTGGAATTTCGACGAGAAAGCGGCGAAGCAGAAATTACAGCATATTTAATGTCTTGTACAGGAACTCACCATTACCAGTTCTGTGAATACAGAGAAAAAGAAGCCAGAGTGACCACACGAGCCCGAAGATGCACTCGCCCTTGGTAAACCAGCCTTCCCTGAGAGTCTCGTCGGCCCACCAGCGGAAGCGCGTCAGCTGCTCTTCAAAATACCAATACCAGGCTTTCCCCTCAAGGTTCATGGTTTTATTTGGGAAAGGAGAGCGAGGCCGCTCTTGCCTGGACTTGCGGAGAATAGCCCATCTCACAACGAAGCCCAACTGAGCGACAATAAACACCGCGAGTATGGACCATTGCGCAATAATCCCATAGAGATCCAGCAAGTTCCGGCGAACAGCCTTCTGCTCGCTGTCGAGGGTCACGAACTCGTAGCCAAACATGTCGGAATGCCGGGTAATGATGTGGTGGAGCAAGAAAGCAAGCGGGTCCTCACGATCCGGCTGTGGTTACCTGTACATATTATATTCGGAGTTGAGGTGAGAAGGGAGTCGGCTCAGCTCGGGGCCGGAAATTAAAAGTAAGCGCAGTTTGACTTGGCTGTCATTGGCCATGGCTCGCGAATACTGCGCAACGTAAGCTGCAACACCATCCGCTTTCGGATAGCTCTCAGCCCCTCCGCTCAATCTCTCCACTCAGCCTCCCTGCCTAGCCCTACAAAAGTTTCTTCGTCATGACTCGTTCTACACGAAGCTGTACCACCGGCCACTCACATTTGCTAATTCTCTGGAACGCTGGATGAGTCTCGCAAGCTAACATGGAGGCAGAGGTCCAGAGCTCCAGAAACGGACCGAGTCCCTGAATCCCCACACCCCGCCGCTTATCTCCGAGCTATGATGCAGCCTTCCCGCTCCAACCCACTCTTGGCTTCAATGACTCTCATCCTTGAACAACTTTTGTTCGTGAAGCTTGTTAACTTCCGTGAACACGAAAAACAACCGAGTTGACAATGTCCGCCGAAAATACCTCTGTGACGCCGCTCTGGCTGGACGTTGATCCTGGTACAGCTTTCTGCCCCTCAGGCGCCGCATTCCTTGCTAATCCCTCGTAAAGGTCACGATGTACGTCTTCGCTCTTCATCCGGTCTGATCACCTCTGATTCCGATCCCAGGACGCATTCGCCCTCCTCCTAGCCGCGCACAACCCCAACGTCCATCTTCTCGGCGTCAGCACCGTCCACGGCAATGCGTCGCTCGAGCACACCACTCAGAACGGCTTGAGCATCCTGGAAGCCATCGGCTGCCGCGACATTCCTCTCTATCCTGGCGCCAGCAAGCCTCTCGTCCGCGACGCTGTGCACGCCGCCAGCATCCACGGTACATACATGAACGATAGCACCACCTGAAACCTGGTTCGGTCGATTTTTTGGTCCACGGGGAATCAAGCTCGCTGACGGATTCGTCGCACACATTACAGGCGAGTCTGGCTTGGATGGGACGACCATCATGCCCAAGCCCGTGCGGGCTGCGGTCCGGGATGTCGACTGCGTCGAGGCCATGTACAAGGCTCTGATCACGACGCCTCCGAAGACGGCTTGGCTTGTTGCGACGGGAACGTTGACGAATGCGGCACGCGTCATCAAGGAGCACCCTGATTTGGCGGGGCATCTGAAGGGCTTCAGCATCATGGGCGGTGCTATAGGCGGCGGCTTCACGGATGCACCGCTGGGAAGGGTAGCGGGTGAAGGGGAGAGGGTTGGTAACTGGACGCCGTACGCAGAATTTAACGTAGGTGCATCTATATGACAATAGGTCATTAAACATGTTGCTAACTTTAAACAGATTTATGTATGTTCAATTCCTCGTCTCTCTCCAGCTCTAGTTTGCACAAGATCTGCCATTAGCCAGTCCACATAACAATCCCCCAGAAACCCACTAACAAATCCCCAGTGCGACCCCGAAGCAGCCCAGTTCCTGCTCACCCACCCCATCATCGCCCCCAAAACCACCATCATGCCCCTCGACGTAACCCACCAAGTCCTCGGCACGCCATCCGTCCAAAGCAAACTCCTCGGCCTCCCCGGCGGTATCCCAGCCCGCGACTCCCCCGAAAAGCCTCTGCCAACGCCCATCCGCGCCCTCTTCCACGAAATCATGACCTTCTTCGCCAAAACATACGCCGAAGAGTAAGAGACCTTCCCCTTTAGGAAAGCGTCAAACCCCCCTCCATTAACATTTTCTTCCACTCGCAAAGATTCGCCCTCACCGACGGCCCACCCCTGCACGACCCGCTCGCCGTGGCCGCGACCTTCGCGCCCGACCTCTTCGTCGACAACGGCGGCGAGAGATTCGCCGTCCGCGTCGTCACCGACGGCGAGCACCGCGCCGACCCGGCCCTCAACCTGGCCGACGCCGAGGCCGTGGGCCAGCTGGGCCGCACACTAATCACTGAAGTGGTGGCGGAAGAGGAAGGTAGGAGAGAAGGCGTCCGCATACCGCGCACGTTGGACGTAGCGCGATTCTGGGATTTGATCGACCAGGCGCTGGCGGCTGCGGAGAAGGTGTCGCCGTTGCCGGCGTTGGAGGCTGATTGGTGGAAGACGAGGGAGTGAAGATGCGGCCTGCGCTTGCTTCCTGGATGTTTTAATTGATGTTGACTCTCAACAAAATTTTGTGCTGGATGGCCTTTCGTTGTGGCATTCGGATGTTCACCTTCGTTTGGAAGCTCGCTGGATGGAGTGTGGGTTTCATCTGAACATAACAATCTTCATTAAATGCTAGATATAAAGACTATCTTCATGCGTTCAAGGATAACCTCTAAGTGACAAGCATTTTGCGCTTCTGGGTGCTCTAAGGATCATAAAAGTCCATGTGGAAAATGGGGATATGGGCAGAAACTAAAGGAAGCAATTCTTTTTCATCATCGAAAAACGTCTACAGGCTGTTCTCGACCTTCATGGCGTCGGCGATGGCGTCCTTGACGGCCTGGGCCTGCTCGGCGCTCAGCCTCTTGAGCGGTCTCCGGGGGAAGCCGCCGTAGCCGTAGTAGGACTCGATGGCCGACTTGGTGCCGGGGATGGCCGTCTTGGTGAGCTCCCAGTCGCCCTTGCTGAGGACCTTCTGCAGCTCGATGGCCTCGTCGTACTTGCCCTCGCCCCAGAGCTGCCAGATCTTGACGCACAGCTTGGGCAGCACGTTGGCGCCGCCGGCGATGATGCCGGAGCCGCCACTAGCAGCGGTCTGGGCGGTGAAGTCGGCGAAGCCACCGAAGGCCATGTAGCCGGCACCGGCGCTCTTCGCGGTGGCGGCGTTGGTGGCGAGGGCGACGCGGGTCAGCTTGCCCGTGTTGCCGCAGGTGAACTTTGTGCCGACGATGTTGGGGTGCTGGGCCAGCTTGATGAGGAAGTCCGAGTCCATGTCGATGCCGGCGACGGCGCCGGGGAAGTTGTAGATGAGGACGGGGGCGGGCGAGGCGTCGGCGACGGCGATGTAGTAAGAGTAGATGGCCTCGTTGTCCATGGCGTAGCGGTAGTAGCTGGGCGGCACCAGCAGCACGTACTCGCCGCCGGCGGCGTGCGCCTCTTTGCACAGCTCGATGGTGCCGCGGATGCTCTGCTCCGACGCACCCACGATGACGGGCACGTCCTTGAAGCCGGCGCCGTCGAGCGCCTCGCGCACCGCGCGCGTCACCGACGTCCGCTCCGCACGCGTCAGGTGCACCGCCTCGCCGTTCGAGCCCATCGTCACCAGGCCGACCAGGCCGGCCTTGGCCAGCATCACCGAGTGCTTCTGGAGCGTGGGCAGGTCGAGCTCCTCGGTGTCGGGGTTGAAGAAGGTCATGAGCGGGGCGTAGATGCCCGCGCGCAGAGGTGTCCTTGCTGCCATGGTGAAGTCTGAAGTCTAGAGTCTTAGGGTCTAGAGGAGGGGGTATCAAGGTCCTGGGATGGAATGGAAAGAGGAAATACTTTGTTGCACGCGGCCAGGCAAGCGGCAGGCAAACCTACCTTATAAGGGCAGACGAGGAATGGGCAGGTGCCGCCATAGCTACCCCGAAGCCGGCGGCAGCCCACTTTTACTCGGTGTTCCGTCGACGATGTTGCGGCGACGGCAAAAGGGAAACAGGCGTCTAGGCCTGCTGATGTGAGTGCGTTGATCGACCAATGGACTGGGCTGGCGGTAGTGCATATTGCCGACAACCGGACGTGTCATTGACTAATGGGGGCGCTGCTGGTGGTGTGTTAAGGCCGTGGTGCTTGCGAGGTCAGGGTCGGCAGCAGACGGTGGAAGAACCGGGGGTGTCTGTTGATGGCGGGGACTGGAGTTTTCGCACCAATCAGCGGCGGCCCGCGGCGTGGGGTGTTCCTTTTCTTGGCCCTGGGGAAGCGTGGGCCCGGGGGAGTTGCGCGACTTTCGCAGCTGCACGCCGCCCGCTCGCCGCCTGCCCCACGCTGCCCCTCATCGTCGGCCTCATTTTTCCGCGCCTTCAATTCCTGGCGCGCTCGAGCAGACGCCGACGCAACTATGTTTCCCGTTGCGCCTACTAGAATCGAGCCCGTCCTCGACTCTCCTCCTCCAGATTGATTCGCTTTCTCTCCGCGCGAAACTTACCCTCCGCAATGGCTCCTCTCAATGTGTTGATGGTAAGACGGTGCCCCTCCATCCTCGACGCGTCTTCTGGTCGACTAACGCGTGACAGGTCGGCACCGGCGAATACACCACCGGCTTCGTCGGTGGTGGAATGTCTGGCTCCGACAAGAAAGTCGGTGTCGTCGGGTTGACATTGTTCGATCTCCGGCGGAGAGGGAAGGTTGGCAAGCTGAGCATGGTGGGCACCTCGGGGAACAAGTTTCCGGCCATTCGTGCGCGTGCCTGCTGAACTCGGCGCAATTCGTGAAACTGACGCCGCGCAGGCGACCATCTGCACAAGAACATCACCCAGGCCTACAATGGCCTAGACACCTCGTTCGACTCTTTCCCGGCCGACGACAAGCGCGATCCCGACGCGTACAAGGCCGCCATTGACGCTCTCTCCCCCGGCGACGCCATCACCATCTTCACTCCCGACACCACACACTACCCCATCGCCCTGTACGCCATTCAGCGCAAGATCCATGTTCTGGTGACGAAGCCCGCTGTGCAACTCCTGGAGCACCACCAGGCGCTGCTGGAGGAAGCGAGGAAGAATGGCGTCTTTGTTTTCGTCGAGCACCACAAGCGCTTCGATCCTGCCTATGCCGATGCGCGCTTCAGGGCTCAGAAGCTGGGCGACTTCAACTACTTCTACAGTTACATGTCGCAGCCCAAGTCTCAGCTCGAGACTTTCAAGGCGTGGGCTGGCAAGGATAGCGACATTTCTTACTACCTGAACTCGCACCACATCGACATCAACGAGTCCATGGTGCCCGACTTCAAGCCCGTGCGCGTGACTGCCAGCGGTGCTAAGGGCATTGCCACCGACCTCGGCTGTGTTGAGCAGACCGAAGATACCATTACCTTGTTGGTCGACTGGGTGAAGAAGACCGACCCTTCGAAGAGAGCAACCGGTGTCTACACTGCCAGCTGGACAGCACCACAGAAGGCTGGCGTCCACAGCAACCAGTACTTCCACTATATGGCAGCTAAGGGCGAGGTCAGAGTAAACCAGGCCAAGAGAGGGTATGACGTCACTGAGGATGAGGCGGGCCTGGTGTGGTTCAACCCGTAAGTTGATTCTCTGGTTTTGTTCACTATACCTTTGTGAATACTGACCGTACCCTACTCAGATTCTACATGAAGTATGCGCCGGACGAGGAAGGAAACTTCAACGGTCAGACCGGATATGGATACATTTCGTTTGAGAAGTTCGTGGATGCAGTCACAGCCCTGAAGGAGGGCAGGGTGACTTTGGACGACCTCGATAAGCGCGGTCTGCCTACCCTGAAGAACACGATTGCTACTGGCGCCATTCTTGAAGCTGGCCGGAGATCGTTGGACGAGAAGAGACCGATCGATATTGTTGAGGAAAACGGGGTCTGGTCCCTGAAGTGAGCGTGCCAATAGCTTTTTTTCTGGTACGCGAGCTCGGTATTCCCTTTTTTGTTGGTACGGTTTCAAAATTTTCAGTCTACAAATAATTATTCAGAACATGAGCAGCATCAAATGCACCGTCTTCACCAAGCTCCATTTCCCTGCTAAACGACCGTAGCGATGGACCCGTCAAATAACAGCTCAACGACTCTCGCTTCTATCAACTCCCCAAATGCAGCATCACCAATCGGATGGGGAGCAGTTCATCCTTACAATGAAACAGAGCAGATAAGAACCACCAATCGAACACGTTCTCTATTTCTGCAGTGGGCCGACGAACAATTCGACAACCATGCACAGTACTACCTTGACCAGGAAGATGACGACGGCAGGCTTAACTACATACTATCATGGAATCGCATGCGCTCGCCTCTGGAGCTACAGCGCAGACTTAGGATATGGCTCAAAGATCGATACATATTTTACTCCCACTATTTCGGCGGCGCCAAGTATCTCGCAGAAGAGGTCCTCAAAGTTCTGGTTCAAGCGCGTGACGGCGTTGCTACGAAAGATGATGCCAGACTGGCAATCCACCATGCCCTTGACATGAATAAGGCGAGAAATATTGTAAGTTTCTAGGGCGCAAACCCTTCTTTCCCTTATTTTTTACGTGTTCATTAATGCTTTTCACTTCCTTACAGGCACTCAGGTGTGAACACAACCGTCTAAACAGAGATGCCGAATTCCTCGTCCAGTCCCTCATTGAACAAAGTGTCTACCCATACAGCGAGGAGGACGTATTGGATGCTCTCCATAATGCCCATGATTCATTGGACTGCACATTCGAAGTGCAGATCGCTGTTGCTCTGCAGCTCGTCGATGGCTCTACGGACTACGAAACTACATTGGTCAACCAATACCGACTCATCGCGCAGTACGATCCGGTCGAATCGATAACCGCGGCGGAGAGCATGTGGGTCGACCTGTTAGGTGAGGTTCACAACGATGATTCGCTGCAGACGTGGCGGACATGGGCGGCGATTGTAGCATCATCCGCAATACGGATGAAGGATCGCTACGATATCAGCACTGAGGATGATAGCGAAAGCCTGAAGAAAGAGGGCTCGATCAGCCGGGGTTCAGATGAGTCGATGAAGGACAGCCGAGATTCCAATGGAGAAAAAAGCCAGTCGAGTCTGCACGACGACGGAACCGATACCGATTCCAGTGAATGGGAGATGTCTTACGCCGACCCTAGCCATAAATACGAGAATAGGCCGCCGCCATCTCTCAGCGATAGAGGTATCGATGAGTGGCGCGAGGAGTACAGCGACCTTAGGCGGTGGACGAGGAAGAAGATGTTGCCTACTATCCCGGAAAACGAAGAGCTCTGCATAATAAACGAAGGGTCCATGTTACGTGCAGGAAAAAGTCTACAAGAGAACAGGCATCCGGAGGAACATGAATTGGCTCACGTACAGGGACTGGGCAGTTCGCAAGGGCAGCCCGTTTCTTCCTCGACGGTTTCAGGTTCGTTCTCCTTCGACAAACGTTTCGAGTTTGTGTAGCAAAATTCTCTGGCTTGTGGGGTGCGAATTCCTTCTAACATGGAACAAAAAGACTTCAATGGGATAGGTCAAGTCCTAGAACACCGTAGTCCAGAGTTCAAAGACGGGTCCTCGGCAGAAGAGGAATATTTTTCAGCCGAGGAAGATACCGCTGTTCAAAGAGCTCGTTCTCCCGTTGGCTTCGGCTACCAGCGAGATCATCTGAGCACTTCACGCCATTTGCTCCAACACAACGGCGCGTTATCATCGCGATCATTTCACTTTGAATGGTGATGGAGAAGAGAGATTGGAGTAGATGCATTGGAGGCGTACACCGCTTTGTCTGGCTAAAATTCAAGTAAATGCACCCCAAAAGACGCAGGTTTTCTTGTGATCCAATCTGGGAGAGAAGCTGACTGCAGAATAGATATCCCTGTCAACAAATAGTAACAAGAGCTAGTCGGAAGTTGCATCCGAATTAACGGTAGCAAGTGTAACCTACGTCAACATATTCTTTTTCCGTCGAAGAGATCGGACCAGACAAACGTAACGAAAACTGATGTTTTCAGTCTACAAGGAAGCGAAGGCCAAGCTTTTTGGCAGGGCTCGCACATGCGCGATGCGAAATGCTCACAGCTCAGCCGCATGTTTTCCGCTAGTCTCCTTTTCCCAACAAAGTTTCTCGGATGTTGTGCGGAACGTTTAGTACAAATGCGGTAATCGGAACTTTCTCCATCCCGTGAAGAACTGGGAATCAAGAAGGGGATGTGGGGAAAACAACAGCCGCACCATGGTTGTTAAGGAAAATGACACTACCGATTTTATAGGAACTTTTCCTCAAGCGGGGGACGAGCGACTGATTGCGGATTGAGCAAAGGAGGCCTTGATGCTGCCAATGAGCTGGTGAAAAGGTATAAAGATATCAATTAATCACCGCGAATCCTATGAGACGACATCGAAAAACACAGTCTGTCGATCCCCTACAGCTCTTCTCTGCAAAATGGGCAACTACAAATCCGACGCAGTCGCAAAAGCCTTCCAATGCTTTGTTGGAGCATGGGGATTCATCAATGCAACCCAACAGTAAGTAATTGAAGCCCCCTTGAAGCACTCTCTTTCCTCCCACCATCAGCACCATCAAATCTCCACGGCAGCTAATCAAGATTGCAACAGGGACTGTGACGGGAACATCCTTCCCGACTGGCACGGGCCCCACCCCAGCGGTATCTCCGTCTACAGTCCGTCAGGCTACAATTCGTTCATCATCACGGCCAACGACAAGACGGAGTGCGAATACCGACCGACCGACGTGAGCCTACCGGCGCGGCGAGGCGACTCGGAGGTGACATGGGCAACCATCGCACAGCACAGCCTTGCGGCTGGCGGACCGTTCTGCATCGTCAACGCCACCGACTGCCCCCTCGACGACGACGACGACTACAATGACCACGACCGGGGCTACTATGACAACAACTGGAAGACTCACCACGACGATGACAACAAGTGGGAGAAGTGGGGAGACAAGAACGAGAACGGCTACTACAAGAAGAGGAACGACAGAGACGACTACGGCAACGGCGGCTACGGCGGCGACGACTACGGCACCCACTACAAGCAGGACTACGGCGGCGACTACAAAAATGACTACGGTGGCGACTACAAGGGCAAGTACAACGACCACTACAACGACTACGGCAGCGGTCGTGATGGACCGTCTGGGTACGTCTCTGAGAAGGTCTGGTCGTCGACGCTACCGTCTTATGTGGGCTACAACCTCGAAAACGAGTTTGGGTTTTACGACGATTGCAACATCCACGTCCTGAGGTATAACCCCACGCCAGACACGATTCAGATTGTGTGGTTCTACAGGCTTCCGGACAACGGCGAGAGTGAAGTTTACTCTTACTAAGTGGCGCCCTGACGAGCCGGCACGGCGTCGTGGTATGCGTGTGCGAAGAAGGGTAACATTCATGGATCTTCTCTTCCTGCATTCTCAGCCACTTAAAATATCTCGTCGAACTCTAATTAATAATTCTTGATTGAATCTCAAATTTTTGAATACAATTATGCGTCTGTACTACAAACAAGTGAAACATGCGAGCTGAGCTTCAATCAGCCTCAGAGACAGTGTGATACGTACTACTACCGAGTTTCGCATGAAAAACGCTAAATGCAGGCTGATGACTTGAGATCTGTAGGATTCTCCGGTGCTCAATGCCTAGTCAATGTAAGCACGCTGCTTGGGGCGTCGAATGGCCCCCAAATGGAGCCGAAGCATTGAGTCATCCATTGCACGAAGGATTGATGGATGGCGTTCCGCCCGTCACCGTCACCACAGCCAAGGATCGCCGCCGGTTCTTTCGGTGTCGCTTTTGGGTGTAAGCGCAGGTTCGCTGACCCGCCTACCGCACCGAAGCCGAATGGACGAGCGCGGAAGACGTCGCCCCCAATGCGGACCATTGGATACAAATACTGCAAACCCGCCGGCTTGTCGGACTGAGAAACCACATCGACTGTCAGTTGAAGAAAAGAGAAAAAAAAAGCATGTAGCAGCAACTACACCGAGCCCACCCAACTCTCGCACGACAACCATGAGACTCCCCACCACCACGACCAGCGCCGCCATCCTAGCCCTCATGGCCTCGCCGTCCTCCTCCGCAGCCACGCCAGAGAAACAGCAGCAACGCACCTACCCAGCCCGCACCATCTACCAGTTCACCAACAATGCCACCTGGATCGAAAACATCGCCGTACGACCCAACGGCAACCTGCTGCTGACGCTGCTCGACCCAGCCGCCGAGCTGCACGAGATCGTCTTCAACAATAATGACAACTCAGCAGAAGCGCGTCTGCTCCACCGCTTCGCGGCCTACCAAAGCCTCCTCGGCATCGCCGAGACGAGCCCCGACGCCTTCGCCCTCGTCGCAGGCAACTACACGACCAGCCCACCGTCCTGGGCGCTCTGGGGGGTCGATTTCACGGACGCCGACGCCAGCGCCAACGCCAGCGCCAGTGTGAAGGTCAACGAGCTTGTCCCCGCCGTGCCTGGCGGTAAGGTCCTGAATGGGTTGACGACTGTTCGCCAATCTACCTCTTCACCTTCTGATAACGGTGATGATGGCACCGCCATCCTCCTCATGTCCGACAGCACCGCCGGCACCGTCCTGCGCGTCACGCTATCTTCTCCACCAGGCATCGCCGTCGTGCTGCCCGCAGACAATCGCACCACCTCGCCGCCGCCTGACGACCCCAGCCACGCAACCGGCGTCAACGGCGTGCGGTATCGGGATGGGTACTTGTACTTCGCGAACATGTACCGCGAGTTGTTCTGCCGCGTGCGTGTTAATGCGGAGGGCGAGGTGACGGGGCAAGTTGAGGTTTTGGCGGAGGGAGGGTTCAAGGGGGATGATCTTGTGTTGAGGTGGGAGGGAGGTGAGCAAGTGGCGTATGTGATGGATGGGGTGGATGGGGAGGTGGTGAGGGTGGTGGTTGGGAGTGGGGAGAAGGAGGTGGTGGCGTTGTTGGATGAAGGGGGTGAGGCGGTGGGGGTGAAGCCGACGGCGGCGGCGTGGGGGAGGAGGGCCGGGGTGGATGAGGATGTGTTGTATGTGGTGACGAGGGATGGGAAGGTGTTGGCTGTGGATTTGGGGTCGTGAGTGGGAAGCGGGGTTTGGTTGGTGATGGGTTGTGGAGAGTTGTTGGAGAAGGGGTTGAGCGCGTTGATAGAATAAGTATACGCACATAGCAAGTAGAGAACGAAGAAAGAAAAAAGAAGTGTAGAATCGCAGCCAAACCTAGTCAGCGGCCGTTCAGATGTTCGCTTTGAAGATTTCCTCATATTGACGGACTAATTCCTCCATCTGGAGATGCGGTTCGCTTTTATTTGCCGATCCTCATTGAATCTACTATTATTAAGTCAATGGTCATCTAGATCACTGGAAAGGAAGTGGGGGTTTGCAATTTGGATCGGAAGGTTAAAGAAAGAATAGACCAAGGACAGAAGATGCTACAAACCAGAACTCGCAATCTCGCCGGGTCGGTATATTGCATCGAATCTACAAGGCTCATTGAGTCGAGCAATGGAAGATCCAGTGACCAGTGGTGGGCATGGCATTTCCAACACCTCCAAAAGCATTTCCATGCATTGCATTCCGCATACACACGGAATTGGACATGCATCTAGCCCTGCCCTCATGCTCATCCCGGCGTGGATCTAGCTCCGGATTGCACGTCGAACCTGTTGCCCACAGCCATTGATTAGCCACGACCCCCGGCCGTTTTTCTCGGCCGACATGAATGCTCCACTCGGAATGTGGAAAACTCCGCTCGGGAGTTCCAAATCATGGTGGCGCCGTGAGCACGCTAATGGCTTAGCTCTACGGAGGTGCCGAGATGCCTAGTATTTATAAGGTCACGTACCACTGGACGTAACTCCCGTGCGCGTACACTCTGTTCAAGAAACCGTCGACCAATCATTCCACAACGATGGCAGCTACCGGGAGGATACAGGATGTCGACAGTCCTCCAGGTACGGCTACAAGCTATGTCGTCTCACTTTTCAGGGGCGAAAAGCTCGTTATACCTTGCTCGAATTCGGTGATGCGCCTGCTTGTCACTGGAAAGGAGACGGAAATGGAATTTGCTGTTGTCTCAACTGGTGGGTCTGCGGGCGAGCCCATTGGATTCCACTACCACCGGGAGGCACACGACGTCTTCCTCTGCCTGAAGGGAAACATCAACGTCTGGGCAAACAACACAGCCAGGACACTGGGTCCCGGCGACTTTGCCAGCGTTCCACCAGTGTGTATATTTGCAGAAGAAGTGAACGAAGGGAGCCGATACTGACCCACCCGGTCACAGGGCGTCATCCACCAGTACCAGATCCTCGGCGACCACAGCGAGTTCGTGGGGCTGATCATCCCTGGCGGCTGGGAAGAGTTCTTCCGGATCGTCGGCGAGCCGTACGACGGGGCGGCCCTGTTCCCCGTCGGCGACGCGCGCGACCCGAGGGTGGTCCTCATCCCGAGGCTGATCGAGGCGGCCGAGACGTGCGACATGGTCCCTGTTCGCGACCACCCGCCCGTCGAGATTCAGCCATGGGTGGTGGATGACGACAGCAGGCTGCCGGATGGCCTGCAGCCCTACTTCCTGCGCGCGGATACCGGCCCTAAGTGGCTGCTCGAGGGCACCATCGCGCGGCCGCTGATCACGACGGCGCAGTCAGCCGGCAGGTTTTCCGTCGTCAGTCTTGAAGGGGGTAATTCTCACCGCCGCAGCATCTTCTCGGGGGCAGGCGGCCAGCTGAGGTGGGAGAACGTCCATCACTGCTTCGTAGTGGTGCACGGCAAGGTCAGGTTCTGCGTAGGGAAGGACTCCTCAGCCATCTTGTCGGCCGATGATACCATTTTCATCCCGGCAGCGGAGGCGTTTTCGTTTTCGTTCGAGAGCGCGTTCGCGCAGATGTATGCGTTTTCGAATGGCGGCGGCGTGGCGGAGCTCGTGATGGAGGTGGGCAGGCGGATGGAGGCGCCGGGTAGCATCCCCGAGGAGCCAATGGCCGAGTGGCAAGCGGAGCAGCTGACGGCTCTGGGAAGTAAGCATGGGTTCGTGGTGGAGTAGGTAAGAGAGGCACGGCCAGGAACTGCGGGGATGTTGAGGGAAGGAAGTTGCGGCGTTTTGCGGCGAGGAAGGCGCGCCAGGGTCTTGCGCTGCGGGGTTTCCTGTGCACTCTAGACCAATCATTGCGGACCTCTTATATGTTGGTTACTCAACACCAGTGACACCAGGTTCAGGGAAGGTCAAGGCTTGCCTCGGATGTTCCGAAGCCACCATCAATCCGAAACCCCGAGCTCCGAATTGTATAGTGACTTCCTAAAACGGAATGCGGGGCCCCACACTGCTACTGATTAGACGTAACAAATCCAATTCGAGACCGATTCGGTTACAATGGCAACAGAGTACATCTAAAGATGTTCAAATAAGACCCATGTTTGGATGTGGTGGCAGCTTCACTTGAAGATGTCACCGTTGAGCATCGTGTCCACTGTTAGCCCATGTTTCTGGTATCGAACTTGATACTGTCCAGTATGTATCAAGGAACAGACCATCTGACTTCCGCAGCTTGAGAGGGGCAAATTCCTATATCTGCAGGTTTAACTGGTGCATGCAGTCTCACTCGTCTACGGTTCCGAGGTCGATCGAATGTTGTCTAAATAAAGTTCCTTTACATTCTCGGTCAGGAGATCAGTTCGGGGTCAAAGCATGGCAGAGAGTTTATCCATTGAGGAGGGGTGATCTTGCCGCACGACTGTTGCACGCCACGTGGGTAAGATCTTTACCTACAAGGAGTGATAGCCATTGGACAGGCTGATATAGTGGCGCACATGCCCTGGATTATAGGTTTAGTCGAAACTGTGATCTTTCGTCTCTACCCTGAACATTCAGGGAGCGGGAGCCGCCGCTGCCGCGGGTTAAGGACGTTTAGAATGCGCCACTCGATCATCGGCCTCGAGGCCCATCTCTTCTGGGGTAAAGAGAGCAATGCTGAGAATCGAGTAATTCCAAAGACTTGAACATTATTAGATAAGAGGAGGCTCTCCCGCGTGTTAGCTCGCCTAGTTGTGTTCACAATGACTTCAGGACGGTGCTGAGCCAAGCGGGGGCGTGTTCATGACGTGCAACTCCCTTCAACCGATCCAATGAGGGCGAGTGCAACGGCTGACAGCGTATGCAGTCTTGGCGGTCAAAATCATGGCATGCCTTGGTTCTCCATGGACTGTAGGGTCACATCCTAGTGTAGTCGTGGGGGAGCCGTGTGAGGGGATGGGATGCTGTACAGCATAGGGGTAGTATTCGGTGCGGTATATATTGGCCACGTTCAGACTCGCGCAGAGTGGCTGGTGAGGTACGACATTTGGTGGTGCGGTGTGGGGTGCGGCCAATCGGCTGGAAGCGTGGGTGAATTGGCGGGAATAAATAGTCGAACGGGACCCTGGCCGCCTCTTCACGGGCAGATTGACGAGAAGACGATCCTTCATCCTCGCGCGCGCGCCGGCCCCAGAAATAGCCGCCGCACGGCCTGGTGTTTGCTTGCTGATGGCTGCTCACCGCCGTTGAGATTGTGCTGCGTGACAGCTTCTAGGAGTCTTCTAGAGCTTGGGCGCGCGTAACAGTGGTGGGCGCGGGGCGGACCCGGCGCTAGGGTAACGACAGCTTTGTGTTGCGCTGCTCCTCGAAGAGATATGTTTCACAGCAGAGAGGTGCGGTTCTGGGACTGTCACCAGCAGACGCTGACTCGCCGCTCTGGACCGAAGCGAATTAGTCAAGCTTTACCAATCTGTGGGGCAGCGGCGCGTGGGGATCGTCGGCGCGCCTGGCTGTGGCTCAAACTCACCTCGGGCGTTCCTCAACCACTAGCAGCCCGTCCATTTTGCTTTGCGCACCAAGCACCCAGGCCGACAGGAGACATGCGCCGCGCTCACACCCTGCGTCCGACCTAAGGCCCCCCCGCCCTGCCAAACACGCCCTGTCTTTCAGCCCCAAGACCCCTTAGTACCAGCTTCGGCCCTGTTGCGTCAACGGCCCGCAAGAGCCCTCCGCATTCGATCACCGCCACTGGTCGCGCGGAAGCCCGCCGCTCCTTGTCCGCATCCAATTCGAACGAGCACGCGCGCCTCGCAACTCCAACTCATCCTCCCCTAAGCTCCCCCGCATCCACCTGCGTACGCAAATCCGATCAACTCCGAAGCTCGCCTGCGTCCCCGCAAACACCATGAACCGAGCGAGCCCGCCGACCACCTTGTAGCAAGCCGTCCATCTCTTGTCGCCGCACCTCCCGCCTGAGCTGGGCATGCATGTTGTTGCGCTGTCGCCATGGCATCAAACTTTCCCAACATGGGCTCTTACGGTCAAGCAGACGTCGACAGCCAGCGCCAGAACAACGACCCGCTGAACCTCACCGAGTACGTTATGCCTGCCGACGGCCGCAATAACCCGCGCCTCGACGCCCTGCTGCAGGCCGCCCAATCGCCCTCGAACATGTCCAACTCCGGCTCATCCATGATGTCCGCCATGCCCGATTACAACGCCATCGGCCTGCACGGCTCCTTCAACGCGAACCACGCCCAAGGCAATCAGTTGATAGCCGCGATGCCCGACACCGGCGCCTCTGAGGCCCAGAACGCGCGGCGCCCCCAGCACAAACTGAGTGTGAGCAGCATGGGCGGAATTCCGACCAATGGCGGCATGGCGAGCGGCGCGAGCGCCGACGGCATGGACACGGATACCAGCCCACAAAGCGCCTTCGGTTTGGCTGCCGCTGGCTTTGGCGATGATTTCGGTCGCGACGACGGCTCGACCACGGCTGAGAAGGAGAACCGAGCCGACGATGCTTCCAAGGCCAAGAAAATCGATCCCGACCAGCCTCCGCCGTGGGCCGAAATGAAGACGAAGGCTGGGAAGGAGCGGAAAAGGTTACCGTTGGCTTGCATTGCTTGTCGCCGGAAGAAGATCCGCTGCTCGGGAGAGAAACCGGCGTGCAAGCATTGTTTGCGTTCTCGTATTCCGTGCGTCTACAAGGTCACGACTCGCAAAGCAGCCCCCAGAACAGATTATATGGCCATGCTGGACAAGCGCTTGAAAAGAATGGAGGAACGTGTCATCAAGCTCATTCCAAAAGAAAGCTTGGGCACCCTTAACACCGTTCCAAGGGCCGTCGTCAAGCCCCCGCTTCCCGGAACCACTCCCAAGGCCGGCGCATTGGCCAAGAAACGCCCCGCAGAAGAAGCATTCGGAGCAGAGCTGGACGAATGGTCAAAATCCAAGGCGACCAATCCACACGAACACCGAACTTCGCAGCCGCCCCGAAATGTAGACCCTGAAAATAGCCTGTTGACTGAGGGCCTCGAGAGTCTTCCCCCGAAAGAGATCCAAGAGCATCTCGCAGAAGTCTACTTTGACTATTGCTATGGCCAGAGCTACCCCTTACTCCACAAGCCCAGCTTCATGCGAAGATTATTAGCAGGCCAGGTGCCGCCTGTCTTGATCCTCGCTGTTTGCGCCATTTCCGCGCGCTTCTCAACACATCCCCAAATCAAAACAGAACCTGCTTTCCTGAGAGGCGAAAACTGGGCTGCCAAAGCCCGAGACATTGCATTAAAAAGATACGATACCCCGAACATTACGATACTCATTACCTATTTACTGCTGGGCCTGCATGAATTTGGAACATGTCAGGGTGGACGGAGTTGGATGTTTGGAGGCATGGCGCAGAGAATGGCATACGCTCTGCAACTGCACAAAGATCTGGACCATGATCCACTCGGGAAGGAAAATGGCGACAGGGCAGAGCTCAGCTTCACTGACAGGGAAATAAGGCGGCGGACCATGTGGTCTTGCTTCCTCATGGACCGTTTCAACTCGTCGGGTACCGACCGTCCGCTTTTCGTCAGTGGCCAGTTCATCAAAGTTCAGTTACCAATCCGAGAGCACTATTTCCAGATGGAGATACCCGGCCCCACCGAAGACCTCGAAGGCTACGTCAGAAATCCCGTGCCAGACGATGCCGGGCAGTTGGCAGATGCAAAGGAGAACATGGGTGTTGTAGCATACCTTGTTCGTGCTGTTGCCATCTGGGGCCGTCTGATCATGTTCAACAATCTGGGCGGCAAGGAACAAGAGAGAGTACCTATCTGGTCGCCACAGTCCACCTTCCAGGAACTGAAAAAGGCAGCATACGAATTCAAGGCAGCTCTGCCTGAGAGGCTAGCTTACACACAGGAGAACCTGCAGAATCACGTCACGGAAAAAACTGCGAACCAATTCATCTTTCTACACATCGTTTACCACCAAATCATCCTCTTTCTCAACCGCTTCGCCCTGCCATCTCATGCTGGCAGCCGGCCTCCTCAAGACATGCCGCACCAATTTCTCACAGAAGCTGCCCACGTCGCCCTTGAGGCCGCTAACCAGATTTCCATTCTTGTCAACGAGGCCATGAATTACAACGTCGTTGTCCCCTTCGCTGGATACTGCGCTTTCTTGTCAAGTACGGTCCACATCCGCGGCGTTTTCTCCAAGAACCCGAAGTTGGAAATGGTTTCGAAACGATACCTCGCCTACAATGTCAAGTTCTTGAGCAAGATGAAGAAGTACTGGGGCATGTTCCACTTCGTCGCCGAAAACCTGAAGGACCTGTACCGCCAACACGCAGACGCCGCGCTTCGTGGACCCGCAGCCGTCAACGGTCGGCAACCCAGCATTTTCCAGTACGGAGATTGGTTCGACCGATACCCTCACGGCGTGTCTCGTACGGACTACGAAGATCCGGCTGCCGATGTCAAGAAGGAAGCCGGCACGGATGCCGTTCTGGGCCAGAAATCCGACTTGCAAAGCGTCGAGGAGTTCTTCGCCAGCCTCTCGCCAGCTTCCAAGACGGCAGAGCAGGCTAAGCGAGGCAACAAGAAGACGAAACAAGACAAGTCAAAGGCAGGGGCCGCCGCCGCAGCAGCAGCAGCGTCGACAACATCCCCCAGCGCCCAAGGTAACAACAGCAACAACCAACAGCTCCAGACCACCTCCTCGCCCATGGACCACCAGCAGCACATGCAGCTACCGCAGAACCTCGACTCCACATCGTTCGACCCCGCTGCCGCAGCGGCCTTCCTGCAGCAGAACCCACAGCACGCATACGACTTCCTCGGCAACGGCAACGGCGGCAGTGGATCCGACTTCTCGAACCTCAACCACCCCATGTCGGCGCTCGACCGGCAGATGGTGCTGCAGAGCTACGCCACCTTCATGGACCGCAACGAGCCGTTCGCGCTCGACGTCAATGCCTTCAACGCGTCCTTGTCAACACCTGGCAGTAACGGCCAACAGGGCCAGCAGCAGCATCAACAAGGCGGTGCTGCCGCCACCCATCCTGGCGCCTCCCCAGGCTTCTTCGCCGACCCCAGCGCCGCGTGGTTCATGCCCTTCAACATGGACCCGCCGACGGCGCTGGGCGACGACTCGGGCATGTTTGGCGGGCCGCAGGGCTACAACTTTGCGTTCGACGGCGGCTCTGTCGTCGGCGCGGATTTTGGGGGCGGGATGGATGGGTTGGGCCCGTTGACGGGTGGGGATGGGAGCCAGGGGGGTGGTAGTGGTGGTGGGCATTGATTGATGATGATGTGTGTGGATGCATAGTTGAGATCTTTTCTGGCGATTTTTTTCTTTCTTTTTCTCGTCGTGTTTGGCATTGGCTTTCATGAAACAACTAGACGTGCGCGGTATAGGCGCTTTTTGGAACTACATTGGGTGGATTGGATTGGTAGCCTTCTTTTTTTTTCCCCCTCTCTCTCTTCTGTGATTAAACTTTCGGAACGGAGGAAAACATTTTTGAAATCCAGGGGACTTTGGATGGTGTGTGGTTAGAGACTTTTTTTTTTCTTCTTCTCGTTGTTCGGCTCTGGTTAACAACTCCTCCCTTTTTTGAGGTGTGTTGAAGAATGGTGGTGGCGAAATGAATGAATGGATGGACGGATTGATGATGAAGTTTTGGGGCACACACATAGCTTTTTGTTGCTGGCCGTGCTTCACCTTCTTTGCTTTTTTTGGTTGCTGCAATTTTCTTGCTTTTCTGTCGTCCTTGCGCGCGCGTATGTATGTTGTGTCTTCGTGTGGTGTGCGGCATTTGCGTTCGTCGTCGAGGCTTATCCTCTCTTGTGATTCCCCCCTGTTCGTTGCTTTGGCTTGGCTTTTTTTTCTCTAAAGTTTGAAATGCGGTCCCTCATTCTTTCCGGTGTCAGAAGTAGCTGTTGTGAATACTGAGAGCTTGGTGTGTCTAAGGCTTTGGTCTGCAGAACAAGATATGTTGTAGTGTCGGGTTCAATGGATGATCCATTGATTCACGGGAATGATGTGTGATCGGCCTTCGGGCTCACCACACATTTATATACACACCATTTGAAAGGCAAAAGGATAGCTGGACCGCAAAACACGGTGACAATCTACAAACAGTACGAGCGCCTGGAAAGCACTTTTGCATATCGTGCTCCCGGAATAAGACGTATGCACAGCACTTAGCTAGCACACCGCTACTATTAGCTCAAAGCCAGTAGACAATAGTAGTCAGCACCGTAATTCCCTTTCCCTCCTTGTATTGTGTTCTTGTTTAAAAAAAAAGATGAATAATATTTGTAACAACATCCAGTCTACCTAAGCACCCATATTTTCGCTTGTTGAAAACGTCCCCCTTTTACTTCCCCTACTGAAGCGAAAGACACTGATTCTGTCCTTTGTATATATATGTCTCCGGAGCTCACCGTTATGCGAACAATCAAAAGCGAAGTAACAGATCATGTGTATATAGTAGGGAAAAGTGAAAAGGGGTATATTTCAAACTGAAGAACCATGGAACGATGAGACAAGAACCACCTATCATGAACACTTTAGTGGAGGAAGAAAAAGAGAGTAAAAGACGAAATGCCTGCTAACAAACTCGAAAAAAGAAAGCGAAAGTAACATAGGGGTGACCCTTCCTTCTCCAACGCCCATGCTTATGTTGCGTGTAAATGATGTGTTCCTCTCCAACCAACGATACGGGTCATGTCACTTGAGAAGAGTAAAAGAAAAGAGAGGAGAAAATCGCGAAATGCAATATCAATGTGTAAGAGAGACAGAGACAGAGACAGAAAGAAGTGGAGAAACCCAATAGAGCCATTCCAACAAGAAAAAGAGGAAAAACGAGAAAAGCACGAAACCAGCCGCCAGACAGAAGAATAGCTTTTCGCCATCTGCCCTCCCTTTTTTTACTCTCAACCCATTCCATAACATCATCATACCGCCATTTTGATATGTCCCCTCACCCATACCTCCCGCCCCCGCTGAACCCCCCTCTCCTTTTGTCTTCGTCCTCTTCCGATACATTTTTTACCTGATCTTGTCGATCCTCTTCTTCGCCACCCTGACCTTGCTGTCCACGCGATCCACGTCATCGTCCAGCATACGCAGCATCTCGTTCTGCAGCTGCAGCTCGTCATTGATCTGGATGCCCATCTCGCGCATGCGGCGCACGGCCGTGCTCAGGTCGGCCACGTCCTCATCCTGCTCCTGCATGATCTGGCGCTGGAGCTGCAACACGCCCTGGTTATCGAGCTCGCGCGTGCGGGTCGTCTCCTTCGCGCCCAGGGTCCGCTTCGACACGGCGCCGTTGCCATTCGCCCCGTTCATGCCGCGGAAGAGGTGCGCCTTGTCCGCCGGGGTCGCCGCGGCGCCCGCCGACGCGGGGGCGCCGGCACCGCTGCCGCCAGCAGCGAGGCTCTTGACGGCCATGGCACCCAGAACGCCCTCCAGCCCTTCCTTCTCCTTCCTCGCGCCGGACAGCAGGTCCCTCCTCCGCCTCAGCTCGCCCTCTCCCAGCTTCTCGACCGGCGCGTCGCCCACGTAATCCGCAGCACCACCAGCCCTCCCATTCCTGTTGTTGCCACCGCCGTTCCCTGACAACCTCCGCAGCCCGTCGTCCAGCGCCGAGATCAGCGTGCCGGCCAGCACCAGATACTTCTTGGCGGCGGCGCCCGCCTCGTGCTGCTGCTGCGCCGTCTGCGCCTGCTCGCGGCGCGTCAGTGCGAGGCGGGCCTGGTGCAGGTTGCCCTTGAGCTCCTGGTGCACCGCCAGCCACGTCGCCGGGTCGCGGATGCCCACGGCGCCGCCCCTGCCAGGCTCCCAATGACCACCCCCTGTGCTATTCACACCATTCGCTCCTCCGTTTTCTGAATAGGGGGATGAACGCATCGTCGTGCCGAGCTGCAGGAAGGTGCGCCAGGCGCTGGTGTGGCGCCAGCGGCCGTCGTCGGCGGCCTCGACGGCGCGCAGGTAGGCCTCGAGGCCGCGGCGGCGCTGCTCCGTCATGGCCGGGTTGTTGACGGTGCGCGTGAACCACCACGACTTGGACGGCAGCGGCGCCGGCGGCGGCGCGCCGCCCGATTGTGCGGTGAGGTCCGCGTGCAGCTGTACGAAGTCGCTGTACCGCTTCGCCACGGTGATGGTGCGGATCGGCTGCTGGATGCGGATCGTGTAGATGGTGAAGGGCTTGTCGGTCGAGCTCGACACCGAGGTGCTCGGGATGGAGATGTCCATCGGCATGGTTGCGGCGGGTTTTCTTTGAGTAGGGTAGGAGGAAGTGTGGCTGGGTGGGTGAGTGAGTGGTGGTTTGGGTATGTCGTGCACCCTGACTCGGAGGTTGGGCGGTTCTTGGACAAGGGAAGAGGAAAAGGAAAAAAACAAGGACGGAGTGCTTTGTGGTTCGCGCGCGGGGCGAGGCTGGGTATATCAGGGTATCACAGGGTCGTTAAGATCATCGACTGGCGGTAACGGTTGTATTGTTGGCGCTGAGGGGAAGAGTGGAGTGCGTCGTGTGTTGTCACAGCAGAGCTGGGAAGCTCACGCCGGGTCGTGCGCCGATCGTGATGCACGAGCCACAATACGTAATGCGGCGGATCAGATGAACTCCCGAATGCCAAATTCACACAACCTACTCTCCGACTTGCCTGAACAGCGCAGCACTGTGGGCCTATGAGAACTATGCCGCCTTCTTCTGGCTCTTCCTATCATCCACCAGCAATCTGCAGGGTATTTTCGAAACCGGTCAACATGACCAAATGCAACGCATCGCCGTTCTCTAAATTGTACTTCCGCAATGTGCCCCAACCTGAATCTAGAAGGTCTCCTCCTCCAACTCGCCCTCGGCTTCGGCGGGGATTTCAAAGCCCTCCTGCAGAGCCGAATGATCAGCAATTCGTCACACCACCCGAGACTAAGTAAACTTACCTCCGTCGAGTAGAGGATCGTCTGGATCGACTTCAAGATGGTGTCCTCCTTCTCGAGCTCCGGATCCTGCTCAATCGCGTTCTGGATCAGCAGCTCAATGTCCCGAAGCTTGCTGAAGTAGAAGTCGCGTTCCCTCTCGAGGCCAGCCACCGTCTCCTTCAGCGCGGCGTTCTCCTGCTGGAGCGCAGCAGTCTGCGCGCTAGACTGCGGGGTGCGGGCGCGGGCGGCAGCTGGGGCGGCACCGCCACCGGGTCTGCGCGAAGCGCTGGACGAGACGGAACGAGCACCACCGCCGGAAGGCGCAGGGGCGCCAGAGCCCTTTCTGCGGGCCGGGGCATCGTAGTCGCCGCCGGGGTAGTACTGGTCCCAGTAGCGCTTGCAGAACTGCAGGAACTCGAGGTTGTCCTGCATCTTGCACTTTACAAGCTGCTGGACATTGATGGGCTTGTCGACACTATGCTTGGCGAACGTATCTGCGGGGCGGGGACGTCAGCGGGCGGCAATGGCTGTCGGCGCATGGCAGCGTACTCTGCAAGACCTTGAAGTTCTGAAGGTACTGGTACTCGGTGTTCACATTGAACTTGACCCTCGTCATGGGCACATCGACTGTGAAAGGGGCGTTAGTGGCCACGCGATCCGCCGTTGATTAAGGGGTACCTACGGAAGATGCTGTCGAAGATCTGGCAGTAGGCAGAACTGCAGAGCCTGAATCAGCAACTATGCCCATCGAATGATGCCTCCGGTTGTGTGCAGGGGTGGGCAGCAGACTGCCTTGGACCGGGGAGGCGTTCGGGGGAGAGCGGCACAGCATACCCATTACCGCATTGCTCAACCTTGGTAAGGTTGAGCTGGAGGAGGTTGTTCAGCCAGGCAAGAAGCTCCTGTCTGCACGTGGAGTCAGCGGGACGTGCAACGCAGCAACGAGGGCGGAGCGGGGGTTGGGCGCATCGAATTGCAGCCTGCCCGAACGCACCTTGACTCTCCCATGTTGAACGGCGGGCAGGATCACTGTGTGATGTTGATGGAGGAGTGCGCGCGCGATATATGGGCGAAAAATGCACGGCGGTGAGCGGAGCGGCGGTGTCGGGTTCGGGGTTGCGGCGACGGCGGAAGTGGAAGGAAAGTGTTTTGTTGTCACTCGCTCAGTCATTTCAGGTGTTGCGATGGCGGGCGCTTTGGTAAGTAAATCGCCGACTAATAGCCGCCTGCCCCTCCATCCCGCAATCCTCCTACCTCCGCTTCCGCCCAACCAACGTCCCGCCAATCGCTTCGCGCATCGCTGCGGAACCCCAAACTCTTCGGCATTGGACAGCTGTGGGCAGCGCTCTTTCCGGCCGTTTTTCCGGACATCGCGTCACGCTGGTGCGTTGGACCAACCAAGACCTCGGTACCAATTCCACGTTTCACGAACTGGCGTCAATGTAGAAATGTGTGGTTGATGGTTCGTTCATTCGTCAAGCTATGACTACATTGGCGCCATTTACCGCGCGAAAGATGCGCCGTCAATTACTCCAGTTCTTACACTCTGGACCTTCCTTTCCTCCGCCTCCCCCCGAGGGTATCTATTTCATTCTGTCCTCCTTCCGCTTTTTTCTACTTGAAGACTTTCCAAGGAAAAAGTTCTATTCTTCCCTTCACGGCTCGCCTCTGTTCTTGCGGCCGTAGAACTCGCGCTGAGTGCTGGCGCCGCTGGGACTGCTGCTGCTGTGCGAAGACATCTTGCGCTCCCTACGGTAACTCGGCGGAGCAGCCATGGCCTTCTTCCTCCTGGCCTCACCAAGGATAGCGCAAGAGATGTACACCAACCAGACGATGCCGGCGACAACGCCGTAAGCGATCGTCCAATCCCTTGGACCGTTGGCAAGCATGAGGCCGAGACCACCGTTGATGATGCCAAGGGTGATGAGACAACGACCCATCCAAATGTGGGTGTAGGAATAGAAAGTGCGGTGGCCGTACTTCTTAAAGAGCTTGTGGTGCAGGTAGCCGAGGATGGGCATGAAGAACATAAGGGCGAAGACAAGCAAGCCAATGATGGCATGGTAACTCGAGAGCTAATCGAGGTCAGCGGGGAGCACCCCAGAGGGTATAGGTTGAAGACTTACGTATCCACCACGCTGGCCGAGGTAAATACCGAGACCAACGGCCGCGATGAACATGGAGTAGGCAAAGACCTGGAGACCACCGTGGAACCAGATGAGACCGGGGAAGCTGAATGTCCGGATGGCGATGGCACCCAGCGGGAAAAAGATTACCATGGCGAGACAGGCCAAGACAGCGTGAGCAATCAGCATCTTCTGCATACGCTGATACTCGGCCAAAGCCGCACCACCGCCAATCTGCTGGCCAGGGCTGCTACCAGACGATTGACCGGGGGCACAGTAGTTGGTACCAGAATCCTGTCTCTTGCTATTGCCACCGCCCCAGGGTCCGCTGCCACCACCAGTACGCCACGGAGGCCAGGTCTGCGTCGTTGACGAACCAGAGTCAGAATTGGAGCTGGAACCGGAGCCGGAGCTGGTCGGGCTTGGGACGCAGTCGGCGGTACCACTGCTAGATCCTCCAGTGCTGGTGGCGGATCCGCTCGAAAAGGGGTTAGCGCTGCTTCCACCTTTGGCGCTGGAGAAGTCCCAGTCCCAACTGCCGTAATCGCTGCCATGCTGCTGGATAGAGGCGCTCGTATCATCCGAGTCGAGAGAACTTCCAGACTTGCTTGCGTGGATCCAAGACGCGGAACTGGAAGAGAAGTCCATGGAGCCGCCAGACCAAGACGAGCAACTTGCACCTGCGAGGCGTTAATATTTGGAATTTTGTACAAAAATGGACGATTGCTTACATTTGAAGTTGGCAGTCATCTGACCATTGGACACGCCTGAGCCATCAAGAAGGGTGACCTGGGCGTCGCTGTTGAATCGCGGGGTGCTGTGGCCGGAACCGAGACGCGGTGAAACAGTGACATTATCACCGCTTGCAGAGGTATACACGACGAACATCTGGGCGCCCGACATGGAGCTGCCCTGGCCGATGGCAACCCATGTATAGGAGGTGGGTGCAGTAATCTGGAGGAAGATGTCTCCAGTGCCGGAGCTTGCTGTGCTCTCGGGGATATTTAAGGCGTAGCAAATATCGCCATTGCAGTTTGAAGAGGTTTGAGCAGAAGCGGTTGATGCTGCAAGCTATGTAAGCACGATTCAGCTAACATTTGGGTTCAGGGAAACATACCGAGGCCCAGCAGGGCTGCAGCAGCAACACGAGACCACATTGTCACACACTCGAAAGACAAATCAAACGAAAAGTGCGGGTTGAAAGAAAACGGGCGGCAGGGTAATATGTATGCACGCCACAAAGGCCGGCGAGCTATTGTTAGCTCCCTTTATTAGCTGGCAGAGATGGGGTCCGAAGCGAGGCGTCGTGGTCCAGCTGAATGAGGACAACAGGCGGTCTTTAATCCAGAGCCAGAGCCGCGGCGATTGACGGCGGTGGGTGCGACAAGACAGCAGACCCATGGCATCTTGGTTGACAACAACTGAATAATGTGTCGCAACAGGTCGACGCTTGCCCCGAAGCGGGGATCCGAGGGTGGGCTGGGAGGGCGCATCTCCGGCCACGATTTGACTCTGGCTTGCGCGTCCTGCCTCTCGGCGTCGGGCGAGGGCTGCTGCAGGATCAGCTTACCTTACCTACAATCGGGTCTCCAAGGCTTGGTAAGAGGCAGTCTTGGTACGTCGGCTTAGGCTCAGCGCGCGGAGGCGGAGCGACAAATCGCGCTGCGTGGATTGGCAGAGACAGGAACGGCTCGCACCCTGGTTCGTGCCCACGCGTCGACACGCCTTGTCATTCGCGACCATTTCCACCGTTCGTAGTCGCCCTGCCTTTGTCTCGCCGTTGCACCCTTTGTTCTCGCCAGTCTGCAGTCCTGCCCGCGATAAGCCAACTGCCGCACGGGTGAAACGCGGCGATAACCCTCTACATCCCACCGGACTCTACTACAAGCCAACTTCGAGGCTGTGTTCGCCATGGCCATAAGTGGCCAAGCGTCTTATCACTTGGCTTCTGACACATGTCCGCCATCACCCCAACAAGCTCGCTGGCCACGTTGATCGATCAACGGCAGCCGTTTCTGCAGCTGCCCTCACCAATGACTCCGCATTCCATCTCATGGAATCTCATACCTGACGTGTGCCTCGGATTCGTCATCACCAGCCCGCCTTGCATCCTGCCGCTCTTCGCACAACCAGGAGCAGGGCGCCTGTACAGCCAGACGACCAGCTAGCTTCACCTTGGCTCGGGCGAGGCCATCGTGTCGCAAATTGGATGCTGCTACTGGTTGCTACGGCAAGTGTTAGAATGTGTGATGATCCCCAGGCACCGCCGTGCTGACCGTATGACGCACGTATGCAGAGCCAAGAGTAGCGTCACAGGCAGGGACGCGCAATGATGCGGCTTAGAAGTGCTGTCTACTAGTTCTCACAGCACCTTGGCCGCCAACTTCTCACGCACTGTATCGTATCGCCTGCATCAATCAGCGCCCAGGCGTTTTTGATGTGGGCGTGCTAACTGGCTGGCCTTGGGCTGAGTCGTCCCAGCCGCAAATGGGTTTTTTTCCGGGGCGGCGGAGGAGAGCAATTGCTTGTCTCGGGCCTGTGGCTAAACAAGGGCGCACCTTGTTCCCGGATGACTTGGCCTGCGCTCAACCTTATTCGCCCACCCCAGACGTCTAGAACTCGCTTCGGTTTGCTGGCTTCCATTGCACGAAGCAGGAGCCCTCATTGGTCGGAACAGCTAACTTCCCTTCCGTTTCATCGCAGCGCCGCGGGAACCTTCCGTCCGACGTCATTTGATGCTGTGATCTTCAATTTCCTCCTTGGGACGCATGCTCTAGTCACACAAGACCTACGCGCAAGCCCGACATTCGCCCTTGCTCTTGGCCTCTCCGTGGGGCTATGTTGGCCTTGGACGGCTCCTTGTCAAAGCATATGAAATTATTCAGCGCTCATTAGTTGGCAAGCCAAAGCTTTACGAGGGTCTGAGTCGCAGCGGCACGCGCCGAAGCGCCAAGACGGAGCGAAGGAGCTGGAGAATACCCCGGATCACCACGGGGCGCCAACACCATCCGCAAGAGCAACTTGGGTGCCGAGAGAGGAAGTTCGCGAGGCCAAGCTCGAGTAGTGCGGGCCGACACGGCCACCACCCCCTCCCAGCCTCTCGCCGTGTGCTGCGCCTTCCCGGGTTCCCGTGCGCCCAGCCCTATCCGGTAGCCGGCATCCCACACTATCTCCTTAGTTCCGCACTGCTTTCTAAGCATCACCATGATGACTTTTTCCTTCAGGCCTCAAACCTCCATGCCGCAAAGAGAGCTCGCTTGCGCTCAGTGCGCTGCTCAGCCACCACACCTTCTCCTTTCTGCTGCGCCCCCCGTCGTGACGGTGGAGACAAGCTTTGTTCTAGTGGTCGCTTGCACTGTCAGGCCCTTCACGCGAGGCCAGCTTCCCCTCATGCTGAGACTCTTCGCGACGTCAGAATAGCGCCACGGACAAGCGGTCACTGACGAGTCTATTCCCACCTCTTGCGTGGCGTCGATCTGCGCAATTCTTGGTCCTGCATGATTCCGCAACGAACATCGAAAAGCAACTAGACCAATAATGGCGCTGTGATGAGCTGAACAACCGTGCATCTGGATGTAGTTCCCCTGCATAGCATGGGAACCGCGACCAACTTCCGCGCTTGAGTCGCGGGAGGAGATGAGGGAACTGCGGTCAGGAACCCCCAAGAAAACAGATGATTCCTAATCTTTGCGACGATACCCCATCTGGCCAATTAGACAAAATCTTAACTCGACCGGCTATTCTTCATCCCTTTACCCGCCCATTGCATTCTCGTGATGCAGAGGTCTGGAAGAGGATGGAAGAGCGATGGGCGCAGCTGCGCCCAAAGCCCCGGCTCAACGGCAAGTCCTTACATCCGGACCGCCAGCGTTGCGCTCAGCAAGAGACTCATGGCACCTGGCTCGTGAACGTTCCTCCACTTCGCCTTTTTTCCCCCCCTCTATACACCGCCATCCAAGTCGATGGTTAATTTTCCTTCTTTCACGAACAGGCCATCGCCAAGGTGGCGGAAATGACCACAAACATTTGGAAAACGGCAAGTATTCTCATGTGTGTGGCCCCAGATACCATCCGCTTCCCGCTCAGGAGGAGCATTTTCTTTTCGTCCGGGCTCGCCGTTTCTTTTCGTCCGTCCTCGCCTTTTCTTTCTCTTTCTTTTTTTTTTTAAAAAAAAACAAAAAAAAACCTTCCTGAGCCTACTCTCCGTAGTACTGAGGGACTCGGCTGTAGATCTCGACGCCCGCTTGCGGAAAAAAGGCATGCATGTCAGCAGCCTCAAACGCCGGTAGATACTTCCCGTGGCCGTTAGTGTCCCGACCCCGTGCCGTGTGTTCCACCAGCTGAAAGGCACCGGTTCGCGGTACACCAGTAAGCGAAGATCGTCGGTGTTGTTTCTTGTCGTTTTGCTGATGTCGCCGCCGTCGCGGTGGCTGCTGTTGCGTTACGTTACGATTGCGAATGCCGCGGCCTTGGCGTTTGCGTCAGGCCAAGGATTTTTCGTTGTCCTCTTGTACTTCTGCAGGCAAACGGACGGACGGAGAGCGGAGGTGGGGGGTTTTGCGGGTGGTGCTGGTGGTGGGGCGGAGAGTCCGTCGGGCGGACGGTGGTGGGTGATTCATACGTAACATGCGGCGGGAAATATGCAGCGGGGAGGCGGCGGAGAGCATCATTGGTGCTTTTCCAGTCCCGACGGGGCTGTTAAGGTTGGTCGTTGTTCCTTTGCTCGACGTATCAGCTTGCAGGATGTGGGGGAGCTGAGGTAATCCTTGCTCGAGCACGCTTTGATAGAGATAAAGTTGGGCACTGTGATGGGTTATCTTGACTGAGCTTCTTATGCATAAATTCTATCTCTGGTTCCTTCAAAGCGGAGGTGGCCCATGGCGGATGATGGTCTTGATTTAACGTCAGACGTCCCAGTCTCAACACGATCACTTCGCCTTTAGTCCGAGCCGCTATATCTATCCATTCTCACTATATTTTTTCGCCAATCCCACCCTATACTACACATGAATTGGAGTGCAGAAGTTTGTACACCTTCATTTTCTGTCAGAGACAATGACTCTACATGTGCGAAAGGTTGGACCAAGCATTCACATGTAGAAATAAACTTCAACTACCTATGTCAACAAAACCCTATTCGAGCCATGGATTCCTTGCAGTCGAGCGAGATCTTTCCCTCTCCATCATGCATATCCTTCGGGCCCTCAGAATCGGGTGCGAAACAAGCTCCGTCTTGGACGATGACACCCACAATCCGGCTGACTACCGTGGAGAAATGCCGGGGAATGCGGGGACGAAGATGCCAGTGACGCCGGTTCTGAAGGGAGAGAACAGGAAGAAGCTTTTAGAAGGGCTGTACAGAGAGGTGCTGCAGTCGATGGCTAGCGCGAAGCATAGCAGGGCCCTAGAACATAGCTTAAGTTTACCTCATGGCATGAAAGAAGTCAGAACGGGCACCAAATGAAATGGTGTTCAGTGAAGGATGGCTCCTGTTGCAGTATGGAAATCATCTTGTATTGATTATCACGCAGAGCATAAGGCCCCGAGAAGGAAAGCACACTTCATTTCCCATTTCCTGCACTGAGATGTACCCTGCCATTTTGATCTCGGGGTCTTTGACTTCAATCCGCTTGCATCTTTCAACTTTTGAAAGTGGCCCATGTAGGTGCCAAAAGAAATGACCGCCCGAAACCATCTTCGCCAGCAATGGGACCCTACTTACGTAGGTAGCTGAAGCTTCCATCCGGACGTAGGTGGAGAATTTCACGTTCCATGTGTCCAGAACTTCTACCCTTCTTCAGGCAGGCTGACGGCGGAGGATATCAAGTACTCCGTTCATGATAACCGCCTGACGCTCCCTGTTCTCGCGCAGATGGTCCTCGTCCTCCTCATCCTCAAGGTCGATCAGGGTTTGCATGGTGATGTCCTGCTGGCCCAGAGCCATCAAGGCGCCCACAACCAGATGGTCAGCATCAGTCTTAGGCTCAGGCCTGATGTTCTCCCAGTGAACACCGTGCTTGACCTTAAGGGTCTGGACGAGGTAGGTGGCCTCGGTGTTCATCTTCTCCCGCTGCCCATCCAGCACCTGAGCGAATTTCGTTAGTTATCGGGGGAGCGGAGGAGTACAACGCGATTCGTGCGGGCTTTTACCTCTGCATGCTCATTGAGTCTTTCGGACATTTGGAGGGTGTGCAGGATGCTGGCGCGGTCGGGCATCGCGCCGTTCTGGAGCTGGTCCATGATGGACTCCGTGGCCTGCTGGCAAGTCCGGCGCAACTCCTTGATCGCGGCGTAGTTGGCGAAGCGGCGGTCGATCCAGTCTCGCAGCTTGCGTTGGAGCTCGTCCTTGGACTCGGTACCCAGAAAGGCATCATCACAGCCCCTCGCGAGCCAGACCAGCATCCGCGCTCGGGTTGCCGTAATGCTGGTGGGTGCGTTGTCTGACATGGTTGCAAAGTGATACCCGTAGTGGTCGGAGAACTGGAGTTGTAGGGTGGTTGGTGAGGAAGGATGGTGGGAGAATAGAGGGCTTTTTATACGCCGGTTTGACTGTGAGCACCGCAGGAGCACCTGACGGCAAGAGCAGTCAGTTCAGGTGATGGTGAATGAAAAGCGTTGTCCTGGGGATAGGCGGCAGGGTATGACACGTGCAGGATACAGCCACCTTTTCAGTAGGAACCCTTTCATGAGCGAACCCTCACTCCGATTGGAAAACAAACTGTGAACAAGCAAGCAAACTTCCAGAAGGTACCAAGCAAGCAGCTGGAGTCTATGAAAGACTCCTGGATATCCTGCACGCAATCAGTGTTTGCAGAGCGGATTGATGCCTCTCCACCTGAATCTTTATCGGCAGGTACCCGTCATCAGCCATGTTTGTTTCCTGAAGCTCATTCAGGTTCGTGCCGTCAGACCATACACATGAGAGACAAAGCAGGGCAATAACAAACACAGCAGAAAGCTGTGATGACGAAGTATTCCAAGGAAGTTGAGCAAAAGGGTATCATTCATCGTATTTTCCTCTTCACATCGTAATTGAGCAGCACGGTCTGCATGAACACATCTACAATAAAAGTCCATACGCCGTGTTCCACCTGACCTCCTCCTCCCACCACTACTGCGACTTCTTAGTCAACACCACCGCCCCAGCCGCCTCCAAGCCCTGCACGATTTCGCTTCCAAAGACGTAAATCATGTATGTCGGGAAGATGAGCCACGCGCCGCTGTTCACCGATTGTCAGCAAACGGAAAAGAACAAAAAGAAAGCAGCCCCAAATACAGGGCCGGGGGAAAAACTCACTTCGGCACGATCCACAAAAAGAACAAACTGGCCGCATCATTATGCCCGATATTCTCAAACCCATTCCAGCACTCAATCAACCAATACAACACCGTCTTACTCAACGTCATCACGCTCGCCGCAAACGCCACCAGCACCGCTTGCGCCGCCGCCCTACCCGCGACAACCCTCGCGCCAGCAACCTTCTCCCCCACCACCTCCTTGCTCGGCGCGCCGCGTCCCTGCACCGCTTGCTCGCTCGTCCCAGCCTTGTACACGATGCCCAGGTACACGAGGTACATGAGCGTCTCGACGAGGTTGAGGGTCGCCTGCGCGGCGCCGAAGCCGTCGCCGCGCTCCCACGCGGGGAAGCCGTAGACGTAGTCGACGGTGCCGTACAGCGCGTACGGCTGCCACACGGGCCAGTGCAGCGAGCCGCCCGGCATCGTGTGCGGCCGCAGCAGCATGTAGCCCGTGTCCCACGCCACCAGCGGCAGCGAGAGGGCTAGCCAGGCGAGCGTGAGGCGCGAGGGCGTGTGCGTCCACAGAAATGTGGTCGAGGGGGACTGTTTCTTCGCGATGGCATTTTTGTTGTTGTTGGAGATGGCGAGTGCGGAGGTGGGAGCGGAGGTCGGGGCGGAAGTGGGTGGTGCGGCGGCGTTGGCGATGGGCGCGCCGGGTGCGGGCGAGGCCGTCGACGTGGCGCGCGAGCCTCCACGCTTCGAGGGCGATTTGGTCGGCGAGGTCAGCTCGGGCGGTGGGAAGGCGGTGGGGTGGCTGCGCGTCGAGACCATTGTGACGGATTGGTGTTTTGGCGATGGGTCACAAAATTGATGATGATGGCTGTCGGTTGTTCGTAGGGTGGCAAGGTGGTGTTGATTGTTGTGAAGAGGTTGTGGTGGTGGTTGCACGGGAAACAAGGCGGAAGAAGTGTGGAAGAAAAATGATCTAGACACGGGGAAGAAAGCTTACTTAGCTGGTTGACACACCCACCTTGACGTTGCTGTCTCAATCAGCTCAACATGACACGACAGTGGTCGATCCTGCCCGCGACCGGAAAGCTTCTTCGGGAAGCTGGTCCATAAACATTGGTCCTCCACGCTGCAGAATTCGTCTCGGCCAATCATCCCCCACAGCGTTGAGTCGTATTCGGAAAGAAACCAGGCGATCTTATTGGGCGCGAGTTAACTGTTAAGTTGTCACTTTTCTACGTGTGCAACCAACGCAAAACAACCATGAAGATTCGCCTACGTGGAATTTCTCGCTTCACGCAACATAAAGAACGCTTTCCATTGGTCCATCTAGGCATGCTGGTGATTACTTCTCTTTTTTAAAATACAGATTACCACTCATGAAATCCATCAGAACATGTTCCGTACTTTTCAATACCGGCTTCATTTCTTCCTTTAGTACACGTACGCTTTAGTACACGTACGGAACGATGCGGTACGGAACCTTCTTGCAGTACGCATCCCAGTCCTTGCCATACTTCTTCTTACACTTCTCTTCATCTCTGCCCTCACGGTGGATCAAGAGGATGGCAAAGTAGATCATGTAGAAATACGTGATCAGCGCACCCCAGCCGCGTGCCTCTCCCGGCACAACCTCAAGCTTGGAGTGGTTGACAACAATGTAGCCTGCCACGCCGGTGGGTAGGCAGTACGACCAGGACATGAGCCAATCGCCAAGATAGTTGATGTGGCGCGCGGTGCCCCACCAGCCAGTGATCAGGAGCTTGCTGCCCGCGCTCGTCTCCATGTACTTGAGATGCTTGATCTTCGGGTCGTTGGGGTCCGTACGGAAGCGGTTCTTCTCGTTGTTGGAGGAGCGGAAGATGTAGTAGCCGCTCGCCTGGATACCAAGAATGGCTGCGATCTCGAAGTAGGAGAGGACCTTCGGGTCGATGGCGAGGTAACGGGCCTGGAGGGAGTAGACGAAGGGCACCCAGACGAGATCGCCAAAGGAAAGCATAAAGCCGAAGCCATCCGTGGTGATATCCATAGTCGTTAGGATAGCGGGTTCCATGTAGAGTGCATCGAGCACGTAGAAAGTATGGGAGAAGGTCACAATCAGGATGCTGGCAGTGATGCTGCCGTAATTGTGGTACTGGCGAGCGATGAACGTCAGGTCAAGAATGACCCAGCCAAGCATACCCGGACGCAGTTCCATGAAGGACTTGATATCAATCTCGCCGAAGAAGGGGAGAGTGATGCGCGGGTTCAGCTCGCGACCAATGAACCAGTCATACAGCATGTTTCCGCTGTGGCCTCCAGCCGCAAGCTCGCGCTTGTCCATATTTCCCGGTTTCACATCAAAACTGCGCACATAGACAAAAGTTGCCAGGGCGTAGGAAATTATGATGTTCGACGTGAGGATGGGAATGTAGTTGTCCCAGATGAAGGTCCAGAGGGGGAATTCGGCGCCATAGACGAATGTGCCAGCGGCGCAGATGCCGAGCGTAATGAGGGCGGAGAGGAAGGCTAGAGCATGCAATTAGCAAAACAAGACATATTATAACTTCTTTGACCTACCATTGAAGCGGTACTTCAGTCTTCCGCCCGAACGCAGCTGGACGCCCTCAACTTCGCTGGCGGGCAACACGGCGTTCAGGAAAAGGCTGAAGAAGTAGTATCCGGTCGTGGCAGCCAAAGCCTGGAGGTTGATGAGGCTCGAGAACCCCTGCCAGCCGACCTCATCCTTCAGCTTGTCCAATGTAAATGCCTTGGGGTGCAAGACTGAGGGCGGAGGGCAGCCGGACGTTTCATTGACGAAGAAGGCGAAAACAAAGCAGAGGATGGGCAGGCCAAACGAGACGACGAAAGCTCCGGGCCTGAGCGGATTAGTGCATGCATATGGAATGGTGATATATTGGATCGCTTACGGCCCGCAAAATTCCATAGGATGCGCCTCCTTGACATGGGGGCCGGAGGTGGCAGCGGACTGCTCGGCCTTAGGCTTTCTCTCCTTGAGCTCGCTCATGGCGGGATTCGGGGTGGCGCGTGGAGAGAGGATTCAATGCTGCTGTGGCATTGGCCGCGACGGGCTTCTTATTCTGGTCGCCAAGGGCAGTCGGGATGGCGGAAGCTGTCGAGTTGAAGTCATGTCATAATCGACAAGCTAGGAGAGCTTAGCTGCGCAGGGCCTGGCGCAGCGCCATCCGACGCATGCAACCAACCCGACGCCGCCGGTTCCTGCACGGACGGGCGTCGGCTGGCGCAGCAGCGCGAGTCAAGGGCCTGTGAGGCCTACGTAACGCACATCCGTCCCGCTGCAGCAACCTGACCGAACAATCCACCATGAAGCTCGCACACGCTTGCGCGCTGGCCGCCGTGCTCTGGTCCGCCCTGGGCCATGCCTCGTCCGACGACAAGAAGGAGAAGAAGGCCAAGCCCTGCACCATCAAGTCGCCGAGCGACCGCTTCTTCGACCTGAACCCTATCTCCATCCAGCCCGACACCACCAAGAAGGGCAAGGACGGCAAGTCGCATCCCGCCGAGAGCTGGCACGCAAAGGGCTACGACTATCCTGCCAACTTTACCCTCAACTTCTGCGCCCCCGTCGTCGAGGAGCTGGAAGATGTCGTCGGCCTGGACAGCCACAGCATCAAGAACGTCAGCGCCTACTACACCCACCGTGGCAAGACGTACTCGATCGGGTGAGTCGCCCCGCCGTCCAATGTCAGATATCCACATCTGCGATGCGCCAGCTGCAACCGAAGACCGCGACGCTGATGCCGTATCTCTTCAGGCAACAGAACTCGGAGATGGTCTTTCGCGGCAGGAAGCTTATTCTTAACTATACCCACGGTTCCCCCTGCGGCGAGGACTCCGATTATTACCGGAGAGACGTGAACAATCTCGAGCCCAGGAAACAGCACGATGACGACGATGGCGACAGTTGGTACACGTCGAAGAAGGACAAGAGCAACAAGCGCCGCAAATCGACCATCATCTCGCTCTTGTGCGAGACGGATGCCCTTTCGCCCCCAGATGAGGCGACTGTGGCTTTCGTCGCGGCCAGCCCGGACGAGTGCACATATTTCTTTGAAGCCAGGAGCAAGGCTGCATGTGGAGGCATCGAGAAGGAAACACAGCAGCTGGGCCCAGGCGGCGTATTTGGCGTCATCGTCCTGATCGCCTTCCTCGTATACTTTGTCGGTGGCTGTGTGTACCAGCGTACTGTCATGCACCAGCGGGGTTGGCGCCAGATTCCGAACTTCTCCTTCTGGGAGAGCATCTGGCGCTTCTTTACCGTGAGTGGCCGTCGCGCGCGTCGGTTGGTTGGACTGTAAGTCCCCTGAGCTGATTTTTTCTAGGACATCTTCTTCATCCTCACTTCGTCCTGCGCTCGCTTCATGCCCAGCCGTCGCGGTTATAGCCGCGTTTCACTGAACGGCGACAGGAGCCGAGGGCGGGGCAGGGACTCGGATGACGAGAACCGATTGATCGACGAGCTCGATGAATCGTGGAACGATTAAGGGCTGTGGCATTACCAGGCGTTTGGGCCGTCTCATTTGGATAGTGTCTGGGGAACCTTCAGAGCGAGTCTCGGATTCTCCGTTTGTGCAGTGGAACATCACCAAATAAATTGAAAAAAAGCATTGGCAACATTTGTCGGTCCCGTGTCAATCTAACTCAACGTCGAACCCGTGGCTTCGATGTCGAATAAGAGCATCCTTTAGCTGCAGGGACCAGAGGCCTCTCCACCCAGCAAATACCCAGCCCGTCTCTGTAGCAGGAAACAGCATGTCGAGCAAGGGATTCAGCCTTCCGGTATCGTATCTTGGTGCGCTATACTAAGGTGCTGATCTACAAGATCTTAGGCCGATATCGATCGACGAATCGCTGGCCAGATCTGCGTTCGGAATGCCGTCACCACTTCCCACGTGCGAACCATGCACCATCATCGTCCGCCCTCGTACTGCGCACGGGCCCGGCCTGAGCTCTTTTGTTCTGGATTCCCCAGATCAACAAGTAGCTGCATTCCTCCCGAATCTTCTAACTTTTCTGACTTCCAGAGTGAAAATGGCGAAGTCAAAGGCTCCCAGAGTGATATAGTAATTCGATCCCCTCAATAGCCACTTCTATCTGCGCATGCTAATTGCTCACTATTGCAGCTGGCACCGCACCGATCTAAGACTTCACGACTCACCAGCTCTCCACGCAGCGTTGGACCTCAAGCCAGAATGTCTCTGGCAAATCTGGACATGGGATAGCCATTACGTCTATCATGCTCGGTATAGACACAACCACCACCCCAATTCCTTTCCCCATTTGTTCTAATCTTTGCAATTCAACCCTCTACCTCCACTTTCCCACCCCGTATCCATTCCAAACAGCTACTATCCATATCCACACCACCAAAAGAAAGAAAACTAACACACCCCCCAGCGTCGGCCCCAACCGCTGGCAATTCCTCCTCGACAGCCAACGCGACCTCTCCGCACGCATAACCGCCCTCAACCCGACCTCGCGCCTCCTCGTCCTGCGCGAGCCGCCGCAGACGCTCTTCCCCAAGCTCTTCCGCTCCGCCGCCTGGCGCCCCACGCACCTCGTCTACGAGCTCGACACGGACGCCTACGCGCGCGAACGCGACGCCGCCGTCGCCGACATTGCCCGCGAGGCGGGTGTCGAGGTCGTCACGCGCCCCGGCCGCACGCTGTTCGAGCCGGACGCGTTGGTCGAGAAGAATGGGGGCAAGCCGACCATGTCGATGGCGCAGGTGCAGGCTGCGGTTAAGGCGCTGGGGGTGGAGGTGCCGAGGCCGCTGCCGGTGCCGGAGAGGTTGCCGGGCCCGCCTGGCGGCGGCGGCGAGGTGGTGGTTGATTTTGAGCAGGAGAGGCCCGGGGCGGTGCCGGATTTGAATGCGGGGATGAGGGGGGGTGGGGAAGGAGGGGAGAGTGAGGAAAAGACGTACGCATGCGGCCTCGCGGGGCCGAAGGGCGACTTCGGCGTGCCGGAGATGAGCGAGCTGGGGCTGGCGGACGACGCGGCGGCGACGACTATCAGGGGCGGCGAGACGAGGGCGCTGGAGACGCTGAGGAAGGTGTTGGATGACGTCGAGTACGTCGCTACGTTCGAGAAGCCGGTGAAGGCGCCGACGGAGTGGGATCCGCCTGCGACGACGGTGCTGAGCCCGCATCTGCACTTTGGGACGCTCGGGGTTAGGGAGTTTTGGTGGGGTGTGAAGGATGCGGTGGAGAAGTATGAGCGGGAGGGGAAGAAGAAGGGCAGCGGGATGCCTGTGAATTTGGAGGGGCAGTTGTTGTTCAGGGTGAGTGATATGTTATGTCGTTCTTCACTTTTCATCACCTTTTTTTACTGCCCTTTCACCTGATTTTTTTTTCTACACCTCGTTCTTCACCACTCTTTTCACCGTGTTTTCCACCATTTTCACCACGTTTTACGACTCTTTTCACCATTTCTTCCTTTGGGTTGAAGAAATAAGCACCTAACGCTGAGGATGATGAGACGCAAGTGGAGGGTAGAACTGACAGAAAGTCACCACAAAACTAACACACCCAAACCAAACAGGAAATGTACTTCGCCGCCCAAGCCCCCCTAGGCCACCGCTTCGCCCAATCCCACAACAACCCACGATGCCGCCACATCCCCTGGCACCTCCCCAGCAAAATCGACCCCACAACCAACCTCATCAAGCAGGGTTCATCACCCACCAACTACACCATCGACTCCCCCGAAGCAGAACACTGGTTCCAGCGCTGGAAAGCCGGCGCGACGGGCTTCCCCTGGATCGACGCGCTGATGCGCCAACTACGACAAACAGGCTGGGTCGAGCACCTGGGCCGGCACGCGCTGGCGTGCTTCCTCACGCGCGGCGGCTGCTACGTGCACTGGGAGCGCGGCGCCGAAGTCTTCGAGGAGTTCCTCGTCGACCACGAGGTCGCCTGCAACGCCGGCAACTGGATGTGGCTCAGCTGCGCCGCGTTTTTTGCGCAGTTCTACCGCTGCTACAGCCCCGTTGCTTTTCCCAAGAAGTGGGATAAGGAGGGTGCGTTTGTGAGGCGCTGGATCCCCGAGTTGGAAAATTACGACAAGAAGTATATATATGAGCCGTGGAAGGCGCCGATCGCGGACCAGAAGAGGTGGGGGTGTAGGGTTGAGGAGTACGATGAGGGACTGCATGGGGGAGATAAGGGGAAGGAGGGCGCGAAGTCGTATCCGAAACCGATGTTCGATTTTAACGAGAGGAGACAGATTTGCATTGATGCGATAAAGAAGGCGTATGATGTCGGGCTGTACGGAGATGATCAGAGGGTGTTAGACGGGACATGGAAGGAACTGTTCGATGACGATGCGGAGGGAGCCACAAGCGGCGCGCCCAAGCAGGAGTATGAAATTGATGATGGAGAGGGGGAAGTCAGAAGTGACAACACTGAAGAGAAACAGAAGAATACGAAAGGAAAGGGTGGGACGGCTAAAGCTGGGCAGAAGAGGCAGAGTAGCCGTGCTGGTCAAGGTACGCTTGATGGCATTGTGAAGAAATCAAAGAAGAAGTAAGGGTCCCATTTTAATGTAGGGCGAACGAAGCCTATATAGATCAATTTTGCATGCATACCATTTTACGCTCACTTTCACAGACACTTGCGTGAGAACCAACGCAATAGATCAATTGTGCCATTGCAAGGCCGTGTCGTGTTCATGATCCGAACTAAGCGTAACACTCATAAAAGGTCTGCCTACATACATCATCTGATGTTAAGCATCCAAGAAATCCGCCCTCCCCGGCGCGAGCCAATCTGATTCTGACCTCTGCCTCTACCTCACCTCTGGTAGCCTGTACCTCTCTACATCTACCAATACCAATCCGAGCGAATGATATACGCTTACTCCGCCCACGCGAGGAAAGGGTTCATAGCCGTCCCACCGCACGCCCTCTCGAGCGCCAAGAAGGCGAAGTGGCCACCAACAACAGGCCTAGCGAAGAAGAAGGGGTTGGGGAAGCCGCCGTCGCCCTCGGTGTTGTACAGGTCGGTGAAGGCGCGGTCGGTGACAGTCTCGTTGATCCACGTGGCGACGCGGTCGAGGATGTCGGCGCGCACCTTCTCCGACGTGACGGCCGCCGCCTCGAACTCCCAGTCCGACTTGGTGTACAAGTGGCGCGAGTCGAGCGGCAGGCCGTACTTCTGCATCACCGCCGCGTACCACTTGGACTGGATCACGTAGACCGAGTGCGGGATGAAGTCCTTGGTGATGGGCTTGCGGGTGCCCGGGAGCGGGTGGCGGATGTCCGGCTGGAGGGGCGCTTGCGAGCCACCCTTCTGTTGGTGGTGGGAGGCGACAATGTCCTCGTCTTCGACGGCCTCGGAGCTGGTGTTGGTGATGGTGGGGTGGAAGCACAGGAGGGAGTCGGCATAGAGAGAATAGATGGTCGTCCAGCTTCCGTACCAGTCGTAAGCCAGCTTGGCGTGGGTGCCGTCACGCGAAATGGCATATTCTTGCCACTTCTCAATGTAGACATCCGAGACGTTCTGTTAAATAGTCAGTCACATGCCCATTCTCCTTGCATGGACGAAAGCTTACCTGGTAGTACTTGACATCATCATCATAACCCATGGTAGCCGCAAGCTCGCTCATGGCCTTGATACCAACAATTCCCTTGAGAGCAAGGTTGCTGTGAAGCGCCAACCAACCAGCAAAATCGTCGGTGGAGACTAACATTCGTCAGTTAAGTGCATCACAAACAATTTCGAGACAATAGACTTACGCTGGTTGTGCGGCTCCAAGCTGAACTCAACCAAGTAGCCGCTCCACTGCCTCCACAGCTTGTAGCTCTTGCTGAGCCACTTCTGCGCCTGCTTGGCACCCTTGGTCATGCCGCCCCAGGTGTGGTCAATGTTATCAATACCCTCGAATTCGCTGGTAAGGAGCGCGAATGGGTTCTCGGCCTCCTCGTCGTAGTCTGGGCTACCCATAGTGGACCAGAGCGACTGAGACTTCTCGCCAGCGCCGTAAGTGAGCGAATTGACCAGAGACAGACCCATGATGAGCATGTCTCCGCACTCCTCGACCGGCATGTACTCGTCGTTGCCATCGGCGTGGCCGGTCAAGTTGGGGAAGTGCGCTCCAAGGTCATGCATCGAGTAGGTGTTGGGGTATTGCCCGCTGTTCATGTGCTCGATGAGCGGCTCGAGCAGCCACGCGCCCCAGCGGGGGTTCGTGTACAGGAAGAAGGGCCAAGCCGGGAAGATGACGTCCACAGTTTGCGAGTTACCGTTCGAAGAAATCTCCTTGAGGAAGATGAGGGGCTCTTCGGCGGTACCGGAGAAGCTGGTGGCACCCATAACCTGACGAGCGCTGAGAGCGACAATGTCAACATAGTTGTCGGAACCAGACTGCCAGGCATCAACGGCGAGCTGCTCCGAGTAGTCGGAAGCGAGAGTTTTGGCGTTGTGGAAGTCGAGGTAGTGGTAGGTAAGCAGCTCCTCCACATCGGCGAACCACGACTTCCAGAGAGGACGCATGTACGTCAGGCCCCGTGCTGAGGCAAACTGAACGACAGGGTCCTGGATGTGAGCCAAAGTGAACAAAACGCTGTCACTGGACGACTTGGAGCTGTTTCCGGAAAGCTTAAACGACTTGGCGAAAGCGAAGACAGGCTCCTCGTCCATGATGCTACGGAATGCACTGTCAACCTCGTTCTCCAGCGTTCCGGTGGCAGAGAAGCGCTGGCGAAGGATGGCAGAAGTACCGCACTCGTGGCGAACATCCTGAACTACTGTTAGCGTCTCTTCCCTCTATGATTGCAAGCTCCGAACGTACCGAAGGCGCGGTGAAGTACAGGGAACCCCACTCAGCCTGAGCATTGCCGCCACCGCGGTTCTCAGTAAAGAGCAGCTCCTCTTCGCGAGTGACCTTGAACGTCTTCAGGCGGTGCTTGTCATCGAGGGCGTTGTGCTCAAAGTCCCACACGATGCGGGCCTCGCGGTGTCCGCTGACCCATTGTCCGTTCACATCGATGTACACATCGATGTTGAATGTTCCGGAGACATGTACCGAGATGTACGAAGCTGGGATGGACTGGCGGAGGGTCGATGTCGGGGTAATGGGCGAGAGGAACGACAGCACCAGCTCGACCGGCTCATCCTCGTGGTTCGGCGCCGGGATAGCGTAGGTCAAGTTGGTCGTCGACGCGTCGTACTTGGCGCCCTTGTAGATGGCGCGCGAAACGTTGTACCTGCTCGCACCAATTGATCAGATGCCGCTGCATTCCGCGAGGCTGTATAGGGCTGGCTTACCCCTCTCCGCGCCCACTCGGGGCCAGCGAATCTTGCGGGCGACCCAGCAGCGGGTAGACGGTGTGCGTCTCCGGCACGGCGGCGAGTAGCGAGAATCCGATCTGTTGGGAAGCGTAGCGTGGTCAGCGTGCGTGGAGTCCAGGATATCTGCATGCGGAGAACAGGAACGGGGCATAGCTCCCCCCAACGCTCGTCGGATTGCCAGGGTGCATACCTCGTCGCCGGTCCAGAACATGGGCCATCTGCTCCACGGCTCTTCCCTGGCATCGTTTAACCAGGTGCTCATGTACGGCGTGCGCACTGTGAGGGGCAACACGGGCGGGGTCAGCGACGAAGCCGCGACGAGGCCGGTAAGCAGTGCCGCGGCAGCTGCATAGGCGGCTGCGGGTGTCCGCATTGCGTCAGGATGGTACCAGCAGGGACCTTGGTCAAACGGGGCTCGAAAACGATGCTTGAAGCTGGTTTTCGGACAAAGAGAAGTGAAAATAAGTCTACAGCGAGCTGGAGGTGAGAAGAGATGGTGAGACTGAGACAGGCCTCCCGCTCGAGCTTTCCCCGGGCGCAAGCCAGCGACGTGCTCGTCAGGTGGACCCCCCCAGCTGACAACTCAAAGTGACGTCGCTGGCTGGAGCCAATAGCCGCGCCGTGCCTTGCATTCTCCGCTTTTATGTGACAGCCCGGGGCGAAACACCGCTCCACCTCGGTCTTTTCCCCACAACGCCCTAGCGCCTTCGAGAAACCATAGAAGCCCGTAAGATCCGCGCCCATTCCGTCCGACATTCTAACCATTGCTTTGGAATCAAGGGTCGCCGCGCCTCAATGCTCGCCTCAGAGCTTGCTTGAGCCTCCCCGTCGGCGATTTCCTTCCACGCCGGCTCGCACCTGGCGCAGGCGAGTCGAACTCCCTGTACAAGTTCCGGTCGGGGCTGGGCGTGTGCTTGAGCCAGTCCTGCCCAGTCAAAGCTCCCACCAACGCTACGTCAGCCACCGAACCCTTCGTCGGGCTGTCCGGCATCGTCATCGGGACCACCCCCGAGTTCCGCATCGCAATCCTCGAACTCTTCGGAGGGCTCCAGGGAGACGATAGACCATATTTCGGCAGAACAGCTGCAGATGCATCTGGCGAGCGCGGCGGCTCGGCTTCGGTAGAGAAGCCCACATGGCTCAGCAGATCAGCAACCTCGCCACCGGAACTCGGACGATCAAGCTCGGTATCGCTAGATGACACAGCCGCACTGGGCTTTTCCGGCACTATCGTGTCCGGAGATCCATGGGACAAAGGTGTGGTGGGTTGATCTGTGACAGTTGGAGGCGTATCTGTACCGTTCCTGCTCAAGAAAGAGAGGTCTAGATCTTGGAACCCGTTGCCGCTGTCTGTAATAGCTTCATCGCTGGTTTCCGAATGCGGCGCTCTAATAATAACGCCCAGGGTCTCGAGCTGGTCTGCAACTGGTTAGCCAGGCACCGTCCATGTGATAATGACATCTGAACTTACCGACAGACCGGTAATAGTACCGAAACTTCGCGAACGGCTCCTTCAGGCTGTCGAGGAGCGCAAACTCGTAGTAGCGCTTCGGATTCTCCTTCTTGAGGCGTCCGGCATTGACGAGGCTATTCTCCGTAGTCAGTTTACACTTCCGCTGGTCTTTTCCCTTCGCAGCAAGAAACTTACTTGATGCCTCCCGCACCCTCCTTCCCCACCTCCGTCTCCATCAGCTCCGGTGTCTTCCTTTGAACTCTCTTCCTCGCGCTCGCCCGAAAGACCTTAATCTCCATGAATCTCTCCTCATGATCCTTTTCGACGTCCACATCCACATCCCCCATGCCACTCTCCTTCCCCGTAGCGAACGTAAACGCCCTCTTCTCCACGCCACCCCTCCACGCCTGATTCTCAAACAGCCCGAACATCGTCTTCCCCTTCCACTCATCCTCCTCACCGACCGCCCACGTGACGACGTGGCGGCCCTCCATGTACAGCTTGAACAGAAAGTACTTGACGTCGACCGGCTGGTCGTCCATGATCAGCGCCGGCGGCTTGACGTGGTACGCGATCCAGAAGGTGAGGCCCGGCGACGCGAGCACGTAGACGGTGGCCGTCGAGCTCTGTGTGTCCTCGATGCGCACGCCCGGCAGGTGCGGCGGCGGCGGGAACTCGAGCAGCGGCGCCGTCTCCTGCGCTGAGGAGCGGAGGGAGACTGTGATGTTTTTGTACGTCGGCATGGTTGGTTGTGCGTGGGTCGTCGGTGCACGAAAGAATGCGGGGCTTAAGTGTCGGCGGTGGTGGCCGTCGAATTTGAGAAGAAGAGAAGAGAGGTAAGGTGTGTGCGTGTGCAGGTGGTGCAAGCGTGTGAGGCAGGTAGGTGTGTGTTGGCCGACTTCCCAGTTTGGAAGCGCCTGTTACGACCTATCACTCGCGCTCTCGCGATGCCTTACAGGCACTATGACATATTTGAAGTCGGCCTGCTCAGGACTGCAACGGAGCTGAAGTAGTTGAAGTTCTCGTTCGTATACTTTTATTCCCAGATATCATGCAATCATGCACTGATGGATGCCTTAGCTACCCATAGCCAGTGTTAAAGTACTAAGCCAACTAACCATATCAGGCAGAAGAGAAATGTCCCGCGCTTTCTTTCTAATCGTCATGTTTGACTACGAATGATATTTCGTCAAATAGTACGCTAATCACTTGCTTATGCTCGTTCAACACAACTTGATTTTGACAACAAGACACTATCATCATCAACCCATTAATTCCTCGGCGACAATATGGCCCTTACAAAATTATTCCAGCTACAAATCGAAGAAAACAGACAGGGGTATCGCTGAAATTAGGACTATTAATACGTCGTCTAATCGTTTATCACGTCGCCTTAGCATCGCCTTTCTACCGATCATCCCGTTCCGCCGCCTTTTCCTCGTCCAACGCATCTTTTTGATCCTTCCTCCAGGTCTCCATCGGCACACCCTCCACCTTCTTCACCGCCTTTCCCTCCATGAACATGCAGATACCGCCCGCGGCCGCAACGATACACGCCAAAGCGACGAACAACCCGGTCGACCAAGACGGTCTATCATACCGATTCATGCCCCACATGAACCCAGCCAAGCAAGCCTGGAAGAACGTATTCCACACATTACACCAAACGACGAAATCAATTTTCCACTGCTTAGTCGGCGGGGCACGCACGCCCGTCGGCGGCGGATCAGGCGTCTTATACAGCGGCGTCGGCAAGACCTTCTTGTCCACGCCCTCGGGCACCTCCACCACGACATCCCCTCCTTTTCCCGGCTTCTGCGGCTTGGCCGGGTTCTGCGGGTCCTGGTGGTCCGGAAAAGTCGGCGGCAGGGCCTCGCTGCCGGGCAGCCTGAACCAGCCGCGGTTGATGCCGGCGAGCTTGCGGAGGCCGTACGACTTGCGTTCGGCGCGGGTCACGCCCCAGGCTTGCTTGCCGAAGCCCAGGCGCCAGACGCCCCACCACCACCAGTCGCGGAAGCGCCAGGGGACGAGGCCGAAGCCCGTGACGCAGAAGAGGGCGTTGAGGATCTGCGAGTCGATCTCGATCCAGATGCGGCGCGGCGAGTTGATGTCGTTGCAGGTGGGGTGGCACATGGCCGGCGACGCGTTGCAGAGGAGTAGGAAGAGCATGCCGCCCCAGGCGACGACGTTGAGGCCCTGGGGGTTTTTGTTAGCTGGGATGTGTATTTTAACATCGGGACGGAGCGAGAACATACGTAAACCGTGATCAAAAACCCAGGAATAGTCAAGACCCACTTCCCGTATGCCTTCAGTGCCAAAGCCGTGGAAGTGGTCCAAGGTAGCTTCGGCGGTGGTTGATACCCGTTGGCGTACTCCGTGACGGGCGGCTTGTTATCCGTCTCCGCGGTCACGGTCCGAGTCGCACTCGACGCAGTCGACTCTTTCACGTTCCCATCGCCCGCACCGTCAACCCGACCACCCTCCGCCCCCGACTCGTTCGTCACAGACCTCAACGTCTCGAGCGGCGTTCCTCCAGAAACAGCGAGGTGCCCTCCGCCTTCAGTACTTCGCCTCTCTTCCTCCTCCAAAACTCCAGCGCCTTTGCCCTTCTTGCTCATAGTGCTCAATCCCGTTCCTGTCCTGCTAAACTTCCGCGATCCGCTCTCATCGCTATTGTGCCTGGTGACAGGGCTGATAGGGCTGTTTCCAGTGCCCAAGCTGCCGCGCCGAATCTCGGAGAACGAATGCATACGTGCGGCGGTCCCGCCAGTCGCGGCCATGAAGCCGGGAGGGAGGTCCGTGTCGAGCAACTTGAGCGAAGCGGAGCGGAGACGACTCGTCGCCGTCGAGGCGAGGGAGGCGGTGGTGGACGAGCGCGCAGGGGGCGGGAAGCTTGGTTTCGAAGCGGGACTTGGTGAAGAAGGCGAGTCGTTCGTAGGAGGGGGAGGCCCGCCGTCATCTTGCTGAGAAGAAGCCATAATGATGTGCTAGGTAGAAAGCAGGCTTCTGGGGGGCGGCAAAAGGTTCAGCGGGAGGCAAATTAGGTGCGTCGTTCAGGTATATAGTTCTTGGCCTATATCAACACATGTGAGCTTGCCAGTAATTTTCGGATCTGAAACAAGGCGCGGCGTACCTTGGTGGCTGGGCGCGTGGACGGCGCAACGAATCAGCGGCACACTTATACTGCGCCACGGGGACGCGTTGCGAGTGCTGCGAGTTATTGGGCACCGGCAGGTGACAAGGCGGGTTTCAAGGCGTCTGTGCTGGCATCACACAGGCAGGGCCAAGCTGCGGAAAGAAGGGAGGAGAGGGGGAAGAATAAGTAGCTGGCCACGCCACGATGGCCAAGACGGATAGCGGCTAATGTTAGCGGTGGACATTGCGAAAAGAAGCTGCTGCACAGCTTTAAACGTCGTATTCGCGTTCAGCTGGGCTGTGGATAGGGAAAAGGTGGAACGGGCCAGGCCAGCGATCAACCCCAGGGTCTGCTGGGAGCGCTTCGCGATCCGACCGCGGCATTTTATTCGGCGGCCCGTTGCGAGTCATCAGCAAACGCCGCCGTTGACGTGAATTTTCGTGAATCGTATTCGCACTCTCATTCACTACCGCGTATAGTAGAGCAAAGCCTCCCACTAGCGACCGGATCGACCTACTTACTTCGCACCTCCCCCCCTGGTTGAAAAGCTCTGCTGTCAGTAATCGCACACGGCATGGCAAACGACGCCGACGCACCAGGCCTCTCTGCGCTCGCGACGCACATCCAGACGGCATTGCCGCGGCGGCCGCCGCCCGCACCGCAGACGACCGCGCACACCGCGCTGGCGCTGCAGATCCAGCACAACCTGCAGCACCAGCACCAATGGACCGCCCTGACGCTGCACACGCACTCGCCGCTGCCGCCGCACGCCGCGCTGCCGCGCCCGCTGCTCTCGGGCCTGCCGCCCCGCCGCCTCTACATCCACCCGGACGAGCAGATCGAGCTGCTGAAGGAGGATGCGCGCCGCAAGAAGAAGGGCGAGTCGGCCGAGGAGCCCGCCCCCGAGCGCGAGTGGGTGCTGCCGAGCCACCTGCGCGAGAAGTGGAGCTTGAGGCGCTTGGGCGAGGTGTTCGATGCCGTTGGAGAGGTCCCGCCGCTGGCTGATGGTGCTGAGGACGCTGGGCGGCCGAATAAGTGGAGGACGACAAAGAGGGTTATGTTGGGCATTTTGGAGGATGATAGCACGGTAGTCTACTACCTCGTCCACGATGGCCCGGTCAAGCCAAGGCAGAATTGAGCGAGCCCAATGGCGGAAACCTATAAGACCGGATGGAGCTGCTACCGAGGGAGCTACTGGTATTATCACGACGTATGGTATCGTGTGATGGCTGCCTTCTGAGCGAGCCAAAGGATGGTCTGATCTTCCGCAGGTCTACCGCAGGCCAGGCGTTGCTAGATCGCCCACCACAAGACCAAGTCTATACGTGGACGCGAAGAGAGTCAAGAGAAAGAATTGGCCAAGCATGATGCTGAAGGCAGACCTGGTTTTAGATTGCTCTATGTACTCTAAGGCGCGCGAGCGCCGGCTACATTTATGCAGCTCGCAGGAAAGTATACTCAGGAAGGAAGCAGCTGCTGATCCTACAACGACGCGTATCCTACCACGAATTCCTGCCGTAGCACGTTATCGAACCAACGCAAGGGGTACTGGGTGCAGCGGCAAGCTTGAAATACCCGGGCTGGAGCTTTTGGAACACCCTTTCGGGATCGTACTTCTCCGCGATGGCCAAGAGCCGGTCCTTGTTTTCCTGGCCGTAGCCCGCAATTGGATCCTGGTACTGGCTGGCGTAGTTCATGTACACGTACTCGTGGTCGAGTCCCATGCTTTTGGCTTTCTCATTCACCTTACGGACGATATTGTCGGCGGCACCCAAGACGGCATCGTCATCCAGTTCGTTGTGCCACATGGTGTTGAGGTTCAGCAATAGGAGCGGCTCATCTTCGTCATCCAGGCCCAACGCATTACCACTGCGTTCTCTCATATGCTTGAACATTGGCGGCGTAATGAACTGCAGCGTGCATGCAGGCAGGATGCCAGAGCAGTTGCGGATAGGATCAATCTCCTCAATATAAGTATCCAATATGAACGAAACCAGCTCTGGGCTATTCCTGTATGTCGCGGTCCAGTATGTCTCCCGCAAACCATTGGGGTTGGATTCGTTGAACAACTGCGTAAGATTGGACAACGTGCGAACCATGGTGGTATCAAAGATTGGATCTGGCATGGCCCTCGAACTGAAATTCTCGAAAATTGGCGGATCCTGGACAGGTTCGGCGTATTGCATGTCAATTTGTGCCAGGTACGACCCGAAGGAGTAGGCAAAAGACAGTATCATGGCAGCCTTGGGATCCTGCACAGCATTGGATCCGAAATCTGTGAAGGCCTGGATGATCTTGTCTCGTTGTTCCAGTCGGTGGAGTCGTCCGCCACCCCACATGAGACCCTGGGGGAAAGTTGCCACTGTGAAGTTGGTGACAATGCCGAAGTTATTGCCACCGCCCCTCAGAGCCCAGAAAAGGTCCGGCTCCATGTCATGGTTGACGTTGATGATAGAGCCATTTGCGATAACAACCTGATTAAGACGGTGTCAGCCACGATTCAGATTGTTGACACGACATAAGCTTCGCAGAATGCTTAAATGCTCGGCCCGGACATGCAATTTAGGCGAGTCGGCTTTTCAGTGGCGTACTTCAGCACGATAACGGCTTACAAGAGGATTCAGCCTTTGCGGCCCATCTCCCGAACACAAGCTCGCTGTGTGGATGGCTGAAGTCGATTGCCGGGTGCGCATGTAAGACGAGAGTCCATACAACGTCCAAGCGCCGACTTCGACCGTCCAGTTAAGTCGAGTGCAGTGTGTCTAGGAGACATGACTGTAAAGGGTGAATCTCTGCAACCGTCTGGGGCGCACTGAAGCATACATTCCGTTTGGGGTTGATAAGAGGAAGATGTGCTGTCGATCCAATAATGTGGGTAATGTGATATGCAGTTGATGCATCTGACACTTGCAGCATACCCTGCCGTGTGCGACGTCGGAACGGGGTGAAAAAAGTGAGTGGCTAACCACATACCTCATAGTTGACGACGTTGTCACACGCCCAGCCGTAAAGCCCGGAGAAGAAGGATATGCCGCCTGCACATATGTTAGTTCCGACGAAACGGTCGATGCAAAAATTTAGAGGTCTTACCTCCAAGAGTCAAGCCGCCAACGCCAATAGCGGAGACTCGTCCTCCGACAACTGTGAGGCCCTCTGGCTCGAGTACGTTGTAGACATCGAACCATTTGTTCCCTGGTCCAAGTGAGGCCAATTCTCTGTTTGGTGAGAGATCGACGTGGTTCATGAGTTTCATGTCAATCGTGATGCCTCCCTGGATGTTTGAGGCATTTGCAAAGGCAGCATGACCGCCACTCTTGACAGCAAATGGGCATTCCAACAGACGAGACATCTGGACAGCCACGGACACTTCGTTTGCTGACTCGGGCTGGAAGATGCAAGAAGGGCGCTGGCTGGCCTGTTGGACGGACCAGAACTGATCCTTGAAGCAGCTGTAGCTTTCACTACCGCTCTGCGCTACTTGAACGCCGTAGCGTTGAGAGAGAGAATAACACTGATTGGCCGTGAGCTGAGGCTGGTCGCGGGCAGGGAGTTGAGACATACAGCGTAGGAGCAAGCATGGCCTTCAGTCGAGCCAGCATCCAGGGCGGCAACCAGCTGAGCTTCTGGAAGCTGATCGAGCGGAGCGCCCAGCAGTGACGCGAGCGCCTCCCGGACATGGCGGTCGGAGTCGCAGCGGGCACAGAGGACGAGAAGTGCGGCAATAGCCAGCGCCAAAAGCAAGAGGAATCGCATGATGAAGCAGGGGAGGACGGTGAGTACCACAGCACGGGAGAGGGACGATAGATTAACAGCACACGCAGCATGGTGGGCTCTTCCTTCATAACGCCCTTCGCCTAGGAAGGCACGACCCGCTCTCGGTTCGCAGAAATTGCACGGAGCAGCAGAGGCCACAGAACAAAGGCAAAGTGACAGTCGCGCAAGGAGAGTGGACGAAGTGTACCAGGATGAGAGGGAACAGGCATGGGGCTTGCCATGGGCGGCGCCTCCCGGTCCAAGATTTGTGCGGCGCCCTTCGCCCTCAACCATCCATTCTCACCACCACGCGAGTTGCCGTCGCGCCTTCCAAAACCTGGCCCGTCCCTCGCTCTCGCGCAGCGCGTCCGCCCTGATATGCGCAGAGGGCCGGCATTCCATGCTGCGCCAGTAACACGGGCCAATGGTTCACCAATGCAAGGTCTGTACGCTCTTCAGCCAGCCTGGCTCGCGTGTCTCGATGCTCCCTTGCGGCAGGAGCGTGCGAGACCGGCTGCCCGCCCGCTCGCTTCGGGCGAGCTTAGTAACGCTCTGTGTCACCCGCTTCCTCGTTTGCCCAAGCTGCATCTTGCACGACGACGCTACTAACGCCACCCAGCGAGGGAGATGCAGTCCTTGCCGCCCGGTAGTGCCAGTGCCGGCCAACTCACGCCCTCGCACGCTGCACAGAGGCGTCCTCGCAGCTCCAAATACACTTTCCAGCTCATCGCCGTTACTGTAGTATGACACAACCCGCCGCCCTTCGACTTGGCGGACCGCATATAGCAAACCACGACCCAGGATTGCGCCTCCGCTCGAATCCCAGGTTCCGCCGGCGGATCGACGTCTCGTGGGGACGACGAGCTCAATGCCGACGCGCATTCCAGCATCCCTCTCACCCGTGTTCAAAGACTGACCATTGTCCTGCTCTCGCCCGCCACGACTCCTCCACCATGGCCGACTCGGCAAGCCAGAACTACTTCACCGCCCATGTCTTGACCAACACTGGCTACGCCCTGATCGTCGTCACATCAGCCACCGTCATCACACGTTTCTCCATCCGCATATGGAAACGCAAGCCTCTCCAGGTCGAGGACCTCCTGGTTGGCGTGTCATGGGCCTCCTTCCTCGCCCTCACCATCAGTTACATTGTGGTGACCCCGCCAATGTACCACGTCTATGCCGTGTACGGTGGCCAAGCTGCACCCTACCCGGAGATAATGGACGACGCCCTCTTCATCGTTAAAGTCTTCTTCTACAGCACAATGCTACTCTGGGTCACGCTCTGGGCCGTCAAGTTCTCGCTCCTTGCCCTATATCGACGCCTCATGAACGGCTTGCGCACGTACATCGTTCTGTGGTGGATGCTAGTCGTGTTCTGTGCTCTGGTAAGGCGGGCATATAACCCGCTAAGGCGTTTGCGTGGTGCTAACAGGCCGTCCGCCAGACCTTCATTGGAGCCATCATATCCAACCTTACATCGTGCAGCAGCATGCACGCATGGTTCACACCTGGTTTGAACTACCTACCAGCCACTTTGCTCGGCCGAACACTCTCTGACCTCCCGTATACAGGAGAATGTGCAACGCCCCGCGACATCAAAGCACAAATCGCCAGTCTCTACTACGCCTTCGCCGTCGACGTTCTCACAGACCTTTTAGGTACCTCATTACTCCCACCCCCGCCCCGCACCACCACACCAGCCCCTCACGGTGCCACCATCCACCATCACTTACGCCTCCCCCCTCAACCTCACCCCGCTCCTCCCCTCAAACCCAGTCCCCTCGCTTTTCTCTTCCCCCTCTTCGTATCACTCTCAATTGCTAACCCCCGCCTCCCCTTCGCCCTCACAGTAATGGCCCTCCCCATTCGCCTTATCTGGAACCTCCAAATGCCGCGCGCGGAAAAACTCGCCGTCGGCGCGCTCTTCTGCTCGGGCTTCGTCTGCATCACCATGGCGGTCCTGCGCGTCGTGCAGATCGGCGTTAAAGCCAACAACAACACGACGCCCAGCTCATCGTGGCTGGCGCTGTGGGCCGAGGTCGAGGCTGCCATCGCCGTCTTCATCGGCTGCTGCCCGGCCTTCGCTGCTTTTTACCGCACGACCAAGAGCGAGAGTAGGGGATACTCGAGGCCGAAAGATAATAGGAGTGGAAATAGTGATCGGAGTGAATTTGTTGCCGGGGGAGGGAGACAGAGGAGGATTGGGAAGGAGGAGGAGGAGGGTGTGGCGTTGAGGGGGATGACGGCGGCATGTACGGCCGGGAGGAGTGCGGGTGGTGAAGGCGGAGGTGGGAGCAGCAGTGGTGGTGTGGGTGGCGGTGGTGGTGGGAGAGTGCCGAGGAGGGGAAGTGGGAAGACGGCGAGCACGTACTGGGACGAGGCGAACAGCTCGCAGGAAGAGCTGGCCAAGGGCGCGCAGGGCATCTACGTAACGAGGAGTATCCGGGTAAGTTACGAGGACGAGAGAGACAACGATGAAGTGGAGTCAGTGAAGTGCTGATAAGTATCGCGTCTGTCTACAGCAGGATTCGGAGGATAGTGGGGAGAGGGGCCCGATGTGCTGAGTGAGCGAGTGTGTGTTGTACTGTTGTTGCTGGGTTTGCATGTGTTGCTTGTCGATGATATACCCCCTCCTGAGCGTTGCAGCAGTTGCTCTTGTGTGTTCGGCGTTGATGGTAGTGACGGTGATGGGAAAAAGAAATGGGAAAAAAGCGGGGGTGTCCTGGTGTTTTTTTATTAGCGATCATGTGCGAATGGGGCATCTGATGAACTGAAGATCCGGGGTATTTAGCTATGTAATGGAACGGGATCATCCTGGCGAAGATCAGAAGATACTTGCTCCTTTCATTGAGTGGAGTCCGTCACGGGAACAAAAGGCGTCCGATCAGGTATTTAAGGTCTCCGAATGCTTGCTTTGTGCTTTCGTGCTTGTAAGCAATATTCCCACGGCTCTTCTTCAAATATATTGAGAGTACTGTCGCACTGCGGGTTGTTCCCCAGTTGGAGTCATATGCGAAAGCCAACATACTTGCCTGGCAATTACGAATATACAGTGTATAAACGAGGATACATTGTTTTTGACGAATGTTGTCATGGCACCATGATGTATCTCACCATCAGCGTCCGATGGCGCTGACCACCATCAATTCTTATCAATGAAGCACTCTTCGCGTCCGCCAAGACAGCAAGCGGAGCACACTTATGAAGCGCACCCAATTTTCGTGAAACTCGTCAACTACAGCGGACTTTCATCCACCGCGACTCTCTTACCGAAATCCAAAAGCAACAACCACCTACCCATCTATTTAAAGACCTCTCTCCACAAGTTGAGCTACCGTATCCGGCAGCGGCCGGCGATATCCGTTTTGCCCGCGTTCCCGCGCGTGATGCGCGCTGGAGTGTGCACCGTGCCCTCCGCCCGCAGCCACACGACTCGGGTAGAGTGGATCCTAGGCGGGCCGGGTGACGGGTGTCGGTCGTGGCGCAGCAGCCACCACCGCGTGTATATCGGATAGCACGGCGCAGAAGTAGTAGACATGACTAGTAGGTGCATACATGCATGCGTTCGACGGGATCGCGTGCCGGGCGTCGGTTGTTGCCGCACGCAGGCATGCGCTGTTCGATGGGTCTGGCGGGGAGGAGGCGGTTGGGGGCGTGACTGCTGCTGTGGGTTGCGGGTGGAGGGGGTGGGTTAAAAGGAGGGAGGGGTTGGGGGTTTCTGGGTTCGTTCGTTGTCGGGTGCTTTCGTTGAAGGGGAGTGAGACTACGAAAAGTCTCATCTCTGCGACTGTCGGTGTCCTTGTTGCTGGTTTGGCTTCACTTTGGTAGTTTGGAGGCCTGGGCTTGCTGAGAAAAATGGCCTTTTCCTATCTCTTCGCCATTATGATAGAAAGAAGATTAGTGGGTGAAATGAAATCGATGATAAACAGCATTTTGTTGCAATGCTGCCCAACATAAACAACTTTGTCATCCCCTGAGTCTTTCTAAGGAAATTCAAACACGCTCATAGACATGGAATAGAAAAATATCCGTCAAACGCACTCCAGAACGCAGTGAAAGCTTGTTCTGTCCATAGTGTTTTTTTTTGCATCACGAATACCAGAAGCGTCCGCGATCATTGGTCGTTTGTTCTTCGAGGACCGAATTTGAATAGATCAACAGAAAAGGATAATCGCATGTGCACCTGCACAGCCCATCAGCTACTCGCAGAAACCTCATGCAGGGATTCGTATCACCCTGGGGGGTGTTGTTTCGCATTCATGAAAAAAAGCGGAGAGACCGATGAATGTGGCGGCGTGCCCTGAAACCAATAATAGCATCGTATCAAAGGCTGTGGTTGGGTTGCCGTGAGGAATGCCGGCAGTTTCCTGTGTCAGCATGTAGTGGCAGTGTGGTGGGGGCGGTGGCGTCATTGTCCGGATGAGGTCGGATACGTTGTACAACGAACGCTTGCGGTGAGGGAAAAAAGAGTCTGGACTGAGCTGAATGTGTCAGTGAAGGAAAGCTGTAGCGTTAGTGTCTCAAAAGTCGGACTGTGTGAGAGAATAGTGGAAGTGATTGCGATAATTCTGATCATGGGTATTTTTTGAGCTGCAGCGAAAAAAAGAAAATAGATATCGAATACATGCGCGGCTTCTCTCGCCGCGGTCATATCACAGGCCGTACTTCTTACAGCCGCGGTCCGTAACATGTGCTTGCCCCAAACCCTTTGAATCTATCCCGGGACGAAATCCGCAGCCGCCGTTTTCCTAGCGCCGGGAATGGTCCGGATGCAAATGACGCTTTGGGTCCCAATTAAACGCCTCGCCGGATATGGTCCGTTGAACGCCTGAAAAAAAAATTATGGAAATGTTCGAAGAGACATGGCTTAGGCAATGCCCTCGGCCTTGGCCATGGCTTGACGCCTCTTCTCCTTAATGGCATCGCGCTTCTTCATGAACATGAGGGCGAGAAAGTTGCTGAAGATCAACAGGAGGAAGGCCAGGGCGAGAGAGCCGCCGAATATAGACGAGGCATCGGAGGAGGTGAAGACGGTGCAGTTGGTGGCGCACGGGGTGATGGTGGCGGTCGAGGAGGTGGTTGAGGAGGAAGTGACGGTCGAAGTGCCGGTGGTACTGGCGGACGTCGAGCTGGTGACTGTGCTGAGAGTCGAGGCGGTGGTGGAGGAGGAGGCTGAAGTGCTGCTGGAGGATGCCGAGGTGGAAGTGGCGCTCGTGGAGGAAGCGGATGAGGATGAAGTGGTGGTGGAGGCGGCGGTGGTGGTCGCTGCGGCGGAAGTGGCGGCGGCGGAAGTAGTAGTAGTGCCGCTGGCAATCTCAGAGGCCGTGGTGGCAGCGCTGGCGATGGTGGTGGACATTGCGAAAGATGCGATGGAAGCGAGTGGAGTTGCTTGGAGGAGTAAGTATGATTGATGTTGGTGATGGTGATGGTGATGGTACTTACTGTATCGGGTAGCGAGCGGAAGGCGAAGATAGAGTTTGCTGAGCGAGACTTTGGTGGATGAAGGAAAAAAGACTCGACTCGGAGCGACGGAGAATATTCTATATAGCAGAGAGCTTGCGCCGGCATCCGGTGCCGGGGGCTGTGAGACCTCAGGCTTACTCGACAGCTTCAGGCCAATAGACTAGGGTAGTAGCAGCTCAGCCTTACTCACCCGGCTGTGCCCCTTGCGTCTTACCGCAGCGGGCATAGGCGCACGTTCGACGCGTAGGAAAGCCATGCGGAGCTCGGCCAAATAGAGCTGGCTAAGCACCAACGTACGCGTGCCGGCGACCAAGCCACGGCGATCCCGCACCACGTTGCTTGAGCCTCAATATTGGGCGTCAGAAGATCGTCGCCTAAATTAAGAGGGAAATCAGCCGCAAAGGGCGCACAAGTGCCGCGACGCAGGCCTAGAAGCTAGTGTGCGACAGCGCGAGGGCGGATTGCGTTCTGGAAGGCGGTATGGTGGTGCAGGTCTTTCGCGCGCAATACGGGGCGTTACGTCGCCAGGGACGCGTGGCCGCGCCAAAACGGTCGGGCGCTCGTCGGCTTGCCGGCATGCTCAGCCCGCATCCACACCACCACACACGCCTCCACCATCACCCGCCCGCTCCTCCGCCTGCTTCTGCCCACCCCCTCGTTGCGGCTCCACGCCGACATCCAATGCCTCAGCCCCATGGCCTCCCGCCAACCGCTGCGTGCGACTGCTGAGGCCCCGCCTCTTCTAAGCCCGGCTGGGGGCCTTGGCTGCCTGGTGCCCTATAGCCGTGCGCTCGCGCCATTCCCTTTTGGATCCTTCTATATAGACTCGCCGACTATCCGCCCGCCTGGTGTCTATCCCTTACCCGTCGAGCTTCTTACCGAAATCGTCCGCCACGTCCACAAAAAGGCCCACCTGAAAACCCTCTGTTGCGTCTCGCGCCTCTTCCGAGATCTGGCCGAAGCACAACTATACTCCGATGTATGGTTATACAACCTTTCTGCTGCAGAATCTCTCCAAAAAACTCTATCCCGCCATCCCACACGCCAAGCTCTCATCCGCAGATTCAGCGTAGACCTTTGCCGTCGAGATCGTGCCCGCACCCATCTAATCAGCTTGCCCAAGCCTGCCTTAATCTGGAAGAGCTTCAGGTAGCGAGAAAAGGCTCGACCATAGACGACTTTGACTTTGTACTTGAACTCACACGCACTCTTCGTCTGGCCAGTTTCCATAGACCATCATCTTAGCGCATCCTCCCATCCTTGACCATTGTACGCCTCGACCTGCACCCAGTCTCCTCTAGTGAGACATCGGAGCTCGAGTATTAGCTCGAGTACAGTGTCCTGCACATCTTTTTCAACCCCACCCTTCGTGAAATCGCTCTTCGCAACGCCAAATTCTTGAGGGCCAGCTCTTTCCTGGACAAGCTGAACTACGAAGGCTTCGCCCGACAGACTCCACTCAGGCTGCTGCGTCTGAAAGACTGTAAAATAGATCCCATTGTCATTCAAAAACTGCTCCTCCTCCCGCGTGCTTTAGAAACATTCCATCTAGATTTCTTCAACGATCGATGGTTCCGTTCCCAACCGCACGAGACCCTTGGCGATCTAGACACCTGGACACAGACATTCATGCAGCAAACACACGCCTTGAAAGAGATAGCCATCATCGCCAGGCCGTCGCCTCCGCTTGTCCGACAATCGATTCCGTCCGCAGCTAAAAGGCTAGACCTTCGTGCTATGCAAGTACTCTCCAAGGTCGCAGGTGATTTCTTCATCGTCTTCACCCACGCGCTCAACATGTCCGACCACATCAATGTCATCAGCAACGACGGATACGAGCGCTCGCTGGCTGGTACTCGAACCGAGTGGGACGCTCTCGGAGATGTTGAGCACGCCGAGTACAGTGATTTTGGCTATTACCGTGATATTCGCTATGACTGGGCGTACATGGACTATATACATCGCTACCCTGATAGGTACTACCGTGACAGGCTAGATCTTCGCTATCCGCCTAACAGTTATGATTGGTATTTTCATTATCGCCTAACGCATCAGCGTCAAGAACCTGATTGGCCTAACATTTCGTTCGCTTCTGGTTGGCCGCCGCTTCACGGTCCTTAACTATCTTACTAAGCGTGGAAAGCAGGCGAGCTATGCACTATTGCCAGTTAATGGCGGGCACTATTTCATGTATACGAAGGACGGATACTACGTACCTCAACTTGGTAGAGCGTCATTTATCGCCAAGAACATTTGCCAAAGAAAGCTGTGGACGATATCTGGTTTCATCAGCATAGCGCCCTCATCCTTCCGCCCGGAATGCGCCTAGGCCGACTGTGTGGGTGATGGCCTCCGCTGCCATGGTTTTTTTTTTTCATAACACTCATTCTATCGATCTCTATATAAAGTGGATAGGCCCTTTCTCCTTTCTTTTTAAGGGTCTTCTACGGGAATTTCCATTACCAACACCAACAGCAATGTCAGAAGCTTAAAGTTCAGCGATTCCCCAATCCCGCACCGCTCCTCCTCCCGAAGTGCTAGTATGTTTCGAGTTTTAGTAGTTCTGGTCCCGCTTTTATTGACATAAACAAATGCGTAGACAGCCGCCGCCGTGTTCCATCTCCCCGTTTCCTTTTGAAACTGCGTTGAGGGGTCTTGTTTCAGTTTTCCGCTGCGAGATCTGTACACACGAGCGTCTTTCCTGGCACGAGATTTGCCCTGAACGGAACTGCGACTCCTTGAATGCTTGCATAACCTGCCATTTAATCACCTTTGCCGCTTTAGTTCGTATGACTCGATAACACGTGCCCTCGCACATGTACTGATGCATGCGAGTACTTGATCTTGGAGACATCTTGCCCGAATTATGTGCCTTTATCTGAGTGGATCGGCTACAGAATGACGGATATCTCTTGGTTGCACGAAAGCTCTTCTATGAGAAGGAAGATGACGATATTCTGTGAGTATCTGCATTCATATTCCCTTTAAGTGAACTTGGGAACGTGTTTCTACAGGGTCCGAATAATCAAAAATTTAATATGTGCATGCGGTATGCATCATTAATGGATGGAAATCTTGATGAGATCATTTCACGTGCAATCAAGGTTTGATCCACGCACATGCCTAGCTAATGTTGTATCGTTCACTGCTCGTCACCCGCCGTCTGCCATCCGAGACGCATATAAGTGCACTCAATATTCCACATATCCACTTCCCCTCCAAAAAACGCTCTGAAACAATCATCGCAAAAAGAAATGAACAAGCCACTTGTGCCGACTCTCAGAAGCAACAGGCTTTTCACTTTTCCGGCGTCCCCGTCTCGCTGGCAAACCCCTTTCTTCCGCTTCATACCTACTTTTCATCTTCATCCTATTTCCCCAGCATAAATTAATGGTGCCTTCCACCACCAAACCCCGATATTGCATCGTGCTATAATCTCTTTTCCTAACCGGCCATCATCACCAATCTCTCCTGTGTCTATTCATCCAGTATCTATCGAAGAAAGGTTTGGTGAGAGTATCCAGCAAGCGACACCACGAAACAAAGAGGAACAAAGACAGTGAAGATCGTCGCAGGAGCTTCTCACGCGACATGGTGTCTCCGCTGACTGAGAAAACAAGTGCTGTATCCTCATGTTCAAAAGCCAAAATGGACAGAGAAGACAGGGTATTTATACAAGCGGATGGATAGTGCAGCACTGCAACCTGGCACATTACCTAAGCACATGGGCTGCATATATGGCAACAATGACGCATTATTTGCGAAACGGTTTGATTTCTGATGAACAAATCCGGAAGTGATGAACCGCTCAGCAGAATCACCCTCAGATTCCACATTTCTCTCATCTCTCTGATCAAAATCATAATAGTGGTATCCGGAGCCTCTTTCTCAACTTCATAGAATCTCATCGGGCGAGGGCTGATGCCCGCCAGATTTTTTGAATGACCTAAATGTGAAGATGGAGACCACCACGAACACCTTTGTGCTTCTGCACCAATTGACCTCGAAAATAGGCCTTTTTCTCTGCTCTAATGCGACGGTATGAGGTAATGAGAAGGGACTGGTGGCCGCCGAAGCATATATGGGGAAACCGATTTTGATGCATACCCACTAAGCGGATTACCTGCAGTATCAGCAAGAGACAAGAGAAGTGGTTTACAGGGGGCTTACAAACAGTCAAAACTTGCAAGAGGTGGCTTTATGTGGGAAGATTGGGCCTCAATATTTTGCTCGTGGGAAGGGGCGAATTCCTTCTTCCCCTTCCTCTTTGATGCACTAAGATCGGGCCTCGTTGGTTGCTGCACTGAGTACTATAGAAAGAGAATTTCGAGAGTGTGTTGGGCTCTTTCTTTTCCCCATGCAAGCTAACCATCATTAGACCTATTGCATCGTCAACCCAATAATAAAGTCCAAAGATACACAGTCTTCTTCTCAGCCACCTAATCCGCAGCCTCCCTCACCCGCCCTTGGACTCTACCGATTTCTCGCTTAGGTAAAGTATTTCCTCTTCCATGCAGCAGCTCTCAGGAAAATTAGCAAAACTTTTTCTACGCCACTTATCGCACTACTTTCCTCTTCTACAACCATGGCAGCCATGTCTCAACCTGGCCCCGGTATATGCCGTGTTGACATTCTGGTCTCAATGCTGGCGGAAGCGCTGTACCACCGATTGATTTTCATTGGGTAGCCTCCAATCAAGACTCAATTAAGGTTGTGGAAGAACGTGGAAAAACCTGAGGCGGGCCAGCTGGACATATGTGACATCATCACTCTCTTTTCATACTACCACGTGAGGACAGATACACATCTTATGTCTTCTTGGGTTATATTTCACTTCTTTCCAGCACTTTGCTTTCACCCCTTCTCTGTGGAAAGTTGGCTTAGAAGGTCATCAAGATAAACATCAACATGTATTTCCACCCATTTACTCGGTCTCGTTGCGAGTCTACGAAAAAGAATCATGCGTTCTGTCAGTAGTCTGTCAGTCTGAACTGACGTAGGCGAAGTTTTTTCGTGCTTTCTTTTATTGACAGTACTTGTGTAAGACCATCAACAAGGAGTTTCACTTCGTCCTTTGAGTATGTTACGATGATCATGACCATCACCACTTGTAACATTCTCCATTGCTGAGCCTCAATTTCTCTTGCTATGACAGAGCCATACGAGTACCCGGCTACAGCTTGGCGACCCAGTGTGGGGGGTGTTCAAGGCATTAGTGACCGAACGCCATTGGGAGCGTTCCTGAAGAATGGAGATTCAGGATTGCGCTCCAACATGGAGCTGTGGACGAGCCAAAAAAAAGTTAATCTGGATGTCGAGGACCTAATTCATAAAGAGCTACAGGTCTAAAGCATTTGCGGCTCGTAACGCTCGCTGGGGCAGCATGCGTATGGTCCACCTGCAGTCACTTGGAGGAACGGCAATCCAGCATAGTATTTAATTCTTCATTACGTTCCTGTGGTGGACTTTTCGAGTGTGCAGAGCGTATCACTATCGGCGCGTCAAGGCAACTAAAGACATCATTTCAAACTCGCTCTTTTTGGTGGCGTCTGCTTTGTAGGAGTTGACGGATGCACAGTTTTAGAGTAGGTAAGTGAGCTTTTGTAGGCACCATGTCAAGATGATGCAAAGCCAGAATCGCAAGCGAAGAAGGGTTGCTTCAGCATGTTTGAATGGTGCACAGCATCATCATTCAATGAAACCTACACCTCGCTCCAAAAATCTCAAGCAGTTCAAAATTCTAAAACGGCAACAAGTTTAAGATAACGGGAAAAGCGGTACGGCACTCCGTCCTTCCGAAGCTCGGAAACAATTTGTCCCCGATCCCGTTGCAGCCTTGCCGCAAGTACGGGGACTAACCCTCACGGAAGTCGGAGGACACCTTTTGGGAGAGATCGGTGGTTTTTCTCAGCATCGCTCGCGAAAAATCCAGCAGCATTCCATCCCACCAATGACAATCCCCGTCATTCCGCTCTCTGGTAAGGGTGGCCCCGAGTATTATTATGACCCGAAGAAAGCGCGCGAGCCCTCATTCTTGGCAGTTATGCACCGCGTGTATCCCTTTCCTCTTTTTTATTTTTTTTTCGGTCCTCTCTATTCTCGCTCACGGTCCACACCAAGCAGGCGGGCCGTGTCCCGAAACAGAGAAGAGTGCGGCGGGAGTCTCCGCAGCAGACATGTCATCTGGAAAAGCGGCAAAGGCAGCAGCGGTAGCAGCAGGATCTCGGGCTTCCGGGTTCTGCTGTCCCGAAACGCCGATCCTTTTTTTTTTTCGACGCGTTGCATGCAATGAAGGGAGGTGCGAGCGGGTTCGGTGGGGGGATAAGACGTGTATCGGATAGACGGCCTGTTGTGCAACAAGGATGAAGGGGGGAAATGGAAGCATAACCGAGAGGGTGCGGGCCGGAACATTTCACGTGGTGTTTAGAGTAGGTTTCCCATAGGGTTGCATGTGTGGAGTATGTCTTTGTTTGCTTTTTTGCATGTGGTAGAGCAGGGATGGCTTTCATCGTCATTATTGAGGGCGCGAATGAGGATCTTGATGACGCGTGGGCGACTGCAAACATCACGCGTTAAAGCAGCGGAGAAGAGGAAAGGTAGACATTTGACCGATGATAGTAGGATGTTCTATTAATAATTGTCTTGGTATACAAGGCATCTCGGCTTGGCGACATCGAAATCAGAAGTCAGATGAATGCAGGTGTGCGGCGAAGGAAAAGTGGGTACACGTGCGTGGCCAAAAGAAAGCAAACCGTTGCTCTGGGGAATGTGATAGTGATGGCAGGCGACCCGAGCGCTACTGCTTCCTTTGTAATGGACGGTTGAGGGCGCTGATTGGTCGATCGAGGCTGTAATTTACTTTCGCCTATAAGGTTTCCTGGTTTACCGCTGCCAAGCCGAAAGCAGCAGGTGGATGTGCAGGGCCAGGGACTGGGGTAGCTACTGCCTCTTTTCTCATCGGGTGAGCACCTGATTCTCTCTTCTTCACGCTGCCCTTCTCTTGCAATTTATGAGCGCGGCGCCCAGGGAGGCCTTGAGATGAAGTAGCTTCCCCAGCTTCCTTCGGGCCGTTTTGCGGCGGGCCTAACGGGTTGGCAGGGCCGGCGGGTGCGATTGAAGGAACAGGCGTGCACCATTGCGTGCAGCGCAAATACCACAGCCGCGGCCCGATGCCGAGTCAGCGCACGGTTAGAAAGGGCAATAGTTGAACGCAGGCCCCTATAAACTCCTTGCCGGTGTTGAATCGGCATGCAGTGGCGATACGAGGGTCCAGCGGGGAGTACCTGCCTGTTCCTGAATAACAAGGCAGGTGCGATTGGGCCGGTGGGCTGGCCTGCCGAACCAGCTCCCTGGGCGCGGCGTTCTGGGCTGAGACCGCGGTCGAACGGACTGTCCAAGACTACGAGTCAAGTCAGCAAGGCCCATGAGTTTTTCTGTCGTGCGGAGTAATTGTACGAAGGCCATTTGCTGCTCGCGGCCGCCTGACCATGGCATGAGGTTTGTCATCGGCAGTGCGTAGCGGCCTGCGGGAAGAATAGGGTCTGCGCCTTCCCCGGATGCTCGGTCTGCCTGCCTGTTTGTCTATAGTCCATGTCCACCCCAAATTCCACGACACTTCAGAAAGACGACCACTTCTGACTCACCAGGCGTCGCTACCAACGCGTCGTGCTCCTTCATCTCCAATCGTCGCCTTGGCGGGATAAATGAGCTCGTCGTGTGCCAGTGAGATGTTGCGGGTCCGTGTTCGAGAAGACGAGAGGAAGTGTTTCGTTTCGATTGTTTGTTTCGACGTCATGACAAAAGTCTCGAGGCGTGGCGCCGCCGAGTCCATCTGCCGGCATCACTAGTCGCCGCCACCGGCACTTGCCAACATCCGGTGCCCGATTCGGACTGAGAGCGTATACTGGTGTTGTCGATATAGACGCTGATGCTAGTGGACGAGGATAGGTGGGCGTAGGCGGGGATGTCTTGGCTATTCTTGGGAAGTATCTCGGGTAGCGAGTAAGCATGATGGCAAGAAACTTTCGAATGGCGATTAACTGCTGTCTCACCCTGCTAAGCTTACCTCAAATCAGCTAAGGCACGCCTTGTATTCGCTGATCTAGGCATCATCGTGGCACAGCATCGAAGTGCAGCGCAGGCCGTATTGCTGATACTCCGGCACGCCCTGGTCAGCGCGGATCTGTGAGGGGAGCGTCTGCAAGCTGCGGTGTAGCTCGGGGGGTCGCGTGGGAGAGGCCAGCGGCGAATCAGCGGAAAGGAGAAGACTTCTGGAAACGAAACACCGTGGTTGAGTTGCACGCGAACACGCCCAGGGCACTGCACGACATCTGCAGCTCACCGCTGTGCTGCCCGAAGGAGAAGAGGAGCGGCTCGCTGGCCTCTCGGACTTCTCTGCATGCTGGGCTCAGGCACTACAACACAGCAGCCCCGCCGCCTGACGCAACGCGGGCAACAACGAGCTAAAAGAGTGGATTATTCACGACGGCATCTGGCCCGAGGCGAGGTGATGGCCGCGGAGATAATCCTGTGCGCTGGCCCGGTGCTATGGGCTCTCCACTGGCCTTGGAACGTTCCCTCATGCGCCAGAAGCAGCGACATGGCCGGGTCGCACACAGTTCGACCTTAACCTGTTTCAGCGCATTGTGCCGAGGCAGGGCAGCCGTGGATGCGGAGCAGCTGGTGTTTCGCGTGAAATTGCGATCGCAGCGGGCGGTAGGCACGCAGGTACCTGTCCGTCTGGAGTAGTTCGAGACCCGAGTGTCTGCATAAGCACGCGCGGTGGCTGGTGCGCTGCTGTCGGCCGCTCCCTTGGCCGCCCACCTCACCCAATCCAGCGCTAGCGGCCCCGGCCTCCACCCACGACCCAACGTCATTCCTCGACGTCCACGCCCGAGCCTGCACGCCCCCCGGCCGTCCATATTCGCAAGGCGCCTGCAGCTGTCCGCGATCGATTCTCTCATTCGCCGCTCTCGAGCCGCACTGCGCCCCGCCGGCCACCTCTTCCCCATTCGCCATTATTGCACACCGTCCCAGCATCGCCAGTCGTCGTCCGTCCATTATTCAGCCCGTGGTCTGGCTCACGCCCTTGACATAAGCAGTAGCCGCCCGCTCTCCTGTCCATCACTCCATCACACGCGCAGCCAAGACGCCGGCTTGCCTCAACCAGAGCGCCCTCCCGCCGCCGTTGTACTCCGCCCCGGCCGTGTGCTTGGCCGTGCGAGCTGCCCCGGCTGTCGTCACCGGCTGACTGTTTCGTTCTGTTTCTACATCCATGGCCGCGTCAATCAATCTCACTCCCCGCTTAAGCCACAGCGGGCAAGGCGCTGCTGCTCCCCGGGCCCGCATTACTCGCTGCATCGCCACCAACAAGTCAGCGCGCGTGCATTTGCAAGCTCCTCACCGTCAGCGGACGCGCAGCGCGAGAATCGACCTGTGCTCGGGGAAATACCCTGCATGGATCAGCCTGCCGTGCACTAGTTGACCGTCTTGGCGCCATCAATCCCATCCACGCTCTTTGCCATCTTCCACGCCCTGGAATGCCCGCCCGTGCCACCGCATGCGCGTCTGCGTGGCCGCTCCCATGTTGCCCCCCGCCGCTCCACTTTCAATCACCTCACCCGTAGACGGGATCTGCCCAAATGACCTGAGATTGACCGGCCAAGACGCCGGGTTCATGGTTCACTGCCAGTTCCTGCTGCTGTAAGATGCCGGTCCAGCCACCTGGTCCGCCTGGATTTTCATATATAAAGACACAGAGCCGCCTGCTCTTCAGAGGCTAGTTGGTGCGACCTTGATCCTCAGCAACCATGCTTCTGCCGACCCTTGGACTCGCCGCCGCCCTCGCGGGCTCTGTCTCTGCCATTGGCTGCCCCTACATGGGCGCCGAGCTTGATGCTCGCGATGTGCCTGCCGGCCACCCCAATCTCCAGCCTCGCGCTGATGCTCAGAAGACTGACGAGTTCATGTCTCAATTCGAGATCAATGACACTGATGTCTACCTGACCAGCGATGTTGGCGGTCCCTTTTCGGACCAGAACAGCTTGAGCGCTGGCGAGCGCGGCCCCACGCTCCTCGAGGACTTCATCTTCCGCCAGAAGATTCAGCACTTCGACCATGAGCGTGTTCCCGAGCGTGCTGTCCACGCTCGTGGTGCCGGTGCTCACGGTGTCTTCACCTCTTACGCTGACTGGTCGAACATCACCGGCGCTTCTTTCCTCGCCAAGGAGGGCAAGGAGACTCCTGTCTTCCTTCGTTTCTCCACTGTTGCTGGCAGCAGGGGTTCTGCCGACACCGCCCGTGATGTTCACGGTTTTGCCGTCCGGCTTTACACCGACGAGGGCAACTTTGGTACGCTCTTACAATCCTACTTCCATTTTCTCCACTTTACTAACCGTCTAAAAAGACATTGTCGGCAACAACATCCCTGTCTTCTTCATCCAGGACGCTATCCTCTTCCCGGATCTGATCCACGCCGTCAAGCCTTCGCCTGACAGCGAGATTCCGCAAGCGGCAACTGCTCACGACAGCGCTTGGGACTTCTTCAGCCAGCAGCCTAGCACCCTCCACACCCTCTTCTGGGCCATGGCTCAGCACGGCATCGTCAGGTCCTTCCGCCACATGGACGGTTTCGGTGTGCACACCTTCCGTTTCGTTACTGACGATGGTGCTTCCAAGTTTGTCAAGTTCCACTGGAAGTCCCTTCAAGGCAAGGCTGGTCTTACCTGGGAGGAGGCTCAGATTGTTTCCGGCAAGAATGCCGATTACCACCGTCAGGATCTGTTCGAGTCGATTGCCAACGGCCGCTACCCCGAGTGGGAGGTATGTGTCTTACCCATGCCAAGCAAACACGTGGACGCTGACTTGGCTTGCAGCTTGGTGTGCAAATCATGGATGAGGGCGATGACCTCCGCTATGGCTTCGATCTTCTCGATCCCACCAAGATCGTGCCTGAGGAATACGTCCCGGTCACGCCTCTCGGAAAGATGACGCTCAACCGCAACCCCAGGAACTATTTTGCTGAGACGGAGCAGGTCATGGTAAGCTTGTTTCTGCGAAGGCAAATTTAGTCAGCACGCGCTAAAAGCATTTTAGTTCCAACCCGGCCACATCGTTCGTGGTATTGATTTCTCCGACGACCCGCTTCTGCAGGGCCGCATCTACTCTTACCTTGACACGCAGTTGAACCGTCACGGCGGCCCCAACTTCGAGCAGCTGCCCATCAACCAGCCGCGCGTCCCATGGCACAACAACAACCGTGACGGTGCTGGCCAGCACTACATCCCGCTTAACACTGCTGCTTACTCTCCCAACACGCTCAACAACGGCTACGTAAGTTTCATTGGTCCTCCCTCTTGCTGGCCACATTAACTGATTGCGCGTCCCCACAACAGCCCAAGCAGGCCACCCAGAAGGAGGGCCGTGGTTTCTTCACCACTCCCGGCCGCACCGTCTCTGGCAAGCTTGTCCGCACCGTCTCGGATACTTTCACCGACGTGTGGTCTCAGCCTCGTCTCTTCTACAACAGCTTGAAGAAGGTCGAGCAGCAGTTCCTCATCAACGCCATCCGCTTCGAGACGTCGAAGCTCACCTCGGACGTGGTCAAGCAGAACGTGCTGATCCAGCTCAACCGCGTCAGCCATGACATCGCCGTCCGCGTCGCCACGGCCATCGGCATGAAGGCGCCCGAGGCCGACCCCAAGTACTACCACGACAACACCACCGCCAGTGTGCGCCCCAACTCTGACCGCCTCCCTCGCCTGGACGGCCTGAAGGTCGGCATCCTGTCGACGGTCAACTCGGCCTCAGAGGCGTCCATCTCGAGCCTCAAGTCGGCCCTGTCGGACAAGAAGGTCGACACGGTCGTCGTGGCCGAGCACCTCGCCGACGGCGTCGACCAGACGTACTCGGCCGCCGACGCCACCGACTTCGACGCCGTCCTCGTCGGCCCCGGCGCCGCGGGCGTCGTCTCGGGCTCCAACTCGTCCTCGACCCTCTACCCGGCCGGCCGCCCCGGCCAGATCCTGCTCGACGCCTTCCGCTACGGCAAGACGGTCGGCTCCCTCGGCAACTCGGCGTCCGCCCTGTCGTCGCTGAACATCCCGTCCGGCGACGGCGTGCTCAAGGATGCGACGGCCGATGGCGTCATCGAGGGCTTGACGGTGTTCAAGCACTACAGCAGGTTCCCGACGGATAACTAAATGTCCGAAGGGATGAGAGTCAGAGAGAGGAGATGGTACAGGAACTTGTAAATATATATGCATTTTCTGAATTTTCTTGCGCGCGCACTGCTGGGCGGGAAACTACAGTTTGTTGTAGGCGACTTTTTTTGGCATGGATATGCGAGATGATGGTATGATGAATAGTTACTCTTTGTTGTTTATTTCTTTTCGCATGGAAGAGAGATACCAAATGGATAGGAAGGAAATTATTGCTCTACATGGATTAGTATCTGTGACACGAAAACGTTGATGGGCGTTGATGGTGACACAAGAAAAGCCGAGTAATAACTATTCTGCTATAGTGTTTAGTGTTGGCTATATGTGGAACAAAAGGCTTAGCCACTGTGCGTCACCTGGATTACGTTAAAGTGAGGTTTAACTCGGTCCACGTCAGCCCCTCTCCGTTTCTAGACGCGTCCTCGTCTGACAAAAAATGCGTGTCTTACCTTGTACATACGTGTACGTACCGACGAATGGTAACTGGGCCGTCGCCGGGCGTTGGGGTACCTGTGTCAAGTTATACCCGTGGTTCATCAACACCTCTCCCTCTGATAACTTCTTTTTTTAGGTGCTTTATGTTTAGATGGGTGTTGGAATGTCACGGTTGAATTTGTTCAAATTTTAAAAATGGGTGTGCGACGCTCGGTGTCTGGTGATTTGCATTTACACTTTATTGATCTTCATGCGAAGGTCTTTGCCATCACGCGCGGCAGCGATTTGAAAGCAGGTTTGGGGGCATAGAGAATACAGACTTTTGTTGCCCGTGCGGGAAACCATGGAACGGATGTAAGCTTGAAAGCAAGGGGATCTATATGTTGTGTGGGTATATCTGGGAAAATAGGCTTTTTTTTTTCTGGAACATATTGAATGTTGTATTCTTTAATGCGTTTTGCGGTAGAGACCTGAACGTATATCAGTGTACAAACCGACGCACGAGAAGCAGCAAATGGTAAATGGAAGGCGACGGAGAGAGACTCCACATGTCTGTACTTTACCGCTGGCGTGCCACCCACGATCATAGTTATCCACTTGGCGTCTCATAGCAGTACCTGCGTACGAAGCTTGGTTCGGTCAGCACTACGGTGTGGTCGTTTACTCATAGAGACGCGCTTATATACCTTCTTCGTGATTGGACGCTAGGTACATACCTAAGCGAGGACGCTTTTAACTCTGCTTGCATAGAACGCGCAGCGCCACGAACCGCAGCCACGGGAAATAAGTTGGCGCTACCGCTGTTGTGTCCGTTGCCTTAATGTTTTTTATTTCACCGGTTAGCGGGCAACCGCATAACAAGTGCAGGACGAAAAAGAGCGGCGCACCTGTTCTCTTGGCCGGCAGCAGCCCGTATCCATTTCTCACACGCATACGGTTTTTCTTTCCTTTTCCTTTTCCTTGGCCTTTTTCCTTTTCGCTGGTAAGCCCAGCCACCAATGACGTCACCGCTTTGCTCTGCTTACACGTGTATGCTCGTCGTCCGCGAGACATACATGTAGCCAATGGTCGCGTGCGGAGTAGGGCAATGCGGATCAAGGCGAATTGGAAGGTTTGCCGCCTTGTAAAGTTTTCGAGGGGCGTTCGTCGGGACTGGGGCTTGGACAACGAGGAAAGGGTCTTCTTGGCTGCAGGGCTGAATGATGCGGGCCGCGGGTGCAGGGATTGCGAGGTATGTATGTCAGAGGGGGGGTAGGAGGATCGTAGAAGAGGGGGTTTGGTCAAACGCGTGCTTGATGATGAAGCTTTCCTGACCCCGCTGCGGTCGTTCATGCTGTCGTGTGCTCCGGAGATCGTGGCGAGGATTTGAGCCAGTCATTTTTCGTTTTTGCTTTCGTCTTGCTTTCACGCCACGCCTTCCCCTCTCTTCGATTATCGAGCTCCCACAGCATCGTGCACCGCCCCAGAAGTATATTTTGATTTCTGTGCCCGTGATCGACATGTACATGCTTCTCGAAAGTTCGACGTGTAGTTTTTCGGTTCTACCGGAATGTAAATGCATCTTGGCGCCCAGTCGACGTGAGCGTTTGTTGGGTTTTTGGCACAGTATCTTTCGACCGGGATGAACATCTGTCAGTATCTGCTCTGGAACATCGATGCATAAGAAACAAGTTAAATGGTTCTACCTGAAGCGGCCTAGATTAGAGCAGCCTTTTTGCACATGGAAAATCAGGAGAACGTGTCGGCTGCATAACAGGTTTAAAGAGCTCAGGTCTTGGCTGAGACTAACGCGGGTCGGTAACAGGGATATCTCTCGTCTGTAAGCTTCTCCGCACGCTGCATAAGCGGCACTTTCTACCGGACACATTCTTTTCGCGTAAACGCTATGACCTTCAGCTTTCGATTGCTTTGCATGACCGGCAAGTGTCTTCCTTTGATCCTTTCATGTGAATCAAGACCTCCACGAATGCCATACTTGGAATTACGGTGAGGCTCGCCCTTCATTACCAAATCTTCAAGTTTGGCTAGCGATCCCTAGGCGGTCAAAATCCTGCCGCCTTATACATTTTATTTCTCTAATTTGACAGGTTCATGTGGGAAATATCAAAGCTACGTTAAAGCAACGCTTTAGATTGATGATGAACCGCATGACACAACAGTGATTAACAGCAAGGTTGAGTTATGGCGAGGACCATTAGAAGTGATATCTGAGAAAATCACAGCCTGTCAAGGGGCGCGACGTGATGTGGCGTAGATGCCTCTCGAGGCAAAAAGGCCAGGAGTGTCGATTCCGGTGCATTGCCTGAAAGTAGGCCTAAGCAATTCTTCAGAGTAATGTTTTCCAACCAGTGTACTCCGTATTAAATTTGATGTTGTAGTATTTCTCGAAGGCTTTTTATGGTGAACTCAATGAACGCATGCATGAGCGTCCTTACGAATGTGTAGAAGGTCGTGTGTGATCTCCAAGCCACACGTGAGCGCGTGACAGCACTTCATGAAGGACAAGAGTACACATGTGCCCACCAAAACCTCATGCGTACGACCTCTGAGGTCTTCACTCAATCTGACACTACCTGGCATGCTCTCATCCTTATTTAACGGATTACCCGGGACATCGGGGGCACCCATGCAGTCCGGGGATTGCCTATGTTCAAGTAACACAACTGGGGTCAATATGAAAGCGACAGCGATGTGCCTCTACTTTTGGTCCGCCTTGTGTGCCGAGAACTCTCACAGCTATCCGCGCATATGCGATGCAAATATAGCACCCGCTCACCATTCGAAGGCTTCCATTTGGAAAGTCAACGTTACTCCACCATTCTGGCCATCACTTTTTTGCCCCCATGATGGGGCCCTTCATTGCACATATATTGCACAGGTTGTGAAAGAAACTCTTTGCAACATGTCCTCAATGGCTCAAGTAAGAGCAAGGGCACAGTACTTAAGCAAGGTCTGTCGTTAAATATCGGCGCTTGCATTGGGCATCGCTGCCGTAGAGCTGCTTGGCTAGTTAGAATTCCGGGTGAATCCGTTAAAGTGAGCCCGGGGTACACAATTTGCAGCACGAGCGCCCTGCTATGAGATGCGTGACTAATTATTACATGTGCGCTGGTTCTGATACCCCAACAGCAGATCAAGTAACATGAGCCTGTGTATCGGCACTTTAAATGGCCAGGAGTGTTGCGTCGTCTTTTTGGAATCATCAGTCAACAATTGAGTTGAAAACGGATCCCCCGTCAACCAGAAGCAGCCTAAATCAACAAAACTTCTTGGAGGGATTGTCCCTGGAGTTGAACTGGTCTTGTACTTCTAATCAACTTGCAGGTTACTCGTCCAGTACAATTGCTGCATCCAAACATTCCTTGAGGACTCCGTCAATCTCCAAACTTCCAGGCGAAGTCTTTCTCTCATATCACTTTTTAGCATCATTGATACTGATCCCAGCCCAGCGGCGATCTCAGTTCGGAAGTCCTAATGTTTCGTTGCTCACTGTTATAAAGCCCCAGAAAAGCCGAGGTAGGGAAACCACATGTTCAGCATTACCCGAAGGCCAGCTGCTCACAAGGGAGAGCAAATCACCAGGACTGAAGCGGGTGAAATGTGTGTGGTGGTGCTTTCAGATCACCGGGACATGACCTAAGCTCCAAATAACTCACCGAATACCAAAGATATATTGGCTGCCTGTTGTATCCGTGGGATAATACCAGTATTAATGCGGTACAGTAAACGTGCTCACACATGATGGACAAGAAGCTGAACAATGAACAGCGAAAATGTTTCCCCGGAATTGTGAAATCACGCGACCCTCTACTCTGGTGCCGCTGCGGATGTCTGAGGCTGAGCTATGATTACCCTAATGTAGTCCATGAACCCTCACGGTACATCATTGCAGCTTAAGGATGAGAAGCGGTAGTATTAGATCAGCATTTCAACATCATCTTAGAGTGATGATGGTTCCGCACATTCCTTTACTATGGAAGTACCTCTACAATATCCTAGATCCTAGCTCCGTAATTTTCGACGGAAGGGAAAAGTGAGATTGTGAAAGTAACCTGGTCTTCAAAGACAAGGTGCAATAGAGCTGTTCTGTTGTAGTGATCGAGGAAAGGGCCGGATGTTCCTTTAAGGGTAGAATCCAGACCCACTAAATGTCATGCGACAGTACCAACCAATGAATGAAGGTGCAGACGCACGCCGCGCAGAATTACATGGTTAGCCAATACTCCATATCTCACTGAGCTTGTATGAGCTGATGTGTGAGGAAGGGAGGGGGGAACCTTCTGGATGGAAGTCTGAGATATGGTTCACAACAAAACCTTGTTCGAGTCATACTCGTGTCGTCGCGCGGATCGAGTACTTTACTGCACTGCTATTTTTCTCACTCACCTCTACTTAGGATATCGGCTCCATATGTTCATGTGGTGCGCGCTTGGAATTGGGTGAATTTCTGGCAATGAAAAAACGCAGCTGTCGCAACGATGCACAGCCTTTGAATGTTGGATGAGCATAGCTTCACCTTCCGCTTCACTGACTCGGCTCATAAATTTCCAGCAGTGAACAGATGGCTGCGAAATGTGATCTCTGACAATTAAGTTCTTTAGAAGCTGGTGACATCTGAGGGCTGATAGGCACATGTGAGTTCATTTTTAAATTGATTTGCTTGCTGCGCGGCGGAACAAGAAGCGGCAGCATAGTAAGCTAGCGGTGGTTCATTCATTCAAGCTTCTTGTTACTTTATTCATGCAATGCACTCAACGGTGATCACCTCGCTGTTGGCACTCACATTCTCCCCGTTATCCGGCCTGTCCTATTATTGGCGTATCGTTTTTGACTCCCCACAGTCCTTCCCGACACGTATACAATACCATAGTCAACAGAATATTGGAAGTGCCTTTATTACCACATACTGACTACGAACAGCTGCCTGATTTTTAGCTATATGAAACTGAATATGGAGGCAGAGAGGCCACTGCGGACACCTCTACTTCGCCGACAAGAACTGCAAAATTGTCAGTACAAGCACAATCAGAAAGTTGGACAGATCAACTCGCCTTCTTCGCATCCTCCTCCGTAACATCCGACAAGTCCGTAGCCCTGTTGTCAATCAGGCCCAGCTTATTCACCCTGATCTTGTACCACATCTCCTTCCTCTCGCCACCCAGCTCCTCGGCGATGATCTTCTTCTTCAACTCCCTCATGAAGTCGTTGTACACACCCGGCTCCTCCAGCTCGAGCATCTCTTCCTTCATGACACGGATGGCCTCCACAGCCCTCTGGTATCCGCTGTCGCCCATGCTGTGGCGAATGTAATCCTGGATGATGACGGAGAATTGATTCGCAATGTTCTTGATATCCTCGACGCTGTCGGTAGTGTTGAGAGCCTGCTTGAATTCCGGGATGGCGTTTTCGGCCGAGAGCTTCGCGCGCTTTTCGCGACCCAGGAGCTCTTCGACATTGAGACCTGACAGAGGCTTCTCGAACTCGCGGGTGCGCTTGCGTCCTTTCTGCCTGGGAGGTACTGAAAGAATAACAGTGTCAGCGAGAATTATCAAGGGTTTCCTGGAGTAACCGTGACTTACCGCGCTTCACGTCACCTGCAGCTATTATGGCATCGAGGAATGGCTGAGCTTGCTTCAACAAGTGCTCCGGAGGTTGCATGTGCTTGGTGAGGATCTCAGCGGGTGGAGGTATTTCATCCGTAGGGTAGACAGCACGCCAACGGATTGCTTGTTGGACGCGATGGAGCACAGGCGAAAATGTGTCCTCAATGGGAGCGTACTCTGCAGGGTCGCTGGAATGAATTAGCTTATGCAACTATCATACTGGGGACATACTCACCCGTCCTCATTTTGTCCAGCATTCGAGAGGTCCATGTTGTCAATGTAATCACTCATAGCCTTCATGAGGTTCTCGCTTGGTAGGTTCTTGTGGGTATGAATCTCCTTCCCAGAGACGGTAACAACACGATCCAGAGGGGGAAAGCGGTAACCGCGCATATCCTCTGCGAAAGGCAATTCCGTGTCTATCAGACACTCGTAGTCCGGCTTGATCTCTGGTGCAAGGAGCAAAATAACGGGCTCCTTGTTTTCCTTGGGAACGAAACGAGCAACCGCGTACGACTCAAACTCATAGAGAGCGTGAATGAGCGAGGACAGTGCCATGCTTGCCTTTTCGTTCGCTTTCTGTGCAATTATGATGTTTGATCTCGACATCTGCATATACCGGTCAAGCTGGTGCACTTTAAGTCAGCATCTGCAAACTGAAAGAATATTCAATCTCCCTTACCTTGTCTGCAGGTACAAATCCAATGATGTCCAGACAAGCAAAAGACTCAAAGTCTGTCACGTTCCGTTCCGACTCACTGATAGGTACTGCAGTACTGCCGTAGGGGTAACCTTTGGCAGTGTCTTCCCGGTCGACATCTCGCTTGCCTCTTGGTGCGGTAGGATCCACGATGTGGTATGATATGTTCTGCTTAACAGCAGCATAGTCATTCTGGTCAGGAATTCCCTCACCATTGCCCTCGGTCACAGTCGTGGAAGACTGCGTTTGTGATTCGCCCGGTGCCATATCGGCCCTGACAACGAATAAGCTGGCTGCTGGCGGCCTCTGCTGCATAGTCCTCGGGTAACGCTCGACGTCGATCGTCATGGCAGTGTCGTACTTCTCCGGGTCGCCAAGTGTTAGGAGGCCTTTGTAGGACGGTACAGGCTTGGTAGATTTCACTCGAGGTGTCTCAAGCTCTTCAATAGCTTGTGCCATTGTACCAAAGACACCATCACAATCTTCGGCAAATTGCTGGAGGACGCTCTCGTTGTTGGCCTTGATAGGGTCCTTGTCCTCTTCCTTCATGCCATAGTCCGCATCATCGAAATCGGGCCCACTGGACCAGTCAGTCTGTGAGTTTCAAATGGAGCCCGCTCCAAACATACAGGATGATGAGCTCGATATTTTCGCTCTTAATTTTCTTTGAGATGTCTTCCAGGCCGTCGGCATCGATTGAACCAAGGGCGTTTGTGATCAGGATGATCCTCCGCTTGTACTTAAGCTTCTTGCAATGGTCGGCAATCAACTGTATTGCGACAACAAGAGCGGATATTGCTAAACTGCGTAAGACATCATGGACAAGTGGTTTCCGGCATTTAACTCACCATCACCATCGTTGGTCTTGCTGGGGTGGATTTTCTCGCGCAGTTCCCTTAGCTCGGGCATGTACATGCTGTCTTTTGTGAGCTTGCGCGTGGATTTGGGATCGCCGATGAAAATCTTACGTGCTCAACTGCTGAAGAACGGAGATGTTCTCGTATCCTTCTTCTGAGTCCAGCGGGTTCTCAGTCTCTGCTGAGGGTCAGCCGGCCTGAAGGCCCCGTCCAGCATACGGCAGCGGCCACGACTTACTGTCTGAGCGCAGAGCAACCACGCTTTGGTAGAGAGTTTTCCGGCCGGTGGCCATCTATCATTCGATCAGATTATCTCTACAACAGAGCCAGGATCGCGTCGCAGTGTCTTACGGTAGTTGTGATTTTGTCCCAGACATACTTCATGCACCATTCCAGGTCGGTCTCGTTGCGGCCGCCATGTTTCTCGCCCATGGATTTGCCCACATCAACGATGTAGACGGTGGCTTCCTTGTCCGCCATGACTGCAGGGCTGGTGAAGCTGCTTAGAGAAGTGTCAATGGAAAGTTTTGATGACAGCGGCGCATGGCTCGCGTACGATGGTCGCGACAGGTCCAAGGCAGCAACGGCGGTAGACGTGACGCCAACAGGCAAACGGCCAACGCGTCGAGTCAGGCCGCGCGCTCTCACGTGCTGTCCCCACGCCGCACTGACTCGCGCGGGGTTGTGTTGATATCATCACTCCACTCTGCACATCCGCGGCAATTGCTCACTCGGTGGCAGCAAAACCTCAGTCTTCTCTATTCATTTTACGCCCTTTCCAGGTCAATCCTCAGTTCTCCCTAACACCCGCGCCATGCCTTCTCTTACCAGCACCCTGAAAACGGGTGCGCCCTATCATCTGCTCAGGTACGGAGTCTACGGCTGTGAAGCCCGCCAGAATCCCCGCCTCTTCCACCAGCTAGCCGTTGAACCTTGACATTTCCCACCTCACAACACTATCCCAAACCCATTTCTTCCGCAGAGCCACCGGAATAATGCCCACCTCCCTCCCATCCACCACTACCAACCCACCCGTTACCAACCCTCGACGCTAACCCCCGGCGCCACCAACACCAACAGCTACGGGACGCTCCTGGGCAGCACGCTCTTCCAATCCTTCATCGGCGGCGTCATCGCGTTCCGCGTGCTGCCGCGGCCGCAGTTCGCGCAGCTGCAGAGCAAGACGTTCCCCGTCTACTTCGCCATGCAGACGGCGCTGCCCGTCGTCATGGCGCTGACCTTCCCCTCGCGCGCCGCCAGCGTCGGCTACGGCGCCCTCGACAGCGCGGCCGCCGGCCTGCTCGCCGACGCGAACCGCGGCGCGCTGATCGCCATCGTGACCATGTTCGTCAGCGGCCTCGTCAACTTGGTGTACGTCGGCCCCGCGACCACCAAGTGCATGCGCGAGAGGAAGCACCAGGGTGAGTGCGTTTTTCTATCAAGTCCTTGTTTTCCGTCGTTGCGTCCCTATTCGTCTTTCATGATATACGGCCCGGAAAGGCGGCGGGTTGGCAGGGAAGAAAAAAGCTTGCTGCAGCGCATATTGAGGAGGCGTCATCTGCCGGCGCCGTTGGAGCTCGTGGTTCGAGGGGCGAGGGGCTGGTTCTTGTGGCTTTCGACGCATACGCTATTCGTTTTTCTCTTGGCTTTTTTCCTTTTACATCTCCCCTTCGGGAAGGTCGTTTCTGACGAAAAGCCACACAACCAACAGAGACGCGCGATGGCAAGAAGTCCTACGACGCGGGTCCCCACTCGCCCGAGATGCAGCGCCTGAACAAGAAGTTCGCCACTCTGCATGGCGTCTCGTCGCTGACGAATCTGGCGACCTTCTTCGCCCAGCTCTACTATGGCGTCGTCTTGGCTCAGCGCATGTAGATCGTTGCGCTGACTCCGCATGCGTAATGCGGGGGACGATCTCCACCCGATTGACGATTCTGGGAGATCTGCATGACTGATGTCCGCGAAGCAGTCATGGATGGACTATGCATTGTTGGTGCAGACGAAGCGCAGAGCAGTAGTGTCATCTGAATTGCCCCGTCTGCGCGGCTTGTACTATCTTTAGAAGTGAAAAATGAGGTCTCCGTACAGGAACAAAAGTCTCCGGCTGTTCACTCTGATTGAGATCCCACACCGTGCTTCTTCGAGCTTCATAATGAGGGCGTAATTACTTTCAACGTGAGATAACTTCGTGTTCGTAAGGGGACTTCGTCAGGCGCCGTTCTTCCAACGCCTATCCATGCAGCATTAACTTCCCACACCCTTTGGGACCCATGGGAGCCACCACAAAACCGCCAGGGTATTATGTAGTCTTCCATGCCACGACAGCATGCCGTCCACGGCTCAAATTACCTGACTCTCTAATTCCCTCACGGCTCGCTCGCTCACATCTTCTAAGACCCAGCGTTCGATCTTTTCAGCCACCTCGCCAACGAGGCGTTCGTAGGTCTCGCTCACGAAGAACAGGCCACAGTGAGCGCCAACTTCGTCAAAACCTTCCATGTACACACGTATCCAGGCGGGATCACGCTGTCCGGTACGCGGGTCCTTTGAGGGCAAAACGCAGAACTTGCGGTCCTTCTTCTTCTTTCCTGGGGTAGCTTGCGAAGAGTCTCTGCGACGAGGGGAGGTGACCTCCGAAGACTCTCTGCGATAAGAGGTAGCCTGCGAGGAGCCTCTGCGATGACAAAGGGAAGCTTGTGAAGACCCCCTGCGATGTTGAGAAGGAGAGAGAGAGGCCGACGGGCTCGCCGAGCGTGACCGCGAAGGCTCCAGGGAAGTCGGCTTTTCGTGCTCCACCGGCTCCGCTTGCTTCTCCTCCTGCACGATCTCCGAGCTTTCCTCCTCCGGGGGCAAGCCGAGCATCTTCCGCTGCATCTTCATGCGCTCGCGTTCCGCCTCTGCCATGCGCTGGCCTTCGGCTTCCATGCGCTGTCTTTCCTTTTCGAGCCGGAGCTCTTCGCCCGACTTCTGACTCTCCGGATGTCCTTGTTTAGCTTGCTCCTTTTCTTCTCTGACTTTGGCTTCCTTGGCTTTCCTCTTCTCCTCTTTCTTGGCCTCCTTTGCTAGCTTCTCTGCTTCCTTCGTCCGTTGCTTGATCAAAGCATTGCGATCCTTCACGGCACGCTTGTAGTCCTTGAGAGCTTGCTCATGCTGCTTCATAGCAGCCTTGCGAGATTCTGCATCTGGGCAAGCCTCCAAGTCTGGGAGCAGAGGCTCGGCTGGGGGTTCTGGTATACCCGAGAGAGATACACCTGCTGCCTCTAAGGGCTCTTGGTTTAGCGAGTGAGTTGGAGTCAGATCGTGGTCACTAAGAGGGGCTGGGGAAATCTGCCTGAGCTCCTCTGCCTTTGGTGACATTTGCATGCTCAACTGCTCGCTGTCTTCGTGCTCTTCGATTGAAATCCGTGGGCTTATAGACTGGGAATGGCTAACACTCAACCGCGGATCCTGACTGGACGAAGCAAGGCTAAGATCAGACATGCCAAAGTCATTGGAGGCGACCCCGGGTTCAGGGGTTTTTGCCTTCTTGGGACGGCCGGTACTAGCCGTGTAGAAGTTTACAAAACGCACACGTGGAACCGAGGGAGGATTGCGTCCCACAACGGCAACGGCTGCTCTTCTCTTTGCCTCATCCTCTTCTTCGAGGGCACGGACACGCTTGTATCTCTTGTTCAAGCCAGGATAGTCCGCCATAGTGCCGCCAAACTCGAGGTGAGACTTGACATATTGCCTTGAGGCTTGCACGAGGCCATCTGAGTGTTTTGCAAAGAAGTGCAAGGCATTCTCCCAGCCTTTGCGCACCGGAAGTATGACGTCGTTGTCAAAGCGGGGATTGTAGTTTGGATCATTAGGGTTAGTAGAGAAGAGGGTGTCGTTCCGAAGGGGCGGGCCCAGATCAAGTGTGCTCACGCTACTGTGCGCAGAAGGGTGGTTTTGGGGATGGTAGGACTGCTCTGCGGGTTGGGGACTGTGCTCAGGGGATTTATCTTCAGCGGGGCGGAAGATGCTGCTCAGACCAGCGGAAATGATGCCAGGATGCATCCCAAGGAAAGGCACATCAAAGTTTATGATACCAAGGATGCGGTGCCGAAAGGCCTGGCCCATGAAGGCGCCCGGGCCGTGAGGAGGCAGCAAGACCACTTCAGCTGACACGAGGCCGCCCATCGAGTGGCCGAGGAGGATAATGTCGGTATCAGCGTCGGCGTGAGGAGTGAGCCTAGGGTACAATCAGTCCTCTGGCACACCAAAGCTAGCGCCCCTGCGTGAAGCTACCGACCATTTGCTGAACTGCTCCGTTGCATACTCTATTGTATTCCTAGCTCGATACTTGGGGTAAATCTTGGTGTGGACCACATGTGTCTCGCTCAACGTCACGGTAACCAGGTTGTGGACGTGTGCGGGGAAGCTCTGGAAGCTGGTCTCGTCGCCCATGAAGCCATGAATGTAGACGAGCAGCAGCTTGCGGCGGCCGCGCATAGCCTGGTCCTCAGCGGGGACGAGCGACTGGGTCGAGGACGAGCGTGGATCGTGCGTGGCCAGAACATGCAGCGGATGGGAGTGGTCGTCGGTTTCCGCATACGGCGGCGGCGCCTCGCCATAGGGCGATTGACGGATCGTATCAGAGCGCCCGCGGGGCGGAAGCGGCGGGGGAGGCTTCTCCATCATGGCTCTCGGCGGGCGATCGCGTTCTTTGCGAGGAATGTGACGGCGCGATGACGGCAGAGATCGAACTCACGCCGTCTCCTTGCGGACGACCGGCGCTGCGGGACGAGCTGCAACACTCGGCATGCGAATATTTGCAGGCGACATAAACAAACGCGCGGCGATCGCGATCAAGGCGTGCTCGGCGTCGCCGTGGGCTTCGCACGGCAGCGGGATGGCTGTGAGGAGGCTGAGCGGCGGTGTTGCGGGGAATGGCGCACGATTCTTCTCGAAAGCTGGCGGCGGATGCAGGGTGTGCGCCATGACGTCGCAGGCAACGAGACGGCCCGCGCTGGTTGGAGGCGGGTCGCATGCGCGCAGAAGAGCGCAGCAGCCCGTGTTTCACTCGCCTGCGGCACTACGGCAGGCGGCCGGCCACTCATCGCCAGGAGACGCGGCGCCGTTTGGCCATCCTGGGCGCCGGCCGGGTCACGCAGTGCGCAAACACCACTCGTACCCATGCCGGCGCCGCCGCCTATTCTGGCGGAAAGGGCCGGGGCAGCAGCAGGCTGCGTGCGCTGTGCCTGCGTGCGTGCCGCGCGACGTGGACAGCAGCCGGCCGGCCGGGCTCTGCGGGCGCAGATCGCTGGCTTTTCGCGGTGATCGTGAAGCGTGAAGCAGCGGCTAGCGCCAGTTGTCGCGACGTCTGGAACCTGGACGGGCCTGTTCGGCGGAGGCCTGCGCGCTGGGATGCCCGTCCGGGCAGTCGAACCGTTTGCGTTCCGGCGGGCGCTGCAGCAATTTCACGTCGTCGGCCCCCGTCTCCCCGTCGCGGTGCGAGAGGAGAGGCTGGAGCCACAACAGAGCCTCGCTGCGGCTGCCGTGTCCGCTTGCACCGCACCACACACACCTCGCACACGCTCCAGCGCCGTGTTTGCCTGGCCGCCCGGTCGCACGCCGCGGAGCGCACAGAGGCTGCTACCTGCCCGATCGCGTGCTGCTAGGATTTAGCAGCACCGGCACCCACGCATGCACGCTATTCATAGCAGCAATTGGAGCGGGTAATGAATTTGCAGCCCGGACCCCGACCAGGATTGTTATATTACTGCAGCCGAGTCTGCACTAGCGGCGCCGGGCCACAGCAGCCAAGCAGCGTACCCGCACCAAGCTCTCCCATCCTCCACATCCGCTGCAACGCTCACGACGCTCCCCTTCGCTCGCTCCGCCTCTCTCGCGCGAGGCCCGCCCGCGACGTCGACAAGCCCGCCCCCCCGTGCACCGCACCAGAGTGCGCGAGGCCCCACGACGAAGCACGTCTGAGACGCTCCCGCCCTTCAAGCCTCAGACAAGGCACTCTCGAGCCACCTCAGTCCACTTTTCTCCGTCGCACAGCGTGGAACGGCCGCCGCAATCAAACACCACGGCGCCTGCGCGACCCTCCGCCCTCCCATAACACCCACCCCGTACATAAAGGCAAATGCAGCAGCGTTGAGGTAATCTAAGGTGCGTCGCGCCGATCCTCCACCGATCCTGCTGCACAGTTCAGGGCGATCGAGTTGACCCCAAGCAGGAGCAGAGCGCTGCCAGTCCCGCACCGACTGGCGTCCATTCGTTTCCCTCTCCCCCAGGCCCCGTACATAGACCCATTCTCCATCGACTGGAAGACGACGTTCGCTCTTTTGCCTTCTTTCAACCGTCCAACACGGCCTCTCGCTATCGCTCGCAAACCCGCCCACCCACCATTTCACCCGTGGCCGCCAGGACAGCGCCCGCGGGCCCAACCACCGACAACATTGCGCAACCACGGCTCTTCGCGATTCCTACTCGTTCTAACCCGTCCCCGCCGCCGCCATGGAGAATCCGGCGAAGCGGCGGCGGACCGACCGCGGCCAAAGTCGCATTCACGCAGCCGACAGAGCTGCAAATGGCTTTGGGCGCATGCAAATTATGAAGGAGACGGTGGTGGAGTGCTCTCCGACGCCCACCCCTGCGCCGCACATTGACGAGCCTCTATTGTTGCGCGAGAGACGGGGAGATCATAGGAAGCTGGGCTTGCGCCACAGGCTCATCCATCGGCAGGAGATTGACCCTGAGGAAGCAAGCGTTACCATTGTTACCGTCGTGAGGCAAATTGATCAGAACGGAAGCACTGTTGGCGTGAGAACAATGAGCTCGGTTGTAGCAGCTAGCTCTGCTGGGCTGCCCATTTCGTCAACGCCCACGTCTTCGTCAACCTCCTCTGAGCCATTGACAACTACGGCGAGCTTCCCTCAGGTCCCCAGCGTGCCTGCCTTCCCGAGCGACCTCACTGTTCCTTCCGTACCCCCGTATCCATTTAATTCGCAATCGACGCCTCCGGTAACTTCGTCATCAACCACCGCATCTTCGTTGCAATCTACGAGCAGCACATCGTCTTCATCCATTGCAACACCGCAGACGCCGACCTCTTCTACCTCGACATCACTGAGCACGCCGTCGTCGTCGTCCTCTTCCTCGGCTGTAGTCAGCATGCCGACCTCTTCCCCTTCGGCACCGGCTGGCACGCCGACTTTTTCTTCGCCAGCAGGTAACACCATGACTCCCGGAAACACACCTGTCCCCTTTGAGACGAGCTCTAGTTGTACGTCTTCAGGTTTGTTTCATTTTTTTAAACCTAAACGAAAGGGTCTTTTGCTAATATCTCTTCGAACAGCCTCGGCAAGCCCTTCTACGTCCTCCAGTACTACAGAGGACATCCCTGTTGGCGCGGCTACCGTAGGAGAAAGTTCGACTGAATCTGCAAGCTCTTCTCCAACCGGTGCAACTTCTTCACCAACCAGTGAGCCGACCTCGTCAACTACCAGCGAAGCTTCCTCGTCACCAACCGGTGGCGCAACCTCTTCACCACTCGGCGCCGCATCTTCTTCGAACACCAGCGAAGAAACTTCATCTCCGACCGCAACCGCATCTTCCTCGCCAACTAACGAGGCCACTTCTTCGCCCACCGGAGAGACTTCTTCCCCAGCAAACGGATCCTCGTCGCCTGCCGCTGCAACGTCCTCGCCGAGCGCCACGGAATCTGCCACTTCTTCGCCGAGCAACACTGAACCTACCACTACCAACTTGTCGAGTATTTCCGAGACCTTGTCTGCGAGCTCTTCCGCAAGCTCGTCTTTCTCGTCTTCGGAAATATCATCATCGACATCGTCATCCGAGTCATCTTCCACGTCTTCGGCAGCTTCGTCTACAGAATCTACCATTTTGTTTGGCGGTTCTCCTTCAGCTACGGGCGGTGGCAGCACAAGCACATCAGGCGCGAACTCGGACAATGATGGTGGCAGTGGCACTCCCACAGCCAAGCTTGTTGGTGGTATTGTAGGTGGTCTCGCGGGTTTGGCTGTCTTGCTTATCATTGCATTGATCCTCCTCAAGTGGTACAAGCAAAAGCAGAAGAATGCTCAAACCCAACGATTGGTTGGTCCTGGTGGAGCGGGCGCTGAGGATCCTTTTGCTGATCCTGTTTCGCCTGGTGGAGCTGGTGGAGCTGGTGGAGCTGGTCAGACGATGTCACAACGCAGCAGCGCATTCCCCGTGGCTGGATTACTTGGTCGGTTTGCTGGAAGCAAAGAGTACGGGCCTCCGGAGCCACCGCAAGAGCGAGGATTTCAGCGTATATCGGGCCGCAAACTCCCATCCGCTTTCAGCCCGGGAATGAGCTCGGAAGATCCGTTCGACGACGACAACGCGACCAACGACACGTTTTCCGGATCGTTCTATCGTGACAGCCAAGGCTTCTACGGTGGTCACGGCACCCATACGCCACCAATGTCCCCAGGTGCAGCCGCAGCTTTGACTGGTGCCGGATTGGGTGCTGTCGCCGAAGGTTCTGAGCCACGCCGTCCTGGAACTGGCAAGGAGACGGTCGAGACGATACGGCCCAGTCCAGCGCGGACGCCAGTAGTGCACCAAGGCCCGATGGGACAGCATACTTCGATGCTGTGGGGATCCGGAGGTAGCCTAAGCCCGGATTCACCTGTCAGGCCTTCAAGTCGTGGTACACTAGGGCGAAGCCACCCGTCACACGACGGTTCACGTGGTTCACGGTTCACGGAAGATGTTTAACGACTCCTCTTTTTGCGATATCTTTTATTTACTTTTGCAGCATCATTGCACTTTGCAAGCTGTGTTCCGTTTCAATCGGGTAACGGATCGCGGTTCAGGGTATGGAAGATCACCCGCATTTGGATAACTCGATACCCGTCACCAGTCTCTCCCTCTCTAAACGTAGTGTTTTGACACTTCCTCACTGCCGTTTGTGTGTTTCTTTTCTTGTTTTTTCTTTGTCCAAAATATCCCTTTACACGCGTGGCCTAATACGTCCGGTCCTGACTCTCTGGTATAGAGGTCGTGTAATACTTTCTCAAGCCCCCCTTTTCTCAAGCTTTTTGTTTATGCTTTTACAGAAGAAGGACTGTTTTCGGGGGGGCTCACGCATGTTTATACCCTTGCGCCGCTGAGCGCTGCAGCGATTTTTTTATACCCTTCACTTCTTTTTGAGTTTTTCTTCCAAGGAGCATTCGCAAGAGGCACCCTAGTTCGCCACTTTACGACCAAAAAAGTTTGAGCGGGGGGTGGTTCCGCAGGCCCTGTTGTAAATAACGGCCGCGCATTAATGCTCTGCATGAGGGAGGGAAATCTTGTCTATACGAGTTTTTTCAGGTCTGGGTTTCGGAGGGAGTCTACAAAAAAAGGACAGGAGCGGTTTCTTTGATGATCACACCACGACGATGGCGTTGTAATCCTTGATTTCGTTGCTGTTGTTTTTTCTACTTATGTCCTTTCCTCCGTTACCCTTTTTTTCGATTCATTACCGGATTCTCCAGCCACGCGGCGGTTTTACGTGGTGGAGATGGGTACCAACTTTGTTTTTTCTCGGCTCGGGAGGGGGGGAGAGACTGTGACTAGCTTTCCCCTTGTCCGCCACCGCTAATCGTGGAATTCGCTTCCGCTGAATGGGGGTTGTAGATAGTTGGAAACGAAGACGGGCATGCAGGTGGGGAAGAGCGTTCAATGATCGCCCTTCTTCCACACCCGCATTGCCTATTTCCTGGTGTCGAACTTTTGACGAGCCCTTGTTTTGCATTCTCTGTGATCTTCATACCGTTTTGGAAAAGTGGGCATCGAAATGCCTTCTTTCTCTCCACCAAGGGACCTTCTCCTCCTTCTTTCTCTCCTCCCGATTGCGATCTTGAAACACGGGTCGAGACCATCGGGCAATGACGTGCTATAGTCGTGGATCGTAACCTGCAAATGTCAATGCCCTGCCGGCCGTGCTTCGGTGCGTGTTTCACGGGCAAACTACGCAAGTGTTTCGCCTAGCTCGCGGGCGGCGGAGCAGCAGAGAGAGGGCACGCGCACAACGCGCGGTTCGTTAGGGCCGTTTACGATCATTGATCATGATCATGATGACGATGCTGATGATGAGGCGGCCGAACCGGCGTTGCGCGCTCGCGCGCGCTCGCCTTGACGATTCCTTGATTTTTTCTTGGGGTTTTCTTGATTTTGTTGCTTCAGAGCGAAACGCTTGTTTTTCACATGTGTGTATGTACAAATATTGTTTTGAAGATACGAACAAGGGCGTTTCAAAGCGGGGGGTGGTGGCCCACGCACACACGCTCATCATCTTCTTCATACGGGTACGTGGTCAACGGAAATGGGGGGTGGGTGTGCATGGGGTGTTACGGATTTAGTAGTGAGCATGATGAGGCGGGAACGGAGATGATGGGTTTTGGGCAGGCACGCTACGCGAGGACCGGGGTCCGTTGGATGGAATTGGATGAGGACGTCTGGCCTGGAAGGCCTGATTCGGTGGGGATTGGGTTTAATATGGAAAGAGGCTGGTGATATTGGTGAGGGCATTGTCTCGTGGTGGTGAGATTAATTGGGGGTGATGGGCGTGTGTGTTTGTTTGCTCAGCTGGCTCTGACGGGTTGGAATACAGGGTCTCGAGCGAAGGAACATGTAAGTTGGGTGTTCGTTGTTGGATCGGCATGCGCTAAGTGGATGTGTTCTTTGCTTGTGTTGTTGTGTTGTGTTGCAAGGTTGGCGTTGGAACGGTCGGCGCATGCGGTTGCGTGATTGGTGGCGAGCAGGGGGCGGGAAGGATCTTATTTCTTTTTCACTTCACGACGCTCGTGTTTGCTAGCAAACCGGGATGTCCCTTTTTCTTCAGCAGCCTTTCGAGCATGGTGCAAAAAACACGAGCGAAGTCAGCGCTTCCCCGCCGCTAGCTACTGTGGCGCGTGTCGTATTGTCTAGCGCTGGCGAAATTGGATGCGCACCCGTCTTTCTCTCAACGCTCCGTTCTTTCTGTCTGCACCGCAGCTCTTCGGCAATCGAGACCACGATCCTTGGGCGGTGGCGTCCTTGGGATGGCATGCATGGGAGGGGGATTGCCCGAAAAGGGAGAGTGGGTCGCGAGAGAACGCGTCACCCGAAAGAGGTTCGTTATAGGGCTGGAAATAGGCGAAATGAGGGCGCGAGCTCCCAAGGTTCTAGGCCAAGGGGTGCGAAGGCGGTGGGGTTGAGACAGGAGGTGAGGCAGGCGAGAGTTTGGAGATGGTGGAGCGTCGTCTTCGGTGATGAGCAGAGGGTCTGCTGGCAATGCGGTCGAGAACAGGTCAGATCTGCTCCGATCTGCCTTTTTGCATGGTGAGCGGATGCCCGCGGATCGGGCACGGTCTGGAGGAGAAGTGTAGCCATCTCCGTCCAGGCGACGATCCACGCAATGAACGCGTGAGGGTTGTGAGAGAGGCCCAAGCGGACCAGAGTTAATGCAGCACAAATATTCATAAACCTCGCTGCCTCCTCCATGCAACTCGCTAGATGCATCAAAATGCCCGGATGTCAATCTTCAAAGCTTCCGCGTCTCGCAAACCATGTGGCCTTCAGACGCGTAAAGATTCAACGACTTACTAGTCGCGACGGAATCGAATCAGAGGCGAATAGGCTCCGTGTACTACCGCAGATGGCCATGGTTTACAGAAGACAGTAGAAAACATATAGCAGTTTGTCCAGTGATTTTTCCAACTGAGCGGAGTGAGAAGCTGACAGGAGGGAATGTCTAGTGATAGATCATCTGAGGTCACGGTTTAACAGGGATTTTGCAACCCTCGACCTCTACACCGACGCTAGCATCTTGTGACATCGATTTTACAGATAAGATGCGGGGCTGAAATGCAGGTTACGCTTTTTTGTGAAGCCAATTGCCTGGAATTTTGGAGACTGTGACACTGGACGACTAGGTACCTGACTCGAGCTTCAGCTTCAGTGCATAAACCGAGGCTGTCAACGAACATCTAACCAACTGAAATACTACTTGAAGGTCAGCTGCTGACAACAAGGGCGCATTGGACGCAGTTAGCTGCAGCATGGACTGGTTAAGAAGAAAAAAGTGTGGTGAGCTTGTGAATGATACTCCAAGCTGGGCTTCGGCAGCAACCAGTTCTCGATGCGGCAAAAAGAGTTGAGGAACTGCAGATTTCAGCGAATGCAAGCAGGCGATGAAGTTGTTGATAAACGGTAGGTGTTCGAGAATCGGAGAGTCGGCGGAGATTTAGTAAGCGGAGGGGCGGAACAACAATGGCGCCGAGGGCGGCAGACGTTCGATCTGAAAGTCATCGCGTCAGAGAGACCCGCCGCATTCGACCGCTCGCCATCCAACCCCTCCCACGCTTCTGTCCTCGCGTCTCAATTGCGTGGGTGGTGAATCGCCGAGGCTCTCCCCTCCTCCGACAGACCCTCATCCCGCCCCGTGAACCCTCCCCACCACAACCACCATGACGACCCTGGCGCTGCGGTCAGGCTACCTTGGCCGCTTATCGAGATCCGCCATCGCATCCACCACCCGCACCGCCACCCGCGCGCGTTGCGCCCCGACTATATCCAGATCGCTCCTCTCCAACCAGCGGATACGAACATACGCCAGCATCCCGCCGAAAGATCCGAAGGACCCGAAGGACCACGACGGTGGCAAGGATGATGCAAACAAGAGGGTGAATTTCAACCAGAATTCGCAAGGCGGAAATGCCAAGGAGGGTTTCTCCAAGCTCACTCCCGAGGAGGAGCAAGCCATGGATAACCTGCTGGCCAAGTTAAAGCAAGGCCTTCCGAGGTCCCAAGGTCGGGATCTGGAACGCGCTTTTCAGGAAATCAAGAAGAATGGGCTCCCGCAAGAGATGCGCTACATCATGAAGAACCTACAGGATGGGTCACCCATGGACTTGGGCACCGCCGCCAAGCTTGTGAGGATGACCACCACCATGGCCCGGAGAGCTGCGGACAAGGCTGTTTTTGGTGAGAAGGACGAGCCGCAGAAGACTCAAGATGAGGAACCCCAACAGAAGGCTGGCAGCCACGATCCCGGCCCACGGAATCAGCAGAAGGACAAGAGCAAGCAGAAAAACCCTGGCCAGCAGCCGTCCATCGCCGACATCAACCTCGATCTGGGCTCCATGCTCATGTCTGCTTTTGTCGCATACCTTCTGTACCGCCTCGTCGTCCCTGGAGAGAACTCGAAGGAGATCACATGGCAAGAGTTCCGCAGCACCTTCCTGGACAAGGGCTTGGTTGAGAAGGTCGTCGTCGTCAGCGGCCAGAGGGCCCGCGTCTATCTCCACCGGGAAGCCGTTGGATCAATGTACCCCGATTCCCCCGCCACGAACCCCAATTTCCACTACTACTTTACTCTTGGCTCTGTTGAGTCTTTCGAGAGGAAGATGGACCAGGCCCAAGATGACCTCGGCATCCCTGCAGGCGAACGCATTCCGGTTGCATACTCTGACGAGGTGCCGTGGATAGCTACTATCTTGTCTTTTGGTCCCACGCTTTTGGTCATTGGTTCCATTTTCTTCCTGACAAGACGTGCTGGCTCGGGCGCTGGAGGTTCCAGTGGCATCTTCGGTATGGGAAGGAGCCGCGCCAAGAAGTTCAACCACGAGACAGACATCAAGGTCAAGTTCGCAGATGTTGCCGGAATGGACGAGGCCAAGCAGGAGATTATGGAATTCGTCAGCTTCTTGAAGGAGCCCGGCGTCTACCAGAAGCTCGGTGCTAAGATTCCCCGTGGTGCTATTCTTTCTGGTCCTCCTGGTACCGGTAAGACGCTGCTTGCAAAGGCCACTGCCGGAGAATCCGGTGTGCCATTCTTCAGTGTCAGCGGTTCCGAATTCGTCGAGATGTTTGTCGGTGTTGGTCCCTCGAGAGTACGCGACTTGTTCGCCACTGCGCGAAAGAGCACGCCTTGCATTATTTTCATCGACGAAATCGACGCTATCGGAAAGTCAAGAGCAAAGCAAAGCTTTGGCGGTGGCAACGACGAGAGAGAAAGCACGCTTAACCAGATCCTAACCGAGATGGATGGCTTCAACACCTCGGAGCAGGTGGTTGTCCTTGCTGGTACTAACAGACCGGATGTTCTCGATAAGGCGCTTATGCGTCCTGGTCGTTTTGACAGGCACATTGGCATTGACCGGCCGACCATGGAAGGCCGCAAGCAGATTTTTGGTGTGCATCTTAAGAAGATCGTCACCAAGGAGGACATTGACTTCCTTACTGGCCGTCTCGCAGCACTTACGCCTGGCTTCGCAGGTGCGGATATCGCCAACTGCGTGAACGAAGCTGCACTGATTGGTAAGTTACCTTCCTCCTGATCTTTAATTAAGCAACCTTGATAATAACCAAGCCGCAGCTGCTCGTTTCCACGCTGAAAGTGTTGAGATGAAGCACTTTGAACAAGCCATTGAGCGTGTAATTGGCGGTCTAGAGAAGAAGTCCATGGTCCTCTCCCCTGAAGACAAGAAGACGGTTGCATACCATGAGGCAGGCCACGCCATCTGTGGCTGGTACTTCAAGTATGCGGACCCCCTCCTCAAGGTGTCGATTATCCCCCGTGGTTCCGGTGCCCTCGGATACGCCCAGTACCTCCCCACCGGTGACACGTATCTCATGAACGTCAACCAACTCGTCGACCGCATGGCCATGGCTCTGGGCGGCCGCGTCTCGGAGGAGCTCCACTTCGAGACGGTCACGTCGGGCGCATCCGACGACTTCAACAAGGTCACGCGCATGGCCACGGCCATGGTGACCAAGTGGGGCATGTCGACCAAGATCGGCTACCTGTACTTCGAAGACGACACGCAATCCCAACTCCACAAGCCCTTCTCCGAGGAGACGGCCAAGAACATCGACTCGGAGGTGCGCCGCATCGTCGACGAGGCCTACAAGCAGTGCAAGGACCTGCTGGTCGAGAAGAAGCACGAGGTGGGGCTCGTCGCCGAGGAGCTGCTGAAGAAGGAGATGCTCGGCCGCGACGACCTCGAGCGCATCCTCGGCCCGAGGCCTTTCGGCGACCCCAAGGACTTTACCAAGTACTTTGGCTCCAAGGGCGACCGCGAGGGCGCTGGGCCCGGTAGCGTGCCTGGCGCGACGTCGATAGGTAAGGAGGATGGCGACGCTCCGGAGCCGCCGAAGATTCCTCCGGGCGGCGTGGCCTTGTAAGATGATTGCGATGATTTCTTTGGGATGGGGGTTTCGTAATGGCTGGCGGGGGAGTGGAGACTTTCTTCTGAATGAATGTATATGGGCTTGGCTTGGCTGGAAGGGAAGTTGTTTCTTCTGCAATCGACTTCCTCTGTATCATTTTCCCCTTAACCTTTTTTTTTCTCTCCGATTTTTCTCCCACTCCACTTTAGAGCATTTCAGGTGCAAAGTCCGGCGGACCGCATGGCGGGGTTTTCTTTTGTGGTTTTCTATCTTTTCCCCACAAGCCTCCTTCCTCCCCTCTCCAAACTACAACAACAACACGTCCCTGTTTTTTGAGAAAAGACAGGGACACAAATTCGCCGCTCAGAAGCATCACTGCCTCCGACCCTATCGTCGGAGGAGGAATTTGTTTGCACGGCGGGCTGATGGACAACAGCCATTGATCAAAAACGTAGATACGTCGACGTTTGAACTGTATGAATTAGAAAAAGGAAAAAGCACCCGCAGCGGTGATTCTTGAAGTAAATATGAGTGCACGATCGCAGTCCGTCTTAACTTCTGTGTGATTTATTTGACTGGACCCAGGAGAATCTATAGCCAGCTGAAGTTGATTTTGGTTGTAATGAAACGGGAGATTGACACTACCAGGATAACGAACGATCATTGGAGTTCCTACGTACCTAGCTGCAGTTCGGTTGTGATTGGCTGCGTCCAAAATCTGCCCCAGCTTAGCCCAGCTATCCTATGATTGGCCCTTTCCAAAATCCTTGCAGGATATTAGCTGCTTGGCTGAGCAGCTGCATCAGTCCAGCTGATTGGTGGTATCCAAAATCCGGGCTGTGTTTTGGCAACCCTTCAGCCGCCAATATATAGAAGTCCCGCCTTGCTGACGTTGCGCGCGACGCCTCTGTCATGCTGTAAAGCTGATGTTCTACAATTCAGATGATTGGATAGCGCCAAAATCTCGCTGCGACTGAGTGCTTGATGGGGCTCTTTCGTGAAACGTCAATTGCGCGTTCCGCGACACCTCGATTTGATTGGTTAAGGCCCTAACATCGAGGATATCTACATGTACAGCCTCAACTACAGCATGTCTTGGAGCACGGAGATATATATTGGAGCTCTCGCCTCCAAGACAGTGTACTACACGTTTTCGAATACGCAGTCTGTCTCCTCTCTGCAGCATCAAAGACATTCGCATATCGGGAAAATGCCTCTTTCAACAGAATCACTCATTGCCATTATTAGCCTTTGCGTGTCCATCCCGCCGGCCGTGCTACTTTTTTGGCATTACTTTCGCCGTTACCGACGCTCACCTGCTGAACTCAACAAGAACTGTCCGATTAGTATGCCCCTACAGCCCTTCTGTTTTCCCCCTCGTGATCCTAAGAAGCCTCTTCCTCTGCAGTGACTATTGATATCGAGGCACGGCGAACCTTTGCTTTCGGCTTAAGATATGACCCCTACGGAATCGCCTACATGACCTGGACTCAGACGACACTGGAAAGATACGTGGTTTCTTCATGTATCGCGCTTGATCGGGTATGGATGACGCCTCTGACTACAGTGCCGAGTGATTTTCTCACATGTAATGATTCGCAGGTGCACATCCATACGACAGTCGGCATTGGGGAACGGAATACATGATAGTAGAAGACGTAACTCGTTTGGTGATCTAATTAGTAAGGGGAAATGGTTTTTGTTGTTTTCTATCATGAGAAGTGTAGGAGGTGCGAGAAAAGCATCCATAAACAACCGGCTCCCGTAGCTGTCTCACTTTCGCTAATCTCCCTTGTATGGTGACGTGTTCCTGTTCTTTTCAGAGCCCACCGCTCTGCAGCTCAAACACCATCTTTGCATAACAAATCTTCGTGTGGAAACATCCGTACGGCCTGATTCGACTATGACTGGACTCGGCAAACGCACTGCCAACAAAATGCGAATGATGACTTCAATGGAAGCATTGACACTCAGCAAATCCACAAGGGCATCAGCCGCTTAGCGTCATGCACGTTACCATGCATGTGATAGAGCCTAGAAATCCAACCAGCAGGTGTCGCGGCTTGAAAACCTTTGCATGAGTGCTTTAAATCAAGCTTGACCACAGAGAGCTTTTGTATTCACTCATTGAAGTCGAAGCACTGCTTTAAGAGGTGGTAGAGATATCCACGAGCACTGTGGTGCCTCCGTGGTCCGCTCCACTTATTTCATTCGAAAAGTGTAAGCAATAACTGCCCGCAACAAAAATGAAGAAGCCAGAAAGAGGGTTGGGATGAAGACTCAGTGGTGATGGGGTGGAGCATTTTAGGTTACTGGATGCCTGCATCCATACTGCAAGGTGATGAAGCTCAGTGACATCAATTCCTGCTGATCAAATTCACCGAAAGTGGTATTTAATCCCTTGACGAAGGTCACCTGCTGCCCAGAAATACTTTGAATTTCGAAGGAAGGAAAGTAACGTTGAGTCTTGTATCTTACCGGCGGAAGTTCAATGTCAGTACTGCTCCCGGAAAGACTGCACTGGCTATTCCATATGGATGACAGCACTGCAACAAACCTCGCAGCGGGGTACTTAAATAATGCGAGAAATGCCATCTTCAAGGTCACGATGCCTCGTAGGAGTCAGTTGGCCCCCGTTTTTCCCGGGACTCGATCACCTGTCATCGAACTGCTAACATGACACCCGACCGCTGATAGAAGAAGCCCCGTGATCACCTCTCTTTTCACGATAGGATTAGCTGCCTTGGACTGAGCCCCTCCCGCCCTGAAATTTAAAGTTAAGTCGATTACCGATAGCGAATATTTTTTCTGCATCAATCCTTTCGCGGCTTTCTCAGAGCAAAAAAGCAACAGAAATGACTCTCTCACTTTTTGCGGTTTGCCGTCTCAGAGACTTTTCATTTGTAAGTTGCGGCAAGGTCTAGGACCAGAAGACAGGCATACCAACAGCACACATAAGCTCTGCGATGCATCACTAGGCTGCTTTGATGGAGCTCTACGTTGTGAATTGCAGTTAAGAATCAGCATCATCTTCTGCAAATGCTGGAGAGCTGTGACAAGAGGGTTTGATGAACAACGTGACGGGGAATGACCAAACGGATGCGCCTGAGCTTTCTAGACAACGAAGAACAGAAGTGTGGAAATATCTTTGCTCTGTTAGGAGTTGCGACTCCCAGTGGAGGCCCGTCCGATTTGATTTACCCAACGGGATCTGGGAGCGTTATTTCGAGGAAAGGCTGAGGCCGTCGATGTTGACTATTATAAGCAATTTGAGCGTACACTTGCACCTGGTATGGCCTAAGCGACGTCAACTGATACTTCGTAACTACCAGAATAGCCGAGAGCGGGACAATCATCAGGTGTCTTTGCTCGAACAGACATTGCTGTCACATGCCTCACTCACGCAAGACAGTCTGGAAAGGAGAGCCTCTAGAAAGACCGTTGTAAGATTCTTCGCTATGGTATATCATTCAACAGCGTCATCGCACATTACAATAAGGGATATATAACTTTTTACTCCCGAGCGCCCGGCTCAGCACTGACACACACACATCCAAAAACCCCTCCCAGAAAACCCCCCTTTTACAAAAACCATCTGAAATCCGGGCTGTTCGGGCCCTCCCTCAGCTTCTCGGTGCTCACATCCCTCGCCCTCATCTTGATGCCCTGCTTCAGATCCCTCCTCTTGTTATCAATGATCATGTACGCGCCAAGCAGCAGCGTCAACACAGCGCCGGTGGCGCCGAACGCAGCGGTCGTGGCGAGCGCGGGCACGTACTTCGGAGCGTCCTGGCTGCGGAAGATGTTGGAGCTGACGACGCCCATGAGGTTGGCGAGCGGGACACCGACGGAAGTGAGCGTAACACGGCGACCCTCGTGTGCGACGTTGTTGTTGTACCAGGTGCTCAGCAAGACGCTGGGGGCGCTGGTGCCCCAGGTCATCATGAAGCAGGCGAAATACGCGACGTGGATCTGGGCGTGGATGTCCGGGATGGCGGCGTAGATGATGAAGCCGGTGAAGGTGAGCAGGAAGCCGAGGGCGATGAAGGGGAAGCGCAGGCGGGCGTAGTCGGACGAGAAGGCCAGGATGAGCAGCACGACGGCGCCGACGACGTTGGGTGCGACCGTGTATAGGTTCGTCTTGACGCTGCCGTAGCCCAGCGCTCCCACGATCTGCGGCATGAAGAGCGACACCGACTGCAGCGGCACGCCCAGGCAGATTTCGATGCCCAGCCAGGCGAATGCGGCGGGCATGCGGAACACCTTGAGCGACTCCTTCAGGTTGAACTTTTCGTTGACGACCGACGACGAGTCCATCTGCATGCGCTGGAACGCAATGCGCTTCTCCTCCTCGGTCAGGAACCAGGCCTCGGAGCCGGACTTGGGGAGGTAGAAGAAGGCGAAGACGGAGAAGGCGACGGTCATGGCGCCCTCGACCAGGAAGAGGATTCTCCAGCCGTGGAGGTGGGAGTTGATTTCTGCAGAGCATTGTTAGAATCTCAAGAAGCACATTAATGTCATAGATACGTACGAAAGACGCCAAAAGCGAGCAGACCAGAGAAGGCGTTCGCAATGTTGGAGGCGGCGTAGAAGAGAGCCAGACGGCGAGCAAGCTCACCACGACGGTAGAAGGTTGTCAAGTAGTAGATAACCAGAGGGAAAAAGGCGGACTCGGACATTCCCAGGATCCAACGGAGGGCCATCATGCCGCCAAAGTTGCGGACAGAAGCGCCAAGCAGGGTCATGCTTCCGAAGGTAAACATGAGGATGGGGAGGACCTTGTTAGGGCCATACTTCTTTCCCAGGAAGGCAAAAGGAGGGGCGAAGAGGACATAAGGGATGAAGAAGATGGACAGGATGAGGTTGTACTGGTTGGTCTTGAAGTGGAGGTCCTTTTCCATGCCATCGGTCTTTGCGTTGCCAAGGTTTCCTTGAAGGGGTTAGCGAGAGTTTAGTGAGTGGTTTGGGGATTTTACCTTTGTCTAAAGAGTTGCAAAGGTACATGAAGGCCAGGACGGGCAGGATGCACAAGTCGAACTTCAGGACAAGTTTCTTTTCGTGTTCGTAGGTGGGCAGCGGCGCAGTGCTGGCCAACTCAGCGCCGCCAGTCGACACATCCTTGAGAGACGAAGGCTGCGACGAGACCTTGAGGTCCGTCTTCACTCCAGTATCATCGGCTGCGGCCATTGCTGGAGTCCGGGGTCTGCACTGGGCGGGCGAAAGTGCGTGCGTCGGTGAGCTGAAAGGTGTCTGTCTCACTTGGATGGACCCGCTCCGGTAAGTGATAGACGCGGTCGGCAGCAATGCTTGAGCAGAAGTGGGATAACAGCGAGCAACGTCGTTTACATAGGGTTACAGGCAGATGATTTTTCCACTGATAGTACTGGGCGGGTTGCGCGAGTCGAGTGGCCTCAGGCTGGAGTGATACGGCGGGTAGCCTTATCGCGCTTGGCGGCGGCGAGTGATAGGCTTCCCCAACCCCTCGCCGGCAAGGACATCGCTTACTCTCCAGCTGGGGTTACATGAATGCAACGCGCGGGGGAATAGGACCGCACCCCGCCATCCTACTTCGACATGCTACGCCGCACCCATGACCCATCCTATGAGATCGACGTTGCGACTTGCTTGCTTCTGCGCCTGAGACTGCGTACAAGCCGAGCGTTATTTCCGTCGTGCAGTTCGTGTTGGCCTGCTGTGAGCACGTCGTTTCGTCGGCTAATCCCTTATCTCAAGGCGCGTGATATCCCACGTGCAAAGGGAGTGAGTGGCGAAGTGCTGATACAGGTACCGGCAGGGACGCCGTCAAGGCCGGCGCAGGGCTGAGGCTACGGGCGAGCTAGGCAACAAGCTTCTACCGGCGAAGGCGGCGACAGCGTCGCGGATACTGCTCCGGGACGGCAGCGCGGGAAATGTCGGGGCGAGCTGTCGCAATTCTCGTGATATTGGCATTTCGGCGACGGGAAACGTTGGCGTAAAAGACCCGGGGACCGTTTGTTGAAGGCGCGGAGATATGATAGAGGTGAGGTCGCGAGCGGTTGACCAACCCGATCACATCATCAGCCGCCATCTCAGGTGGGTCCATCGCATCCCGACGCGCCGGCGCTGGACGTGGAGAGGCGAAGGCCCAGTGACGAAACCGGTCGATCCCCCGAGAGCAACATGGAGAACAGCCCGACACCGACTTGCGCGCTGCTTGCACAGAGCTGCGAGCGCGGAGCCGCCGGTGTACACGTAGCTGGCTGGCTCGAGGCCTGGCGCAGGCTGGCCTGGCACTGGCACTGGCACCCTGACTCCGCCTAGCGCCGCCGCGTTGCCAAACATCATTACCTACTTCCCTCCCACGCGAACCGCCTCCCTTCGCAGGTGATTGCTCGAGTCTCGCCCGTCAAGGAGATCCCTCCGCATCGCCGCCGCCACCGCCGTCGCCGCCGGCCCGCCCGCCATCTCGTTGGTCCGTGTGCATCCAAACCCTTCGACACCCAGTTCCTGAAGGAAGACTGCCTGATCACCAAAAAGCAAATCCGCTATCCCCAATCCGTGCCTCCTTCGCGTCTAATCCCGTAATGCCGATTGCCATTTCGAGCCATCAGATCCCATTCCTGCCAATCCGCGCTCTTGCCATCTTCCCCGTCCCTACTCCACCACCAAAACCACGGCTCGCTTTGATCTTAGTCTTCCTTGTCCCCCTGCGGCCGAATAGTAGTCAATAGCAACCACGCGTCAAGCGTCAACTCAAAACACTCAGCTCAACCATCACGTCATCCAACCCAGCAATAGCCTCTTTCTCACGCATGCAGCGGTGAATCATACGCCCGTGTCAGCTTGCTCCATCCAACCAATGTGCTGCAATATTCCGTCTTCCCGTCCCCTTTCACCACGAAAAAAAGCATATTGGATATCGGCCGTAAAGTTGAGCCGCCGCCGTCGCCGCACCAATGCACAATCCCATCACCGCGCATGGCTATTATCAAGACGCTCTTCCATCGAAAAAGTCAATAATCAGTCCACCAACGACGACTTATGGACCGTCACTTGCTAGTCTAGCCCCCTCCCCGTGCCACGCGACGCCAGAGAACGAAGCGTTCCCAAAACGATTCCCACGTGGCATGACTTGCGGGGTGCGGGTGTCTCAAACTGCACAGTGCTCAAACCAGTCCGTTTTAACCCACTAAACTGTGCGTCTTATGTCGTGTCTCTTCCTGATTTACGAACCCTTCCCTGGCTTCTACCCAATCCTTTCGCCCCCCTCCCTGGTCGCTGCCCGCCCGTCCGCCGCCGCCGCTTTCTTCCAATTACGTACCCCGGCAGCGGTTGCTACGTTCGAAGTTGGGAGTTCGTACATCTTCCTTCTTCTCAAACAATTGCCATTACGCGATCTTTTGAGGTTTTGCTTATCATCGTTTTTCTTTGAAATCTGACTTTCGGGACGTGCGAAAATGGGGCACCACCCATGGTACTGGAGACATGCATGGGAAAGCGCCCAATCATCTCACCTTCCTTCTCCAGGGGCGCCACAGGCACAAGTAATCAATCCGAGATGCAAGTCCATTGGTCAAAAATTGTGTGTTGAAACATAGTAGATGATGTTATGGCAACCTATGATGATGAGATAGAGGAAGCATCTCGCGGAAACATGGGAATCCGAAATATCTCCAACTTCATAATAAGCAGCGTAAATTGGACCAAAAGCAACAAGGAAATAGTAGTGGGCATACGCTGCCATGCATGAGATATTCTACCCCGTCTTTTCCCACATACACTCCACAAACGCCTTTTGAGAGAGATAGTGAAAACATCCGCATCGAACAAAGAAAAGGGGGTATCCCGAGACATCCGCCAACCCGAACAACCTGACTGTACACCCACACTAGAACTTTCTTTTTCTTTCCTTTTTTTTTCTCCTACACCCTGTCGTCCGTTGTTAGGGGCGTTCCAGAGAAAAGAAAAAAAAATAAAAAAAGAAAAGCAAGGAACGAGAGAGCAAAAAACTCTCCTGAGAGATACCAACCAACACACATATCTCCGGGAAAAAGCCCACACCATGTCAATCCCCCTCACATATTTTCCCCGCCCGCCCACCAATAACACTTCGCTCCACACCACACGTGCGGTGCCCCTTATCTGCCGACCAGGGATCCCTCCCTTCCACGAGGTTTTGGACCCCCGTTCCTCCGGCTCCCCCCAAACACAAACAGAAAAAAAAAAGCGCCACCGAGGAAAAATAAAAAGAAAAGAAACACTACGCAGTCTCTTCTTTATTACTATTAGTGCGATGATGCAACAAGCTCGGAAGCTTAAACTGCAACGGCTCCTTGGTCTTCTCGCGCACGGGCATCTTGCGCTTGCTCCTTCCAGAATAATACACTCTCGGCGGCTGCTGTTGCTGTTGTTGGTGGTGGTGACTGCTGTGGTGATGGTGGTGGTGTGACGACCCGCTCGAGTGTCCATGCCCGGCGGCCGCCGACGGCATCGACGGCTCCGACAGCTTCGGACGCAACTTGCGAATCTTGTCGCGGTGCGAGTGCTCGTCGTCGGAGCCGTCCTCGATGCTGCTGCCCAGGCTCCTAAGCGACTGCGCCGTGGCTGACTGCGACGTGGGGTGGCGGCTGAGGGCGTGGCCAAGGACGGATGCCGACGCCGTTGCGAGCACGCCAAGAGGCGTCGACATGCGGCTGTTGCTGTTCTCGCGTTGGAGGAGAGCAGCGGCGGCCTCCGGCTGAGGAGGCTGAAGCGGAGGCAGAGGCTGCTGCTGCTGCTGTGGCTGTGGCTGTGGCTCCGTTTGCAGGGTGGACGACTGCCTCTGCGACGTGTAAGGGGGTGGGCTGGGCGAGTAGCCGTATATCAGATCCGTGCGGTCCAGCCGGCCCAAAGGGGCACCGGATTGCTTCGTCGTCTCGGGGAGAGGGCCGTCCAGGTCGACCTCGTGCGTCCACGAGGACTCGTTTGCGCCGAAGACAGCAGGCAGAGCCTTGATCTCGTCCCAGGCCAGGTCCGAGTCGCGCAGGGCGATGTAGAGCAGGTCGCCCTGCAGCTTGTCGTGCGTGATGCAGTAGTGGTCGAGGAAGTAGTAGTCCCAGAGGTCGCCGGACGAAAGCTCAGGGGGCAGCTGGCGTAGAGCCATGCGGCCGAAGTAGTCGTTCTGCGCGCGGTAGCCGACTAGAGGGACCCAAGCACGGCCCTTGAGGACGTGAGAAAATGCTTTGTCGATGGTGAAGTGGAAGTTCGCGCTGTCTCTGCTTGAGAATTCAGTTTCCTGGAAGAGCTTGCGGGACTGACATCGCCTGTACGCCTTGCTGTCGACGTCAAAGGCGAACTGTTGGCTCCGCCGAGGCACGATCATCACCTTGACGCTCCAGGGCTGCTCCGGCTTCTCGGCGGGCGCGGTAGGCGGCTCCTCGACTGCCGTGTCCATGGAGAGGTCGTCGTTGGGCGAGGCCTCAGGAACCGGCGTGAGGTCCCGCGTCACGACAGCGTTGGGCCCAGACTCCATCTTCTCGATTTTGATCTCGTGCTCCATGGTGGTGTCTTCGACGTCGATCAGCTTGCGCTGGAAGGCGTGCTGCTGGTCGATCATGCCGTCCATCTTGTCGTCCAGCTCGATCTTCAAGTCCTTCATGTTCTGGTACAAGCGGGCCTCGAGCAGCTTGAAGAGACGTTCGCGCTCGAGGTTCTGGGCGCGCTGCGCCATGAGCTCATGCTGCGTCTTAGCGAGCTCGGTCTGCAAGTTCTGGAGCTGGCGGTCCTGGTCCAGCTTGAAGCGGCGCAGCTCGTCGACCAGGGCCGAGTGCTCCTCGTAGGTGACGGCTGCCATGGGCTGCTGGACGTGGACCCATGCCGGATGGCCGCACTCACAGGCAGTGCCGACGGGCTGGCGGCGGTCCAGAGAGAAGCCCTGGCAGACGCAGCGCTGGCGGTCTGCCAGGCCGGCCTCGCGGTGAAGGTAGCGACATTCCCCGCGCGGAAGCTCCGCTTCGGGCGGCGGCGGCTGCGGCGGGTTGCGCGGGAGGTGGACCAGGCGTTGAGTGTTAAGGAACATCTGAAGAAAAAGCGACGAGGGTGCCGTCGAAGGATTTGAGCGCTGCGGAGACCAGGCGCATTGAGTGGCAGGCTGGAATGCTACTGGGAGCGAGTCAGCCAGGCAGACGCGCAAGCAAGGTGGGAGACTGACCGTCGGCAGGAGATATATCAGGGCTCCCACGCAGCACAAGAAGATAAGAGACGGAGGGATCACGGCGGGAGCATCCGCAACGGCGCAGGGCAGGCCTTGGCGGGGCGCAGCTCTGGAGAAGGCGTGAAGAAGGAAACAGCGCTGGCAGGCGGGTTTAGGGAATATGAGGGCTGGGGCCGGTTGCGACATGGCCAGGCACATCTACCTTAACTGACAGGCTGGGCGCGCGCATCCCGCTCCCGCGCCGGGGGTGGAGGCGTGCGCAGCTGGGCCGGGCGCCGTATCGGGCAGAGGCAGGCCAGGCCATGCGCTGTTAGGCAATTGGCTGGGGCTGGTGTCTGGATGGACGTGGACGCGATAAGGACGTGGGCGTGGTTCCAGAGGCTGCCCGTGCACCAGAGCCAAGCCAGGGCAGCACGCCTCTCCGCTGTCGGAACTCGATCCACGTTCGCGCGTGGGGTGCGCCGCATAGCCACGGAAGAGACATGGCCGTGGCTTACGCGCCGGCGCGACGGCCACGACCTGCTTTGCAGCGCGCTGACGGGCCTGCCCTGGCCCGGCAAATGCGGCGGCCGCCCGCGCCGGCTCCCTGGCTCACATGCGATTCTTGCAGACCTTATCGGCGATGCCTGCCTGTGCTTGCATCAGCCCTCCAGCCGGCCCCCACGGCGCCGTAGCTTGCTGCCCTGCAGACGCCATCCATGCGCGAACCTGACGTTAGTGCAACGGCAGGCTTCCAGCATGACTCGCGTGTGCTCTTCTGTCGCACGCCATCGCTCTCCTCACGACGACCAGCTCACTTCCTTCGATCTGCTGTGTTCCTGGTGATCCGCCCGCTCGGGCCCGCCCTCTCATTGGCGTGGGGTTGGCCAAAGGGAAGCGCTGACAAAAATAAAAGTGCACACCATCCCCACTGCCGCCGCCCGCTCTTCCACCACTCAGCTGCGCTGCTGTGTTGCTTTGCGGCCGAGAAGAACACGAACCACGCGCCGCTTCCGCCGAGCCTGATAACACCGCTGAGACAGCAGCGCACCGCGGACGCCGTTGTCATTGACGCGATATCTAGCTTGGCGCGCTTGGCTCGACGACAGAACGATATGACGGCCCGGGGCATTACGTGGGCTGCATGCCTCAGTCCGGGTGACGGAAGCATGCGGACGCGGAGAACGAAATGCTAATTAATTGTATATACCGGCGGAGTGACAAATCCCAAACCAAGCGTGGCCATGTGCAACCGTGGGCTGAGCTTCGCCTTCCCTTCTCATGTGCGCACCGCCGAATCGAGAGCATGCCGTTCCACGACGCGCCTTAGCAAACCGGGGCGGGTGCTGCTTTCTGCCTCCTCACACAAGCCACGGGCGATCCGTGTCGTGTCGGTTGATCATGGAGGCAAGTCATGGAAACTCAGCCACCTGCAGCTCCCCAAATTGCCACTCCGTCACGGCTTTGCACGCTAGCCGAGTGGATGCCTCTGTCAAGTGCCGACCTAGTCGCATCGCAAATGCCCGCCGGCCCGCCCCGCACTTTCTCCTCCCTAGCTACAACAGAAACGAATGGAAGAGAGAGGGACACGTCTGCGGCGGCTCCGCTAGCCAGCCCTGCATCTTGCGGTGTGCTACAAGAGAAACAGTTGACAGTTGTGATTGGAAAGCGGCCGAGACATGGAGAGATAACGGGCCGGTGGAGCAGGCAAAGAGCACCGCATCTCAGCCAGACGGCAGTTGAGAAAGCACACCTGATAAGAGGCCGCAGAGCAATACCCGGACGTTGGCAAGCGAGATCGCGCGGTAGGAAAACAAGCATTCCGACAGGGAAGAATACTCCCATTTGCTGCCGGCGCCGTGTAATCGTGCATGTATTGCCCGTTTTGGGAAGGAAGCGGGTGCGCTGCTCTCGCCCCGAACCCTGTCGTCGTCGAGGTCATGTGTACCGGCCCCTTCATTCTAGCTCATCGATCCTCCCGTCTCCGCAATACCTCAAACCAACATGGAGCTAAACGTAACAGCCTGCGGCCTCACGACTCCACGTGCTGCTTCCCCGAGCGTCCGCCCATCCCACGGTCACGATACCTGCGGTACATAAAAACCGCTCAGGCACCTGACGACGCAATTGCCTCACATGCGCTGCGGAGCACAGTTCATTCGTGCAGGTGTGCAGCCGCAGCATCGGCCGCTGTATGCACACACCACGCACTCTCTGTTTCCCCCCCTTGCCCAGACCCCTCCCCTTCATCCCTTCCCCGCCCTGCCGCTGCGAAGCTGCGAAGGAACGCGCTTTTTTTGTCTACGTAAAAATTACCTACGCCCGCGGGCATAGACGTTCGAAGATGCAAACCCATTAGCCAACGCTTTGCTAAAATGCACATTCCGCATCCTATGATGCCATTTTATTCTTTTCAATTTCTTTTAGTTTGCGATTGCTGCGCGGAAAGGGGGGCGTCTATGGCGCTGATGGCCCATGGTTTGTTTCGCTGGCAATTGGGGCCCGCGGGGGAAACTTCTGACTTTGCTCGGCTGTAATAACCTAATAGCGCCCGCGCCCGACAAAATCTCAAGCCCTGTCGCGCGTGGCTTGCTTGCTCTTCTGCGGCGCCCTACGCCTCCCGCTCTTCCTACACAATGACAAAAAGTCGCTGACCGGCCACATTTCTGTGGGGGTTTTGCGCATATGCGTGCAGAAAAGCGCCAGCAGCGCCAGCAGCATCAGCAGCAGTCGAACCACGGCAAAGGCCCGATAGGGCAAAAATACCCTCTTCAAAGCGAACATGGAAGAATCCTCCCTTCTGCTACCTACTATAAGATCAGAGAGTACCAAACCCTTGACAAATTCGCAAACCCAAATAATACAGAAGATGAGGCGAAACATTTTGCGGCTCCGGGCTGCACTAAAGCGGGGACCCAGAAAGAAAGAAAATTCCATAAATACGACCGAGCCGCTTCTTGCCGCACTTCGATGGCCCGGGCCGCTGAAAGTCGGGGCGATAGCGGCGATGTGAGAGAGATCGAACTTTTTTTTTTCTTGTCAAGTCACTTGGCCGCTCGTCTTGACCGGGCCGGCGTCCGGGCTAGACCACAACGCGGCTGGAATGCTTTTTGGCGTGCGCGCGCACATGCACGCTCACGCGCGCGCGCGCGTGTGTTGTGTTTTTACTGTCCGGCGCGCGCGCGCGGAGAGACCGTTCGGTGGAACGTGCCAGGGCCAGCAGCCATTACAAGAAAGCTTTTGTAGCTGCTTTTGCCAAACAATCGCTCTAGAATCGCGGCTGGACGCGGCAGACGGAGGAGGGGTGAGCGTGCGGTCTCAGCGAGTGGATGTGAGGTCAGAGCTGTGCTGTATGTCGTGAGTCGTCGTGATGACATGGGGCTGGTTGTTGGATCTCCTTTAGCTCCAAGCTTTCTGCTTCTACTTTGCTATCGTCCTATCGCTCTCCTCCGCCTGGACATGTGCATCATCAGTCATGCTATTAATATTTTTTGGATGTCAACAAAAAGATGCTATCGAAGGTACAATCAGCTCCACCGAACATGCAGAAAACGACTACCGTAACGCCGAACCAATGCATCATGACGATTCATCACCGCCTAAAGCTCACCGGTAACGCCAACAAACGCCATGGTTTTTAAGGACCACCTCCACCCGCTTGCAGTAAACAAGGTGCCATCAGGCATGCCATCATTCGTTCATAGGCTCGGGACCAAAACCCATGCCCGCTCCGTGAAGATCGTAGCTACTTGATTGCTTCATCCGCGTCATCCTCTTCTCCACCTCGCCACGACTTCACACAGATCGCGTCAACTTCAACAGGGCATCCGCAGCTCGGTCCTTGACGACGCTGCTCGTCAGGCTGTCTGAGTCGTGGGCCCGATGCCGGCCGTGGTCCTCGCTGTAAGGAGGGCTGCTGAGCTGGACGGCCGCGTGCCTGTTCGCGACCGGAGTCACGAATTCCCGGAGGCCGCTGCTGCCACGCGCCCGGGGAGTGCTGCTGCCGCGATCCCCACTGGGGACGCTGGCCGGATGTGGTGGCGAGGAGGGCATCGTCGTCTGCGGCTCAGTGATGAAGCGCGTCGAGTAGGCGGTGGGCATCAGGACGGGTGCCGGAAGGAGCTTGGGAACGCCTTCCTTTCCGTCTGACGACACGCTTTCTCCCGTAACCGTAATGGCAGGTGCAGCGGCGGCTTGCTCGCCCTCCTGAGCCGACGTGACGGATAGATTTGCGGTTGGGGTTGGAGCGTCACCCTCCTCGGAGGACTTCCGGCGGTACTTCTCGGGTATCTCCAGGCATGACAGTGGTACAAAGGTCTGGTCGGTCCTGACTTTGTAGAGGGCGACGCGTAGGCGGAGGCGGAGGGCTTCGGCTCGCTGTGTTATGGGTCCGGTATGGCGAATGTCATGATGCGCAACCTCGACCGAGTCTGCGCGTACAGTTGGGGCCGAGGGCTTGGTTGCTCGCAAAGGCGGTGAGGATGAGGTCTGCTGAGACGAGCCGTGCGGGTTGTAGTCGATGAGAGACGAAAAAGACGCCCTTGTTCCAGTCGTCTCTTGTGTTCCTCGAGGGGCAGGATCCAGGCTATCTTCGTCGGTGGGCGTAAGGTCGCCGCGCGCGAGATCCATGATTTGGCTGGCCTGCGACGCGGTTAGCATGCGAGATTGGCACGGCCCAATACTACGAGATCTCGTACAAGTTGCGCAGATGCTTGAATGCTGGTCATAGGCGCTCGGGCTTGCGCATGCATCACGGCGCGTGCATCCAGACGCTTGAAAGGCGCCTCAGTCGCGTCCTGGCGCGCATAGGCGCTGTCGACCTCGTCTATAGATCTCTTCCTGCCAGTCATTTGGTCCGGGAGCTTCGGAATGCTGTGCGCATTTTCGTCCTGGGCGAGAGACAGCGAAGGTGCCTGTTTAAGCGGGCTCAAGTTGCGAGTCTTGTCGGTCGTGATGCTGGGCTTCTGCGGCGAGATTCTCTTGTTTGGGGTAAGTTCTCCAAGGGCGCGGCGTGCAGAGCTCTTCGAGGGAGTCGTGATTGCCTTATCGGGGATTGTCGAGTCCATGTGAAGTCTTCTGTTTGTTGTGGGTGTCGACATGATGCAGGCACGCGTTCAGATAGCGCCGACGCGCAGAACTGGTGCAGTTGGGTGGAAATTGGCAAATGAAGAGAGGCGGATAAGAGGCCCAAGTGAGTGAGGACCCCAATCTGGTTCGAAGACGGCACGCAGGGGATTATCTCTGGAGACAGGGCAGCGCAGGCGATGTTGATGTTGCGACGCGGTGGGCAGGTTGGAGAGGCGGGCAGTCCGCTTAGCGCAATTCGGGCCTAGCTGACCACGACACGAGCGCGACATTGCGCGCCGCGACAGCCCCATTTATCTGTGGAGAACGTGCAGGATCCGCCAATCCTGGCCTCACAACGCGCGCCTCTTTGGCCCTGATGTCACAGAAGCGTCCTACAAACCTTTGCAGTCTGTGTTTGTTTTCCACTGTAAACAGTTCTCCAAAACAGGCTGCTCGTAAATAAATAGACGGCCAACATGCCCAAAATACTAGCTGCGCCATGGTGTTCAGTAATAACAGAATAAACGCCAGCTCTCGTCATCTCACGCTGGTGGTCGAGGATGGGTTAGTATATGCGTCTAGAATATGCGGGAGTCGGCTGTTCATGGGCTCACAAACAGTGACCTTACCTCACACGCAGCGCCTCATACGTGAGTCACAGACACAGTAACGTACGACAGTAGCATGGTCTCGCGTTCCGCACTGCCGAGTGCACAACAAAAGCTTATAGGATATAAGCTTCAGGAACATTAAATTCGATGAGACGCACCATGTTTAAGCCGGTCTCAATATGGGAAGAACAAGACTTTACCTTGAACTAGCGGACAAACAGTCCATACTCAGACTTGGACTAATCAGCTCTAAAATGATAGGAACGCTATCGATTCGGGTTTCTACATTGCTTATAAGATCGGGTTCGGATTATAAGCGAACAAGTCACTAACAAGCTGCGTTCCCAACATTCCTCATAACCCAGTCGGGGCTCCCTGCTAGAGAACTCAATGCTACAAGATTGTGTTTACTGAATCTGGGGGAATGTATAATATATCGTATAGCGGAGTATAGCCTTATACTGGCTTTATAGGGCGGGGTTGGAGGTAAGCACATGTATAACCATATTTTAAAAAATATTGCATTTTATGGTAAAGCAGTCTGTATCGCATTTCACATCGCAGCTGCTAGTATTTATTTTCATCGAAGATTGCTTGTACTCTTGACAATCATGTTGTGCTATAGTCTATTGCCTCTCGATATTGCCGAAGATCTAAACAAAACAGATTATCCATTGGTGTCGGCAACTTTGAAACGAAGGACGTGTAGTCATACACAAGCAGTCGTAGTGAGGCGCCTATCCGCTATCTGGGCCTTTTCGCTGAGTGGATCTGACTGTCTCATTCCGCCAGCAGACGTATTACCGGCTACAATACGGAATGGCCAAGGAAGGATCAGCAAAGGATTTTCCCCACTTCTTACTCCACTCTCAGACATCATGCCACTCATATAAATACAGCACCCACCAGGTATAGCAATGAAGTTCCACTTTGACCAACATTAGAGTTTAAATTACTGCGCAGCTATTTTTCTTTCTTTCTTACTCCTCTCTACTGCCCAAATTTCGACTTTGAGGTAGTTTGAGTCTGGTAACATCGGATTTACAGTGCCACTCTCCGGAATCTGCTCTTCGGAGCCATTTTGTTTTTCATTGAGCTTATTCAACCCCTCAGCCCATTCCATCGAACTATGGAACTTCTTCAAACCATGGGTATTCCTACATGCTTTTGATCACATGGATTTCAGGCTTCAATTAACAATAATCATAGGATTTTATATGGGACTCTGCGGTCCAAAACACAGGATTGAGAAGCCATATCAGTACGATGTGCTTGCAGATGACGAAATCAGAACACTCGTCATTCACCCAGGCGAAGAGAAAGAGAACCTCAAAGGTTCAATTGAACGGCACAAACTCAACGACACCAAAAAGCAATACACGGCCTTGTCATATGTGTGGGGGAGCACCGAGCAAGACAGCGAGCTATGGATTGAGGAGCACTGCATTCCGATCACCCGTAGCGCCGAAATTCTTCTGAGGCGTGTCCGCGATGCACGGGAGCCCATGAGAGTTTGGCTTGACGCGATATGCATCAATCAGGAGGAACAGGAAGAAAGGAGCCACCAGGTCTCTTTGATGAACAGCATATTTGCTGGGGCAGCTCGGGTTTTGATTTGGGTCGGGGATTCGGACGAACACACAGCAAGCCTGTTCCAGATCTTCAAGAGGTGGGAAGAGCATCAAGATACAGCACGATCGCGCAAGTCAGCGTCAGCAAAGAAAAGTCGTCGCAACTCCAAGACCCAGTCTGCTGGTCGTTCTCGACGCTCTGATTCCTGCATGTATCTGGATCAAGGCAGTCTTGAGAAGGTGACTGAGTTTGTAAAACGCCCATGGTTTCAGCGCGCGTGGACTTTCCAAGAAGCTTGTTTGTCGGACAAGTCTGAGATTCTTTGCGGAAATCATCGGCTGCCTTGGCGGACATTCATCATGGCGGCTCTTTATATCAAGGACCAGAGAAGACTTGATGCGTTTGGAACTACGGCGGACACTATCATGGCTCTCGCTCACTTCTCGGCTGCTAATGCTGAGAAAGAAACGCCGTTCCTGTCGGTTTTGTTGCCATTGACAAGGGGTCTAAAATCACTCGATCCGAGAGACAAGATCTTCTGCCTGCTCGGCATGGTCGAAAAACGGGGGCTCGGCGATTTCAAGCCCGATTACACCATGGACATGGCTGAAGTGTACACGGTTTGCGCAAGGGCCATGATGAGTCAAGAACGAGGCCTTTCCGTCCTATCCGGCACACAACTGGCATCAAAGAACGCTACGCTTCCTTCCTGGGTTCCAGACTGGACACAGGCGAGAGCAACAGCTTACATCCATGGCTTTGAGTGGCCGCGCGGGCCGCTTGCCCACCAGATCAACAGAAATGCTCCGTTCGACAATGATGTCGGAAGTGCTGGAAGGCTTTGGACAGAGCGGCATCTCAGCGTACAGGGGGCACAAATTGACATAGTCAAATTTGTGGTAAAGCCAACTCGCTTACTGGAGCTTGTTAGGATGGTTCCGGAAACGCCTGAAAAGCACCCGTGGCGGGAGAGTTTCGACCAGAGCGTGGAGGAGATACGTAGAGTGATTTGTCGGCGCGATTACACTGAAAAGCTGTTGCGCACTTTGTGCGCGAACAAGGCGAAACTGACTGGGAGCACAGAAGAGACTAGTCCGAGAATGGAACCCATGTCACTGTGGGTACCCGGCAAGTTGATTTTTGAGGCAGACGCAGAGGGCTTGAGGAGCGCGATCGCGTACCTTTCGACGTTCCTCCCAAACAGGGCGGTTTTCAGGACGAGGAAAGGGCTCATTGGGATTGGGCCCGACTACATGGCCAAGGGCGATGAAGTCTGGAACATAGTCGGAGGTGACGTGCCGTTTGTGTTGAGACGTAAATGGCATGCTGGATTGTTCAGGGCGCATGGTAAACAAGGGCATCCACAGTTCACTCTGGTCGGTGAATGCTATGTTGACGGCATCATGGATGGAGAGCTTTGGACTTGGCCACATGAGTGTGTAGTTCCGGGATATGAGCTTGATTTCAAAAACATCGAGATAGTTTGAGTTGTATGGTTATTCGACGTCGGAAACGGAGGAGGGGTGCGGCGGCGCAAGCGCAAGACCAAGTCAGTAACAAACGGTCGACTTATTAGTGAAGTGAGAAGCGGCGGCGGAGCGGGGGAAAAGTCGGGGTGTGGAGAACCATAGGCTGTGAGGTGAAGGAACAGGAGGCTAAGACCCCTGGCGGGATTCAGTGGGGCGGCGCATGATTGGCGGGGGCTTATCTCCGATAGCCATCCGCCCAGCCTCACGCGCCGCGCTGCCGTCAGAGAGCACCCGTAGCTCCTCGTCCATCATCATCCCGGGCCCACCCACAACCACCTGACCTCTGACGCTGCCTTCAAAGCTCCGCTGCCTCCCACTCTGCTATCCACCCCATCTCGTCGTCTTTGTGCGCGAGACACACGCTCACCACAAGCTCCAACAGCTCCGCTTGCCCGTCATGGCTTCCCGAGCTATCATACCCTTCCTGGTCGGCATGATGCTGCTGACCGGCGTCTGCAACACACTCCTTACCAAATACCAAGTCAGACCACACTCACAACACCACGCCCCTCGCGCCTGTCAACTAACGGCTGTATCAGGACCAACAATGTGTGCGCAACTGCGACGGGAAACATCCCCAGTACTTCGAGCAGCCCGTCGTACAGACTGCCCAGATGTTTATCGGCGAGATGGGCTGCTGGCTTGTGGTCGGCGGCTTCTCCCTCTTCAAATACTTCGCCTCCAAGCGATCCGTCGAAGCCGGTGGCTACGAATCCGTTCCCCGCGAGTCCACCGATTCGCCTGCGCCTCCCTCGGCTGCCGACATCGAAGCCGCGGCCGATACACCTGACACTGCGAGCTCTGATATCCCCGTTGCCAACCCGCTCAAGCCGGCGCACGAAGACCATTCGCGCACCCCTTTGACCGGCTGGAAGGTGCTATACTTGGCTCTCCCTGCCATTTGCGATATTGCGGGTACAACTCTCATGAACGTGGGTCTGCTGTTTGTCGCAGCCAGTATCTACCAGATGACTCGCGGTGCGCTGGTTCTCTTTGTCGGCCTTTTCAGCGTCCTGTTCCTGAAGCGTCACCTCGCTCTCTACAAGTGGGTGTCTTTGTTCATCGTCGTGGCCGGTGTCGCTGTCGTCGGCCTGGCCGGTGCTATCGCGAAGGAGTCGGCCCATGGAGCCAGCATTATGCCCGAGGGTCAGACTCCCATCGGCGACAAGTACGCTTTCTCCGGCACTATCCTCGTGCGCAGCGCAGCAAATGAGGTCAAGGCCATGGCTACTCCGGTTGCAGTGCGCACCGTTATCGGTGTCCTGCTCATTGCCGGCGCCCAGATCTTCACGGCCACTCAGTTCGTGCTCGAGGAGAGCATCATGGAGAACTATGAGCTCGAGCCGCTGAAGGTTGTCGGCTGGGAGGGCATCTTTGGATTCATCGTGACCGTCATTGTCATGGTCGTCATGCATTTCGCCGTCGGCAGGACCAAGGCTGGACGATATGGATACTTCGACGCCAGGGAGGGTCTGCACCAGATCACTCACTTCCCTGCCATTGCGATCAGCAGCATCCTCATCATGTTCAGCATTGGGTAAGTTCCCCGGGTTTTTCCATTTCTTTTTACTTTACGTTCTAACCTTATTTCGTTAGGGGTTTCAACTTCTTTGGTCTCTCGGTCACGCGCTCTGTCTCCGCTACCGCACGTGCGACCATCGACACTTGCCGTACTCTCTTCATCTGGATTGTCTCCCTTGGCCTCGGCTGGGAGTCCTTCAAGTGGCTGCAAGTGCTTGGATTTGCCATGCTTGTTTACGGCACCTTCCTGTTCAATGATATCGTTCGCCCCCCGCTCAAGGCATACTTGGAGTGGAAGAGGAAGAAGAGGTCCGGTATGGATGAGCTACTGCCCGAGGGTCCCATCGAGCACATCTAAGCGGAGCCTGTGAAAGCCCTTCGTGGCAACGGCCTTGTACAGTCACATTCACTTTCTATGGGGACGGTCTACAGGGCATTCGAGGCGTTATGGTAAGCATGAGGTATGTTTTCGGACAATGGTTGGCTACGGTGTTCTGGTTATATTGTTGCAATCAGAAACTCTATTTAAGGGTAAATATCGTCGCATAGGACCATTCAAATGCAATGCACTTGATTTCGAAGCGAAAATGCATCCCACGAGCAGGGCGATCACCAACCATTCCCAAAACATGCTATCTCCAGAAGAACAAACACGGGGACTCTTAAAGGACGGAGAAGTGCTTAATTCCGCAGCCGATTTAACTCCCCAGTTTAACGGTGAGCGGAGATCCAATGAAGTGTTGCAATCGGGACTATCTCGCTCGAAGGATCACCACGACCGGAGTTAAGGGGATATACGGATTTACGTGCGCCAAGTAAGCACTATGCCACAGGTAAACAGCATTGATTCTTCAATGACGAGAGGTAGAAAATGCTACTCTATAAAGCGAAGAGCTCCACGCTCTTGTCAGGCAAGACTTTACATAAGCAAGTCATTCTGCACCAAACCTGGCCTCCTCTACCATGGCCACCGCAAACCTCGTCGATTTCCAAAACATCTTCTCCCTCGAGGGCAAAGTTGCCGTTATAACTGGCAGCTCTCGCGGACTCGGCCTCGCTGCGGCGTCTGGAATCTTGCAAGTAGGCGCTTCGAAAGTCTACATCACGTCTCGGAGCGCCAGTGGCTGCGAGGAAGCATGTGCGATACTTAACGCCCTGCCAAACAAGCGCGCCGATGCCCAAGCCATCCCCGTTCCCGCGGATTCGTCCACCGTAGATGGTATCCAAGAACTCGTAGATGCCGTCAGTAAATCGACGGACCACGTGGACATCCTTCTAATCAACGCCGGCATGGCGTACGGCGAGCGGTTCGAGAAGCACGACGAGAAGAAGTGGACCGAGGTCATGGACATCAACCTCAAGAGCGTGTTCTACGCAGCCCAAAGGTAGAGAGCATTGTCACCTCCCCCCCCCCCCCCCCCCTGTTCAATGACAATGGTGCTGACGTCTCTCTGCAGCTCGGCCGATACTGGATCCGTTGCGATCGACTCCAAAGCCTATGCCTCCAGTGACTCTTGGCTCATTTGCCTCAGCGGTGCTCCTTTCACTGGCATCCACTGTGATCTGAATGGCGTCTTGAGCCCGCAGAAGGGTCCAATTCCGGTCGCCGTCACCTCTGGCCCCGGTATTGGTCCTTTTCACTGATCGCCTTCGCCTCCTTCCGCCATTGTCCTTTTTGTTTTTCTGGTCCTAATAAGCGTGTGGAGTTTTGGAAATGACTTGAAAACGAAGTCTTGGGTAATGATTGAAATAGCTTCAACTCAAAATTAGACGGAAGACTGGCGACCGATGGAGGTTCCTGGTTGATAATGAGTCAAACGCGAAAAGGTTTAATGGTTAATATCCTATGGCGCAGGAAAGGATGGTGGCTATGTTGGACTCTCACACAGTGCTACGAGTACGAGTAATGATACACACTATTAAAATGCTACACTTGACTGTGACACTGAAAACATGGACCCTGAAAATGCTTCAATATTGCGTGCAACAACCACGAACCAATCCTCATCCTTTATGCACGTGGTTTAATGAGGTGCCATTCATAACAGTTCTGCATTGAGACGTCTCTCATGCATGCGCGCAAAATGGACGACTTTCGCATTTTCCGTTTCGGGAAGGTAACAAAAAACAGAAGCCGCAAGGTCAACACCCCATCATGCACGACGAGGCTGTGACAAACAAACTGCCCACGCTGCTACCTGCGCAGCTGCCGGCTCAGTTGTTATACTTCGAGAATATAACAAAAAGAGAGCGTTCGCTGCCGGGAAGCCATTCTACGGTACTAACCCCACATTTGCACCGGAGATGGCGACCCATGGTTACGGTGTGAGAGACGCGTGGGGTGGGGGATAATATAAGCTTTTTCTCGATTCTTTGGGTCCCAGGTACGCATCACAACCATGGGAGTGGAAAGAAGAATAGAATTAAGTTTAACGTCTAAGCTTAATTCTAGGGCAACTGCCCTCTTTATTTCCACTGCGACAAAGAAAAAAAAAGGTTTTCATATTTCTATGGTGAAAGGGGAAAAAAAAAGAGCGCATTCCAGACCCGAGCGCAACGTCGGGGGTTTTCGCAGACCCCTGCGTGTCGATCACTACTGATGGCATCCACGCGCATTCTTCAATGGTTGTTGTGGAATGTTCGATGCAGCCTTACAGGGCGTACGCCGGGAACAAAATAGAAACAAAGAGTTGTACTGCAGCGACGGGACCGAAGAATGGAGAACAGAACTGCACCCGATCTGCTCGGTGGCGACGGATTTCCTTGCGTCCAGCTAGCGAGCCCTTACATGCCGTCCCACAATCATCTCGACGGATGCAGCCGAAACAGTCTCGCAGGGAAAACGCGAGCGCGAACTTATTGTTCTCGTTGTCTCAGCTGGCGAGGGAGCTGCTGACGCCGAAGAGAAACGCCCTCGGTCATACAACGTTCGTCGTGTCAAGGAGAAAAGATCAGTTGTGTGGCGGAACAGCCACAACAAGTGCTCACGAGCAAGGCGACGGTTTGAAAGATAAAACTTTGTGGTATTAGGATTACGCCTCAGGCTGACGGAGGCAACTAAACTACTGCTCTTCTCTGCAGTCTTCCGAACTAGCTGACTAGATGCAGGCAGTTACTAATGGCTAATGCATGCTGGTTCTATGCTTGCTCATCCCACCAAATGCCTCATTCGCATAAGCAATGATCGTGAAAAATCGTCATGTGCTGAAAATAAAATAGTCCCACCAACCATTGTTTACCTTTTGATCAAACCAAACAGCCCAAATTGTAAATGATGCAATAAAAAAAAATATGAACAATGCGGTCCTGTTGTAGGCATTTTCGGCAGTTAAGGGAATTCTCCCGACAGGATCACTGAGAAGCGAAGCGTTCAACTCGTATCACACAATCGGCTCGATGCGCTTAGAGCATGGCAACGGCGACGGCGGCAGCGCCAACAAGGGCGACGCCGCTGCGGACCGAGGAGCGGTCGGCGGCACCGGTGTACTGCGAAGGAGTGGGAGTGGAGGCGGGAGTGCCGGCAGCGGAGCTGGGGGCGGAGGTCGAAACGGGGGTTGGGGTCGAGACCGGGATAGGGGTCGAGACCGGAGTAGGAGTCGAGACCGGGGTCTGAGGGGGAGCGGGAGTGCTGACTGAAGAGACAACGGGAGCTGGAGTTCCGATAGTGGAGGCAATGGGTTGGCCGTCGCTACGAACGGGAACCGGAGACTCAGCAGCCGGGATAGAGGTAGCAATGGGCTGACCATCGCTACGAACAGGAACCGGAGACTCGGGAGCCGGCGTTCCAATAGTAGAGGCAATGGGCTGGCCGTCGCTGCGAACGGGAACCGGAGACTCGGGAGCTGGCGTCCCAATAGTGGTGGCCACTGGTTGGCCATCGCTACGAACAGGCACCGGAGTGGGCACCACCGGCTGACCGTCAGAGCGGATACTCACGGCAGACGTAGCGACGACTTGGCCGTCAGACTGCTGGGAGGCAGCGGCGGTGGAGGAGCCCTTGATGATCTCGATGTAGATGGGCGAGCAGTGGGACCCCCAGTTGCGGTCGTAGAAGTTGTAGAACTTAGAGGCGCCTTCGCCGCTGGAGCAGCCGTAGAAGATAGCAGAGCCGCCCAGAGCGATAGAGCCGTTGGAGCAAGCGCTGAAGCCATCGTCGTAGATGGTGCCGGCTTGCGGGGGCTTGTCGAACTGCAGCTGGTAGTTGCTGGCGATATAGCCAGTGCGGCCTTGCTGGTCCGTCAACTTGCCGTCGGCCAGGGTCAACTCCAGAAGAGTATCGGCAGGGCCACCGGACTCCTCCTGACGAGGCAGCAGACCGCGCTTCGCGACGCTCGAGCTGGTGGTGGCGTTGACAATGGTGATGGTGAACTTGCCCGGGTCTAGGCCAGTCAGCGAGTGGGCAATGGTGATCGAGGGTCATACTCACATGTCGGCAAGCAACCGGCAGGAGCGGAAGCGGTGGGGGAGAGGTCCTCAGTGACACCCTGGGCCTTGGGCAGGGCGACGGCGGTGCCGGCAAGGGCAGCGAGAGCGAGGGTGAACTTCATTGTGATAGATTAGGAATTAAGGCGATAGAGGAGTGAGGTGGGGAGGAGGTGGAATGCATGGAAGGAGCAGAGATATTTGTACGGAGCACGGCAGATGGCTGGAGCAATGACATGTTAGCAGCTAGCTTCACCGGAGGCAGCCCTCCACTTTTTCGCAGGCGTCAAACCGCAAGCAGCAAGGCTGTGGGGTAGGGGCCTGCGATCGCCTAGGCCTAGCAGCGGACAAAGAGACATTGTTTCTGAGCGCCAGCCCCCTCGCGTCGCGGGCAAATAGCACGAGCGGACGTGGCCGGGGACGACGAGCTGGCCGCTTTCGCGTGTCTCATGCTCAGACCGACGGGTGCAGGTGGTCGAGCACATGTGCTGTGCCGAGAAATAATGCCGCCCCCAGGAATAGCGGGCTAGCGGAGCATCGCGGCCGTTGCCGTGTTTGGCAGACAGCGTACGGTCGTGCGGCTCCCGGGAAACAGCTGACTGGGGGTTGGCGCCATCAGGAACAGCTAGACGTCGTCAGCACTCAATCCGGGCCAAGCTGTCGCAGATGGTGGGAGGGTGGGCGAATGAGATGGAGTCGCAGGCACCGGGAGCGGCACGCTCAACTGCGACGCGGCGTAGAGCAGTCGAGGACGGAGCATAAACTATGACGACACTCGAGTCGATGGCATCGCGATGGACGTGGTGTAGTTAGGCGCCGGCGGCAGACCCGGCCGAAGCCGGCGCGCGCACCTTCCATCTCGACCGTGCTCTGGTCGGGCTCCCGCGATCGCCGCAGCCGCGCCAACCCGCGCCGTTCACCAGCGCTTTGCAGCAGCGTCGTAAGCAACCAACCTCCTTTTTCTGGGCCTCTCCATCAGCCCTCCAATCCCTGCAGCGTGGCGGCCAACGACAAGCTCCGTGGCGTCCGCCACTCCCGGCCATCAATCCACCAGCGATCCACCGCCAGCCCCGCCCGTTCAATGACTCGTCGCTCAGACCACCAGCCACCGCTTTCTGGCGTCATAGTCCAATTGCCATTGCTGCTCCCCTCGCATTCTGTCAACTGCCTGCCATCGTCCATGGTCCGTCGCCCGCCGCTCACGCCGCTCCTGCATCTGCATGCACGAGCACCGCGAACAATGCACACTGCAGCAAATCCTCCGCGCCTGGGCCACTCATGCCCCGCAGCCGCAGTTAAGCTTCTGCACGCCGGTCAAATGACGGATCGCATGTGGGGGGATACGTTCCTGCACCATGCGCCCATTTAGCCTACCTTGCTGTTATCTTCCACCACCGCTATTCCCCTCCCCACATTATCGAGCTGATCTTCGCCAGCTGGAGCGGTGAACTGGTCATCTGCTGTGCAATTTGCAGACCGGTAAATCGTCAGCGTAGGCCTGCTTCCGGTGCTTCGTGCAGCCTACAACGTTGCATCATCTTCACCACAACCCAGAGTTTCGCATTGAGTCAGCTGACGCTAGCATCAATGTGTGTCCGCCGCCGTGCTACGCCGTTCTCAGCTGTCGATACCTTTCCTTCCCCTTCCGGCACTCAACGGCAATCTACTTGATCCGTTTCAAAGCCACAGCCGCACGAACGGCCATTTTCTTACAATCGCCTCAACCATGCCTTGGCATTTACCTCCTTTGTTCACACATTTGGTGTACTTGATGGGCTACTCCAACTTTTTTTCAGTGCCGTCTGCCTGCCGAGTTCAGGCTGCACGCCATGAACAGCCCTGATATACCGTACCCCTGCTTTGATCAGCTGCGGCCGCAGCTCTTGGCGCTTGCGAGCAGCAATCAATTGAACCAAACCAAACCCCTAGTACATGCTAAATATATTTTTAGACTCACTTTACAGCAGAATCCAAAGTGTAACCCTGGTAAGCAGTTTGGCTACTATTTACATTGAACTTTTAGCCCCTGCTTGTCTCGCATGAGAGTTTCCAAGTTTCTTGAGATATTGTTCAACACCAACTTCAGGGCACTCCAATGAGACTAACAGAATGGTAAATGATTGGCCGCATTGGAACCTCATTCCTCGTTTCCATCGTCTATTGAGCTAACCAAATCAAGAAAGCCGGTCATGGTGAAAAGAACAAAGACGGCAGACATCTAGACGCCGCTTGCTTAAGGTACAGAGACTACATGGGTTCGCTCATGCCACATGGCCAGAAGACCTCATTCTGGAAACAGAACGTCGTATACTCAAGTGAGCTTGGACTTGCAGCACCGAAAATCAGAGGAGACAGTACATGCTCATACTGGACCTACAATTCTGTCAAGTGAACAGACAAGAAAAAAAAGACGATGGCTGTAAGATGGTCGGCTGGGGAAAACTCAAGATGTCGGTCGATAAGGATGTACATTCATTGAACTCAACCAGGAATGCGAGCCATTCCAGCTAACACAACTCGTTCCACGTCTGCAACCGTTTACCAGCAGGCGAAAGAAAACATTTACCCAAGTCACTTGTCCATAACGCCCGTCAGTATAGACCTGTCCCTCCTCTTGTACAGACCGACATGTTTTACTCTCGTTTATCCGCCGCAGTCGCATTGACTGTCTTCGCAGCAGGTGCACTCGCCGACCCACAAACAGCATCACCGCTCAGAATCGGGCCCCCTTTCACCTTCAAAAAAGTCATCCCTGAAGACTTCCCCGACCCCGCCATCGCCAAGTTCGATGGCATCTGGTACGCGTACGCCACGGTGGGCAACGGCATCAACGCGCAGCTCGCCATGTCCCAGGACGGCGACAACTGGACACTCGTACGTGGCTATGAAACACTGCCCAACCCGGGTCTGTGGGCAGACCAACGCTGGCCGGGCATCTGGGCGCCCGACGTGGCGCGCGTGGACAGCGGCAAGTACGTCATGTACTACTCGGCGAAGCTGGCGACGCTCGACCAGCACTGCATCGGCGTCGGCTACGCGGACGCGCCCACGGGCCCGTTCGTCGCCCGCTCGACTCCCTTCATCTGCCCCACCACGCAGGGCGGCGCCATCGACTCGGCCAGCTACCAGATCGACGGGAAAATGTACATCGTATACAAGGTCGACGGCAACAACATCGGCCACGGCGGCAGCTGCAACAACGGCATCCCCCCGCTCGTGGCCACGCCCATCATGCTCCAGCAGGTCAGCCCGCGCGACGGCGTCACTAAGATTGGCAATCCCGTTAAGCTGCTCGACCGCGGCCCCGAGGACGGCCCGCTCGTCGAGGCTCCCAGCCTGGTCAAGACGCCCGACGGCAGGTTCGTGCTCTTCTACAGCTCCAACTGTTTTCTCGATAGCAAATACCACATCGCCTACGCCTGGGCCGACCGTCTCACTGGGCCCTACACAAAAATCGCGTCGCTTGCGGTCACGGGAATGGGCGAGCTGTACTCCCCTGGTGGTGCCGATGTCTCGCCTGACGGGAGGAAGTTGGCTTTCCATGCGAACAATGGGACTGGCGGGCGCGCCATGTACATAGCGAATATTGCGTTTGATTGGAAGAGGAGGTTGGTGATTTCTTTCTGAGAGGGAGCGAAGTAGTGGGCTGTAGCCGGATGGATCTCTTCGATTTGTGGATAACCGAGGTATAGTGACATATACTCTGCTCTGAGCCGGCCTTTTGTCTCCTCCAGAAGTGGAGCGGGTAAATGTGCTGGCGGACACGTTCGGGCGACACATTTTCTGTGGTATTTTTTTTTAGTTAGCCTTTTCTTCCTTCGTTGCAATAAAGTTGCTCAATTGGGCTTTGGGGGATGCTGTAGTCAGACAGGAAGTAGCCGACAGGTAGTGCTCGTTAAATTGATTCGACGTCTCAACGCCCAGGTAGGGGCATCGGTGATAAAGACGTTGCCGTCGTTGTAAGAGTGACAAACGCCCCGACGCTTGAGGCGCCCATAGAAACTTCCGTCTTGTACCGTATTCTGTTTTCATTTAATCTTTAAGGAATGATGTGGCAGCAGGATATTTCCAAACACCACCTCTTTATCATGGGAAAGTCGAGGGCGGCTACCGAGATTGCTCCGCTGAAGATGCAGTCGGCATCAAATTGGCCCCTTGTTCAATGCCATAGCTCGCTAATACATTCTCTGGAATCAATTGAGTTGTGCGTATGCGTGAGGACCATTGAATTAATGCGTGAAGACCTAAAGGGGCTCCATCCTTGAATGCGCCCTCACTTTCTAGCGTCCCATGTTGGCATTGACATGTTTTCGAGGGTCGGAGACGACATGACTGCGAGAGAAGATGATTAATTTTATTAATTGACTGCAAGAGACTTAGCAGGACTGTCTGGTTTTGATGGTGCTGACAAATAATGGACAGCGATTCCCTGCCACCCTCCTGTCAGGCATACAATGTCCTTATGTATATATTGGAGGAGTAAAAATCGTATGATTGCGTAGTGTGGATGTATAAACAGGTGTGAGGCGTATTTTAGAGGCTGTGCCGCAAAGCTAAGGGCCAGTGTATGTCGTGAACATGATGATCAGGGCGGTAGGGAGTAGAAGTATCTTGCTGGGTGTAAGTATACTCATGTTTAGCTGTAAGATCCTATCAGGATGAAAGCTTCAACGCTGGGCAAGATGGAAGCAACAGCTTGGATCAAGCAGCAAGACTCAGCTTCGATTCTGTCGTGGCGTTCTGTGATTCAGGCCATGAGTTAGGTAATCAGGGGCCCCAGTGAAAGCAAAAATCAACCCGCCCCAACCGTATCCCTGACAAGCGCAATAGCTCTCTCAAGGGTGTCCCTGTCGTTTTGAAATGTCAACTTAGCCACTGCATCAGCAATATTGAAGAACTGTGCCCGAAACTGGGCCTCCCCCTCTCCTTGCAAAGCATTATCCGCTTGGTCATGCTCCACCACGGCAGCATACCACCATATTATCTTCATAGATTCTCCGTTATGGGTCTCTCGCATCGTGACCATGAAAGGTTCTGTCAAGTTCTCATATGTACGGGGCACGTCGGGCGTGTGTCCGTCCTCAACGGCCGGGGGCGCCCGCGTCGGCATCGTCAAGGGCAAGAGTCGGCAAGCGTAACCAGTTTCTTCTCTGACCTCCCGTAGGGCAGCATCGCAGCGCGACTCCCCACAGTTGCGACGGCCTTTTGCGAGGTACCATTCATTAGCGTGAAGATAGTGAATGAGGCAGACGTGCGTTAGGGACTTATCGAACAGGACAGCGCCGGCACTCTCAACGAACTGCTCGGCGGTGAACTGCTTCTGAGGAAAGGGCGAAACAGCCATTGTCAATGGAAAGTTGAAGGTCTCAGCCACAGACGCGGAGGCTTGCTCGAGCCGGAAATTCGGGCTGGCGCCCGAAGGGAGGTGGTGAGGCTTGAAGGAGAAACTGGAGTTGCCAATAGCTCCGGCGGGAGACAAATTTCACCGGGCGATCTGCTGTGCGATGCCGGATTCCGTGCAAGTTATTGGTAAACCACTGGACCAGGCGCTATCACCTCGCCACTATCTAGGGTATCGAAAAGTGGCGCGTAATGCGTGATGCGGACTGCGACAGGCAAATAAAATGGCGAATCAAACGACACGAGATTGACGTTAAGAGAGTGGGAGTTGTGTGATGAGGTGCAGTCGGAGCTCGGTGTTTGACTGCCCCTTCCAGAAGGGCTGGAGAAAATGGTCGGCAGCCCTACCCGTCGCTGAAAGAGTGGGCTCAAACAGTGCGGCGCCAAATAGCCGGGAAAGCATACGCAAGCTCTGTAGCACAGAGCTATTCGGTAGCGTTCTCGGCCAATCAGAAGGGCCGTGAAGCTGGTGACGACCGAGCACGATCCTTCTATCGCAAACGTCCTTGCGCTCGCCGGAGTCAGTCTCTGTGTTTCCAAGCAGGCCCAGGCGGGCCTCCGAGCGTACCCCGGCAAGAAACTTGGTCCTGGAGGCGAAAGGCTGTCGAAGTGTTGTTGAGAGCGGCCGCGCGTTGTACGCGGCCGGCAAATGGGATCGGCGGGCTGCGGCAGTGACGTTGACTATCGCGAGGTTCCTGCGGCGAAGCTTGCGGCGAAGCTTGCGGCTCTGAGGCTAAGCAGCAGGCAGATTGGTGCTGGGTGCTTGGCAGGCCGCGTGGCACTCGTTTCGACCCCGTGCTTTGCAGCGCGGATGGCAGGCCGAGTAGATGCCGGCCAAGACCAGCTAGGCTGCCTTAGGAAACTACGCCCACGAGTCCCACCCCCAGCATTGCGCGTTTGTCGTTTCCTCATCGCCTACCTGCTAGAAACGGCGGGAAGCTGGCTGTGTTTAGGCCATGCTTAGCGGTCTGCGTAATCACTCCGCCTCTGATTGAAGGACTCCGCTGGCCGGGGACGCGCAAGGAGACGATGCAATAGCAGAGGACCAATAATGAGCAAGGCATTTGGCCATCCCAGCCGTCGTTGCGCCGCTATATAAGGCCCAGCGTCTATCACTGCTGCTTCTTGACAACACTCGCTGGTCGCAAGCTTCCAAACATCCTTCTTTCGTTCATCCTCATCATTCAAAATGGTCCGTCTTTCTGCCGTTGCCGCCGTTGCGGCTGCCACTCTCGTTGTCGCCCACCCCGGCGAGCACCACGACCACGCCAAGGTCAAGCGCGAGGTTTTTGCTCGCGATGCTCTCGCTGCCAGGCATGGCAACTCCCTCTCCAAGTGCGCTGGTTCGCTGAAGGCGAGGGCTCTCCAGGAGCGCGCTGTCGCCCGCCGCGCTGCCACCGCTGAGCGTCTCCGCAAGGAGCGTGGCATCAACAAGAAGATCAAGCACCGCCGTGACCTTGCTGCGCTGCAGGAGTTTGAGACTGTCGACCACAACAAGACTGGTGTTGTCGGTCCTTCGTTTGTTGCCAGCTCTTACTTCACTGGCAACACCAGCTGCATCATGACCCCTGAGAACACCATCGGTCCTTACGTATGTTCAAAGCCTTCTTTATGCCACAAACAACGCAGCTAACAACCGAAAGTATGTCCTTGGCGAGCTGATACGCCGCGATGTTACTGAGGGACAGCCCGGTGTTCCTCTCCACTTGGACCTCCAGTTCGTTGACGTCAACACCTGCGAGCCGGTGCCGAACCTTTTCATCGATATTTGGGCCGTAAGTTCTGCCGAAGTGAGGGAAAAGTGAAGAAGAGACGCTGATTAGAACAGGCCAACGCCACTGGTACGTACTCCGGTATCGACGTCTCCAACGGTCAGGGTGGCTTGAACTCCACTTTCCTCCGCGGTGTCCAGGACACCGACGACGAGGGTGTTGCTCAGTTCGACACCATCTTCCCCGGCCACTACGAGGGCCGCGCCACTCACGAGCACGTTGTCGCTCACGTCAACGCCTCGGCCGCCGCCAACGGCACCATGATCGGTGGCACCGTCGCCCACATCGGCCAGCTCTTCTTCGACGAGGACCTCCGCAGCGCTGTCGAGGCCACCTACCCCTACAACACCAACACTGAGGAGCCTGTCACCAACGACGATGATATGTGGGCTCCTTACCAGGCGGACAACAACTACGACCCCTTCCCGGAGTTCATTTACTTGAACAGCGAGGACATCACCGATGGTCTCCTTGCCTGGATCTCCATTGGCATTGATGTCAATGCTGACCGCGACTCCAATGCCACGGCTGCCGCCTACCTTGCGGCCGACGGTGGCCACAGCACCGGCAACACTGTCGGCGGCGGTGGTGACGGCGCTATGCCCAGCGGCGCTATGCCCAGTGGTGCTATGCCCAGCGGTGCCATGCCTAGCGGCGCTGCCCCCAGCGGTACTGCCTCAAAGCGCTCTTGGTTCGCCTCGAAGATGTTCAACGGTGCCGCCCGCCTCATCTAGACGAAAGACGACTAGAGATGGAATAGAAAGAAAAGACGAAGATGGACATACTGTATTGTAGCTTTGTATATAGCAAGGGCGTTTGGGACATGCTTGAGATACCTTTAGATATGCTACGGCCTCAAAATGCAACGTTTTTGGCAAACTTTATCGTTCCAAATCCGGTGGTGACTGTTCTGTCTCAGCTAACGACTATTATGCAGTCTCCTCTCGCAGCTGATGGCTAACATGGATTTGTTTTTTTTTTTTTTGCTCATGTCATAGGTAGTTGAAGCTATCGTCCGGACGTGTATGTAGAAGAATCTTTAATTCGACATTCTCGTCCGGACGATAGCTTCAACTACCCACATATGTTATTTTTTCCAAGGTAGAGCTGGGGCATGGTTACGCTATGTTCTAGAGCCCTGCTATTTTTCGCGCTAGTCATCGGCTGCAGCACCCCTCTGTACCACAGCGAATTGCTGGAGATCTTACCATCCAGTGTTCCATGAAAGATAATGTCTCCTTGCGTGGGCAGTTGAAGCGTACGTCCGGATGCTTTTGTACAATTTTTTAAACCGACATCTACGTCCGGACGTAAGCTTCAGCTCCCCCCGTATGTAGGATTTTCTTAGCGAGGTGACCTTATTCCTTTAAGGCCACATGGTGCGAGATGCAGGAATGACGCCGAGATGGCGAGATTGGTGGACTTGGAGCAAAGAAAAAGAAGCACCGTCACGCCATGTGAAAGCGCTCGGCGAGGCTGCAGGGGGAGTGGGGCTGGCCGGCAGTGGCGGGATCCACTGGGCGACGTGTCGGATGCCTGATGTAGGCGGTCAAACTACGAGGAGATGGCGGACGAGCGCGCAAAAGTGCACGCAGCGGCGGGCAGCGGGCGACAGAAAGTGGCAGGCGGTGATGGCAGCGGCAGGCGACGACAGAGCTGACGAAATGCGGCTCCAGCGCGCTCAGCCTTACCGCCTGAACGTCGGGCTTGGCGGCGCTCAGGGCAGCGTCGGGCGTGCTGAGGCCCCCGCAACTTCGACGCGCATCTCTCCGCGCAGCTTTCCACCGCCGCTTCCGTCGCTACTGCTGCCACCGACTTTCGCTCCGTCGCAGCCATGACCACCGCCGTAAAGGACGAGGGTGAGTCTGCCCCTTTTGCTCTCCAATATCTCTACGCCCCGCATGTCTCCCCCCAAGCGCGCACGCGGCAATGCTCTCAGCAAGGAGCTCGCCGAGCTCTTCGCGTCCAACCCGCACGACGGCCTCTCCATATCGCTCGCCCTCGGCACCATTGTGCGCTGCCTGTGCCAGTCGCAGCGAAAGACTGGGACGGTACAGTGCATCAAGTGCCGCACCCACCAGCATGCTGCCTGCTACTACCCTGCCATCCGCGAGCTCTCGGACCTGGACCAACAGCGACACCTCTGCCGATCATGCCGTGCTCTCTTCGCGAAACAGCCTACTGACTCTCAGCCAGCGAAGCGCAAAGCCGATGAAGACCTGGGCTCCACCAGCCCCAAGCGCATCAAGCAGTCTAACTCGCCCCAGCCCGAGATCCCTGCCGATCCCAAGGACCCACGTCCCGCCGGGAAGCCCGTTCCATTCCCTGAAAAGGTCGAATCCGTAGATCAGAAATATACTGGGGTTCTGTGTGCTGATTGGGTGCTAGCCCGCTGTCATCGAAGAACGCAATGGAGAGATCGAGTTCCGTGTCGTCAACAACGACAATGACCGCGAGAGCACCATCATCCTGACCGGCCTCAAGTGCATCTTTCAGAAGCAGCTGCCGAAAATGCCCAAAGACTACATTGCGCGCTTGGTGTACGACAGGACACACTTGTCAATGGCCATTGTGAAGAAGCCGCTGGAGGTCGTCGGGTAAGCGTCCTTGCGAAGCTCGATCCTGTGTGCTTGGAATAACACGTACTAGCGGAATCACCTATCGCCCGTTCGTCAACCGGAGCTTCGCCGAAATCGTCTTTTGTGCCATTTCGTCAGATCAGCAAGTGAAGGGCTACGGTGCCCATCTGATGTCACACTTGAAGGATTACGTGAAGGTCTCGACCCAGGAGCGCATCATGCACTTCCTCACTTACGCGGACAACTACGCCATCGGATACTTCAAGAAGCAAGGCTTCACCAAGGAAATCACGCTACCGAAGCCCCAATGGATGGGCTACATCAAGGACTACGAGGGTGGTACCATCATGCAGTGCAGCATGGTCCCGAAGATACGCTACTTGGAGGTTGGCCGGATGTTGCTCAAGCAGAAAGAGGCCGTACATGCCAAGATAAAAGCAGTAAGCCGCAGTTACGATGTTCACCCTCCACCTTCGGAATGGCAAAAGGGCCCTATCACGAGGATCGACCCTCTCTCGATACCAGCAATCAAGGCATCTGGCTGGTCAATGGATATGGACGAACTTTCTCGCGCCCCGCGTCACGGTCCGAACTATAACCAGCTATTACATCTGCTCAACGACATGCAAAACAACACCAACGCCTGGCCGTTCCTGCAACCCGTCAACAAGGACGAGGTTGCCGACTACTACGATGTCATCAAGGAGCCAATGGATCTTGAAACGATGGAGTCGAAGCACGAGAAGGACATGTATCCCACTCCTGAGGACTTCATCAAGGATGCCATGCTCATCTTCAACAATTGCCGCCGCTACAACAATGAGAGCACGCCGTATGCCAAGGCGGCGAACAAGCTTGAGAAGTACATGTGGAGTAGGATTAGGGAGATTCCGGAATGGAGTCATCTTGAGGGAGACTATGCGCACGTCAAGTAGGAGTAGAAAGCCGCCGGAGTGAAGAATGGGCTTGGTCTTGTACAACTGAAAAGATACCCGGCGTTCGGGTTGGGCTATTGATCGAAAGGTATTGAAGAGTATATATAATGGGCGTGTGGCGTTTCAGGGAATTTCAAAATGTCGGAGGGCTTTTGGGGTGGACGAGCCCCCCTGAACTAACATGATATACGTCTTACTGCAATTTTAACATTTTTAATGAAGTCAAATTCATCAATGGAGGGCCGTACCTTTGAACTCCTTTGTGAAAATGCCTGTTTGGTGGCCTGCGATCAGAGGTCCAAGTTAGTAATGCCGTTCGACATCAATACGCACAGCAGAGTCCGAACAGACCAGCAAAATTTTCATAAATTCATATAAGCCCTGCCTGCCGCTACTCTACCAGCGTACGTGGTATTGTCTTAAGGGAAAAAAGAGAGTGAGAGGGAATCTCTGAGCAGACACAACCACGAAAAGCAAGGACTACCCCGCCCAAGTTTGATGCGCATCCGAGGTGCATACAGGAAAGAGGAAAATAGATCGGGAGCAAGGGAAAGGAGCAGAAAGGTAAGAAGTCATTTGCTGGAAATTGTACCCTCCCTCTACAGACGTCAATAACCCGCATGGATCCAGTTCAACGACTTGTGTGCTTGTTTGCGCGTTTGGTCATTACGCAGCCAGCCAAAGATATCCCCGTGCACCATGACCGTCTTGAAACTTGTAAGATCAAAGTATGAGAGCAAGAGGGAGAAAGAAATGAGATGCCCTGCACCAAATCTGGAACGCGGGCGTTAGGGGTAGTCCTGGAGCAGACCGCCTCTAACAGGCACTGGCAGACGAGGATTTTCGACGCCGAGCCCATGCTTGTATCCAATCTAGTACTGATTTTGTTTAGAAACGGGAGACGGGGACCGAAGAGAACCTTGCTTTGATGAGGTAAAGCTCAAGATGAGGGCTCCATTATGATTTGAATCACACCCAACTTGGCCCTTTCTTCCGCTAAAGGTCAACGTAGAAGCTGTGGCCGAGGTAGTGTGGGTGAGGATCATGACATCATCGTGGAGGTTGCCCTCAGCAAGGAAATTTGAGGTCTGTAATGCTGTTATAGTACAGGGGCGGGTTGATTGAGAGAGAAAAAATTCCTTAAGTGTCTGAAATCAGAATGCCGACGCAAGCAGGGTTGGCGATCGCAGGCAGCGAAGGAGATCACCACTCGAATTCGCCTTGGGCCTTGTGGAACAGGTAGCTGTAGATGATCAGCATTTGCATAAAGCAGACGGCCAATGAAACTTACTCTTTGCCACCTGTAGAGAGCACACCGTCCTTCAGGGTGCACTTCCACTTGTTCTTGACACGCTGAACTTTGTCATACGTGCAAATCATGGTGTCGCCCTGAGGACCCTCGTCGTCACCCTCCTGGATTTGTTCCTCATCGGAGTCATCAAGGTCTGAGTTGATGGCCTCGTCGTCATTCTCCTCCTTTTCGTCATCGACGCCCAGCTCTCCATCCAGCTGGGGGATGCTGGAGGCGCCTGACAGTCCAGAAGCAGCGACAACACGACGCTTCTTACCCTTGGAGCCGGGAAGGTCTTCAATCGGCTGTAGCAAGCCGCTCTCCAGAACGTCCATCTTTTGCTCAAACTGAGCACGGAGCATGCCATCAGCATTGAGCCTGGCCGTGTCGGCTTCAACACGCCTCGCAGCCACCAACGATCTCCATTGGTCCTCAGCGTCACCAGCTCCGTCAGTCTGAGCAGCGTACAAAGAGTTTGGTTGTTGCTGCTGCTGAGGCTGGCCGGGATGAGGTCCTTGTTGTTGCGGAGGCTGGTGCTGTTGATGCTGGCGATTCGGAGGCATCTGCAGGTTCATGGGGCGCTGCTGCTGCTGTTGCTGTTGTTGCGGCGGCTGCTGCTGACCCGGAAGTGAAACGTTATTTTGCGGAGAGTATGCTGAAGCAATCGAGGCCTGGGCTTGAGCGCCGAAGTTTTGTTGCAGCAGCTGGGCAGCACGCTGTTGGGCAACATTGGCATTGGGAAGGTTGTAGCCATTCATGTTGTATCCAGGCATGTTGTTCTCATAGCCATTGCCCGGCTCCTGCTTGACGCGAACTTGGGATGCGTACTGCTGATTGGGCGGTTGCGACGCCGCAGGTGGCATCTGCTGCGGCATCGACGGCTTCGCATCATTCGACGGGACAGTCGGCGGGTTGCTGATCTGAGGCTGCGGCGGCGGGGGATCCCACGGCATCTGAGCCACATGCAGAGCCGAGAGCTTCTTCTGCCATATCTGCAAGGCTGTTAGCGGTCTCTACGATGCCAGAACGAGCGGTGCATGAGTGTGGTGATCCAAAGGGAAGACGCATCACGTGCGTGTGCTAGCCGAAATGAGCAAGGCGCCTGAAACGTGGGGCGGGAAAATTTGGTTGGGGTATAAAATAGGCGAAGGCAGATACAAAGGAGGAGGCACTGCCCTCCCCCGATCGCCTCAGAGCCCGCCGGCTCCTTCGAGCCCAGCCAACCCCGCTTTTACTGCCATCCTCGCCCGTCGGCAGCCTAGCCCCATCACTGGCCCGCTGACAACAAGGGAAAAAGAAAAGACATGCAAAGAACAAAGCACGCTCCGGCGGTCGCGGTTGCGGTCGCGGGCCCGCTGCAGAGCCGGGCGGGCTGAGTGCAAGGTGGCAAAACATCGCAACGGGCGCAGATCCACGAACCTCTTTCATCTCCTGCAGCGTCTGCTGGTCGACACCGCTCTCCTCAAAGTCATTCTGCGATGCCTGCACGACGCGATCGATGATCTGCGAAAAGGTGGTGCCCTGCTCATGCTTGTCGCGTCAGCGCAACCGCCCGGACGGAGTGACGACGGGAGCTGGGCCCGCGGAGCCTGTCGCTACTGACCGTAACGGAGTTGGACATGGTGGCGGCGGGACGGCCTGCACGCCCGGTGTGGAGATTGGGAGCGGGAGCGGGAGCGGGTGAGGCTAGACGGCCGTGTCACGGAAGCGCTGGTGGTGTCGCGCGAGGTGGTGGATTGGAAGGCCCGACCGACGTCGGCACTCGGGCCGCCGCTGTGCGCTCTGCTTTCTTCTAGCCGCTACTTGTCTTGCTATCAACAATAGTGCTCGTCGGGCGCCGTGCGGAGGTGCAGGGACGGGCGTTGTGGTGGCCGTGTCTTTGTATGCGAGGTAGATGGTTTGGTGATGGGCGGCTGTAGGCCGACGAAGTGCAAGCCAGGCAAGAGCGCCGCAAGCAATTGCCCGCGGTTTTGCCGCTGACCAGCCCTTTCCAAACTCAGCTGCCACCCTCACCCTCGTGCTGCGCCCTCATCCGCAGGCTCCTGGCATTTGAGTCCCAGTTGCCTTACTCCCGTGCTTCCATTGCTCGCGCTGCTTCGCGTGCGCGCCCCGGGTAACACAGCGCGTAGGGCGTGCGCATTGAGGGGCACTCTTGGCGCGTCTGCTCACAGGCACCGCCTGCAAGGGCGCGCGTCAAACGCAAGGGTTCGCAGTAGACAAAGCCAGACAATGAAATCAATTGTTCCTATCACCGAGGTGTTTCCACTTGCTATTCTTCAGGCCATGATCCCCTTGCCCACCTCATTGCACGTCGCAATCTTGAGCAACTTTGTGAATATTCACACCCATGACCTTTAACGCCTTGCATTCAGCAATAGAAAAAAAAAAGAATAATGACCGAGAAAGAGCAATTTGTTGCTTGATGGTTCAGATGCGTTCGGACGCCTCAATCTCAGCCTTAAACTTGTCGTACTCACGAATCTCAGCTGTCGTCGGACGCATTTCCTTGCCGCGGGATCTAATGGGATCCTGGCCTTCCTTTCTTGTAAGATGGAATAGACACGACATCTTGGTGCTGTCAAGTACCGTATAACTGAGGACCTCGTAGCAGCCATCGTACCGGAATCCACGAGGAGGCCGGTGCACTCCTGCAGTGAGATTGTGTGATCTAATCACGCGGACAGGTTTACCGGCAGAAATGTTAAGCATTAAGCTCTGGGTATTCTCAGACGGTTTACCATCCTTTCCGTCCGTGCCGGAGTACCAAATTTCTTCGCCTTCGTCGCGGTCTGAATAATGGTTACCACCGGATAGAACAATAGAAAAGGCTGGCTTCCCCTTCGTAGCATAAATGCCGCCTTGAGTCGAGCCATGCGCCCCATCTCGAACCGTGCAGAGCTGCGTTGGCCACCATTGGCCGTTTACTAGGCTTCCTTCGCCATGATAGTCGGCCTTAAGTTTGCCAGGGTATGCGGGATCTATACGGTCAGTAGATCGGTTTCCTGCCGTTGTCGGCCTCTTGATAATTCCTCGCAGAAGGTCGACCGAGAATACGCGGAGGGCCCATCTGTTGTAGAGCTCCAACGCATCAGCCTGGATGTCCCAGGGGAATACTATTTCGCTTTTGTCGTCAAAGAGTTGGGGAATCCCGCTGTCATCATGGAGCATTCGCTTCCGCCTAAGGGCAATGTCCGTAACTTGAAGGAACACTAGATCATGGATTTCGTCTCTGATGCGATCGAACACGCGACCTATTTCCGGGTCTCCATGCATCTCCTTGCACTGCTTGATAAGGTTCTTGACTTGTTCAAGCTTGGCATCGATATCGCGCTTGCCAGACGCTTGCTTTAGCTTCTTTTGAGGTATCGATGTGTACCAAGTAGGCTGAATGCGCTTGGGAGGCGATTGGATGGGAGCATGCAGGTCGCTACTGTCCGTCGATTCTGACGCGCTTTCACCAGACGGCCTCCTTCTTTTCTTTTCCTGGGTTGCGGGACTGTTACTCGGTTGCGCCAAGTGAAGTCGCTGGAGACTCACACCAAGGATAGGTGTAGATGGGCTTTGTACTGCTGGGGCTCGAGATGGCTGGATGGCAATTGTCATGTTAGCATCCTTCGCCTCCCGGGCCTGCTTTTCGAGAATCTCCGTAACTCGTTCTCTAGCAAGCTGTTTTCGTTCTTCCGGAGTGAGACGGTTCTCTGAAACCCAAGCCGGTGGAGCCATGGTTGTGGGGTCGTCGAAACGCGTGTCGCAGGGCAGCTGGGAGCGCGGTGGAATGGGCGGTGGAGCGAGCCGGTTGCCGTTCAAACTGTGCAGGGCAAAGGACTCGCGTCGCCGCGCGCGTGAGGTAGAGGCAAGCTGTGCAGGGCGGAGGGCTCGTGTCGCGAGGTAGACGCGAAAGAAGCGCGTTAAGTGGGTAGGGACCAGCAGTTCGTGGCGGAAGAAGGAAGGAGCGGCCGAGCGTTTCCGTTGTGATGCAGGTACCTACATACCCCGATGCTGGATGACACCGCAAACTAGTGAGCGGTTGAAGCAAAGGGCCTTTCGGATGTTTCAGAAGGTATCCTGAGTTTTTAAGTCTCACTTCGGCAAACTCAAATGGCGGTAGTGATTTTGCCACGGAAGCTCAAGGCGTGTGCTGGTGAGTTGTCGTGGTGTGAGTTTGTTTTTCTGCCGCTGCTCCTTGAGTCAGGATCTTAGATAGGTACATGTACCTCCGAGCCAGCATGACCTGAATTTCAAATATACTTACTCATGGCTGATCGCTCCATCGAGCCCTACGTACAGCCCATATTCGTACACCATGATGGCCCGGACGCGAGGTTAGACGAATTTACAATTGTTAGCTAAGGGCTCCGCAACAAATTTGCGCATCAATCGTGAATGCTTTGCATTGCTCGACACAACTGCAAGAAAAGTGGCGGTCGAGCGGGTCTCATCCTTGTATTGAAAGGCTCAAGAAAATGGAAAGGCGAACACCAGAGGGCTGGCCAGATCAGCGAAACGGAACAAGCAGTGGAAAATCAAATGCAAGCTCTCCTAATAAGAGTAGATGGATCAAGTAAGGGAGAAACAATGGTTCTCCAAAGAACGGAAGACAATACCGCACTAGACCAGACAAGTACGAGAATCACTATTCGAAGAAACGCTTTAGTGCTAGCATGTTTTGCAGAGGGCGCAGGACGGTGCAGGACTGGATTGTCACCAGCCAGAGCGTGCGGTCAATTGAAGAATTGTCATGCTCTCCTATGTGGCGATGGCGATTTTGTCAATCAAAAACAACGCCGACGCTGTGACAATACGATGCAGCGCAAAGATGGGCTGAAATTGAGTTGCAGGATGGATGCAGGGACGCGACCTTCGTGACGTTGATCGCTTGCGCCACAGACGGTTGTTCCCCCAGACTTTAGAAAACTTCCTCCGCCTTCCACTGCCCCACCCACTCCAACCCGCGCAGCAGCATGGTATGTGGTATGCAAGTACTTCGGCTCACACTTGGACTCACTATGCTCACAGGCACCCACCAAAGGCAAGCGTGCCTCGCTGCGCGCTAAAGCATCCAAGTCTACCTCTGCCTCCAATGCGCCCGCTCTCGACACCGCTGCGGCGAGCGGCCCCGTCGTCGACACACCATTCTCTTCCTTCCGCCCTACCAAGAAAGATAAACGTGAGATGAAGCACTCCCTCCTCATGTCGAAGGTGCAAAAGTCCGCCACCTCGAAGAAGAAGCGCCGCCCGAATAAGCAACTGGTTACGACGCTCGAGTCCCTCGCTGATGCGCTGCCGGATGCGGGTGACGATGATGGAGCGGATGCAGACGGCGAGGATGGTGCTGTCGAGGTCGGACAGGCAAAAATCAAGCATAAGAGTCTGAAGAGCAGGCCCGGCGCATTGAAGAGGAAAGAGAAGCTGGAGCGCATGGAGCGGGAGCGATTTGAGAAGAACCTGGCGCTCATGTCCACGGGTGCTTCACAAGGCCCACAAGGAAAATCGCAAGAAGACACGGACATGGGCAACGCACCACCTGCTGCGCCTACGGCCAACAGGTGGTCGGCTTTGAGAAACTTTATTGAAAGCACCATGGAAAAGAAGAAGGATTTCGTATCAGGCTGAGCCAGGATTGGCGTGGAACCCACAGCACGAGCAAAATATTTTCTCAAACCTTAATCGACATGGAAGCACGATGACTACCGCAGGACGAAACACCCGGTCGCTTGCCGCAGAGTGTTACCCAATTGTTTGTATCTGGAAAAATCGGGGTTCTACCGGCCGAGTGGCATGATTGTCGTGTCGATGCCGAGCTCCTGAGGAAACACGGGCGAAAGAAGAAGGATCAATGGGAAAGATTTCATAGAGAATAATTCCGAAGAGTGGCTTCATTGTCACACCAGGGTATCTATTTTTTGTAACAGACTAGACAGAAAAATGCCGGTAGTATATGCATAGTGCAGACTTTCCAGACGCCTTATCATCAATTGTTGCTTGGATCAGAAACAAAAGTATCATGCGCAGTGCGGCTTCCATGAGCCTAAATTCCTCATCATTCATGAAATCGGGCTTGTATGGCTTCAGCCCCTCCTTCGACCAACGCCCTGACCAAATACATCACATCCCCAGACAGGACATTCCTATCTCCTCTTGCTGTACCTGGTAATCATTCCTCCGGGCAAATTGTGGAGTGACAATTCCGGCATCGCATGGCGCGTGGGACTTGACCTCATGGTGGGTTCCTCGTTCATCTCCAGAAATGAGGCGTGTTGGGGTTGGTGTGTTCCTGTGTTAATCGTCCGCATTCGAGAACCTCCTCATTAAACGTTTTGGCTTAGCCGCTGCCGCTGCTGGTTCCCATTGGCAATGATGGTGGCTGCTGCGACCCGTTTGCGGTCATACTTTGCCTTTTCTTCTCCTTCTTCGCCCATCGTACTGTATCATGCATCAGTCTATAAGGTTCGGCCGTTGCAAACTAGGACACTCACATCCACAGGCGTTGCACAAAGTCTTCGGCCCATTTGGACCCTTCCTCCATTCAGGCGAATCCAACGTGCCGCAATCCGTGCACACATACTCATCCGCAACCTTCAACTTCTTCTTTTTGTCTGAACTCCCTCTGTTTTCCTTGTCGACTAAGATGGCGATGCCCGCATCTCCCCGAATCAGAGCCGGACTGGTGTCTCCCGTGCTGATACCCTGCGATCTCTCTCCGTCACGGTATCTCAACCCGGTAAGCATTTCAATCGTGTCAATGTGCGTGGCGCCTTCGTAGCGCGCCATCTTATCGTTGATGCTATCCGGTTTCGAGGCTGCGAGGACTTCATCCAGATTTTGACGTGTGAGGGCTGCGTTGGAAACTCCGGGTCGCGGTGGCGGCGGCATGCCATTGTTGGACATGGGCGTCTCGTTGCCTGTTTTGGCTGCATCCGTTACAGATGGTGTGACACTGCTGTGTCCTTCCTGCTTCTTCATCCAGTGCCTCTCCTGCGCTTCCTGCTCTTCCTGCTCCTCGCGCTTCAGCTCCGCAACCCGCTTCGTAAGGCGCTCGTTCTCGATCTTATGTTCCAAGAAAGAGTCCAGCAGTGACGTGTTCTTGATCGGATACGGCCGAGCCATCATGAAGAACCCTCGGCAGTAGGCGAAGGCGCTCGAGCCTGCAAAGCCCGGGGCCGGCTGGTCGAAGTGACCGTGGCCGTGTGACTCGAAGATGACGTAGGCGCCGTCGGCCTTGCGGAAGCGGTAGAAGAAGCGCAGCGCATTCTGCGAGGCAATGGATTCATTGAATTCGCGAATGAAGATGCCGCTGTCATCGCTGTGGATGAAGTCTGTGACGACGCGGCCAACGAGCTGCTGCGGCTCCCAGCCGGTGAGGGTCTTGCAGGAAGGCGAGACGTAGACGATGCGGCCGTCGGGGGTGAGGATGTGCAGGAGGTCGCGCAACTCTTCGATGACGCGCTGCGACCAATTGCGGCGCTTGGTGAACTCGGTCAGCGTGCTGCCAGACGGGTTCTGGCTGGGCATGCCGAAGCCCGTGGGGAGCGGGCCTGCGCCAATGCCGGACATGGAGTAGCTGTTGGAAACGGTGGGCTGGACGGCGAAGGCGTCGTTGGAGTCTGCCGGGGTGGACTGCGAGTGCGGCGGCTGCGCGGCGATCGGGGTGTTGTACGACTGGGTCGGGGCGTCGTGGTCGGGGCCCATGGCTCCCAGATCGAGGTCCATAGACAGCATGTTCACGTCCATACCGTCGAGCAGGCCGTTCTGGTCCACGAAGGGCGACATCTGGACCATGCCCGGCGGGCCAGCCGCCATCTTCGATGCATCATGTCAGCGGAGACGTGCGACTGGGGTGCGGGCGCTGCGCGCTGCGCGGCAGCCCTCGCGGGCGGGCGTAGAGGTGCTCACATCACCGGTAACACCGCCATTCTGGTACATGGTGGGGGCTCAGGCGCGAGGCTGTGGGCGGCTACATGCACTCTGGCAGCGGCGCAGTGGTACGAGTGGAGGACTGTTGGTCAACGGTGTAGGCATGGGCAACAGGGCAGAGCAGGGCAGAGGTGAGAGAATGCGACCGGCAGAGCGAGCCGCTCCAAGCACTGGGGCGCAGGTCAGCGGCGCGCTTGGTGAAGGCTCGGGCTAGTTTGGCTCTGCGCGCAGCCACTGACGAATGCCTAACCGGCTCTTCGTCTAGGTCCTTCCACGCACGCCCGCACCGTGACCTTGTTTCGAAATCGATCGCTGATTCCTCGCCTCGCGCCCGCCCGAAGCGGCCTACGGTGGACCCGCCCGCGCAGGAGCCCTTTCCGCTGCAGTCACGGGACCGCGCGCCGAACCAACGCGTCTGCCTGCTCGCGCGCTCGTCGGCCGCATCCTCTACACCTCGCTGTCTGCGCCGCCCTCGTCGCCATAAATTGCTCTGCGTTGCATGCGCACTCGGCTTGCCCGTGTGCTCAGAGGCCGCCGCCATGTAAGTGCATCCACTCGCCGTTCTGGGGCCCTGCTAACTGCTACCAGGTGTGAGTAGTGCGCCGTCTTGACGCCTGTCCAAACTAACCTCTGCGCGTTGCAGCGTACATCGACAAGCTGTCCATCCTGGGGTATGCCGTCGCGCGCATCCTCGCTCTGATCTCGAGCTAATCCGCCCGTCAGCGTCCGCTCATTCGATAACCGAGTCAGCGAGACGATCCAGTTCTACAGCCCGCTTACGCTCATTGTCGGCTTCAACGGCTCCGGTAAAACGGTATGCTATGCGTCCCGGACTTGCCGAGACTGTCTAGACCCATGCTGATGTCGCAGACTATCATCGAATGTCTCAAGTATGCCACGACCGGAGAGCTGCCGCCCAATTCCGATCGCGGCAGGTCGTTCATTCATGATCCCAACGTCCGTGTTCCTCCCTCTCTTGGATCTATGGCGCTGACTATCCCCATAGCTATGCGGCGAGAAGGAGGTCTTGGCCCAGGTCAAGATGTCTTTCAAATCTACGTCCGGCGTCAAAATGGTTTCCACCCGCAGTCTGCAGATGACAGTGAAGAAAAGTGGAAGTCGCTTTAACCGCACGGTCAAGGCGCTCGAGGGCCAACTACTCATGGTCAAGGATGGCGAACGCACTGCCATCTCCTCACGCGTTGCGGAGCTAAACCAGATCATGCCTCAGTACCTCGGCATATCGTCTGCAATTCTCGAGTATGTCATCTTCTGCCACCAGGAAGACAGCATGTGGCCCATGAGCGAACCATCCGTGCTCAAGAAGCGTTTCGACGAAATATTCGAGGCACTCAAGTACACCAAGGCTATTGACAACATCAAAATTCTGCAGAAGCGCTACAAGGAGGAGCTAGGGCGGCTCAAGATCATCGAGCAGCATTCTAAAGAAGACAAAGACAGAGGCGAGCGAGCCGAGCAGCGAATGAATGAGCTATACAACGATATCGACAAGCTCCGCGCAAAGACCGACGAGCTCGAAGAACGTTGCAAGGAGGCTGCCGACCGCTCCCGTGAGGCCTGGGATCACGCCGCTAAATTCCAGAACATCGTGTCCAAGCTAGAGGGGAAGCGCGTTGAGGCAGCGGCCACAGAGACAAACGTCAAAGAGCTGCAAGATCATATTGAGGAGATGACTGACACAGACCAAGAACTGCAGGAGCATCTCGACAAGTATGAAGAACGAGTGCAGCTGTATGAGCAGGACCGTGAGGAAAAGGTGAAACGCTACAATGAGATTGCTCAAGCGATCAAAGATAATCGTAGCTCCATCGGGGCCAAACAGACCGAGATTGGCAAACACGAAGCCAATAAAGCCACCTACGATCGCCACACTAAGACGAGGGAGACCCTCATTAAAGAAGCTGCGAATCGCCATGGCATCCGTGGCTTCGATTTGGAGATCAATGATGAACAAGTGCAGGACTTCATGGATCGAATCAGCCGGCTGGCCAAAGAACAGCAGGGTGCATTGGAGCGCGCACGGAAACAGAAACATCAGGAGCTCCAAGCTGCCAACGATGAATTGCGTCGAGTCAACAACCGGAAAGCCGCGCTGGAGACAAACAAGAACAATCACAAGACCCAGATTGCAATCAACGAACGGAAGCTATCTGAACTGCAAGAGGAGATCAATAAGATAGATGTTGATGAAGGAAGCAAGGCGACACTCGAATTGTCACTGGAAGACATCACAAGGCGTCTGAACAAGGCCAAAGAGGACAGTGTTGCGGGCAAATGGGATGAGAAACTCCGTGACGCGAACGGGAAAATGCGCGATATCGACGACCAGAAGGAAAAGCTCGATGCCGAGATGGTTGATGCCATGCGCCGTGCTGGAGATTCGGCACAGTTGGACTACGTTCGCAAGCAGTTGAAAGAAAAGCAGACAAGTCTGGCAACCAACACGGGCGTGCATCGTCAGCAGATTTCGAAGATCATTGGAGAGACTTGGGAGCCAAGCACGCTTGAGGCGAACTTCAGCAAAACCTTGCACCAGAGGTCCGAGGAGGTTCGAGAGGCGGAGCTGCAACGGAACGGCACAACTCGGGAGCTGGAACAGGTCCAATTCAAATTGACGACTGCCAAGAATGAGCTCAGCAAGAAACGTGTGGAGCTCAAACAATGTGAGGAGCGGGTCAGCGCCGAGCTGTCGGAAGGCGAGTCACTAGAAGACTTCCCAGAGGCTCTGGCAACTGCTACACAAAGCTTTGAAGTAGCGCGAAGTGACGCAACCAGCTTTGGTCACATGGGAAAATTCTACGAGAGCTGCAAGAACACGTTCGAGGAGCACAACATGTGCCAGCTCTGCTATCGCCCTTTCAGAAAGGATGATGAGAAGGCCAAATTTCGGAGAAGGCTAGATGCCAAAATTCAAGAAGCCATCAACCAGAACTATCAGGAGACACTACAGGAATATCAAACGGATCTAGAAAAGCTACGCGCGGCGCAACCCTTTTATGACACCTGGAAACGCCTAGGGAAAACCGAGATCCCTGAACTGGAGACCTCCTGTCGTGGGCTTGAATCGCGGCGTGATGACCTCTTGAGAGTCATTGAAGATCAAGATCAACGCGTCAACGAGCGCCAGGAGGCGAAAAGAGATGCCGATTTCCTATCCGGTGATATCAATTCCATCATCCAGGATCACAAGGCCATATGTGCTTTCGAGGAAGAGATCAAGGAGCTGTCGGCGAAGCAGGAGCAAGCAGGCGCTTCTAGGGGCGTCGAGAAAATCCAGGATGACCTCAAAGAGATCAACGACCGGTCGAAGAACGTCAAGGTTACTTTGGCGCAGCTCACAGCAGAGAAGGAGCGATCTCGTGAGCAGATTAATCGTCTTGAGCTCGAGTCGAAGGATATCAGCGGCAAGGTTACGAGCGCTGGGTACGCTCTCCGGGAGAAAAACAGCCTACTCTCTCAAGTCCAAGATCTGCGATCCCAGAACGGCAGCCACCGGGAGTCGATGCGCCAGACCGATCAAGACCTCCAAGAGCTGATTCCTGAGGTGGAGCAAGCCCAAGCCAAGTACAACGCAATTGAACAGCGAGGCGCACAGAAGGAAGAAGAACTTCAGTCAACGCACCAGAAGATCAGCGACAGTCTTCGTAACTTAAGGCAAGCCAACGAAGAGATCGTAGCCTACCTCGAGAGTGGGGGTCCTGGGCTACTAACGAAAGCTCGCCGCGAATTCGACAGCCTGCAGGAGGCAGGCCGGCAGCTAGAGGATGAACAGAGACAGATCACGGCTGAGGTCAAGAAAATCGACGACCAGCTCCGCAACCACACCGAGACCAAACGCGCAATCAACGACAATTTGAGATACAGATCTGGGCTCAAGAAACTCGAACAAGTTCGAAAGGAAGTTGAAGAACTTGAGGCCAATAACGCAGAGGTCGATAAGGACCGCTACGAACGAGAGGCTGGCAAATGGCAGCAAGAGCGGAATAGACTGAGTGCCGAGCAGGCCAGCATCGTCGGCGAGATCAGGTCCAAGGATGACCAGCTCAAGCAACTGCTTGATGAGTGGGACACTGATTATAAGGATGCCGCGAAGAATTACAAGGAAGCGCACATCAAGGTTGAGACGACCAAAGCGGCCGTCGAGGATCTAAGCAGGTATGGCGGGGCCCTTGACAAGGCAGTTGTCAAGTACCACAGTCTGAAGCTCGAAGAGATCAACCGTATCATCGAGGAGTTGTGGAAGAAGACTTACCAAGGTACCGACGTGGACACGATCATGATTCGATCGGAGAACGAGACGACAAGCAAGCAGCGCAGCTACAATTACCGTGTGGTCATGGTCAAGCAGGACGCCGAATTGGACATGCGCGGCCGTTGCAGTGCCGGCCAAAAGGTACTCGCTAGCATCATCATTCGTCTGGCTTTGGCCGAGTGCTTCGGAGTCAACTGCGGGCTCATTGCACTGGACGAACCCACGACGAATCTGGATCGAGACAACATCCGGGCTCTTGCCGAGTCACTTGCTGAGATCATTCGGGTCCGACGACAGCAGAGTAACTTCCAACTCATCGTCATCACCCACGATGAAGAGTTCTTGCGGTACATGCAATGTGCGGACTTTAGTGATTATTACTACCGCGTTTCCCGTAATGAAAAACAGAAGAGCACGATCGAGAAGCAGTCGATCGCCGAGGTAGGTTCCATGGGTTGCGCTTATACTTGGATGGGTGCTGACACGATCTGCAGGTGCTGTAGCGATGACCGGACGGGGACGAGATGCAGCAGCAATCGGGACCGCCAACCGGATACGGAACGCTTGTTCCGCATCTCGGAATAGCTGCATTTATTGGAGGGGAGCAAGGTGCTACGGCAACTCTGGGCTTGCATGAACATGGGCATACGACGGCTTAGGCGTTCTCAAACGGACATTTGCAGGGTTTGCTGTCACCCACGGGTTATGGAAGTGAAGATAAAGTAGCTGGGAATTTAGGCCGAGCCTTACCAGAAGGGGGCAGCTTCGCTCGGTTGTGTGCTCAGATACGAGGCATTGCTATGTGTCTTGCTGGAACCCACTCAAGGCTGACGTCGCTGCGTATGTTTAGATGGCACGACATGTGCCCCCGCCGAAAATCACGGTCGATCTGGTGGGGCCGCGGCAAGCCGGGAAAAGCGGATGCGCGCGTGAGGCACCGTCTCCCGCTCCGGGGTGCTTTTTAAAGTGTGGATCGGGCAGTCTGGTCGAGAATGCATGGCGCTAATTTGGCGTCGGAACAAGGTGTTTTTTTTTCAGGCGGGTGGTAAGTCTCAGATGGAGCATCTGGAAGCCGGCTTCCCGAAGCACGCCAGCGCAGGCTTCATCGGGTGAATGCTGTGCTCAGGTCGTCGCCACACCCCGCACGCTGCATACTACTACTGTCGTGCATGTAGGGTTTGATTTGGCGGCTGCGCTTGGGCTGGAAAAGGCAGCCACGAGCGCGAAGCTTCCAAAGGTCGCGCTTCTAGCGGCATGTGTAGTGCCTCGCAGTCAGCGGCGCAGGATCCTGGACGCCTTTTCTCCACGGAAAGGGGCGAAAAGCCAGGGCGTGGCTGTCGGCGGGGTTGCACAGCAGCCGGTGATTGGCGCCGAAGTGCGGCGTGACAGCATGACGACGGCAACGATCTGCCCCTCGAGCTTCGCGTGAGCACGTTCCTGGATCTAAACATCACCCCGCGAAATAGAGCTGCACGTGTGGCGCGAACAGCAGGCCAACAACATCCATGGAAGGGCCCTTGCCCCGGCGCTGCGCGCGACGATCTCTTGCTGTGCCGGGCCACACGGCAGAGCTCGACCGGTGATCTTTGTTCCTGGAAAATGCACCTTTTATGCACACCGGTCAGCCAGCATTGGTGCCAACTCACAATGACTCCGGTTCCGAGGTGCCGCAAGCCTTCCGAGTGGCCGTTGCATACCCTTTCCTATAGCTTGGTGGACTAGCCAACGCCGCCTAACTTTCTCCGCAATCCCCTTCCATCTAGCAATAGCACCATGCACACCAGCGATCCCTGCCCAGTCGGTCTACACGCCGCCGCCTGCCTGAGGTCTAAAAGGACGCCTGGCTGCCCGGCATGCTTGCCCGCCCGCCCTCGTAACTCAGGTCGCTCCCGTCCTGCGTCGTTGTGTTCGCAATTCTCTGCCCACCACAATCTTCCCCCCGGGCTGAGCCATTGAGTATTCTGGTCTAACATTTTGCACGCCTCACGGTAGCCATGCTTTCAAGATACTTGGCTTCTGCCTTGCTGGCTGCTCACGCAGCCCTGGGTGGCGTCATGTGCGTCAATTCTCCTCAGAGTCAAGATCCACGTGCTAACTCTCCGTAACAGTGACAAGCGGAAGGGCTCTTTCAATTGGGGCTCTGACAAGGTTCGCGGCGTCAACATTGGAGGATGGCTCGTCCTGGAACCGTGAGTTCACCCTTTAAAATACACAGCTCAGCTAATTCTCTCGATCAGATGGATCACCCCCTCCATATTTGAACAGTTCGACGCGTCCCAGGGCATCGTCGATGAGTTTACCCTGTGTGAGAAGCTCGGGGCGGACAAGGCCCTGGAGGTTCTGCGGCCGCACTGGGACAGCTGGGTCGGCTACGAGGACTTTCAGCGCATTGCGGATGCCGGGATGAACCTGGTCAGAATCCCAGTCGGATTCTGGGCCTTCGACACCTTTGGCGCGCCATACGTGAAAGGTGCCGCGCCCTACATCGACGCTGCCATTGACTGGGCCAGAGGTACCGGGCTGAAGATAATAATCGATCTTCACGGCGCACCGGGCTCGCAGAATGGTTACGACAACTCCGGGCAGCGCATGGACTACCCCCAATGGCTCCAAGGCGACACAGTGGCACAGACGCTTTCCGTCCTTCATACAATTGCCGAAAAGTACGGCCAGGCCGAGTACGACGACGTGATGGCGGGCATCCAGCTGCTGAATGAGCCGGCTGGCTACCAACTGGACCTCAACACCATCAGGCAGTTCAACCGCGACGGCTACGGCAAGGTCCGCGAGGTGGGCGCGAGGACGGTCGTCTTGCATGACGCCTTCCAGAGTCCGGCCTCCTACAATGGCTACATGACGCCGTCGGACAACAACGTGCGCAGCGTCGCGCTCGACCACCACGAGTACCAGGTTTTCGACAACGGCATGATCCAGTGGAGTGCGGAGCAGCATCGCCAGGGCGTGTGTAACAACAAGGGCCGTTGGGAGGGTGCGGACAAGTGGACGTTTGTGGGCGAGTGGACTGGAGCCATGACTGATTGCGCAAAGTGGTTGAACGGTATGTCACGTGCCAATTGAAAGAAAACAAAGCACTAACGGGCTTGTTAGGTTATGGCCGCGGTGCCCGCTACGATGGCTCGTATGACGGTTCTACTTATGTTGGCGACTGCGGCTTCGCTAGAGACCTCGGCTCGTGGGACCAGCAGCGCAAGGACGACACGCGCTGGTACATCGAGACACAACTTTCGGCCTTCGAAAAGGTTAACGGCTGGGTATTCTGGAACTTCAAGACGGAGTCAAGCCCGGAATGGGATTGGTCCAAACTGTCGGCCGCTGGTGTGTTCCCGAACCCAGTCACGGACAGGAAATTCTCCGTCATCTGTTAAGGTCGGGTGTAAGTGGTCGTCCGCTGATTTGTGAATGGGTATGGCAACAAAATACACGCAAGCGAGTCTTGTATTAAATTTCTAATCGGTACGAGCATACATAAAGCTCGCCTGACACGCCTTCTTCAGGATGGATGATCATACAGAAAGGAGGTGGTAATTAACGACACCACATCCCAAATAACATAATCACGACACTCCTTAACTTGCGTCCAATTGCATTAAAATGTGATCATTCAAGCTATTTCTTGGTGTAACACATTAATTCCATTCTCCCACTCCGACTCCTCACTTCTTCAAACTGTCCGCATAGGCCTTGACCGTATCGATCAAGCTGCCATCCTCAGCAAGTCCCAGCCCCAACGCCCGCGAGATATCGAAGCGCTCAGGCCAGCTCAGCACGATCTTCTCGATGACCGGGTCAACCTTCTCCTCGACCAGCGCCCTCGCCCCCTTACCGCCCACGGTCTCGAGCGCATCCAGCACGTCGACTATCTTGACCGTTACGCCAGGCAGGTTAACGGTGCGAGTGAGCCCGCCAAACTTATCCTTGGGCACGTCCTTGATGGCGATGAGGTTGCGCACGACGGTGCGCGGCGAGCAGACCCACATGTGCAAGGCCTTGTCGACGGGCAGCACGCTCTTCTCGCCGTTCAGCGGCTCGCGTACGATACCCGAGGCAAAGCTGGACGCAGCGGCGGTAGGGGCGCCGGGGCGCACCATGACGGTGGGGAGCCGGACGATGCGGGCGTCCAGCAGGCCGCGGCGTGAGTAGTCGTTGAGCAGGCACTCGATGATGAACTTTTGCGTGCCGTAGCTGCTCTGCGGCAGCGGGAGCGTGCGCTCCGAGAAGATCTTGTCGGGCCCGGCGGTCGCGGGCGGGCCGTAGACGGCGGTGCTGGAGGTGAAGACGACGGTGACGCCCGGCTGGGTCGAGATCAGGTGGTCGTAGAGCTGCCGGTGCGCGTCGAGGTTGACGCGGTAGCCGAGCGAGAAGTTGGCCTCGCTGCCCGACGACATGATGCCGTGGAGCGTGTAGACGGCGCTCCATTTCTGCGTGTCTAGCAGGGCGTGCGCAGCGGCCGGGTCCGTCAGATCCGTCTGCGTTGAGGTGATGCGTGAAGCATCGGCGCCGGCGGGGGTTTTGGGCGCGGCGACATCAGTGAGGGTAAGGTGCACTTCCGGCGAGGTTTGGAGGAGTGCGGCGGCGAGCTCTTGGCCGACGAAGCCTGAGGCGCCCGTTATGAGGATGTGTTTGGTCATGGTGGTTGGGATATCACGTTCGCCGGGTTAGTTTGAGGGGGGCCGATGCGGGCAAGGTGGAAGCAGTGCGGGGCAAATTGACTCAAAGCAATGAATTGAGATTAACTTGGAGCAATTGGTTACAAGGAGCACCCCAAGAGGTGTGTATATGCTTTCTGCTCACCATGCTTCGTCGGCGTTTGAAGGCCGCTGCGGTGCGGGGCATAGTCGGCAATGACGATGAAGGTGCGGGGCGCACCGTCCTCTCTCCACAAAAACAAGCCTCTCGGCACGAAGACGCAGCGAAAAGACTTTGCCCTCCAGCCGCGGACATCTCGCCGCCCCCGCCTTCGCACTTCTCTCCGCTTCCGCTTCCGCTTTCTGTGGAGCTCCACCCATAGCTCTTTACGGTCGTCGCCCGCAGTCCAAACCAACCAAGATCCTATCCACGCAAACCAATTTGCTGAAGCTTCACGGAAAACGAACGGTAGTCTGCGCATGACTCCCGTGCGACCCGCCCGCTTGATGAGATGGTCGGATGAGACCGTGTGCGAGAGCGGATGCGCTCCGCCCGGCCGTTGCATTTACTACTACTTCAATCCCACGGTTCCCTGGAGCCAAGGTACCTGATACTACTAAGTTAGCTGTTGTGCCAGTCTTCCCTTATCTTGGACGTCTACAAACTTCATCAGTCCCTCCAATTCCATCGCGCTAGACCTGCCCTTTCTCCCTTAATTCCTCTTTCTCTCAGACAGCCATCAATTGTTTCCCTTTCGCGCCAAAGAACAGCTACCATGGCCCCTCAATCCCTTCCCCTCCAAGCAACCCTCTCCTCGCTCCCTCCCGTCTACCCGGGCGACCTCCGCGCCCAAACCCGGGCCCTTCTCTCCTCGACCACGTCGACGATCCCGCTCCTCGTCGCCCTCGACGACGACCCGACGGGCACGCAGACCTGCCACGACATCCGCGTCCTCACCGTCTGGGACGTCGACTCTCTGACGGCCGAGTTCACGCGCACCGCGCCGGGGTCGGGCTTCTTCATCTTGACCAACTCGCGCGCGCTCCACACGGCCGATGCCCGCGCGCTCACGGCCGAGATCTGCCGCAACCTGCGCGCCGCGGCTGAGCGCGCGGGGAACAAGCCCTTCGAGATCGTGCTGCGCGGCGACAGCACGCTGCGTGGTCACTTCCCGGATGAGCCCGAGGTCGTGGATGAGGAGGTTGGCGGCGGCGGGAGTGATGCGTGGGTGCTGGCGCCGTTTTTCTTGCAGGGCGGCAGGTATACGATTGATGATGTGCATTATGTGGCCGAGGGAGAGACGCTGGTGCCGGCTGGGGAGACGCCGTTCGCAAGAGACGCAACGTTTGGATACAAGAGCAGCGATTTGAAGGACTGGGTGGTAGAGAAGAGCGGAGGCAAGATTGTGAGAGAGAGGGTGGTGAGTTTGGGCTTGAAAGATATCCGAGAGGGCGGCCCGGAAAAGATTGCGGAGCTGGTGGAAGGGTTTGAAAAAGGTAGTGTGGTTGTGGTGAATGCGGCGGCGGAGGAGGACATGGATGTCGTGGTGCTGGGGCTGCTGAAGGGTAAGATTGCGATTTCCCACGGTGCTTGTGCCATAATGAGAACAGGAGATAGGCTGACACTATCATTTTCAGCTTCGTCGAAGGGCAAGCGCTTCCTCTTCCGCACGGCAGCCGCCTTCGTCTCTGCGCGCCTGGGAATCTCTCCTATCCCTCCCATTTCGGCGGAGCAGTTGAAGCTTTCTCGCGAGGCTGGTGGCCTGATTATTGCGGGCTCGTACGTGCCGAAGACAACGGCGCAACTCGAGGCTCTGACTTCCAAGAGCGGCGAGAAGTTGACGACGGTGGTCCTAGACGTGGAGAAGCTCTTGGCTTCGCCCGAGAGCTCTGCCGAGGCCATTGCGCACGCTATCTCGGTCGCGGAGAGAGAGATTGCGCACAGGCAGGACGTGCTGGTCATGACTAGCCGCAAGCTGGTGGTTGGTGACGACGCGAAGAAGAGCCTGGACATCGGCTCGATCGTTGCGGATGCGCTTGTCAAGTTCTTGCAGCAACTGAAGATCAAGCCGCGATACGTAATCGCCAAGGTAAGTGGACACTCATGTGCAGTCGAGGGCAGGGATGCCGGCTAATGTGTCTGTTCTTGTAGGGAGGCATCACGTCGTCGGATATGGCCACGAAGGGCTTGAATATGAAGAAGGCGATGATTGTGGGTCAGGCTGCGGCAGGTGTCCCATTGTGGCGCTGCGACGAGGAGACTTGCAAGTACCCTGGACTGCCGTATGTTGTTTTCCCGGGAAATGTTGGCGGGAACGATACGCTCTACGAAGTGGTCAAGGGCTGGCGGGTATAGAAGTAGAAGGTCGAGTTGAATAAACGCTGTGGATCATTCTTTACGCGGGCAGCTTTTCTTTTTCCACATCATTCTGCCGGATGGCGGGGTTCCTGCAAGCTTGCAAACTTTATAAAATTCTTGAAAGAATTATCTGACATGACGGCAAACATCTTTGTTACTGACTCAGAAAGCTATCAGTGGCCATGAACGGCTCTAGATACCACCGTAGGTGCGTTACCTGCGCACATCTGACCAAAGACAGCATCAGGAACGTCGCGTAACATACTGCTCTTTGCGAACGAGCATGCAGGGGACATGGGACCGGTCTAGTCTGCCGGTAGTTAGGTCAACTGCCGAACCTGGTTCCTTGTAACGAATTTCCCCGCCTGCGATAAGATAAGCTACGGGAAATGCGGAGAGGGTTAAACGACCCAAGCCTTTTTCTGCATCGCCTGCCATCCACGTCCGCAATCCTGCGAATCACTTACAACCGTACCCTGCATTGACTCGGACCCTCTGCGAAACACTTTGGCGAAGGGCTCGCTTGACGCGTTACGCACGGCAATGCCCATCGATTCGAGCATCGCGTCGCTGCAGCACGAAATTGCGTCGTGCGAGCGCCAGCTGCAGCGCCTCAAGCAACAGCTCGCCGATGCCGAAGACGCCCGCTCCCGGAACCAATCGTCCTCGTCGGCCACCGCCTCCTACTCCTACGCTCCCTCCGTCCCCACCGCATCCCTCCCAGCCGACACGTTCCACAGCGACATTCACCATAACAGGCAGTTCCTAGGCGCTGCGCTGGGCGGCGGGCTACCCGATGAGTGGCAGGCAGAACTGTGGGCGGTGCTGGAGCAGCCGGCACATGACGACGGGCAGCGGCGGTGGCCGCTGGAGAAACACGAATACAGGCGATATGGACGGCAGCTGATCATGCCCGAGGTGGGTTTGCAAGGTACGGGCCGGCGAGTATGCGCACACTTGGGGCCCTGAGTGCTGATGACGACATTGCGAGCATGTAGGGCAGCTGCGACTACGGAGCTCTGCCGTCCTCATAATCGGGGCGGGCGGGCTGGGCTGCCCGGCTGCGGCCTACATTGCTGGCGCGGGAGTGGGCACACTTGGCATGGTGGATGGCGATACTGTTGAGGAGTCGAATCTCCACCGCCAGATCCTGCACAGCACGAGCAAGGTCGGCATGCCCAAGGTGGAAAGTGCACTGAGAAATCTAAAGTGGTCAGTACGCTCGAGGCTTGAGTCTATAGGAAACCTACTAACATAGTGTCCGCCAGCCTGAATCCGAACGTCAGGTATTATTCCTACAATACCAGACTGACACCTGAGAACGCCCAGGATATATTTTCTGAGTACGACATTGTCCTAGACTGCACAGATACGCCCGCGTCTCGCTACCTCATTTCAGACACATGCGTGCTTCTGGGCAAGCCGCTCGTGTCTGCGTCAGCCCTGCGGACCGAAGGGCAGCTGATGGTGCTTAACAACCCACCGAGGCCACCAGGAGACTCAACTGGAGGACCCTGCTACCGATGTGTCTTTCCAAAGCCACCACCCGCTGAAAGCGTCATCAGCTGCGGAGAAGGCGGTATCCTTGGGCCAGTCGTCGGTGTCATGGGAGTTCTCCAGGCGTTGGAAGCCATCAAAGTGATTACAGCGGGTATCGAGAGGCCCCCATCGGACGAGATGGATGTGGATGGTGCCTCTCCAGCTTCCGATAAGCTGCACGACGCGGCGGCAGCAGGCAGCAAACCCACAAGCAACAAGCCCTCCCTGCTGCTTTTCTCCGCATACAGTAATCCACAGTTTCGCTCTTTCGGACTCCGCACCAGAAAGGCAAAGTGCGCCGCTTGCTCTGCGCAGGCAACAGTGACGCGCCAAGCTCTTACATCCGGTTCGATGGACTATGTGCAGTTCTGTGGCGCCGTCGGTCCCATCAATGCACTCAGCCCCGAGGAGCGTATTTCAGCGCTCGACTATCACCAAGCACGCAATGGAATTGCGTCTGTAGCCAAAGAAAACAGCAGCCCTTTCTCAGATGGGAGACCCGAGAGCCAAAACCACATACTTGTGGACGTGCGCGAGAAGGTACAGTTCGAGCTGGCGCACCTGGATGACAGCATCAACATACCATTCTCCGACATTGTTGCCACCGCTGTACCCCAACTATCTTCATCGTCATCGCCACCCGCATCAGCTTCCACCACACCTGCAACACCTGCTACCGGCAGCGCGGACTCGCCTGCATCTCCGAAGCAGGCAACAGAAGGAGGCAACACCAATGATCAGTTGGAGCCTGCCCCGGCGTGGCTCACTCAGCTCCGCCAGCTACCTGCTGAGAAGCCCATAGTTGTGACGTGTCGCCTCGGCAATGATTCGCAGCTCGCAGTGCGCAAAATGAAGGCGCTGGGCTTAGATGGGGACGGCAAAAGAATGATCGTCGATGTGAGGGGAGGACTGCGGGCTTGGAGAGAAAACGTGGATGCAGAGTTTCCAGATTATTGAAACCATCTATGGAAGTGTCACTTCTTGCTTGTTAATAGTTGCGCTATTGTGCTCAAGCGCAGGTTGGCTACAGTAATTGAATGCCTGTATATACGTTTGCCGTGAAGAAGGCCTCTTCTCGACTTCGTTCTCTCGTGACCATCCATGATCTCGACTCTTTACTAGGCTCTTCTCTCGCCATCCTGTGCGACCGCTGTACGGCTTTCAGCTGCAACCACCGTGGCCAAGATTGATTGGACGCAGCAAAGCAGCGAGCACAGCCACTTCTCTCTGCTCTTTTCTGTGCATTGCACTGCGACCGTCACAAAGAGGCCAGTGGCTAAGTCGTCGCGCCCTTTCCCATCACCAATCTTGGCTTGACGGCCTCGCCTCGCCATCCCCCTTCTTCCCCCAGCCGCCTTTCTCCTTTCATCAGGGGTCCCGATTTTCTGCGGCAAGTTGCCCGCTTCCCGACATCCCCGGCGCGGACCGCCTCCGATGAAGGTAGCGTGTCGTGAGTACTTTTTGCCACCGAGGAACAGGCAAGCAGCCAGTCGATCAGGGAGAAAGGAAGAGACAAGGGAAGCGAGGCCAGCTCGTCGTAGATAGATTCCTAGCCCGGTCTTTGCCACCACCACAACTCACTCACGGCCACTTGTCCGGGAGATCGAGGCCAGCACTGGTCATGTCTCTCAGCCGCTGGGGAAGGTGCGCAGGTCGCGTGGCGATGATGTGGGATGAGTAGCTCAAGAAAGAAGCGCCGAACGCGAACGCGCCGCCACAGCCTACTCTGCCTAGCACCCACTTTTCTTCCAATGACGTCTCCGCCCAGCCCAACCTTTTTGTAATGCGGCTGATCCCGTGCTTCCCCGGACCAGTCGGAACAAGCGGCGTCGACGAAGGAATGCGGCGAAGGAGGGTCCGATCACAATTTTGTTAATGTTCCAGAAGACGAAAGAAAGATAGGGCGTGAAGAGATATGCAGGGCCGCCCGCTAAACCCTCGTTAAGAGAAAAAAAAACAAAAAAGGTACCCCCCACACAGACACACACCCTCTCTCTTTCGCGTGGACGCTCGGACAGCAATGGGGACCTTGTCGAACGCAAAACGCCACTATCACGACCAGAATTCTGGGCTTGTCCTTCGTCACATTATCAACCCACGTTTCACGACCCTTTTTGCTCCCCTTTCTCCGATAGCTTCCTTTCTTGCCTCCTTTTACGATTAGAGCACGTAATGGACGGTCCATTCGGCGAAAAAATGTCCTCTCGATCTCATTCTTGCATCGACTCTTGATACGAAAAGAAGCTGGTAACTGATCAGACAGCCTTTAAGAATTAAAAAACTCAAAAGTAAATGATAATTAGTCTCGGGAGACTCCCGCATCGTGCATGACGCCGTCGGCCGGTCGGTCCCTTTCCCTTATTTTTTATTTTCTGGCCAGCGTTGCACGGACGAAAATGAAAAAGGTACCATCACACCCACCCACACCCACCTTCCAGGCAGATAAATGAAAACGGGGGACGTGCGCGCGCAAGTCATGCTGGTCTTTGGTATGCGGCGTTGGCCTTTTTTCCGTAGTGGTGGCGATGGGGAGCCTTGAGATTGCAGGAATTGTGGTGGAGGGTTTGCGTGGCTTCCCTACCGATTGTTACACTCGGCCGTCGGAGAGAAGAAAAAAAAAGCGCACATGCGGCTCACGTAAAGCGATGATGAACCTTCGCATGCATGCATGCTGCCTGCTTCAGAGCGAAAAGAGAAGGAAAACGAGAGGCCGCGCCAATGAAAGAGTGGGAGCCCAGAGGAGCGGCTCGATACCCGAGGATAGGCAAGCCACGCTCCGCCCACGCGGCACGGCCAAAATTCGTTTCAATCAAATCGATTTCAACCAGAGAGAAGAGCCGAGAGTGACGCCCCCGTGCCCGACAAAGCGGGAAGCCCGACGACTCGAACAAATGAACCTGCAGCGGTTCGTTACGAGTAAGGTCTTTCCCTCCAGGCGGCCCGGCGTCGCCCGGAAGCTAAGCCGGGATGCCGCGAGGGAAAAAAAGAAACCGAGCAGGGATGCGTACGTAGGTAGGATGGATGGGACGGGAAGTGGTGGCCACCGCTCTTTAGCCTCGCGTTGTGCTTCGTGGTACGCTAGGATCGGGGAACAGAGAGCGTTGAGCTAATGGCCAGCCGTCTCGCTTGCTTTCTTGGCTTTGGGCACGGAAAGGATGGACGTCGCCCGGTCCGAGTATGAGTCACAGCGGTTGACTTTTTGCTTGTGTTCCCGTATTTGGCATGCATGTGATGGCGGTGGCTTCGTGTGCGTGTACAAGCGGCAGCCTGCCTGTTTTGCTGGCAGTGGACGGCCGCGCGGCGGTCGAGGCGAAGGAAGAGCGCGGGAAAGCTCAAGGCGAAAAGCAAAGGCCCCCGAAGGTTGGGTAATGCGATGGGGATTAGGGATGTGCAAGCCACGCCCCGGACCTTGCACGGATTCGCTGGGGTGTGGGTGGTGTCGGATCAGCGTCATGGCTGTGCTCTGGGGGCAAGGAAGGTGGCTAAACCCCGAGGGTTCAAGCCTCGAGCATGCTCTCTCGCCGGGAAACCTTCTTGCCGAAACGGTTGTGTTGCATTGAGGCGTGCCGCCTGTGCTCCCTGTCCCTTGCTGCGCCGCCGTTTGCCTCCACCGCCAATGTCGGCGCTTTTCCCTCGGGCAGGACGGACGCTTCACCAACACCTAGCTTCATCGTATCACAATCATGTTGGGCACCGTTGTAGAGTGAAGTCATGGATTTCGGAAAGTGCCATTAACGTTGCCAAAAACAAATGAAAATCATAACCATCGTCGAAAAGCAGCCAGTGCTTGGAAAAAGCCATCCGCGAAACCCGAGCAATGAAGCCAATTTGTTTCCGTCCCATCTCCATCCCTTCCCGTAGGAAGAAGTTGCCCGCCGTTGACATGCATCCCGTTTTCTTTCCCAACCGCGCAAAGAAAAGGAACAGCCTGAGAAAAATCCTGCAGTGAAAAGGAACATCCCAAACATGATAAAAACACGCCATGCAGGTATATATCTCAATGCAGGAAGGGGGTATGAGAAGACAAAAAGCAAGACGAAAACAATGGACCGGAACCCGAGCCGTTTTTGCATAACCAGAACCAAAAACATGAGATGACCTCCAAACAATTGTTGTAAAGCAATCAGCAGCTCTTAACCCAGGGCAGCTCCACGGAGCTGCTCTGGGCAGACGGGGTATAGCAATTTTGTCCGCGGGAGAAAGGTATCTTGCAGTAAACGAAAAACCGAAAGCAGAAAACAACCGACCAAAAAGCATGATAATAGTACAGGGTTTTTGAAGTTTTGGGGTATCGCTGGTATCGCGCAAAGAACCCGGAAACGAGGACGCCTGTGCTGGAAAGACAACAAAGCAGATAACCATGTGCGCAAAAGTTGGTATACAAGAAGCGAAGGTATGATGAGAGGAAAGAGACGAGAAGGAGATCGTGATTAAAATCCGGTAGCTTTCCGAGGCAAGAGGGTAGATGAGGCGAAGTGGAAGTGAGCCGAGAGGGTTCGAGACGTCGAGTGCGTCTAGTGACGGCCCTTGGTGCCCTGGAGGTCGTCCATGTGGTTGCACATGGCGACGAACAGGTCGAAGAAGAGCTTGCCGCCGTGCTCCATCTCGTTCTGCATGGTGCCGCTGCGCTTGAAGGTGTGGCGGGAGCGGATGATGAGGGCGAGGTAGTGAGCACGGAGCTTGCTGTCCGTGTCGGGCGTGTTGGCGTAGGCGTAGCGAGCCGAGGCCAGGATGGTGCTGCACTGGATGCCCGACTGCAGGCCCTGCTTCCGGAGAGCAAGGCGCTTGAGCTCGTCCAGGCCGTACTTCTCGGCAGTGCAGTAGAGGACCGTGTCCTTCAGGATCATGCCCATGCCGTTGACGTAGACGGTGGTCTCGCCTCCGCTGGAGTCCTCGAGGCGCCAGCTGTTCCTCTTCTTGTCGTGCTCCAGACGCGGGTAGTAGTCGCCCTTGTACAGGTACTCCAGCACGGACGAGAAGACTTCGGGCTCCTCGTCGGGAAGGTCGATCCGCCTGGCCGTGGAGTTGAAGAACTGGCCCTTGCAGACGGCCTGGAAGTAGGGCGAGTGGCAGAGAACATCCTCGTGAGCAGCGAACAGGCGCTGGTCACGGCCGACGCAGACGGTGATGATGGCCGAGGTCAGAGCACTGGGCAGGGTCAGCAACAGGCAGATGGAAATAGCGAGTTCGACGTGACTTACGGGCTGTTGGTGCCGCTCGAGGGGGTCGACTTGACCTCGGACTCCATGCGGCGGCTCATGGAGGGAGTGTGGCTGACGGACATCTTCCGCTTGCCGGAGGACTCCTTGCCCACGCGGTGCTGGGAAACGCTGGCAGCGCGTCGCCGAGAGGAGAACATGTTGGCGTCTGTGTGGGGGTCGGGCTTCTGGAAGGACGCAGTCGTGGATCCGCAGAGGTGAAAGCGGACTAGAGGCGGGTGGGCCAGGCGCCTTTATAGAGGAAGAGGCAGGCAGCACTGGGCAGCTACAGGGCTGACGGAGATCGGTGGACCTAGGCAGCACCTCGGCGCAGTGGAAAGGGGAGGTGATCCGGAAGGAAGGCTTCAGACGCGGCTTCAGCACGGGCGTATACAACTATATGGCCCGTGGCAAGCGGCGCACTGATGCGTGGGGGACGTGATTGGGCGCGTCGCACGGACGAGACACGGCAACGCGATATCAGGTGCCTCGAGGCTGACTCAAGATTATGTGACTCGTTTCGGCAACGGCTAGCAACCTGGAAATGGAAGAACAAGGGTTGGACAGGGGAGGGGGGTTTGTGGCTCTGTCTGCTGGGCTGCGGGCTAGCTAGTTTCACGCGCTGCACGAAATGGGATCTGGGCTCTGCAGGCTGATGTCGGGCACAGCGCCGCATTAAATGCCCGCGGGAGCGCTCACCGCTGCTGCAAAACCGCAGTGCGATAGGGACTGACACGGAGATGATGGCCGCCAAAATTTTCACTCATGCTGGTGATGCGCAGAGGACAGCGCATCGTCTGCGCCTAGCGGATCCCTAGGCGCCGGGTCGCATCCCTGCTCGGAGCGGCGGGAGGAGCTGCGCTAAGCCTAGCGCAGCCTCGCCGGACGCCCCCCACAAGTGCACGCCAAGAGAACAGGCTGATCGCTCGCGGCTCCCAGTTTCACCGTCTCTTGTCGCCCGCCCGCCGCGTCCAATTGCGCGCCCAACCCGCTCACCGCACGCCTGCCCACCACCCTGCGGTCCGATATCCAGCAGTCTCTGCGAATTCTGCGACACAAATACGTGCGAGAGCGAGGCGCGAGACCCGTCGCGCACGCGCGGCCGCTGTCTCGAGCGTCGTGACCGCTCCCACCGGTACGAGGCATACAAGACCGTTGAACGCCTCCCTCCGCGCCGGCCCCTTTTGCCTTGTTTCCGCTGCTTGCAATTCAAATCAGTGCGCCCGCCAACCTCGTCTGACAGGGTGCTTCCGGGATCCGCGACGCTCAATCCAGCAGCATCTCCTTGCCCCCAGCCTCGCAATGCTCGCCGCCGCCCCCGTCCTGTGGCCGTGGTGCGCGCATGGGCGCCTCACCGCCCGCTAGCAGTGTCTCGCATCACCAGCAAGCGAGCGGCCGCACAGCAATCCTTCGCGAACGAGTCACAGTCTGAGCGTGGTGATCTCGCACATCGTGGGTCTCTGGAGGATCACGATGTCGACAGCGCGACAAAGCGCCTCGCCAGGCCCACTCTGTGACCGACCGCTCCTTCGGATCCCACGCATGACGGCCAACAGCCTGTGCGCGTCGCTCAACGGTCGAAAACAAAACTACGTGTCCAACAAGCCTCCGGATTTCGCTCACCGCTGCATCATCAAAAATTCATGCGCGTCCCGTGCCTCTTGAACAAGCTCTCTAAACAAGGACTCCCTCTTCGTCTGTCCTCCCAGGCCTCCCAGAAAAATAAAAAAAATAATAATGGAGGCCTTCCAGAAGCTTTGCGCTTTAATGAAACCGACGCTCGCCGCGCCAGCGCCTCGCGGCACCCGGAATCTGCGCTTTGACCGCACTTTTGAAGGCGACAATTCGGAGTTGAGATGACTAACGCCATTCGAACTTCCTGAGACCGCTCCCCTGGCGCCGAAGAGGCTCGGAATCCCACCTGTCCCGCCGCACTCCTCGGCCTGGTATCTTTCTAAACTTTTCTGGCTTGACGAAACCGGTTTCATTCGGTGCCGGACGGCTAGTCGCCCATATCTCCCCCGAAATTTCCCATCTGCCTTGCCGGTCGCTGGCCCTGCCTCCCCTTGCTCCCATGCCGCCGGAGTGGTCCGGGTGTGGAAAGCGGAACGCACTGACTCTGGGCCTGTGCGTGCAGACGGACTTAAGCCCTCCATCCGGATGGACAGCGGTTAATATGCTACCATTCCCATCCTCGTCGCTTGTTCCGATGGCGGTAGGACCCTTCATCTCTATCTGAGTGCCGCACATCAGATTGCGTCTCGCCTCGCCTCGGGTCCCACAGAAATGGTCCCTGTTCGCCTCACTGCCCCGGACGCACTACGGCTTTGACATGTGCAATATTCGTTGCTTCAGAGTAATGGTGTTGGCCGCGTGTTTTAGGAACCCTGAAGCTTCCCTCATTCAGTGACGTATTGCCCATCTCTTCAACACTGTTACGATTTACTTCTGACGCCGACATATTGTTCAGAAGTTCGTCCGTAGCCCTTGTGGTGGTGTGACTGTAGGTGAAACCGAAAACTGTTGAATGTTTACTTCACGCGTGCACGTTGCTCGGCTCGAGGCTGATCCCATCAATTTCTCGGTGGGTATTGCGGCGAGGTCGAGGCCTTTCCCGCCTAGTGGCGCAGAACACACTCTCCGTGCCGCGTCTGTAGCTTGCTCGTTTATGGAAAGCGAACCGCGTTATCAGTCTTGTCTCGGGGCTGGACGGAGTGGAAGCACATCCCACAACCGTTCGCTCCGACTTCCACTTGCATCCTACACTTCAATCGTTTGCCACGTCAAGAGTATTCAATCGCAGAAAGTGAACACTCTCTCATTTCATTCGTTCCATTGAACGTCTCTGTCTAATTTTCACCCGCTGTCACAAACAGCCAGATCCATGGCACTCATCAACCTACGGTCCATCACCACTACCGGAACATGGTCCGAGCTTCTTCCACGCGACCATGAACGCCTCCACCGGCGTCCCCCGAACGCTCGCTAACTACTATTTAGCGTACATGCTACCCTTCGTCCTCAATCAGGCGTTCCCTTCATCGCGATCTGACATGGTGTTCACCGTCTCCCATCAATACTGACCCCGTGACGCTTGGAGGGATGCACACTAGGAGCTAAAGCACCGGCCGGTGAACGCCTCCAACAACCAGTAATGATGACACTACTGTACAAACGTGCACACAAGATGTCAGCAACCACTCCCTCTCCAATCGTGCGTTCGATCAACGAGGATGGTACGTGGCGCGCGTGATCAATGGTCGTCTTTTTTTTTCGCCGCCGGATGTGCGGTGAGTGGGGACATTTCTCGGCTCAATGATTGGCGTACGTCGGCCGGTCGGTCAATCGGTCGCCAAAGCGCACAGCCAAAAGCGCGTTCGTGCGTCTTTTGTGTTGGCCAAAACATATCTGTGCTCCACCCGTAGGGCTGAGGTGGAAATTTGCGATGAGACTGGTGGAAAAGTGATGCACGGCAAGCGAAGCGAGCGGGTGTGGAGTCGAATGGGGAACGTCAACAACAACAAGATGCCGTTCGCGCCGCGTGCACGCCTTGGCTAATCATCGGGGACGAACCTCGTAGTAGTATATCGTTTGAGATCAACTTGCCACTGATGAACATCTGAGATGGGCTTGCCACTCAAGCGGTCTGGGTTGCAATATTGTGCACGAACTCCAATAGGAGCATCGTTATATGAGATTTAGAATAGCTATCAAACGAAGGTCAACTCAGCCGCGCTGTACATACCAGTGATTTCCAGAATATTGTGAGAGTATTGATCATACATCGACCATAATCGTCGGGAAAATTCAAGCACGGCATTTTGCGAATGTATCGTTGAAACCCCCAAACGCCACATTCAAAGCGCAAGATTGAACCTAAGGAGAACTGCTGCTTGTTTGTTGCCTGAAGCTGAAGAAATTGCAATAGACAGCCAAGAACTGACATACATCCCAGTTATTCCACTTTTCCCCCCGATTCCAGTTCGATCTCTGAAGAGCTATGTAGTTGAGGCCCAGTACCGATAGCATATGCACGTGCAATGAAGGTGCTTGCTTGGTAAACCACGGATCCTGCAAGCCATTACAAATGCTCGAACTCCACTCTGCCTTGAAACGATGAACTCCTCAAGGTATTCTTCCCTCGACAAGTCCCTCAGGTCGTAGACTCGCCATGCCTCGGTGCCTTGGAAGGGCGACCATCACTCTCGCCTTCGTGTTCAAGTTCTCTTTTCGGGGGGTTGCCTCCTTCAAGACTAGGTTGGAACGAGGAGTTTAAAAGCTCCACTACTGATTTTGCGAGCCGACCTCCCTTCATGACCCGGTTGTTGAACTCGTCTGAAGCGCAGAACTCATCACGATGTGCCTTGATCCATTTCTTGCACCACAGTACCATTTGCACATTACGTCCATCAGTACTTTCATCAAGGATAAAAAAAAATGTACTGGGGGATATTTGGCAGGCGTCGAGCTTGCTCATGACCAGGTTCAGCAGCTTTTCGTCACTGGAATTGGTTTCAGTCATATTCTTCTAACGGAGTCATAAGTACACTTACTCAGCGGCTCCATCAATATCGAACACTCCGAATTGTCTCTTCGCTTCAAGATCTTGTACAGCGGGATGCATGAGCTTGATATCCTGGATTGTAGGACTGTACTCTCCGGTGTACAAGTACTCGATGATCATAGTGAGTGTCTCAGTGGTACAGCACACATCGATAATAGTCGTAGCTAGCATGTCCTTCATGCCTACGAACTCACCCAGAAACGACGGTTTTAGGATGTTCTCGTGCATGTAGAGCATTGTCGGTTCGTCGTCCATAGCGCTCCGAAGCTTCCAGATAGGACCCGAAAAACGTCTAGACAGGCTTTAGCAGAATCCTAGTGGTTGGTATCAGATTTGTCTTACTGAGTCTTGCTCCGGCGCGTAAAGCACAAGTCAGGCGTTGGAGGAGGCATCTTCGTTCCACTTGACGCCACGCGGTGCTGCAGCGAAAGGCGGGGCAAGGCTGGTCTCACAGCCGAGAGGTGCAGATGGTGGGTGAGAGTGAGCCGAGCAGGTATGACTGGAAAGATTCATAAAGGGTAGAGGCGGACCACATAAGGAAAGAGCACCCGCGCGCGTGGGCGACGCGCGCCTTCCACGCCTGGGGACGCCTCGCATCGGTGACGTCAATGAACGGAGACCAAACGGGAGCTCATGGCAGCACAATACACTCTCTATTCAGTAGATTCGCTGCTATTCAATGCTTTTTGAAGAAGGGAAAAACAAAAATCGGCCTTGAAGCACCATGACGCTCACTTGCGTCTGCGCCTGCCAAAACTAGCACCATTAACCAATGCATGGTATACCATCTCCCTCAAGCACCGTGATATCTGCGGATATTCCCTCAAGCACCAGCAACTGATTTCTCTTAGCCAATCAGTTCCACTCAATTCTCCTCCGCCCAAGCGCGTGCCAGCTCTTGAGCAGCCTTTGCTCTCAGGAAATCACACACATCCTTCCCCTTGGCACCATGGGAAAGACCCTTCCGCCAGTCCCAACCCCTCTTTGCATCCTTGCTAAGCGTGCCGCTTCCCTCATCAACCAGGACGCCGCTACCCTCAGTGGACGGGAGTACAGAGCTACCCACTAGGCTATACGAGCTAGCCGTCAGGTTGGAGACAGACTTCTTGAGCGAGCGTGGTGGATCGATATTAGACGAGCCTGTGCCATGGGCGTGTGCCAATGCCGCTTGAAGATGCTCCTCACATTGGGAATAGACGAGCGAGGGGGCGGTCTGGAGGTCCTCGGCGGCACGCATAAGTGTGGAGAGATCCGACGACGAGAGAAGACGCTTGGGATCTGTGCATCTATTAGTAGCTGTTGTTTTCGGATGCTCATGGTGTGACTTACGGGTCATGAAAGGCAGCGACTCGCCCAACAGAGTCAGAAGTCCGTCAACCTGCACGGCTGAATCAATGTCGGGATCGTAGAGTCCGCCGCGAATACTATCAGCAGCGCTATTGACGACGGCAATCAAAGCCTGAGCAGCAAGTCGTCTCCTCTCAAGGGGACGGTGCGCAGGTTTCTTCCCTTCCGGTAAGTTGACTTCTTCATCACGCAAGTCGTAGAACTTTCGGAGCGTTGCATAACCGCTGAGATACATGGACAGCATCTGAGCAGCTCTCAGATCGGACCGAGCAAGATGTGACAGAGTCTGCTTCGGTGTGTTGATGAGCGCCTTGAGACGCTCGTCGAGGTCGGCCTGCGCCGGGTAGGCGGTAGAATGGATGAGGCAGAGGGAAATGAGCAGGTCGAGGACGTCCCTGATCTTCTTAGAGTTGTGTGCACGAGCGTAGTAAAACAAGGCTGAACCATAGTTGTACGAGTTCTCAGCCAAGAAAGCTGCATAGCGCTCTGCAATCATGTTTGCATGCTCGACGAGACCGAGACTGTTGCAGACACTGAGAATCTTGTCAACCCGCTCGGCCGAGCTCAAGGGGAGGCGATCAAGCAGCTCGCTGATCTTCTTCTTCGCGGCTTCAGCGTTATCGAGACGACCCAAGACTTGGATAGCCAGTTCCCATCCTTCGGCGCTTTCGATCTTGGGTTTGCTGAAGAGAATCTCAGCGTATTGCTGGAGGATCTCATCCTTGTCAAAACCGGGCTTATCTCCTTGCCCGTAGCTCAGGACCATGAGGTCGCTTTGATCGAATCCCCTCAGGAGGTTTCTTGAGGCAGACTCGCCGAGCCATCCTCCAGCACTTGCAATCTCAATAATTGCCGCCGTGATTGTTAGGGACCACCCGCGCATGATAGGAATGAGGCCGTCCATGTTCTCCTCCATGACGCAAGCAAGAGCAATCTCGACTGGATTGTTGCTGTTAATCGAGAGGCCAGGATCTTCCTCTGCCATGACTCTGGCGAGAGAATAAGCAAATCTCTTGCGATAAGCACGTCCCGGCGTGACGTCTGCAACCCTGCTGTGCCTAGAGCGCTTCGTCGGCCGCATGAGCTGTTCCTCGTCCTCTCCATCCCACCAGGCGGTGAGACAGACGGTTGCCTCAACCCAGTCAAAGGCGGCGCCAAGAATTTCCTCTTCGTTTCCAAGCAAAAGGCTGTAGAGAATTTGCAAGTTCTCGTAGACGGTGTACGGCACTCTGCTCTCAGCCCTGCGACTTGCGGTACTGAAGTTGTAGGCACCGTCATCCTGCGCGCCCAAGCCATATTCATCATCGGCAAAAGCACGTTCACCTTCGGCGAAGAGCTTCAGATCTTCGAGCGCATCTTGAACAGTCCTCCTGTACAAGCCCCAATCCATGCCTTTCACATCCCAATCATCGTGAGTGAAGGCCGGGCAGTACTCAAGAACATCGATGGCTTGCGCAATGGCCTTCTCGACGTTGATGAGCTCGATGCCAGCATAGCCAGGTCTGTCGTAGCCATCCTCCAAGGCGGAGTCAGCAACGGCGAAGTTGCCTTCCCTCAAGAAATGTATGGCATCATTGAAGCTGCCCCTCATAACGCAGGAGAAAATGACGTCCCAGAAGCCAGGAGCAGCAGAGTAGCCCCCGGCCATCCTCTGAAGCTGCTCGAACTCAGCAGCGCTGGGATCATGGCGCGCATTCAACCAGTCCACCAAGACCTTGGGGAGGGGTGTTTGTCCAGTGGCATACTGACGTGCGAATGATTGGCTGAAAGCAGACATCTGGCCGCGTCTGGACAGCGAAAAGTTCTGCCTCTCTGGTTCAAACGCAGGAGGGTGGTGAATCGGCAGAAGCAGGCTGGCAATGAAGTCGGCCTTGGCGAGAGGTGAGTCGTTATCCGCAGGTCCAATGACATTGGGAACGGGCTTGTGCGGGTGGTTCCAGAGGTTGCACAGCTCCTTCACGGCCGTCGAAAGGGCGTCCTCGGTTGCGTCGCCTTCGCCAAGTGCATAAAGAATGCGCTCGGTTTCGCGCACAAGCTCATCCGGCTCCTGCAAAGAGGTCACGGGGCGGGCGGCGGCGGCGGCGGCAAAGCTCTTTGCGATGCTTCCGATGTCGTATTGGGCGCCGGACTTGCCCAGGTGCATTTGTGGGGGAGGGCGCACGGGGCTGCGCATGGTCGAAGCCCTGGACCTGTTGGAGGGCGATCCCCTCGCTGAGCCTTTGACGCTGAATTTTTGGGGAGAAGCAGGTCTGCTGGACTTGCGCGATGCAGGCTTGGGGCCAAAATTGTCCATCATAGTGTCATCCTCATCTTCCTGCATATCCTGGTCCTCGTCCATCTCCTCGGCCTCGGGCAAACCGTAGCCATGCTTGTAATCGTCGTCCATGCGGTCGTCCTCGTGGTCGTCGTAGTAGTGGTGTTGGTGGTCGAAATAGCCGCGGTCGTCGTAGAAAGGATCGGTTCCGGGAGGCGGGCTGCTGGCAAGAGCGTCCGAGGGCACGTCCGAGGGTGCGTCGGAGTAGTAGCTGCGGGCGGACTGCGACCTGGTGGGAATGTAGCTCCTGCCGCGGCCTCTGGTGCTGAAGGCGAAGGCAGACATGGTCCTGTTTTTCTGTTGCGAGGGTGAAGGGCTGGGGCGGCCGAAGCGGTAGGATGGAGAGGGTGTGTTGCGGGAGGGCGTGCCGCGTGAGGTGCCGAAGAGCTGGCGTGAAGCGGGTGGGGGCCCGTTCGGAGTGGTGGAGCGCGTAGTGCGGTTGGACCACAGCGGACGGCCGGCGGGTGTTGTGGAAGGCAGGTTTCCAGATGAGCGTCGACGACCACCGGGCGTGGTGGGCGAGTAGGACCAGCCGTCCTCCCTCCAGAAACCCTCGTCATCCTTCTTGCGGCCGTACATCCTGGAGATGGCAGACGGAGCTTCGTACTTGATGCGCACCGGAGACGGGCGGCGGTAGCGATGACGATGGTTCAAGCAGTTGCATCGGCGCTTGGGGTCTTTGTCCAACGGGTCGATGCACGTCTCGTTGGACTTGACGTGGCGGTGCTGGGGGAGTTTCTGGTCATGGTTAAGGCTGCGCACACCGAAAGGGCTTTGGCTTCCAGAGTCCCGCTCCATTGGGCGTGGCTGGGCGTGTCCGCTCCCTCGTGTTGGCGTTGCGACAAAGAGACACACGCTCGGTCAAGACGCGACATGGATGGAATGGATGGAACGCGCCGACCATCACGTGCGGAGCTCTGTCCCTGACTCGCCGCGTCGCCCACCGCCCGCCGTCCCACGGCTTTGCCTACGACGCTGCAGACTCAGCTACGCCCCGTTGCTCGCGCTCAGGCCCGCGTCGCGAACGCGACACCGGCGCGACACGCACTTCCCGCCAAGGTTACTGGCAGCATTTCCGCGATTGGTAGGGCCGCGAAAGTGGCCTTCCAAGTCACCCGAAAGCATGCGAGCTAGGCCGCTTCGGCACCGATAATCTGCAACAGCTGCCATGTAGCACCCGGTGCTCCCACCACTCACGTCACCCGCCCGCCGCACCTGGAAATCGGATCAATATTGCGGGCCGAGGTGCTTCTAAACGTGCCGGGTGGGGACCTGAGCCATCGACGACTGCGCGGCCCGGGCTACCGAGCTTCGGTGCGCAGAGCGCCGTGGACAGTGCAAAATAAATACGGCGTCAACCAGCGAGCAGAGCCAGGTCTAATGCGGACGAGCGTGTTCCCAGGCTCTCACTCTCCGAGTATTGCAATGTGGTGGGCAGAATGAACTTGACGGGACATGATGCTCTTGACTGACTGTAGATAATGCAAAGAACTTGACTGCACTCTGTTGATCTCCACCAGCTTGGGAGAAGCGCAGGGCACACGGCGTCGCAAGTCACCTGGATTCTCGGCTGCTTTCAGGCATGATACATGGGCTGGCCGATGTAGAGGGAACAAACAGCAATGTAGGTTTTCCCCGTAGGTTTTTCCCGGATCGGCTGCAGGGCCTGGCGAATCCGCGTCACGTCACGCCGCATCGGACCCTGTGCGCATCTGCCTTCAGCCAACCACAGCCCGGTTCTGCGATGAGCCTCCATCAACTTAGCTCGGCCATTGCGCTTTCGAATGAGTTCGTTGAGCTGCGGCCAAGGCGCTTCAGCATCTGCTCCGATCTCGCATGGGCTGGGAAGACATGATATAAAATCCCGTCATCCATCTATCTCGCTGTGATCGGAAATCACATCAGACACGACAACCCTCATCATGGCCGTACCGAAAGTGACAGGTTCTTGGAAGCGCATCCTCGACGCTGAAACCCTCCGCCGCTCATCCCAAGTAGTTGCCTCTTTCGGCAGCCAGCTGTTCCTTTTCGGCGGAGAACTTCAGCCCAGGTTGCCGGTCGATAATCATGTCCATCTCATTCAGCTAGATGGTGAGTTGATCCGTGCGCCATGCATTGGCCAATGGCAGCAAATACTGACATGCATGCAGCCGCGCCGGGTCAGGCCGCAGTGTCGACGCTGGCGGCCGACGACGGTTCTCCATCGCCGCGGGTTGGATCAGCATCGGCCTTGCTGCACGACGTCGTCTATTTATTCTCCGGCCGCGGCGGCGAGGCCATGGCTCCCATTGAGGAAAGGGGTTCATTGTGGGCATACGATCGCAATACGTCCAAATGGTCGACCGTTGCGCCGCTCAGTGCAAGCGCCCCCTATCCGCCAGCTCGCAGCTACCACTGTCTAGCCAGCGACGGCAAGAACAATATTTTCGTCCACGCTGGCTGCCCCGAGAAGGGCCGCTTGGCCGACCTGTGGTCTTTCGACCTGGCCACTAGAAAGTGGGTGGAGCTCGCTTCTGCGCCCGATCCTCCCCGCGGGGGATCGTCCATCGCCTACGCCCAGGGCAAGCTGTACAGGATGAACGGCTTCGACGGCAACACCGAGCAAGGCGGCAGCCTGGACGTCTTTGACCCAGTCGAGAACAAATGGTCGTCGATCAAGTACACGCCCGATGGAAACGAGGGCCCGGAGGCACGAAGCGTGAGCGCCCTGCTGTTCGTCCACATAGCCGGTCGCGCCTCGCTGGTCACGCTCTTTGGCGAGCGCGATCCAAGCGCTTTGGGCCATCAGGGCGCTGGCAAGATGCTTTCTGACGTGTGGGTGTTTGACATCGAATCAGCGAAATGGGCCAGGGTTGGTGGCGCTTCCGCCTCGGCACAGCACCAGCCGCCCGCCCGCGGCTGGTTTGCCGCAACCGCCGGCGACTCTGCAACTATTCTCGTCCACGGCGGTCTGGCAGAGACAAACGAGCGGCTGGGAGACCTGTGGCAGCTGGTGCTCTCGGCGTGAGCTGGGAGGGGCCGAATGCGGATGCGACGGTCATTGTTCGATGCACGAGTAGGGTCACTGGCCCGGCACTGCTCCCGACTTTCTTGCTTTACTGTGTAGGCCTGCAATTGGTCCGTTCCCACCGCCTCAAAATTCCCTGATTTGCGCCAAGTGAAGCGAAGCCCGTAAGCAGAAGCACCCACAGATTGCAAGCGGCCTGATGAGAGGGGGATCTTGGTTTTAACATAGACCTCGCCGCTCCTCTTCTTGTCGCGTCTCGTCTCTCGTTTCTTTGCCTACTCGCTTCCTCTGTGTTTCCACTGCAGTAGCCATGTTAGTATCAATACTACCGCTTTTGGTCTTCCCATTCGCCGCCTCCTCAGAGGCAAGTCCCGTCCTGGGCATACATCCAGGCCATGGTGGCGCGCCGGCGCCTGCTATGCCACCCCCTCTTGAGCCTCCTTCGTACTACTCTTCAGCCCTGCCCACGCCGAGCAGCGTACCAAATCACGACGACTCGCAGCAAAAGCCTCTAGACCAGCAGCCCGTTGCTCCTTTGCCATCTCCCCCTGGCAATCTAGCCATCTACTACAGTGCCGACGACTCATCACTCGCCGAGCTGTGCGCCGATGAGTCCATCGACACCGTCATCCTCGGCTACGTCCACGGCTTCGAAGCCACCAATGGGTTTCCCATCGTCGACTTCGGCGCCGCCTGCACCGCCAAGCACGCCGACGACGACCGGCATGCCTCGGGGCTGGCCTCGTGCCCAGAGCTCGGCCAGCAGGTGCAGACATGCCAGACGCGCGGCAAGAAGGTCTTCCTCAGCATCGGCGGTGGTCCTCGCAGTAATAGCACCCTGTCTTTCGTTGACCCGGCGGATGCTCGTCGTGCTGCTGTCATGCTGTGGAGCCTCTTTGGGCAGGGCAACCCGCACGGTCCGGACATGCGGCCACTGGGTGAAGCCGCTGTGGACGGCTTCGATTTCGGTAAGTGTAGAGGCTGTTGTTGTTTTATTTCCCTCCATTTTATCCGTTCGAATCCTATTTTCCCTCTCTCTTCTTCAGAAGAACAGAAGAGAGGGATCTCTGAGCTCCGAAATTTGCGAAAATGCGACCCAACAATTCCCCCTTTCCTTTCTTGACATCACCATCAACCCCCACTTCTCCTCACAAGAAAGGGAGATTATGAAGCAACATTAAAATCCCGCAAATCTCTGACATCACACCAATCGCAGCATGGACGTCAGCCGCAGCATCGTCATCTTCCGTTCAAGCCTTCGCCGACACTGTGCGCACGCTTTCCGATATGCGTAAGAATTACAAGCCCAGCCACATCTCAAGGACTCCTGAATGCGTAGCCGCAGCCGCGGATGGAAACGACGAAGAACTGCTCCGTGACGTCATTGATATCGCTTTCGCAACCGCCGACGCCGGTGATGATAGCGTATGCAACGTCAGTAGCATGAAGCAATCGCGATTCTGCACGGAAGGGGGTCTGGAGAGTAGAACGGTAGGCTGTGCGAGCCCGTACCGGACGAGGCTGGCAGAGAGAGGAGCATGAGCACGCTATCTCGAGCCGTTCGCTTGCGGCGCCGAGTTGCGTACGCGGTAAAAAGATGGCTGGTGCATGACGGACGGAAATGGGCGTTATCAAGGCATTTTGGCATCGTTTGGTTTCAGAGTGGGATTCCCTATACCACAGGGGAAAAGAGTCGCATCAATTGAAACAAAGCGTGGGGGACTGGGCGTTAACGGCAGGCATTTTGGTTGCATAAAGAGCTAGAGATCGGCATTGGAATGCAATGATACCATTATCGCTTTTTATCCACTGGTTTTATGCACCCTTGCGTCGTGGGTTCGGAATGCATTTCTCGGCACTGCTGACATCTAAACACCGAACAATTCGCTTCGGCCTCACTGGCATAGTCAATCTGCTAAGACTGCGGACAAAATTTCGTTTGCGATTGTGCTTGAATGCAAGGCACCAGTTCATGTTCGGGAAAATAGGCATCAATTCTTAAGACACGGGATACAGTATACAACACAATCAACACAATGCTTCCTGGCAAGATACTTCGAGAGTCGTTATATTCGTGACACATACAGTCTTTGCGACGACCTTCTAGGCACCCTTCCGCTGCGCAATGTACAAATGGCACTAATCGCTTAGTAGGTGTAGCGGAAGTTCGGGTCGTCAGGGTCAGTCTGTGAACTGTTAGCACCACAACCGTAAACGATATGGAAAGATGCAAACTGACATCGTTGCTCTCAATCATCTTCTCTCCCCTAGCCTGCTTCGCATTGTCGCGCCAGAAAGAGATGCCAATTATGCCGACAAGGAGGAGGTTCATTAGAGCACAAGCAATGCAAGCCCACATGCCAGGCCTGTAGTGGGGAGCATCTTGCGTACTGTAGCAAAGAGGAATCAGCGTCATGGAAAAGTAGGATCGCGAAGAAGAGAGACGGAATGAGCATACCGGAATACCAAACTTCCCGCGATTCCGCCGATGCCTCCGAAGCCAACGAGCGAGGCGCTAGTAAAGGCACGCTTCCACTGTCCGCGGATGTTGTTGGCTTGATAACTCATCGTGGCAGGGACATTGGCGTTGGCACCAGCAGTGACCAAAAAGACACCAAAGTACCGGACGCCCGAGTTGCTTGCAAAGCCCATGATCGGGAGACCGATGATGCAAAGAAGCATGTTGAAGGCAATGACGGGCCCTCGCACCCGCAAGCGGTCGCCAAAGTATCCAGTTCCGTACATGATGAGAGCCCCAAAAACGTATGGCGGGGCGACGAGGCACTGGGCTGCAGCAATGCTGAAACCCATGTTGACGCGCAGGATGATGGGTAGGAAATAGGCCAAGGCGTAAGTGATGGTGGTTGTGCCGAAGAAGATCAAGGCGTATCCCCACACCTTCCAGTCCATACCCCCGCGGAAAAACTTCTTCAGCGAGAACGACTCCATCTTCGCATCACCACGGTCGGCCTGGACACGGTTGATGATCCAACGCTTCTCGCGCTCATCCAGAAACTTCCATGACTTATGCTTGCCGTCGGGAAAGCCAACGAGAAGCCAGTAACCTCCTAAGCCAATGGCGCAAGTGAGCTTGAGTATGTTAGTATCGTTGGAGCTTACTTAAGGGTCATCCAGAACCTACGATGCCTTCGATGATGAAAATCCATCTCCAACCACCCTGGCCACCTAGACCATTCATTTGCATAAGCTATTACAGTCAGCTATACGCTTGTCATGACTAGGGCAAGTTTTCGTACCCCGTAAGCTAGAATACCGGAGCAGGCCGAGGCTACACAGCCGATAATGTAAAACACAGAGTATCTTTTACCCATCTCATCTGCTCTGGTGTCAATAGCTGTTCCCAAATTTCAGGTTCATGCTCGATGCACTTACATCTCACGTACCAAGTGCTCATCAGGTAGACGGCACTCGGGAAGAAACCGGCCTACAGACTATTAGCAGAACGCTTATTGCTGCGAACAAGTATGATGTACCTCAAGCACACCGAGGATGGCACGCAAACCGGCAAGAGTATTCCAGGTGTTGGAAAAGCCCATGCCGATCATGGTGGCTCCCCAGAGGAAGCATATAGCAGATAAATGCAAACGGGGCCCGATTTTGCGAACAATGACTGTCGAAGGAGGCTGGAAAATAATGTAGGTAATGAAGAAGACCAGGGTAACGATAGACTGCAGGGGTTAGCCAGTGATCCGATACGAGCCCAGAGGAAAGCACATACGTATCGATAACCGGTCGCCATATCAAGTTCGACACTCATTCTAAGCACCTGTCAGCAGAGCACGTGGCATCAGATCGGCAAACATACCCGGCAATGTTCGCAGCCGACAAATTTGTCCGGTCCATCAAGCTCACACAGTACATGACGCCGACCGTCACCACCAGGCGCAGGTCAATCCGACGGATAATCTTCCTCTGCTCCTCGGGCGTGAAGCCCATGTCATCGGGGCCGGCTCTGGAGTCGACATCAGACCCATTGGTGTCGATGTTGTCGATGTGCTCGACTCTGTCCTTCTCGATGTCGGTCATGACGGGAGGCCCGACTTGGGTGGCCTGCATGGTGGAGGAAAGGGCGGGAGCGAGGAGAGGAGTGCAGTGTCAAGAGATCCACAGCGGATGCTGGCCCCTTTCATACCGCATGTCCGACAAGAAATTCCCCGCACGTTCGGGTCAATCACCAGGGGGTAGCGTCCAAGAGGGTGGAAAGATACCGAGGGTGGCACTGGGGGGCGCCATGGTTCCTTGGCAGCGAGGAGGCGGACAGCGGACTTGTTACTCGGATTCGCGAAGCGTGGGGAACAAGCACTGTATTGCTGGCCGCGAAGAGTGGGTCTCCAGAAATGATGGGGTAGCGACCCGGGGCCCCGCAAAGGACATGACCGAATTGTGGAGCGTGCCAAGGGTGCGGCTTGACCCAACGCCCATCGACTCGTCGTAAATCGTCCTTCTGGCCGCCTTGGCGGGGCCGTGTTCGCGTGGTTTTCTTATCTGTCGGCTAATGTTTTGACCTCTCGTCTACTAGGTGGCAGGTGCCACACCGTATCTAGAGCTGAGTCGCAACTCCCTTGATGCCTGCCAGCGGCGTTAGGCCCCTGTATGACTTGCAGCAATGAGACAAGGCGACTCGCTGTGTCATGCAGGAGATCCTGAGCTGAGGCCTGTTTCACTGCAGAAAGCAAAGTGAAGCTCTGCTGCCTCGGGAGCACCGGCTCCTCCTAGCTTGGGTCCATTTTCCCAATCCGGCACTTTGCTCGACGCCTTGCAAGGTGGCGACCCGGCTGACCTCAAAAGCCAACGCTCAAAGTTGCTGTATTGAGTTAGGCTATCGACTTTTCATACGGTAAGCCAGTCCAAACAACTCAAGCTCGCCAGATATACCGACTACACATTATGATTAAGGGGCGGGTGAAATAAAAGTCTGTCATCGTATCATATCATCGCTAAGAAGAATCCAACCCGCCGTGTGCCAGGGCTTTCCCGAGTCGCCCGGCCTCTATCCAACGCCGTGAAGTGGAAACCCGCAAGAGAAATGATCAACAGCACCCTCCGCGGCTCCGCGAATTCGAGATCCTAAACACCTCTTCCCACTCCTGCACCCCCGACAGGAGCGCTCCTCCTCGGCGCTTGCCTTTGCGCCTTTTCCGAGTTCCTCCGCCGTCTGTGGTGCCGCTTTTGATGCTGCCGTCATCGTCGTAGAATGCCCCCCAGCCACCGCTATCGCCATACTGGATGCCGCTCTGCGGGTCGTCGGGATCGATTTCTCCAATTTCGATCTTGGTGAGGATCATTCTGGCTAGGCGAGAAAACACCTCCTCGACATTGTCTCCTGACAGCGCCGATACTTCGACCGAGACAGGTATAGACGCATCTATGGCCCAGCGTGAGGCCACTTCTGTGGAGACCTCGCGCCCTTCTGGAGCTACAGTAACCGTGGTTTGTGCCCCAAATGCGCTCCTTGATGACGATAATGATCCCCAAGCAGCCCTGCTATTTACGCTCGACGGTGTCGGGATCGGCTCGTCCAATATCGATGGTTCGGGCTCATATTGCGCTTCCGAATCTTCCAAGTCTTTCTTGTTTCCAGCAAGGATGACGGTGAGTTGCGGAGAGGCGAGGGCGCGGGCGTCATTCAGGAAGGTAGGGAGGGCTCTGAAGGATGCGAAGGAAGCAATGTCGTAGACGAGAATGGCACCGGCGGCACCGCGATAGTAAGAACGCGAAACGGAGCGGAATCGTTCGGTTCCTGCCGTGTCCCAGAGCTATTGTGGTGAGCGTTGGCGCACAGCATGGCAGCCAAGGCAGCTTTACCTGGAGCTTTATTCGTTTCCTACGTGCACCGCTTCCGACCTTTATGATCTTGGAGGCAAATTCGACGCCAATCGTTTGCGAGGAGAAAATCCGCCCTAGGAGCGGCGTCAGGGGTGGCTAGCGCAACAGGAAGCTGGCAGAGGCGTACACTCATTCTTCACGAACCTGTGCAGCAAACACGACCTGGGAAGGGTCAGGTCACGGCACGAATAAAGCAGGTGGAGGAGCGCGTACTTGCCACAGCCGCTTGGCCCGAGCAGAATGATCTTCGCGAGGTAGTCGTACATGCTCCCGAGCTCCTGCGCGTCATGTTAGCGTTAGGCAGCGTGTCGAGAGCGAGCAGCGCACCTGGTCGCGCACGGCGGACGCGGAGGTGGTCGAGGCCGTCGAGGGCGCGCGTTGGCGAACCATGGCGGCGACTGGGACGGATCGAGGTGCGAAAGACGCAGCGCAGAGGATGTGTGGGAGAGAAAGGCAGTCTGGAAGTACAGGTTGTTCGAGGGAGCGGTGACGATGAGGCGGGCCATGCGCTGTCACGGCGCGAACCGGGAGGCGCATCATACGGCTGCCGATCACCGCTATCACTATCGCAAGCTGTGGCTGTGGCCAATCGCTCGCAGCCGTCGCGGTCACGTCGCGACACGAGACTGTAGTTCTTCCCACTGCTCCAGACCGGTTGCACTGCCGCCCTTGCGCTCTAGCAGCTGCCCTGCCGCGCTTCCCACGCGCCTGGGATCGCAGCTTCCCCCACGCCACGTTGCTCGCCGCACGTCATTATTTTCCAGGCTTGCTTCCGCCCTCGCAAACGTGCGGTTCCGAAACGAAAGCAACCATGTTCCGGAGCTTTCTGCTCAGCCCTACAACAATGTCGCGTCGCCGAAGTCCAGACCCCCCGGCCTTACGCCCGTACAAGCCGGCGCAAACGTCATCTCGTGGCGCTGCCTCCCGCAGTGTCGCGTGTCCCTCTTGAGCGTAGGCACAAACTTCTCCTTTCTAACATTTTTTGTCACTTGAAATCTTCCTTACTGCGACATGTCGTGGCTGTCAACGCTCAATCCTGTGCCCGGCTTTCCGGAATACAGCGGCCCCTATGCCGTGGGTTCTTTCGACGTAGAAATCCCCGTCTCGGAGCTCGAGTCGCCCAGCACGCCTCCCGAATCGAGCGTGTCGACGACATCCTTCCGCGTTTTCTACCCGTGTGAGCCGGGCTCCCAAGAGAGGGCGGTCCGCTGGATCCCATCGCCGCAAAGGGGCTATGTGAGTGCATATGCTCGTTTCCTGGGAGCCGGATCCGCCCTCGCCCAAATCTTTGCGTAAGTCGCATCCCATCACTAAGCTACGCAGTAGCGCTGACACCCACGAGATATTCTTTCCAGCTACTCAATTTTGCAACGATCCCTGTCAGCCGGAACGCACGCCTCCTATCGCCGCCAACGACGTCCAAGAGATGGCCCGTCATGATCTTCAGCCATGGCCTTGGAGGCTCTAGGAATGCATATTCGCACATATGTGGCTCCATCTCCAGCTATGGAATCGTGGTCATTGCTCCGGACCACCGCGATGGCAGCGCTCCAATCTCTTACGTTCGCGCGACAGATACTGCCGAGGCAAGCACCGTAGACTACCAAAACATACCACACAAGCCCAGCAGAGAGGTTTTCGAAGCGAGAGATGCGCAGCTAAGGATTCGGCTCTGGGAGCTGGGGTTGATCCACGATGCAGTGCTGAAGATGGATGCAGGCGCCGAGGTGAAGAATTTGGACCCGAACAAATCTCGAGACGCAAAGAAAGAGACCAATACCCTGCTTTCGATGTTTAAAGGAAAGCTTGATGTCCAACGGCCGGGTTCGATTAGCTGGGCGGGTCACAGTTTTGGTGCGGCAACTGTCCACCAGCTCGTCAAGTCGGTCTTCTACCGGCCAGACTCGAAAATCGAGGGCTACACTCCTCTGTTCACCCCGAGTCCGACTTCGCCGATTGTCCAGCAGATTACCAGCTCTACTCCCGTCATCCTCCTGGATATCTGGTGTCTTCCGTTGACAAGTCCGAACACTAAATGGTTGGCGGACAAGCCACTTCCGTGCTACGCGCCCGAAGGTCCAGGGGGGACTGCTCTACTTGCAGTCTTGAGCGAAGCATTTGTCAAGTGGACTGATCACTTCCAGGAGACCAAGCGCAGGCTTTCAGAGGATCCTTCGTCGAACGCGCCGGAGCATACGAAGCCTGCACCACGCTTCTTTTACCCGCTAGGCTCCGCTCATCTCTCGCAGTCGGACTTCGGCATTCTTTTCCGCTGGGTCGTCAAGAAAGTGCTCAAGACGGACGAACCCGAGCGGTACCTAAAGCTGAATGTTCGTGCCATTCTCCAGGTGCTGCGCGAGAATGGTACCGAGGTGGCTGATACGAGCCGAATCGATATGGAGGAGGCCGGAGCTTCTGATGAGAACCAGGGCAAGGCAGGAGATTGGAAAATTCTAGAGACAAATGGAGCGGTCAGAGGCTGGGTAGCACTTTCCACAAGCCTTGACCAGCCCTCGGACGGAGGCGCGAAGGGCGAACCGCTCACTCAAGTCACCAAGGACGAGGGTGTGGAACTTTGACATTGAGGATTCATCTTCCCACCTTAATGACTGTACACGTTAGCATGGCGTTTGGTAGATTGGTTAGAATATGCGTTTAGTTAGATTTGGATAGACGTGTGGATTGAATAGACTACTTGTTTGCATGCATGAAATAGCCTCTCGATCTAACTGGACGGGGCTCAGGCGGCCCGAGCTCCCTCTTTGCGGCAGAACGACGCGCGCGGATTTCATCATAGCTCCTCACTCAGATCCAACCTCCCCACCATGGTCAAACCTCTCACGTTCAAAGGCGATAAGAAGCCCAAAAAGCGCAAGCGTGCGGCCGCGGACGACAACGACGATGGTGCTCCTGCAAGCAAGGAGCTCGCCAAAGCCGCCAGCTCAGCAGCTGAAGACGACGATTCCTGGGTGACGGCCGAAGCAGTCAGCGACATTGCAGGACCCGTCACCTTTGTACTACCCACCGAGCCGGCTACATTCCTGGGCTGCGACGCCAACGGCACCGTCTTCACAAGCAAGGTCGAAAACATGGTCGAGAACGATGCATCAACAGCAGAGCCGCACGACGTGCGCCAGGTGTGGATCGCAAACAGAGTCGCGGGTAACGAGAGCTTCAGCTTCAAGGGCCACCATGGGAAGTGAGTGTCTTCTTCTATTATGCCCTCTCAGTATGCTGACCCTTCACTCGAGGTATCTTGCATGCGACAAGTTCGGCGTCATGTCAGCCCAACGCGAGGCAGTCTCACAAGACGAATCATTCCTCTGCATTCCCGTCGCCGACAACCCGGGAACATTTGCCCTACAGACCCAGCGTGACAAGTTTATCACAGTTGACGAGGGCAAAAACGAAGTTCGTGGCGATTCCGAGAACATCGACTTCAACTCGACCTTCCGCATCCGCATGCAGGCCCGCTTCAAGCCGAGACCAAAGACGAACAAGGAGCAGCGGGCCGCGGAGAAGATTTCCAGAAAGGAGCTGGAAGAAATGGTGGGAAGGCGATTGGAGGACGATGAGGTCAAGAAGCTGAAAAGAGCACGAAGGGATGGCAATTTCCACGAGACTCTGCTCGACGTCAAGGTCAAGGGGAAGCACGATAAATTTGCGTAATCCACAGCCACTTCCAGAGCGGTCAGCAAGGCTGCCACTGGGCCTAGGCTTTTGAAAGCCTCCTAAAGAGGCAGCTCGATTGAGAGAGGCGGGCTGTGCTCGTCGTCACCTGCCCACGCATCCGCGGATTCTACTGGCCCGCCAGTTACAGTCGACGTCCGGCACTGAATCCGCGCGAAAGGGTGATTGGTGCTCTTGTTGAAGTAAAAATAGCGAGCAGCTTGCCGTGAATCTATGGATGTACGCTCGACGCCAGCTCTCAGCTAAAGACATGATGCCTACTATACTAACCAAGAACCCTGCAGGTGACATACAGGTACGTATAATGCACGTCTCTCTTAAGAGCAACTATTTTTCATTTCGTTGCTGGCCTGATTATCTTGGCTTTTCAAATGAACCCGGAATCTGGGCAACTGAGCATGACTCTGACCGGTGGTCATAGATGGCCAACAATCTCACCGCCTCGACACGGTTCCGCAGAGCACCGGCAAATGTTCTAGGGCGTAGGGAAAGCCGTGCAGAAGACTGGGCACGCATTGACTAAGGAAGATTACTAGTGAGAGGGAAAAAACTTCTAAGAATGCCTACTGTGGGAGCCATCGGAAGTGGCGTCTCAGGCTGTCTGGGGAATTGAGAACCCGAATCAGATTTCTGGGCGCGCAAGGCGGGCCATGTCGCATGACGCAGATGTTTCCAAGCAGTAACAGCAAATGGCTGGCTCGAGCGTACGCGTTTCGTGTGCGTCCGGGGCAGCTATTCGCTCGCTTTCGGGATTCCCCTGACAGCGCGAGTGCTGAAGGTTACAGCCACAGCCTTCCCGCGGCTCGGCACGTCTTGGCGCGCAGCAAGATCAACACTCCCCGCCCGACCATACCTGCCGTGGTTCCAATCAAGCCGCAGGTTGGGCAAAGAAGCGTACTCTTGGCTCTCAAAAGATCACGCTTCCGGTGCCTGGTCGCACCGACTGCGCCTCAGGAATCGTCGTCAGTGCGGTCATGGGGGGAAATGACGCTGCTGTCGATGGAGCGGGTATAAATGCCCCCGGACATCGGGGTGCGGAGTAGATTGCAAGCCACTTCGTTTCTGGTCAACAGTCACACGACACTACAAACATCCCTCATTATCCCAATCACCATGCAGTTCAAGACTCTCGCTCTCTTCTCGGCCCTCGCCGCCGCTGGCCTGGCTCAGGACATCGACAACAATGACGTCCCCAACGCCTGCCGCTCTGTCTGCCAGAGCACTGTCGACCTGACCACCCAGTGCGATCGCCAGACCGACGACGATGATCAGAGCTACCTCAACTGTGTCTGCTCCACCACCAACGCGAGCAGCTTCATCCCGGAGTGCGAGGCTTGCGTCGCCGCCAACGACGAGGCTGACAACGGTAAGAAGGGCCCTCGCACACCATTGCCACAATACGATAACTAAGAGGAATCACAGACGTCCGCGACATCGTCCGCTCTTGCTCTTTCACCCAGGTCTCCACCTGGAACTCGGGCACTGCCACCGGCACCGCTACTTCGTCCGCTTCCACCTCCTTCAGCATCACCTTGGCCAGCTCGGTCACGGCCACCGCCTCGGGCACTGGTTCTTCGGCCACCGGCCAGACTACCGGCACTTCTAGCAGCACCGGCACCAGCGCCTCGGCCGGCACCACCGGATCCGCTCAGGCCACCGGCGCTGCACCTGCCGTCACCGCCGGCTTTGGCGGTCTCGCTATGGCCGTTCTGGCCGGCGTTCCTGCCCTCCTGTAGATTGGTCTACTGAGTGTGGGAGACCATCCGGGCTTCTCCGGTCACGGTTCCACCATCCGAAGGGCATCCTGTCCTTGAGAGCACAGACGTGTTTTTGCGGGATTCAGGAGGGAAATTGGGTAGACAAGACGCGGGTTTACGACTTTCAACGACTTACTGCCCAAGATACCAGACAGATATTATTAATAAATTTGACTAATGACTTGTCTTTGACATCCTCCCATGCTTTGGTTTAGAAAGTTGTTTGATTGCAGACCCACTTCAATGGCAGATGCGCATCTTCGAGCGCTGAGATCTGCGATTTCTGTGAGAATAATTAAGAAATAGTACGCGTAGAAAGGTGATGGAATCTTCAAAAGGCGATGGTCGTAATTGAATCAACCAATGCTGTGGCGCGAAACGAAGTGTGTATATGGGAATGCGAAGAGCCGCACATAGGCCCTACTAGTTGTCGCCGCTTAGAGGGGTAATCCATCGTAATCTCAACAAAATGCCCAAAGCAAGATGGAGCGCGATAAATGCCCATGAAAACTCGGTAACGCTATCGATGGCTCACGTTAACTCTTGGAAAGTTGGAGTACATGCATCCATTCCGAAAACAGAGGGTATCGCAGCCGAAGGCCAGCGTGAAGAATAGTAAGGCTCCAGGCGGGACTATGCTCCAGCTCTTTCTTAGAAAATAACATATGTGGACAGTTGAAGCTATCGTCCGGACGAGAGAGTGGAATTAAAAAATTTACATATTCGTCCGGACGATAGCTTCAGCTACCCATGATATGAGCAAAAAACAAGTTGTGCGAGGGGGGACTGAAAGACCCCACCATCTGGCACAAAAGCACATCGATCAATGAGAAGCTGAACCAACGAAAATCTTGTTGTTGATCGGCGCTCTTTCCGTGAATAGATGCATTGCTGTTCTGCCAAGGTACCACATCACCACTAGCGCTTCAGCGGGGCTGTGCCTTGACTGCCTAACCACATCTCAGCCTCGAAGGATCAAACACGACAGACGATCGATGTATCCCACCAGCCATTCAAATCGCCCAAAGAAAGCACAAGTCCAGTGACGTTACTTAGCTTGGCGGAGCGGAGCGGACAATACATAATGCCTGGCAGTCTTTGTCCGTCACCATCAAGCAACCAATTTCACATTATTCCCCCATCCCTCTGAGACTTCAAGAAAAAAAAAGAAAAAATACGTCTTTAGAACATGGCAATCCCATTCTCCAGATTCACCCATTCCCCGCCCGCACGCTGGCGCGGTCGCTTGAAACATGGCCCCCAGCTGCTTGTTCCGCTGCTGGTCTTGAACATAACCATCATGGCGCTCATAGCCGCCTCGCTGATCTATTCCGCCACGACCACAACGCGCTATGGCTCGCTGGGTATCGGTATATATTGGGACCGTGACATCAATGAAAGAGTGTAAGTTCCAAGATTCCATCTTCTCCCAATCACCTTCTGCTTCCATAAACTTCTTCACATCCCTCCAACCAAAGTCCTAAAAAAAAATACCAAGAAAGCGACCTACACCATCACCGCTTCAAAAGCTAATGACTTCCGCAGAAACAAAGTCTTCCTCTACCTCGCCGTCCCCATGATCGACTCCTTCCACCTCCTCGCACAAATCACCGCCTACCTCATGACTCCGCGCTCCTCCTCCACCTCCTCCTCGCCATCCTCCCCACCCTCACTCTCTCTCCTCCACCCAGCCGCCGCCCTCTCGGGCGCCCTCGTCTCCTTCTGCCTCTGGGCCTACCAGGTCCCCATCGCGGCGGTCATGGACTACATCGGCTGGGAGCAGCCGCGCGACGGCACCTGGAACGCGCTCGCCGCCGCGCGCTGCGCCGCCGGCGTCGCCGTGTGGCTGCTCTGGACCGCGAACGCGGGCTTCGCCGCCGCCGCCGTGCACGCGTGGCGCCGGGACAGGGCCAGGGTCGGGCGCGAGAGGGCGAGGGAGGAGGGCCGCGCGCAGGGGTGGGAGGAAGGGCGGAGGGAGGCTGAGGCTGGGGGCTTGGAGTTGAGGGGGTTGGGGACGACGACAGGGACGAACAAGGTGTCTGGTGAGACGATGGTGGATGTGGAGCTGGAGGGAGGAGGGGTTGGGAGGAAAGGCTGAGTGGTCGAGTCTGGGTAGGGAAGAGTGAGTGATCTTTCTAGATCAAATCGCGGTAATGTCTGATGGAAATGATTATGAAGGAGGGAATTTTCAATGCAAGGAAACGGAGGACAGAAGAGGGGTCACTATGAATGTGGAAGTAATGGGTGATGCTGGTGGACGATAATGTTTAATTAGGCGATGATCACTTCAGTAACGTTGAGATGCAGTAAAGAGACCATGAATACAAGCGAGCAATATAAGGTAGCTCACTGAATGAAATTCAAACCCACGGCCATATGAAAAGGCGGGGGTGAAATGCTCCCAATTAGGCAGTGGTGTATTTGGAAGCATGATTTTGCCTACGCAGTGGGAGGGCCGCTGGATATATGGGGTGGCTACTCTGCTTCCGAGAAACCCAAATCCCACCATCTTCGTGCAACATTAGTAATATGGTCCAAGACCGTGCCAAGCTTACTACGCCCTACTTCTGGAATATAGCTCTCAGCGGCCGGATCTTCTCCCTTATCCAGAGAGTGAGCATCAGTCAGTCGTACCTTCGTCCGCATTGTCCTCCTTAGTGCCAGTGGCATGCGCATCAGTCTCACTCGAAGCCGAGCCCTCTCCGTTTTGATCAGCCATGTGGACATCAGCAAGTGCTTTAGCCTCGTCGCCAGAGGCAGCCTGTAGGAGCAACAAGTCGGCCATATTTGTGAACTCAACCCATCGCTTGCTTGGATCCTCTTCTTCATCTTCCTCTTCAGTAATGACGAAAGTTTTCGACTCCAGCTTTCCACCTTTGTTGCCAGCACGCATCGCAGCTTGCTTACGTGGAACGTCAGGAGCAGCAAGCTGCAAATATGCAGCATCTTCATCGACCTCCAAGACCCTGGCTCTGCGGTACTCAGATATGACAGGCTGCCAGCCAGTTAGTTCTGAAACTTCCATCTCCTTGTAGACAACGACAGAGCCGGTGTGAATATCCGCTGGCGCCAGCTTTTGCAGAGTAGTAATATCCGAAGGCAGAGGAGGGAGGTCATCGCCCGCACTCGTCCCCTCGCTGGACCTCTGGCGCTTCTCCGAAACTTCTGTCATGCTCTGCGCATCCTGCGTCTCTTGGAGGAGCTGCGACTGTGCAGCATCGACCTCATCATAGTTAAGAATGGCCCATTCCTCGTTTCCTTCTGGTTCGTAGTACTGATCCTGCTCGTCATAGGTCTGATTGTTCCTCTTACGCTTTTTCTTGTTCTTCTTCTTGGTCTCGTACTCCTGATCATACTCATTGAAGTAATGCTGCTGCTGATCCCAGCGTTGCTTGAACGGGAAAGGAGGCGCACTCAGCTGCTGTACGTTCTCATCAGAAACTTCGAACGCCTTTAGCTCGATTCTAGACTTCCAGGCATCGGGATCCTGGAGATCCTCGGGTTCATCGTCTTCTGCCTGCACCGAGGACTTGGCATCGGGCGTCTTTTTGCCACGTCCGTTTGCGTTGGCAGCTATCTTATCCCTCAGCTTCTGTTCTTCCTCCTTGTTCTTTGGAGTACGGAGACCCAGTGACCCCATAGTCAAGCGACGGAAGCTACCGACATCGATGCGCTTACGCTTGGGGGCTGGAGTATCTGCGATTTCGCTCGTGATCTCCTGGGTCGGCTTAGAGGTACTGTTTGGTGTGGAATTGACAGCAGACTTTTGAGCCTCGTAGTCGTGGTTTTCCTTCCCCGACTTGTCTAGAAGACCCCCCTGGACGTCCAAGTCTACTGCTTCGCCCTCTGCAGTTTTAGCATCTGTGAAGGTAGACACTGGATCAGCTAGGACATTCTTCTCTGGGGTGGTGGTTTCGGGCGTAAAGGTATTGAGCATCTTGAGGAAGGCCTCCTTCTTCTCTTTGAGCCTATCGGCTTCCAAACGTTCAAGCTCCTTTTCTATTGGATGGGAAGGTGCAGTAATAACGTCAGTCCATCGGGGGCTGCCGGGGGATTCCGGCTGCTTACCAGTTTGTTCAGAGGGCACGTGGCTCCCATGAAGCTCTTTCAGCTTCTTATGGAGTCTGCCAAGGCGACGACGCCTATTGCGCGCTTTGGTTCTCTCTAGACCTTGGAAAGGCGCACCAGTTGGCTTCGGTGAGCCATTCTGGTTGCCAGCACCCTTCTGAGCCGAAGTGGCAGGAACTTTGGAACTGATCTCATCCGGCTCTGAACTGGAGGCGGAATCATCTTCGTCAGAGGAAGACGAGTCCGAGTCGGATGAATCGCTGGATGAATTGGCATCAGATAAGTCGCTGTCGGACGAAGAGTCGTCAGACGAGGAGACGTCGGAAGAAGAGTCCGAGTCGTCAGAAGACGAGTCTGAATCAGAGCTAGACACTGAAGAGTTATCGACCAAAGCGGCATCGGCCATTTTAGTGTTAGAAGCTGCGCGGCTCGAGACGTCCGACAAGCTGTCCGCGATGCTGCTAGTGGAAACATTGTCGCTAGACGCAACTTGATATTCCTCCTCAGTATCGTCGAGATCCGAAAGAAGCGCTAGCATACCGTCATCTTCTTGGAAATGCACGCTCTTGTCCGACTTGTCTGACTTCACAGAGTCCAACCTTCTCCGCTTCGGGGTCGGCTGCTCTACGTCGAAGTCTTCATCGTCTTCGTCCTCATCATTGTGGTCCTGCAGTTGAGGCGCATTTTCGAGGAGCGCAGGAAAGGCGTCTTCATCGGCGATAGGGTTCTTCAAAGGAGGGATGTTGATGGACGGACGATAGGGCTTGCGGGAGGCAAAGTAGGATTTGCCGAAGGGAATGCCATCAATAAGATGCTGGCCGTTAGCATTGATCTGATCGCGGCCGGCGATATGGCGTGCGCGAAGCTCGGGTTGGGTGAGATAGCGAATGCTAAGGCGGTTTAGCATGTCTCGACCCAAGGATTGTCGGCGAGAGCAGAGCCTACCAAACTTGGTCCTCGTCCTTGAATATGTCCTTGACCTTCTGGAAGTGCAGGGCCTCGTAGTTGTTGATCTCGACGGCGTAGTCCTCCAGGCCCCAATGCGGGCTCTCGAGCGGGATGATGTCGTTGAGGTTCTCGAGCAGCTGGGCGACGGTAAAAGCGTCGTGTGCCCTGTCGTCAGGCACTGCCCACAGCAGATCGGCCGCGGGCAGGTTGTGGCGGCGGATACTCAGGCGGAGCCTCATTTTGGGGCGGGTGAGTCGCGTCGTGGCGGGAGCACAGAAGGAAGAATGACGGCGTCAAGGCGGTAGGTGGAAAATAGGGCTGAGCTGCACGGGCCACCGCCCGAAGCTCCGGGCCCGGGTCTGGCGCAGGGCAGCCGCCAGCTTCAAAAGCCGAGCGGCGATCGCGCCAGCACACTCCATTCGGCATTCTTCTGCGAAGGACTGCGCGTGCACCCTGTCTCATCCTCACCCTCGGCAACCGCCCTGTCTGCCGCAATACTAAACGGACGGACCTCCCCCATCTCGGCAACGCGGCTCCCAAGCCCACATTGAAACATACCCAAGATTCGTCTACATCTGCCACATTGCTTCTTACGTCAACGGAAACACTCGAACTGCCGTCCATAGTCCTTGGATGTGACGAGACCGGAACCCCCGTGCCGCCCGGGACCACATGAGCAGAATAGAGTAGTTTTGCCTCGAAGCAGCCTCGTTTATCCGGCCTCAAACCTCTTTCTGCTGTCTCCGGAGCGCATGGACGAGCATTTGAGTTGTGGCTGAGTTGGGTCTCCTGTTCGCGTTGAGGCGCCGCCGGGCCGACGGTTGCGTAGGTGCGCACAATTGAGCACATTTCTCAGAATGGTAGCGGCCAAGGCCTCCGAACGCGCGCCTAGCCCTACCCGCCCACTTTCCGCCCGGATTCCCTACGCAATCTCCAAGTCGACAGCTCCGCTTTTGCTGCTGTTTGGCGCCTCGACGTGCTCGCTTCTGTCGCATCTTCAATCCAGCTGTCGTGTTTCGCTGCTTGCTGCTCCACCCTGGCTCTTGGCGGGGCCGCCACCGGTGGAAGCACCCATAACGCTTGCTCATCCTTTAAGACTACCTCTCCCGCCTACCATGTATCACCAGTCACAGCTTCTGATCCCCCAATGGCTTTGTGTTGACCCTCGCATTTTACCTCGCCCTCCTTCCCATCCTCAGCCAGGGTAACCCCCTTTTCCTTTTGAATCGCCCAAGTCATCAACCATGGAGAGGAGACATATCCAGGATGAATCCTCCGCTCAAGCGCTGGAGCACCACTGGGGCTATGCGGACCGAGTGGTTCCGTGTACCAATGACGCCGGCACTTGTGAATATTTGGATGCCGTCTATTGGATGATGGACATGTCCATGCTCTACACCTTCATTTTGTGGGCAGTCATTGGTGGTCTCTTGGCCCTCTGGGTGTTCCTGCGCTTTGCAAAGCCGAGCAGGAAACTGTTCCACCGCGTATTCCAGGGGAAAGAGGATCTTGAGGCACCCGCGAGTAGAGATCTTCAAAGCAGTGTGTACAGGGCATACAGGACCACCGTGGTCGCGCTTAGGAGATGGCTCTTGCCCGAGACGCTAAGAAGCATTTTCGGCAACATCTCGAGGCTCCAGGTGTTGATCCTCGCCTGCATCCTTGTATATCTTCTCATCTTCACGTAAGTATAGGACTTTGTCGTGCATGCCCATCTGCTAACATTGGTAATGCAGGCTCGTTGGCACCGTTTATAAGACTTGGGTGACTCCAGTCAAGAACATGCCTGGCGTCTACAATACTCGTACCGGTTTCGGAGGCTTCTCGGACAGGGTTGGTGCTTTTGCTTATGCCCTCACCCCGTTCACCGTTCTTCTCGGATCCCGCGAAAGCGTCCTCTCACTGCTCACCGGCGTTCCGTACCATCACTTCAACTTCCTCCACCGCTGGACCGGTCGCATCATCTTCATCCAGTCTTTCCTTCATACACTTGGCTGGACCATTGTTGAAGGGAAGCTTTACCAGCCCCAGCCAAAGGTCTTTAAGGAATGGATTGCTCAGCAATACATAATTTTCGGAATCGTCGCCATGGTGTTTATGACCTTCCTCTACATCTTCAGCATCAGGAGAGTTATCCAGTGGACCGGCTATGAGTTCTTCAGGAAGACACACTACATCGTGGCAGTACTGTACTTCGCAGCATGCTGGGGCCACTGGGTGCAGCTCGCATGCTGGATGATTGCAAGCATCGGGTTGTTCTTCATCGACCGAGGCTGCCGTCTCCTGCGCCTTGGCCTCATCCACACCGGCTACAAGAGTGGGAACAAGGGCTTTGGCTTCCGCGCTGCGCAGTCAACCCTCCAAGTCTTCGAGGATGGCGACTCTACTGTTGTTCGCATGGACTTCGAGCACAACCATGATCCTTGGAAGCCGGGCCACCACTTCTACCTCTGCTTCCCGGAGCTCACCATCTGGCAATCCCATCCATTTACGCCATCCTCCCTTCCAGCGCCACACCCAGCTCTACCCCACCACACCTACATCATCCGCGCCGAGAAGGGCGAGACCAAGCGCCTCGCCGATCTCGCCAAATCCGCCGACTTCTCCACGCCTCAGAAGACCACACCAGTCATCCTTACTGGACCCTACGGCACTTCCGTCCTGGACGAAGACAACAACCAAATCGACAACTTCCTCTGCATCGCCGGCGGTACCGGTGTCAGCTTCACGCTGCCCATCGCCACGGCCGCCGCGCAGGCCGGCGCCGCCACCGTTGACCTTGTTTGGATCGTGCGCAAGACGGACAACGTCGAATGGATCCAACCCGAGCTGCTCGACCTCAAGGCCCGCATCCGCGACGGAACGCTACCTAACCTGCGCATCAAGATCTTCGTCACGCGCGACCAGGAGACGGCGGCGGCGAAGCTCAAGGCGGGCGAGAAGGACGTCGACATATGCGCGTGCTCCGTCTCGTCGCGCCTGTCGGACGTGCTGGCGCCGCAGCAAGGCTTCGACGTCGTCTGGCTGGAAGATCACCACCCAGACGTGCGCGAGTGCTTGCGCGAGTTCGCGGAGCGCTCGGCGGCGGCCGGAGGGCGGTGCCAGGTCGCCGCCAGCGGACCCAGGAGTTTAGGTACCGATCTGCGGAGCGCGATCGCGGAGAAGAGCGAGGCCGGAAGGGTGTGGCGAGGCGATGAGAGCCACGATATCGACCTTTACTGGGACGATAGGATGGGCTGATGTGATAAAGAAAGAAAGAAACAAAAAAACACAAAACTAAATGATGAGAGCTCTGACAGGCCTCAGAGACAAATTTCTGAACGATATAGTAATGATCATTGGATATCCATTGTGCGCCCAAGAGATTTTTTGGCGCCATTCTCCCTTCAAAAACGCCGGAACCAATTGTACAAAGTGATCTATGATGCTTCTGTTCATGACCAACCGCTTTCTGCTCTTCCTGTGCGAAAGCGACTGTACAGAGTTAAAGATTTCGAAGCGAAATGGGAATTTTTACGCCGTGGCCCTTCCAGCCTATCTCCGCGCGCCTGAACTCGCACCGCCGCGCGGCCGTGACCTGCCTTTCCTCGCCGCGCCCCTCTGTGCGTACTTCTCCAGCTCCTGCTCATCAAGCTCCTTCTCCTTGTCCTCGGGCAGCAGACTGCCCTCGATGGTGATAAAACCCCTGTCGTTCTCCGTGCGCGGCGACGTCTCGAAATCCCGGATGCGGAATTTAATCACGCCGTCCACCTTCTTGCCCTGCGCATCCACGAAATGTCCCTGACCAGCGTCCGGCTTGTCCGCATCCATATCCTCGTCGTCCGCGCCCTCGCCTGCCTCAACCCACGTCCAGTCCTCAGGCAGCCGCTTGCGGTCGATACTCGCGGAGAACAGGTTCCAGCACACAAGGCCGAGATGGCTCTCGTTTTGCAGGTTGACACTACCCTCAATCCAGATTCCCTTGCGTGGGCGCAGAACCACGAAATCGGCCGTGACCCAGACGAACGACACGGCGAACTCGTTGACGGAGCGGGCCAGCACGACGCCGTTGGTCGCGCCGCCAGGCACTTCGGATAGCCGGGCGTTGTTGTAGGCGAGAACGACACCCTTGAGCGGCGGGTAGTAGGTCAGAAGTAGCGGCGACAGATGCTCGGCGCACAGCGCCTTGAGGGGATACTGTTGGCCAATCGATGCGAGCGGAACGTAAAGCGACGCGGTTTGGAGAGCGAAAGGCGAATCGTCGGAGTCGGCGGTCTTGGGTGCTGCTGCTGCAGTTGACTTTTGGAACATGGAGGTCTTGATAGGCTTTTGCGGCGCGGCATCGGTCTGGTCTGCGGGGCGCGGCTTCTTGGTGGGCGATTGCTGGGCCTGCTCCTCCTCGCGGGCGCGCTTCTTGGATTTCTTTTCCGACTTGTCCTTCTTGTGCTTGTGCGCCTTTTTGTCGACGACGGGCGAGGTCGCAGCCATGGTTGTGGTGGACATGCCTGGCGGAGGCGAATCAATTGGCGGACTTTGTCGTCGTCGTCGCGATGGTGATGGTGGAGCGCCGCACTTTTTTCTGACGCCTGGGCGAGCTCTCACGAAGGCGGTCAGCGAGCTCGGCGAAACACGGCGCCGAAATAATGCCTCAGGCACGCATGCAGAGCTCCCAGGGCTGGCGAGGCGGTCCGAGCTGGAGCTCCATCTGGCATCATCCCGCAGCGTTGCAACACGCTCGCCGCCGTCCGTTGCTCACTCACCGTGAACATGGCTGGGAACAACCAGTTTCTGTCGATCGCCGGCTGGTGGTTCCTGCCCACAGTATGCTTTGTCCGCTCTCATTTCCCTACCATATACTAAATGCCTGGTCCCCATAGGTTGTCGCGTACATCCAGTCCTTTCTGTACTCGCTCTTCATTCGCGCCGGCGATCCGCGTCCTCAGCCCGGCTCTCCCAAATTCATAAAACACAGAAAGATCATCCACACGCTGGTCATCGTCGCCTACCTCGTTTATTCTATCTACGAAGCCGACTGGGAGCTGCAGCGTGCCGGCAATTTCTACCACGCCTTGGGGGTCCCCATCGACGCGACCGAGAAAGCCATAAATTCGAAATTCCGAAGGCTGTAGGATCCGCCCAAGATCAAGCCCGCGATACAACAGGCTAACCTGCACCAGCACTATACTACACCACCCAGACAAGGTCGCCGCCGCCGAAGCTCGCCCTGCCGCTGAAAGATATTATGTCTTCCTCAAACTGGCTCGCGACACCCTCGTCGACCCAGCTAAGCGCTTTGCATACGACCGCTTTGGGCCGAGTGTAGTGGAATGGAAGCATTGCATCACCATTCACGACTTTATCATGCACGGTGTGCAAAGCAGTGCCCCGTCATACCTGGGTGGCGCCTCCGTTATGGTGATGCTGGGAATGTTGGGATACTTCGAGCATGGACGTTACGTGAGTCACCTTCCCCTCGCAGGTCGATGGTCAACAAGCATGTTCTAAACTCGGATTCCAGTGGCGCTACCTCGCATTCGCGGCTCTCGTTGTCTTTGAAGCGCACACAATAACGCGACCCGACTTCCCGCCATTACTCACCAAGATCCTGAATCCGATTGTCTCCTTTTCCCACCTCCACCAGCCCTGGCTACCGTATCAGATCCTCACCGTCGTCCGCAGGGGCACCTTTGCCCTTTTCATCGCCATGAATCAGCTCGCGCCTTTGATGCAGGACCCACGTCGCAATCTGCAAAACCAAAACAACGCTTCTGCGCAGCAGGAGCAGCTCAACCGCCTGACTCAACTGGCCGTCGCAACTGACCAGGATGCTCTGCGGCTGATCGGTCTTGAGACCATGCCATTCCAGGGAGACGATGGTGAGAAGGAGCTCAGGACCAAGATGAAGGACTGGATCGTGCAGAACAGCATCAGAAACGACCCGGTCGTTAGAGATGCCATGGGTCGCGCGGTAGCGAGGAAGAGGCAAAATGCGCCAGCAGGCGCGAGAGGGACGACTTAGTAAGAGATAGATTGGGTAGATTTGATTAATGCCATTTGGTTAGCTCTTTCAGACCACCTGTTGTGCTGGGAGCTTCGGCAAGCGTGAATTTATTTTCCTTCATACCATGGGTAGTTGAAGCTATCGTCTGGACGTGTATGTAGAATTTTTAACTCTACATTCTCATCCGGACGAGAGCTTCAACTACCCATACATGTTCTTTTTCATTACGAAAATGAAAAAAAAAAAAGGAAGAGCTGAGGCATACTTTTGCTTTACTCTAAAGCCCTACCATTCTTCGCGCCAGCCATTGGCTGCAGCACCCCTCTGCACTGCCATAGGCTGAGGATACCCGTCAAGTACAAGGCAAGAAGTGGAATCAAGCCGCGTGAAAACAGGAAATGTTCTAGAGCATACTTAGCGAACAACAGTAGATTCTATCGGGGCGAAAAGCAACTCAGTAGCTGAATGAAATCACTGAGGTGATCATGTCAATCGAAGACATTCGTTGAATTAAACATGCTGATCCTCGTATGCCCGCACTAACTTAGAATGACTGAACGTCAAGATTTTGTCATCAGCATCCTTTCAACCTTGTAAGAACACGGGAACAAGTATGGTGCCAAACAGCGGCGTTCCACGTACTGCTAGCATGAAAAGTCTACTTACGCCCTCCGGAATGCTAGATTTTCGCTTGGCTTCTTCCATCTGGGGCTGTAGTAGTCTGTTTTAAGATGTGAAATGAGGAAAGACTCTGCGGTCGAAGGCACTGCGGAATACTGTCCGCAATTTGCTCCCAAAGAGGGAGGAGATAATTTAAGACTCTTCTTGGATTGAAGATTCCCGGCTTCTGCGGGATCTGTGAATCGAACTGCGACCGCCTGCAACTGCTTGACGTAGCGCAGCATTCCTCCGTCGGAGCCGAGGTTGAAACAGCAAAAGTAGTATAGCATGCATATTACGATTACTCAGGAAGAGTCATCAAAGTCCTATTTACATCAAGACCGACCAGCGGCAGCCGCCCTCCTCCTGGCCCAACTCTCCTCTAGCACTTCCCTGAAGCTCTTCGGCCGCGTCCCCGTCAGCATCTCGACGTCACCGCTGATGACCTCCATCTCGCCCAGCCTGGTCGCCTTGCCGAAGCTGACCATGTCGGAGCTATTCCACGGGTACCCTTTGACCACCAAGTCATCAACGGGCTCGCGGGGGATGCCCAGCGCGTCGAACATGGCGAACATGTCGTCGTCAGTCACGTCCTCGAACTTGACTCCCTCCGGCCCCTTTCCAGCAACCTCGCTCATCACTCTGGCGGCGTCGCGCCAGCTCAACAGCTCCGGGCCGGTGATGGCGTAGGCCTTGTTGGCGTGCGGGGCCGGGTCGCACAGCACCGCGACGGCAGCGGCGACGCAGTCGGAGCGGGCGACGAAGGCGACCTTGCCCTCGCCGGAATTGCACTTGAGCACGCCCGCGTCGACGGCCGCGGGCGCGGCGACGTCGGCCATGGCGTCGGCGTACTGGGCGTCGCGCAGCGCCGTCCACGCCAGCGCGCCCGGCGCCGCCACCGACGCCGATATCTCCTGCAGCATGGCCTCGGTCGCGCGGTGCTCGCGGCCCACCAGCGCCGTGGGCTCCGGCCGCTCCGCCGACACGATGGACGTGTAGACGATGTGCCCGACGCCCGCCGCCGCCGCCGCCTCGATGGCGGTGCGGTGCTGCGGTAGGCGCGCACCCGCCCGCGACGTGCTGATCAACAGCATCGTTGCCGCGCCGGCGAAGGCCGCGGCCAGGCTTTCCACCGGGTCGTCGAAGCTGCCCTGGCGGATGGAGAGCCCCTGCTCGGCGTACGAGGACAGCTTGGCCGGGTTGCGCGTCAGGAGGAGGAGCGACGAGGGCGGGATGCCGCGTGCGAGCAGACCGTCGATGGCTAGACGACCGTACTGGCCCGAGGCACCCGTGATGAGGATATTGGTGCTGGTGCCGTTGGCTCCTTGTGTTGCCATCTTCTGGTCCGGTTAGAGGGGCTTTTGCGTTGAGTGTGAGGAAGAAGTAGACCGGGCCCGTTATTGGATGAAGCCTCGGGGAACGAAAGCGGCGATGTATGATTCGCGAAGAGACAATGGAAAAAAGAGCGAGCGTAGAGTTGGGCAAACAAACGAGTGGTGGATTCTTGGTGGTATGCACACGTAGGTTGATAGTGAAGAAGACCCACTTATACAAGCAGCGCAGCAATCAGGGAGCAGCTGCACGGTCGCATGCGGACGACGGCATGGATATGACTTGCGTCGGAGGGAATCTTAGTCCGGCATTTCTGCTGCATATCCTTCGGATATGTGTTGCTCGACGTACGTTGGGAGCCAAGCTGCATACTCCTGGAACGTCAGACCTTACGGCGGAGGTGGACAAAAGATTGGAGCTGACCGCACAGTCCGTCGTGGCAGTTTCAGGGCCAATTGGGCGCCCTAGGCTGAATTTCGGCGAAAGAGCAGGGCTTGCGAGTGGAGCCGGCCGTTGGCTGTTACCGTTTCTGGGCATATGGCGCTGTTGGGAGCAATAGGCAACATCTAGACAAGTGGGGCATCCACTGACGTATAGCTGCAAAGCAGAAAGCCGCGAGCTCCGTGAGCACAACTGCCGTGCCCGTTGTTTACTGATCCATTCATTTGTTCCATGTAGGTAATTTCCCGTGAGATAAGCTTTCGGCGGACTTCTCAGAATGCAGTTGCAGTACTGTCGTATTCGCTTTCGGCGCCCACGAGCATCAACCGGAGTCGCCGAGTATAGCGAGGAAGGGAGGTTTTGAACAGGCTCCCGCAATCTCGGATGCCGAGCTGGCAATGGAGAGCAGAGATTAACTAGTTCAGAAGATGCCTTCCACCGGTTGCTGTTGGCTGAAGTCATACGCGTTACCGTATGGTCTGTTCAAGTAACGCTTTTCCACTTCTTCTTCCGGTAGGAATGTTCCCTGGACTTGAAGACCGGTCCGCTCGTTGCTCAACGCCGGCCCCAACTCATTCGCGAACTCCACGAACATTGGATTGCGGTACCAGGGTGCGAAGTGAACTGTAAAAGGACGAACAAGGCTTCAGCATACGAGAAAAAAGGGCGACAGGAAGCAGTCCGGTTTCGTGTGAGAACCACTTACTCATAGCCAGCATGACCCGCGGATCCTTCGATAAGTTGGGCATCCCGCCATGCCCTAAACAGCTTTGAGTCAGCGGAGTTGCTCGGCTTGCAGTCAGCAAAGTGATTTCGTCTTGAAACGGCTGGGCGGCGCTTTTCAGCTTGGTGGCAAGTGTGCCGGACCATTCCGGCTGAGCTGTGTTTGATCGGTCGAATCCATGCAACAGCTGCGTCTGCCAAGTCGCAGCGAGCCACATAGATCATGTTTTGCTAGCAAGCTGCTTGACATTGGTGACCGCTCACCACAGCACAGTGCCCGAAAACCAAGTAGCAAACCCTTTGGCTATTCCGCAAACTCGGACAAGGGAAGAGCGCACTTACAAAGCCTCAGATCTCTCACCACAACTGCCCCTTTCGGCACTACCGGCTGACTTGGCGGCCTGACCTCTCTTCTCTGCCGCAACAGCTCCTCCCTGATCCGCCCGCTCGCTCTCTCGCCGTGCCGGCCCTCCTGGACAGACAAGTCGGATCCAGTGTGGGTGCCTAGCCAGACCTCCGTCGAGCCATTGGCCGGCGTCATCGTCACCAACGGCACGTTGACGACAAGCGCGAACGGACTGGCCGGGTGATCGAAGTCGGCGTCCGTGTGTGTCGGCTGCGCCTGCGGCCGGCTCTCACCATCATCCGCCGAGGGAGGAAGCGCCGTGTTGCCAGAGACGAAGGATAGACGAGGGTTTGGCCCCAGGCTTGTGCTGGTTACCTGGGTAACAATCGGATCTGTGCATAGAGTAATGAGTACGGAGCGTGAAATGGAAGGAAGGACGGATATGGCAATTTTCTCCTTAAAGAAGTGGGTGGGGAAGAACTGACTGACGAAGATGGATGGATCCCACCACTGCTCCGTCAGAGGCGGATCCTGCTGGATATTGCCTTTGTTGTAGTTGAATGGCCCATCATCGCCCATCGCTTGCAAAACGTACGCGTCTTCGACCATCTTCTTGTTCAGCTTGTCCAGGTTTTCGTGCTTGATCAAGTCCTCCAGGACGACGAGGCCATCGCGGTGAAGCGCGCGTGTCGCAATCTCCACGTTGTGCCAGCCAAGCTTTCCGGCCTCTACTTCTGCCTTGGAGACTTTGATAGATATGGGTGTGGAGGGTAGATTTGCGTGGGAAGCGAAAAGACGGACAGAAATGGTCGCTGTTTTGGCATAGTATCCAGATGACATATGCCTGTACACTTGGTGGGCTGTTTTGACGGTCCACATGGTCGCTTGTCTTGTGATTGGTTTCAGATGGTCTGTAGTATTGCTTAACACTCCTCGAGTTCTTAAATAGTACTCACAGCATTTCCCCGCGATCCGCGTTGATCTGTCTACTCCGCGCGGAGGGCGCATTGCCTATCTCGGCAACCCACCCGCGGATGCGGGGAAAGCTGTCCGGGGGCCGAAACGGGGGCCTCCATCAAGCCCACACCAAGGTCAGAAGTGCCTAACAGACTGTCTCACGAACCTCAATGGACAACGATACAACACTTATAGAACTACTAGATTGGACAATACCGATGGCAACTCGATGCAGATGCGGTGCGACCCCAGTTCTGGCCTCGCTTCTTGACGACAGGAAAACTGAAGTGCTCGGCAAACTTGCTCTCTTTGCGACAGGCGCCACTCCGAGGGATTGGGGACCCCGATGCCGAGACCGGAGGAAAGATGCGGTCAAAACATATGGAGATTGGCGTTGGGAAACAAGTGAAGTAGAGAAATATCTCCTGACGGTGGCTCCAGCGGTCTGCGCGGCTCCGGAAGCAGCTGACAATTTTTTTTTCTCAGATGCGGTGCACGCTACGGGCACAGTAGAAGTGTCCCAGGACTATGGAGGTGGGAGCATCATACATGCTTGTACCCACGCAGCATGCATCTCGGCATGACAAGCGAGGGAAGGGATGCCTCTTCTTGGCAGGGTGGTTCTTTGTGAGACGTGAAAACTGTAATCCGCATTCCGATGTGACCATGGCCCACGCGACACTGTCGAGCACCGGTGGCATTGCCACACTTCAGTCTTGGTGGCCGTTTTCCTTCCAAATTGCGAAGGGATTTCTGATACTACGCTGCTGTGAAAGGTACCATGCGATATCGAAGATCGATCCGAGCAGATGTGAGAGGGAGTTCGCCCGTGGTAGACCCAGATAACTTCGTGAGGTCAGGAATTGTGGATCTCGCGTAACGTCAGCATTGCATCCGAAGCCTTGCCTCAACCCTGCGAGAGCGGCCGTTGCCAAGCCGGCAAGACAGATTACCTGCAGCGGCGTCGAGACCTGCAGTCAGCCCTGGTCGCCTGACTCTTTGACATGTCGGCAGTCCAAGCTCATCCCTGCATCCGCGTCCGGCGCGGTCTCCCGAGGCAGGAATTGTTGCACTGCTGTGCGCCTCTCCCGCCGCTTTGCACCGTTGCTCCCGTTGAAGCTGCAGGTGACAGCTCACAGGTGTTACAGAGCGCGGCGAAGTGCATTCCTCCCTCTCCCCTGACAGCAGGGCTGGCGGCAGCACACGCGACTCTGAGACATCAGACAAGGAATGTCCAAAAGCTTGGGTAGACAAATTCATCCTCGAAAATGCGGCGAACTTGCTCCAAGATGAATTTCTCGACCTTGCCCACGTTCTTCAGCACCTGCTTTCCTTGCTCTTTTTGGCCTATCTCGCTCTCCACTTTGATCTCCTCGAGAAGGCCGCCGGGAGCCGGCCGGCGCAAGTTTTGATTGGTTGTCGCAGGATCGTCAGCCAGGCTGTCCTGCTTTGGCTCTGCACCAATCAGAGCCTCTGCATCCTCTGGAGATAAGAAGCAAAAGTGCGCTCGCCTCTTGATGTAAGCCAGGATCGCGACCCCGTCAAACGTCAGGCCGGTAACGGTGAGCTTGAGTGGTATCCCGACAAAGCTTGGCATGGGGTAGTCAAGCAGGATTTCCGCAGTGAGCACCATTTTGACGTCTCCTGAGTAACGTACATGCGCAACGACCTGTAGATCTTCGGGGCTAGCCTCTTGCAGGCGCGGAGTCGGTGACGGCTCGTCGCCGTCACTGTCGCGCCGCTGCTTTGGGTATTCGTTGGCGTCCGAGCCGGACCCGCGTTCGTGCTGACTTTGCGGGCGCGAATCCAGATCCGCGGTGGACGGCGTGTTGGAGCTAATTGATGCTGAGTGGTCGCGCGGTGTATGCGGTCTGTCCGCATGATTGTAGTCATGCCATCCGTTCTGAAACTGTGCGCCGGCAACGGCGGCGAAGGGGGTAGTAGTACCTGAGAGACCGGCGCCGAGAGGGAGATGGAAGTAGCTCATGTTCGAAGTACCACCCGGAATGCCAGGTGTGGGCTCCCGGGAGAGGGAGTTGCCCAGTTGCTCGCCGAGGGCCAGTCCAGTGCGCAGCCCCGTGAGCCGCGGATCCATTGGCGGCGGGCGCGCATGGTTCCATCGCGGCTCGTCCTGGGGCCTCTCGTCTCTCGGGCGCTGCTTGCGCTCCCGCGACGCCTTCGCAGCGTCGCCGCCCGGCGCGCCGGTCACGGGTGCGTCGGTGGTGTCATTGTCGGGCGCGTCGTCGTCGTCCTCGTCCTCCTCGTAGAAGTCAGGCAACGGGTCGCATACGTCCTTTATTTCGATCTCGGGCGCAACGCTGCCAAAGTCGAACGAGTGGACCTTGACGGAGCGGATGAAGCGTGGCAGAGTGACCTGCTGGAAGCGGTCGTGGATGAAGCTGCGCACCGCCTCGGCAGAAGCCTGGCCGTCGGGGCCACCGACAAGCGTGTCCCAATGGATGTCGATCGACATGTGTGCAATTCTGGCGAGACGGCGTGCAGGGTGACTTTTGGCGGGCAGTCGTTGACAGCAGCCGGCAAGAGCGCGCGGCTCGCTTGGCCATGACGATTCTTGGCGTTTTTGGTGGCCGAGCGCCCTCCCCCAGCGCCCTCCCTGCACCTAGAACTCCACTGCCTGTGCGCCCCGGCCATGCCCTCCCACCAGAGCCAGAGCCACCTGCAAATTGACCCCGCCGTGCGGAGCTTGCACGCAGGCGGCGGCGGCGGCAGGCAGCAATGCGGAGACTGATGGGGAAGTGGATGGCATACTTTTGTGGGTAGCGCGCTGGCAAATCTAACTTGATATGAGGTAAACAGGCGGCCTCTCCAACTGCGCCGCGCACGCGAGTCCCGCGGGTAAAACGGCGGGTGCGCCCCGCACGCCCGTGGCGGCTTTGCTTCTCGGAGGGCTCGACGCTGCGCAGCAGGCGCTGATGTCAGGCTTGCCCGTTCCGGCCGTCGCGCTCGACGTGTGCTGTGGAGTGATCGACGATCTGACAGTCGGCCGCTGGACTGCTCGACGTCCACAGGTGACCAAGGTGCGACGCGGCCGGCCATGCGACCTCGCCGGCGAGACGGGCAGATAGGCGGCGGGCGGGCGGTTGGGGCAGCTCGGGGATCGGTATGGATGCGGAAGAGCCTCTGCGGGCGAGCAGCTCGCCGTTTGAGCGTCAGCTGTGGCGTACTTGCGGCCCGGCCCTCTACTGTTGGCTCGGATGATCTCCGTCACTTCTTCTGGCCGGCCAGCGCGTCGCTGCCCTCCCCCACTCCATCTGCCCACCGCTGTGCCGCACGGGCACAGCGTGTGAGTGGCGTGCTCTGCAAGCTTTATCCCGCACATGCTCCCTCTGGCCTCTTGCGGCACGCGTCTGAGTTTGTATGCCTGCCGCCGTTGGGCAGCAATCCGCCCGGGTCACAAATTAGCCAGCGCCATACGTACAATAATCTCGCCGTCATTTCGCGGCGCGCCGAAGGGGTCAAGGGCTGGCTGCCGCCGTCTCTGTCACGTACTGCCTCCCAGGCCGAGAGCGCGCCAACCAGGGCCCTTCTCAAGGGTTGCCCTGCGGGGATTCCTCCGGCTAAACAGCCGTAAGCGATTGGCGAGGGTTTGCAGTATCTCGGCCGTTGATGATCAATCGGAGATAATTTGCATTTTCTTCACTTCCAACGGTTTTCCCGTACGACGTGAGCTGTGACATGGCTGATGGACAGCCCATGGCGCATTAGCATGCCACCGAGCACAAGCGTGCCGCAATCTCCATCAGACGGTCTTGGAAGCTTGATTGATGGCCGGTACTCTATCCCTCGCCGCGTGTCCGCTGTGCCGCCTGCTGCCCGGCCGAAACGAGAGAAGCGTAGCTGCGAGAAAATCATCCTGCGCCTTGTATTTTGTTTTTCTCCATCCAAGAAGGTACCAGTACAGCCCGGGCGCGGGTGCGACGAGACATTACAATTTTCCAAGACTGCAAAGAGGAAGATCCAAATAAAAACAAACGAACGCCAGCCCTGCTGAACGCCAGCTTCGTGGCCGTCGAGCGACGGCCTCCCATGCCATTGGAACGCCTGCACTTTTGTCTCCGTGACGCCATCATATGCTCATGTCGTGCCAGTAAAAGCTCAGGCCGGCGAGGCCAGCGAGGGGAGGTTACCCGGGGAGTCGTGGTGGTGATACTAAAGGTGGGGAGGGGGAATCGAGGAACGGCCCGCGTTTCTGCTTTCTATAACCGCATACGTAGTGGGGATGGTTGTGCTGCTGCCGGGCGTCGAGAGAGGCGGGCACCCGGGCGGAGCTCGTAGCGCACGCTGCAGAGGGAGGTCAGAAGGAGAGGAGGAGGACGAGGGAGCGCGCGCGGGCGTACCTGTCATCCGTCGCAACGATCGCACTTCTCGTCGTGTTTGACGACCTTTTGGTTCAGCACGCCGCAGGCCGCGCTTCTCGAGGTGGCGCATGGGGCCTTCTCGACGACCTGGTGGCCGCAGCTGTAGGCGTGTATTACTTTGGTGCACATGGTAATCGGCCGGGCGGCGGCGGCGGCGGCGGCGAGTGGGTGTGGTGGGGGAGCTTGGAGCTCTTTTGGGGATGCGGGCTGGGGCGCGGAAATAGTCGCGCGCAGGAATGGCTCGCAGAAATACGAAAACAGGACGACGCGTGGCGGGCAATTGCTGCGGCGAGGGCGAGGGCGGGGACGAGTCTGGAGGGGGAATTGAGGAGGATTGACAGTGACCTTGCTTGGGCACAATTTCGGCTTCGAGGGAGGCACGGCGAAGGGGAAGCGCGGGCTGGTGGAGGAGCGGCGGGTCTTATAGAGGCATATTGAGGCAAGCCCGGCAGTATGGGACTTCGTGGGAAGTTAATAAAATACCGTTTGCAACATCGAGTGCGACAGCGCCGGCGGTCGTGTACAAGCCGTTGGAACAACGCGGGAAGGCAAGGAATTCATGTACGAGCGTTGGCCTCGCTGACAGGGAACGGCCGGGGCCAGGGTGATGCTGCTATCCAAGCTCCATGGTGATTAGCACGGGCGGGCAGGCCAATAATCATGCCGGCCGCTGCTAGCGGCAGGTGGTCGAGGAGCACCCAGGCGACCGATCATGGCGCAGAGAATGGGCCGGTACATGCCTACGTACAGGACGCATCGCTGCCGGCCGCTGAATCCAGCAGTGCCGCCCGCGCTGTCTTGGGAGCAGCGCAGCTGCGCTGCCCGCATGCCCCGGGCCCACTGCTCTCAACAGCGTGCCGGGCCAAGCCCTGGCGATCACTGCCGGCCGCACACCGCACTGTATCAGCCTTGTGCGTGGATCGCCGTTTGTGTGTTTAAGCTGCAGTCAGGCCATTTCATTAGCACCCGCGCATTTGCCTTTGTGCGAACGGAGCCCGCCTGATTTGTATTCGCCCGAGCATTCCTCGCACATGGCACCCTTGCGCTGGCAAGTCTCGCGCGGGCGCGGTGCAGCCGCGGAAGGCCGGAGCGGTGGGACACCACGCAAGGAGCCGGCCCTTACATGGTCAGCCCGTTGCTCGCGGTGGAGCAAATCTTACGTTTGTGCCCGCCAGCCTTACATGTGATGTGGTTCCTGCCTGCTGCCAGGCGGTGCCACAGGGAGAGGCGCGGCCCTTGTTGGGGCAGCAAATGGCTTGCATAAGGCCTGCTAAACGCAGCCTGTCGGCCCGGGGCAGATCACTTCCGCGGCGTGGCCATCAGCGACACGCCGCCCTCGCCGCCCAGCGCGATATCGGCGTCTTGTCGAGCGCGGCGCCTGTATGTCACCTCGCGCGCGCGCAGCAGCAGCGGCACCAGCAGCTTCCCACTGCACTTTCCCTCCTCCTCGCCCGCCAGACGCCCGCCGCCATGCCGCCGTGCGGCGTCCCAGCTGCGCTCCCGCCGTAGCCAGCCCTCCCGCCGGACAGTCCCTGGAAGCAGCACCCAACCGCCGCCCGCGGATTCTGCACCGTCGCCTGCAACACCCAAGGGCCGGCCGCCACTGCCCTCGCCCTCAGAGCCATGCACCCTGGGCTTTGGGCTGCGCAGCCCGCCATCCTCGGCTACCCTCGGCCCCCGGCACTGGACGATCGCGAAGAGGCAGAGTTGAATGGGCCATGGTGAAGACGACGTGTCAGCGCGCGCTGCGAAGGTGCTCTGTAGGCGCAGCTCCAACGAGTTAGGCGCCTCGGAGCTATGCGGGGGAAGCTCGACGCAAGGAGACGGTCCGGGGCTCTAGCGCGGGGTAGCCCGACTACCTTGATGCCCCGAGAGCTGGCGACGAACACCTCAGCTTCACGCTCGGCCCAGAACGGCAATGGGGAGTGCGTGTCCGCAGCCGTTCCCTCTGCGACACGCGCGCTGTCGATGCGCTGCGCTGCGCTGCACCCGCCAGCCCTCACCGCCACCTTATCTGGACGAGCGCGCCATCAACCTCGGATGCGCGACTGCGAAAGTCTTGGCCCTTGTTCGTGCTCGTGAAGGCCCACCCCCAAACGAGTGACGTCTCGCCGGAAGCCTCCAGGCCCCCTCCGGCCCTTCTTCGTGCGCCCGCCATGGACGAGCGGAGCTGCTGCTTACACACGGCTTATAGGCGTGTGCAAGCCGTTGTTGCCCGGGCGATCTCCAGACATCCCAAGCTATAGACGCCACCTCGGATACTATCGTCGCCGTACTTAACAGGCAGGACCACCCCCCTCTGCACCTTCCACGGCTCGCCTGAACCCACTGCGCTCCTACTGCTTGCGCTGCACCAGGAAGATAAGCCTCGCGACCCACCTTCCAGCTGGTCCCCTGAAACGCCAGGTCTCGCACACGTGCTCCCTTTGTCCGGCCGATCAGCGCCCCCAGCTGTGTTACCTCGCAGCACTTAAATTCAGCTCTGTCTCTGCCCTCCCCCTCAGCTCGTCAGCTTCAACTTCTCCTCGCTCTTCCGACCAACCCAGCTTTTTCCCCGTGCTCGCAGCCTTCGTTTTCACCTCAAAGCAATCCGCCATGGCCTCTAACATGAACCAACTGCTTTCGGCTCGCCGTCCTTCCAACTTCCTGGTGCTCGCGCCCACTGCCTCGGCCAACTACCCCGCCTCGCCCCAAGCACTCACGCCCACGACTTCGACCTCCAAGGAGCCCGTCTCGCCAACCGAGGACCTTGAGTCCCCGGTCGTCAAGCCGACGGAGATCGATGCCACGCCCAAGGAGCGCCGGTCCGACAGCGTCAGCAGCAACGGCTCTGCACGCTTCAAGTTCCTGAAGCTGGGCCCGGTCCACTTCGGAAAGGGCGATGGCCAGACCGACTTCGCCGAGGCTGAATGAGCGCCCCTCACGGTGCATCGCCAACGCCGCTCCACTCGGCAACGCCGAGTGCAATACCCACGGTCGGGCCTGGATGACTTCTGCTATCGGTGCACCAGCTATTCCAGATTGAACTTTCTACTCGTGACTTGGATTACGGTGTTCGGATATCGGCTATTACTGTGCTCGTGCTTTGCGGGATGGACCCCGCGCGAATTGTTGCTCCTGGCAATTGAGTTAGTATGCTAGCGGATACATGATTGTGGAGGACACATCAGTCAAGGACCCCGGAAATCAGAGTGTCACGATTTTACGATATTGGCAATAGAGTTATTCTTCATACATGCATTCCGGTGCTCGTCGATAATTCTCGAATTATGGGCTTGACGTCATGCCGCTTGCTCAGTCCCGCTGTCCAAGTATTAAGCTTCTATACATGCTCCAGTTATTGTGGAGAACGGACCTGTCGGTGTGACTGCAGGCGAATAGGAGTTTCATCGGTAGCATTGCCAACCAATCAAATATGCCGTCAATGCTGCAGTCTAGTCCACCAGCCGATCGCGTGAAAAAGATCCAATAGCGAAATCCATTTTCCTGATTCCGATAGAGTTTCTGAATTTTGGATCCATGTTTCCGGCGAGAATGTTCAGCGTCCAGGCTCAACCTCCTTAGCGAAGAGGCGCGCTGATTCGTAATTTGAGGTCACGAGCGTTTGACGTGGGCAATGATGCACGCGAAAAGGGGTCTGGCGTCCAATAGCTCACGAGGCACGCTGTGCGATCTACGGCGTCCGGAAGCATGTCCGTAGTGTATACGCTCGCTTGAGAAGGGCCTGAAGCTGGGGGAAAGCTGATGAATAGCTGGAGCGCTTCATTGGGGACCGCGTGTAGCGCGTCTAGGCGCAGGGCGACTACTTCCTCATCAAGTTAGAAGACGTGTGATCCCCCGCGTACGCACACTAAGGAATCGCTAGTCTGCCGGAGTCCGAAACCCGAAGACCTTCTGTCCTCTTTAGCGCACGAACGTAGTTCTTTAACATTCTGAAGAAGCTCCTTGAAACACAAAATCGCACTTGACGGCGGGTGTCCCAACAACCGCATCCGGAATATCCGACGATTCGAGCTTCACCTCAGACCCAGATCAGCAAGCCATCCACCCCCCGGCAATCCAGCTCTCCGACCTCACGACAAATGAGCTGTCTGTGCATGCTCAGCACAGGTAAACAATACGACTGGCACTTGGCAATGTGACCGCCTCAGTCATTTTAGGAGAACGAGGCTTGCCTAGGCAGACTGGATGCCCGTAGCCATTATGAAGCGGAAAGGGGGTTATCTTCTTCGGCACCATTCAGTGGAAGGAAATGTGGCAGTAAAGAAAGTGAGCACGCACCCAGTCAGCATGAAGGCTCGCGCAACCCAGAACTGCCATTGCTTGACAATTCTGTAGCATTAAGATGCCCCCGCCTCGGTGGGACTAGCGTCAGGGACAGCCGGGATGCAGTCAGTCAGTGTTGTGGAGGAGGAAAAGCAATAATGCAGTGCACAGATCAGAGCAGGAGGACCCAAGCGCCCTAACGCTTTGTGGTAGGCCTGTTGCCTTGAGCGTTGTACAGTATCTCTCATTTTACCAGTCTTGGCGACAGCTTGATTAACTTTGCTTCTTTCGCGGGACGTCGGAAGCATCTTCCCTTGTCGCGATCGACTCTGTCCTTTTGCAAATCACCATTTCGGGACACAGCTTGCAACAGATGAACAGTCGGGAATCAAGCAGATCTCTCTCCCTCTTTTCTCTCGGCGGTAGGGCTGGGGAGCAAAGCGTCGCGGCCTAGCGCATGGCTCCCGCGACCCCAGACCATGCGGCTCATCGTCCGATCTCACGTGAAGCATGTTTGGTCGTCCCCCGGTTGTACCGGGGTGTTCTCAGCATGCCCTTTGTATCACGCACGGCCTCTTCGATAATTGCACCAGGTCGGAAGCACCGCGCTATCGACGAAGAAGGGCAATAACACAGCGTCTTCTATTGTACATGTTGCGTGCGGGTCGGGAGCAAGTCGTTTGGCACGGTTTCAGAGAATAGAACAGCCAATCGAAGGCGACCGGGGGCGGCTTTTCCGGGCATTCGCTGAGACCGAATGAAAAACGCCACGGCGGCTGCGGGCCAAAGGGCAGGTGTAGTTCGAGAGGGCGGACTGTGCTCCGCCTGGGGGGTTTCGTGAGCAGGGCTGCGTGTCGTGCAGCATACAGCTCGAGCGACTGGCGAGCGGGCCGATGTGCCAAGGCTTGGAATAGGCATGCGATGGCGTTGTGAGTTGCACGCTGGAGATGAGAGGGCGGCATGCAGCGTGCCGTCTCTCGTGCAGTTTTTCTCGTGTGCGAAGGAGGGAGGGCGCTAAGAACCATGTCTGTGGCATGTGTCAACTGGGCAGTCACGTTGAATGGCTGGCGTGGCTATCGCGATGGGCTGCATTGTGCGAGGTGACAGGTCAGGACATGCTCGTGATGACAGTCAATCAAAACCAATATGGGACACGGACAGCGTCACAGCAGCCTTGCGCAGACTCGCGTTTGACGTCGGGCAGACGCGTCGGCGGGAGCTGCGCGGCGAGAAGCTTTGATGCGCCTGCGTCCGAGTAATTAGCGAAGCCGATCACCGTCATAGATTCTCTTCACCCCAACCTGCGTCGCACAGCGCAACACCCACCAGCAGTGGCCGAGGGCGTGGCTGCCAGCAACAGGACCTCGTCCGGCGCGCCGCGTCGAATGGCATCGTCGAGGACCGGGGCGCTGACGCGACGACTTCTTAGACCGGCCGCGCTATCGTCAGCTAGGCTCAACGGCTTCGGCACGCGGCAATCGTGATTTCGAAGCTGCGCGGCCTCGACCGACAAAAGACATGGGATTTGCCAGAATTCGCCATGTATCGATCGGGCTGAGGCTGATGTTCTGCGATAACCTGATTCGCCGGCGCCTTCCGATGGATCCAGTCAATCTGACGTCGTCCATACAACACCACATTGCAAAGACCATGCTTCCAATTGGACGGCCCACCATCTTGCCCGATGCGTTTGCCCTCAGTTGTCGATTGCCGACACGCCCCGCTCGGGCAACCACCTACTCTGCGCCGACCTGTGCTCTTTCCCACATTGCTCAATAACTACGTCATGATTCGCCTGCTCTTTATATCCATCCGACGCGGTGGATGCTCTCCCAGCGAGCTCTACCGCGCGCCATTGCCCTGTCATTTACACCCCAATTCACTGGCACCATGGCCTCGAATCTCTTCGCCTCCGGTCTTTCCAAGGTTGCCCACGGCACCGAGGGAAAAAAGGTTGCCGACCTGGCAACAGACACGAAGAACTACCAAGACTCGAACAACAGAGAAACTTCGGACTGGTTGGTCCAACAAACACCTCATATTGAACAGCAACTGACACGGCAACAGGGGCGTTAAGAAAACCAACACCGATGACTGGCTAAAGGTTGCCAGCGACGGCAAGACCGGTCCCATGCTGCTCGAGGACCACTTTGCCCGTGAGAAGATCATGCGTTTCGACCACGAGCGCATTCCCGAGCGTGTTGTCCATGCCAGAGGCAGTGCTGCTTTCGGAAAGTTTACCCTCTTTGAGAGTGCTTCGGACGTCACCAATGCCGCTGTCCTGACCGACACTTCAAGAGAAACCCCTCTCTTTCTGAGATTCTCCACCGTCCTAGGTAGCCGTGGCAGTGCCGACACTGTCCGCGATGTTCGCGGCTTCGCCGTTAAGTTCTACACCGAGGAGGGCAACTGGGACGTCGTTGGCAACAACATCCCAGTCTTTTTCATCCAAGATGCCATCAAGTTCCCCGATGTCATTCACGCTGGAAAGCCCGAGCCTCACAACGAGGTTCCCCAGGCTCAGTCTGCCCACAACAACTTTTGGGATTTCCAGTATCTGCACACCGAGGCCACGCACATGTTCATGTGGACCCAGTCCGACCGTGCTATTCCCCGTTCCTACCGCATGATGCAGGGGTTCGGTGTCAACACTTACACCCTGACCAACGACAAGGGTGAGCGGCATTTTGTCAAGTTCCATTTCACTCCCGAGCTTGGTGTCCACTCGTTTGTGTGGGACGAGGCCCTCAAGATTGCTGGTCAGGACCCTGACTTCCACCGCAAGGACCTCATGGAGGCGATTGATATGGGTGTCTACCCTAAATGGAAGTTCGGCATCCAAGTTATCCCCGAAGCCGACGAGGACAAATTCGAGTTTGACATTTTGGATGCCACTAAGATCTGGCCTGAAGAGCTGGTGCCTATTCGTTACATTGGTGAGCTTGAGCTCAACCGCAACGTCGATGAGTTCTTCACGCAGACCGAGCAGGTGGCATTCTGCACCTCCCACGTCGTCCCCGGTATTGGCTTCTCCGACGACCCCTTGCTTCAGGGTCGTAACTTCTCCTACTTTGACACCCAGCTCTCCCGTCTCGGTATCAATTGGCAAGAGTTACCCATCAACCGGCCCGTCTGTCCCGTTATGAACCAGAACCGCGACGGCGCCATGCGTCATGGCATCCACAAGGGGACTGTCAACTACTGGCCGAACAGATACGGCGCCTGCCCTCCTGCCACGGCCTCGGAGGGAGGCTATGTCGAGTACCCGGAGAAGCTGATCGGTATCAAGTCGCGCCTGCGGAGCAAGAAGTTCCAAGAGCACTTCAACCAAGCACAGCTGTTCTACAACTCTCTTTCTGAGCCCGAGAAAACCCATGTTGCAGCTGCTCTGTCCTTTGAGCTCGACCACTGCGATGACCCTGTGGTATACGAGCGTATGAGCCAGCGCCTGGCTGAGATTGACCTCTCACTGGCACAAACGGTTGCCGAGATGGTTGGCGGCCAAATCCCGCAGGACACACCGCGTCCCAATCACGGCAAGAAAGCCAAGGGTCTTAGCCAAATGGAGTATCTTCCCAAGGAGCCTACCATTGCTTCTCGCCGTGTGGCTATCCTTATCGCCGACGGCTTCGATCCTGCAGCCTATGCCGGTGTCAAGGCCGCCCTGACGGCAGCGAAAGCCTTCCCGTTCACCATCAGCACTCGCCGCTCTCCCATCTTCGCCGCCGGCGAGGACCGTAAGACTGGGCAGGGTGTCAAGCCCGACCACCATCTCGAGGGCATGCGCTCTACCATGTTCGACTCTATCTTCATCCCTGGCGGTGCTGACTCCATTGCGACCCTCCGCAAAAGCGGTCGTGCTTTGCACTGGATCCGCGAGGCCTTTGGCCATCTTAAAGCCATCGGCGCTGTTGGTGAGGCGGCCGCCTTCGTCAAAGACGCCCTTACCCTGCCCGAGGTCGAAGTCTCCGTGTCTGGGGAAATTCAGAACTCGTATGGCGTCGTTACCGCCGCTAAGGTCACTCCCGAGAGCTTCAAGGAGGTGTTCAAGATGGCCAAGGGTGCGATGGATTTCGTGGACGCCTACTTCTTTGAAATTTCGCAGCACAGGAACTGGGAGCGCGAGTCGAGCGGCCTGAACGCCCAGGTGGCGTACTGAGGATCATCGAAGTAATGAACGGCTGGTCTCAAGTTGCAAATCAAGGGTTCTCTGTATAACTTTGCATAATTTGATAGTATGGTATAATGACTAAAATGACATTCTTACTTCAAATTGTCAGTCTTCAAATTGCACTGCAAAGAAATGGTTTAACAATATCGCAGAATGGGATAAGAGTGAATTAGTGGAAGTGGAATGCATCTATCTTCCCTCCCAATATTCACGCACGCATCTGACCATCATCCTTCCAGCTTAAAAGGATATCCTTATGACCGTATGACCATCGCACCTATTCCCATTTCCATCAGATAAACATGTCAAAATGAAGTGAAGAGTATGTCACAAACCCCTTTGCCATCAACACACATTCACACTCTCCTCTCTCTCCCCAAGACTCTTTCTCTCAATCAAACATGCTCAGGTCTGTACATCCAATCCGCCTGGTTGAAGAAGACCTCAAAATCGACACCACCAAACATGCCCACGGCGCCACAGATGTCGAAGTCGCCTTCGAGCCCTTCGACGCCGCCGATGGCCCTCTCGTCCAGCTCCTCGTGCAAGTCCCAGCCGCCCTTTCTCTTCCCGTTGCGCGTGAAGAAGACTTCGACGTCGCACTTGCCCCCCGGTTGCTGTTGCCAACCGCCAGCACCACCAGCACCAGCTCCGTACTGCGGCGGATTCCTCGGGATGTTGAAGGTCATGCCCAGGCCGACCGTGTCGCCGGGCGCGAAGGCGGTGGTGAAGTCGACGCCGCCGAACGTGTCGTTGACGTACTTGCGGCCGTCGTCGCCGTGCACGCCCAAGCTGCCGCGCTGCCAGCCGGGCAGGCGCCAGGCCGGGTAGGGCTGTGCGACGAAGCCGACGGCGATGCCGGCGTCGGCCTCTTCAAGGCTCGCGGTGGTGGTGCCGGGCATGCCGCCGACGCCGGCCACGCGCAGCTCGAAGTAGATGGTCTTCGGGCGGCCCGTCGCCAGCGGGCTGTGCGCCAGCGCAGAGTACAGCGGCAGCGCGGTCCACAGGCAGGCGTCGCCGCAGCCGCTGGCGGTGCGGCCGCGGTAGCGGCCCGGCGACGTGTTGTGCGGGATGAGCTCGCCCTTGTACGTTTGCTGGTGGGGAGGGGCGAAGGCGACGCGCCCGAAGGCGAGGGCGGAGAGCTGTGCCGGCGTCAGGGCGAACGGCCCGCGCAGCGGGTTCGCCTTGCACCACTTGAATGCCGCCTCGCCTGCCTCGGCCGACGCGTTGGCTGTCGGTGAGAAGTCGTTGTTGATGGGCGGCGGCGGCGGCAAGAGCGCCGTGTCTGGGATCACGGTCCAGTCGTGGTAAGGCGGGGGCTCTGCGGACGAGGCGCCGGCGTGCGACTGCGGTGGTTGTTGATAGGGTTGAGGCTGCTGAGAATAGTCCACGTACGGCTGCTGGTGATGATCTTTCTTGGTGTAGTCGACGAAAGGGTTGTTTTGATTGTGCGACGGCGGGGGACCAGGAGGAGGGGCGTAGTCGCCGGCGGAAGAGGAAGCAGCGTAGTTGGTACCGTAGCCCGGCGGAGGACCGGGTGGTGGCGCATACTGCCCCTCAAGCTGATGTTTTTCTTTCTTGAAGGGATTCCAGTGTGGCATGTTGTTGTTGACGGGGTGTTTGGTGTCTTTTGATATGCAGTCCTAGCTCTTCTGATGGGTATCGTTGGATGCAGTTTAATGAGCAGCTCCTCCGTCTTTCCGGCGCGTGTAATTGTGTTGGTCAGTTGATACCTAGGGTGCTGGCCACGTTTCAGGATCATGCACAAAGCGGCGCAGGGTCTAGTAATACGTGCTGTGTGGCGAAGTCGATGTATTTGTAGTTGTCATGTGGTTGAGGTGATGGAGCAATCAAGGAAGGTGCGAGGCGCAGCCGATCCTTGGCTGGCTTGGGCCAATCCTTCGCAACATCCATTCAACATTTGCTCTGCCAATAACTAGTCCATCGACACATGAAGATGGGAAATATTACTTAAGAGCTTGGGACAGGCCCAAGCTGGACAATTTTCGGTTTTTAGATTAAACCTGATAGTGATACAGAAGCCCGAGTGAGAAGAATAACTCTGCTCTCGCCAACAGAAAATCCACCAACCGAGATGAATGCCGTAAGGAAAAGCCGAGTAAATCTCTTTATGCCTACCCATTCGACAATGACAACGCCGACCATGCCCTGGTGTTCGCCTGAATGCACAACTCCCTCTCCATAATCCATAGCAAAGAAACCCACCACCCGATAGACAGCTTGTATACACGGCTTTTGCGCAGGAAATCCCAAAACAGCTGACTCATCTCCTTCGACGAACGCGATGCTCCTGTCCTTTCCTGCTCTTGCGGCGCCTCTTGTCAGGCGGCGGGCCCAATGGCACATCCCTCATCTCCCATTCCCAAAGTCTGATCATGTACTCGTCGACATGCGGCAATTCATCCGGATCGCCCTCGTCGCCCGGAGCAGGCGTAGGCGGAACAGACGTTTTTGGCGTCGCGCTAGGCCGAGAAGCATTCTCGTCAAAGTCCGCGTCGTCGATGTGTACTTCATGCACGATCTCTTTTTGCGCAGCCTTGGCTGCGTCCGTGTCCTCCTTATCCTCAATGCCTTCAAGGACGGGAGCAATGCCCGAGGAATCAGGCGCACCAATGTTTCCTAAGACTCTGTCCATGGCAGCGTTGGCTTCTTCGTCATCTGCTTCCGGGATCTCGTCGAATGCATCCTTGTACGTAAGGCGGTTGAAGTAGTCTGTTGTAAAGTCGCCTTTCTGGATGATGACGTCATCAAGCAGTCTCTTTTGGTTTGATTTCCGGAGGATGTTTGCCTCAATCGTGTATTCTGAGACAAACCTGTAGATATGCACATCGCGCGTCTGGCCGATTCTGTGGCACCGATCCTGGCACTGCTTGTCCATTGCAGGATTCCAGTCGAGATCGTAGAATATGACTGTGTCAGCGCCAGTCAAGTTGATTCCGAGACCGCCAGAGCGTGAAGAGAGGATGAAGCAAAGGATCCTGGGGTCGTTGTTGAACCGGTCGGTGAGAATCTGACGTTGCTCAATCTTCGTTGCACCATCGAGACGGAGGTAGCGATGGCCGTGGATGTTGAGGAACTGTTCCAAAATGTCAAGCACCTTCGTCATCTGAGTGAAGATAAGCGCTCGATGGCCACCGGCTTGCAAGTCTCGCAAGAGCTTTGCCAACCGTTGAAGCTTTCCGCAGTCGTATTGGAGGAGACGCTTGTCTGGGAAGGCGATGGACAGCCGGACGCGGGACTCATGGAATGGGTCAGGTTTGCTCACTGGCTGAGTGCTGCGAATCATGGCCACACGCTCCTCGCCAAGGGCCAAACTAGGCAGATCGTTCGCAACGACCGCGGGAGTGACGCAACTGAACTTTTGAATCGTGGATCTGTAGGATTCAGAGCGTTCCTCCAGCGTAGGCACTATATCCTGCCACATCGAGTGCGTGTTCATGTACCAATCGCCGTAGTTCTGCTTCTTTTTGGGGCCTCTTGATGCGATAATTTGCTGTGGAGAATCATTGATGATCAGCTGTTCGATTAACCCACGTCCGTAGATCGGCTTCCGCTGTGCGCGTTGACGCGTGACACGGAGACAATTTTGGAGATGGTCCAAGATGGATCTGTTTGACTCTTCCTCGAGATGGCTTGAAATAGAGGCGACTGTTCTCCCATCAACTCGGCTAGCAGGCTTCAGACGGCGGGTCTGTCGCTCGATGAGCCCCTCGAAGGGCCGTATAGCCTGGATCGCTTGGATACGCCGACTCTGGATGGCCGACGTGCTCTCGTTCCGGACAAAGTCGAGATTAAGGTAGTCGAAATCCAACTTTTCCTCCTCCTCCTTTAAGAATCGCCTGCGCACAAGCAGATCCTTGATCTCAAACTCGGCTACGACAGACTTATGCATCGCAAAAGACGTGACAATCTGCCTCGTCTCGAACAGATCAGGGTGGTTGCAGACTTTGCGGAGAGACATTAAGCAGTTCATGATGGACATGTAGTTCCCACCAGCGAGGACCTGCCGCGTGTCCGCTCTGCTCATGAACCCGTCATAGAGCTGCCTCTGTCTCTTTGAAAGACGGCAGTACACGACGTGTTCATACTTGCCTGGCATTTGCTTTTCAACGTCTGCCTTCAATCTCCTCAGCAGGTAAGGGCGCAAAACCTCGTGCAGCTGCTTGACCGTAGCCTGCGCTTCTGCGTCGAGTTCTTGTCTCCCTTGATCGAGGATCTGATTGGCGGGACGGGCAAGCGCGGTGGTGAAATTACTCAACGCTGCGAACCCACCATGCCCGTCATCTCCGGAGGGCATGAGGAAGAAGAGCAGGGACCAAAGCTCTTGCAGGTTGTTTTGAAGCGGCGTACCAGTAAGAAGAAGGCGCTTGGAGGTTTTGAAGGTGAGCAGTGTTTGCCAACGCTGGGTCTGGAAGTTTTTGATGTTGTGGGCCTCATCTAGGATCAGATAATGCCAGCTGCGCTTCTTGAACGCCGCGGCGTCATGAAGAATCAACTGGTAAGAAGTGATTACGACGTTCCACATGTCGTCATTCATCCAGCCTTGACGTTTGCGCCTGCGTTCCTCGATGGATCCGTAATATGCGAGAACTTTGAATCCAGGACAGAACTTTTTGAACTCCATCTCCCAGTTCAGCATGACACTGGTGGGGACAACGACAAGATGCGGACCCCAGACCTCCTTTTCAACTGCAAGATGAGCAAGCAACGCAATTGTTTGGATCGTCTTTCCTAAACCCATCTCATCGGCAAGAATACCGTTGGTGTCTCCATCGTAAAGTCCAGCAAGCCAGTCCAAACCCTCGTGCTGATAAGGACGTAGCTTCCCACGGAATAGAGCCGGAACTGGCGTTCGAAGTGTTGATGCCGATTCGACAATTTCATCGACCTCCTCGGCATTTTCTTCCTTGTCTTCTCCAGATTGCTGCACATCCTCCATAGAATCTGAAACGTCCATTTCCTTCCGGGGGGACTTGTTTTCGGATACTCCATTTGTAGGGGTAATCGTTGCATGTTCCTGATCCAGCGTGGTCCCGTTAGGTTCTTCAATGTGGCCATTCTCTAGAGGTCCAGAGGTGGCATCCTCCATCAATTCCGGATCTTCTTCTGGGGGAGGTGTCCCTTCCTCGTCTGATGGCGCCGGCTCCGCTGTGTCATCCACTTGCTCGGCGGCCTTCTTTTTCAAGTCTGATATTTCTTGAGCGGAAAGGAAGCCCCACGTGCCCAGGCCTTCGTCCTCATCTTCTTCGCTCTCCTCCCCATCCTCGTCGTCCGGCTCTGTTGCGCTGCCCTCATCGCTGTCAGAATCCATGTTCATATCCGAATCATCATCTTCGTCATCCATTAGAATCTCGTCGACTTCCTCCAACTGAATGTTCGCAGGATCGATGCCATTTGCTTTGGATTCGTTCATAACAGAGTCTAACGCCGGCGACTCGTCAGACTTATCCACATGGCCATTCGTGAGAAGGCTAGCCAAGCCTGGTCCGTCGTCATCATCCTCTTCGTCCTCGTCATCTTCATCCTCGTCCTCATCAGACGAAGGCAGATCCGGTAGTTGAAGCTTCGCATATTTCTCCCGAAGTTGTTCTTGTGTAAGATTGGCGTCATCATCGTCAGGGAGAGGGTCCTCTTCACTTTCGTCGCTCGACATGTTCTCCGAGTCCATTTCCGTTTCCCCCCTTTCAGTAACGTCTTCCTTACCCGCCATACTGGACGCTGGTCTAGTACTTGCCATTCGGCTTTCAGTCTCCCCATCCTCCTCGTCATCCTCGTCCATGAAAGATTCAAAGTCATCCTCATCGTCACTGCTCTGCATAGAGCCAGCCATGTTTCTTCTCTCCTTGAGCAAAGCAGTAGACTGGTGCAGCAACGACTTCATCGTCTGCTTACCCAGCTTCTCCTGCTCTTCCAGCCACCGGTCTTGCCGCCTCTTGTCTACCTCTGCCTTCACCAACACCCAGGTCTGTTGCATATCCCTCACAAGCTGCCTGTAGCGCTTTCCCGCATCCTCCTTCTCTTCTTCCTCGAGCTCCTCCTTCGTCTTTGGTCTCTCTGCCTTGAGCCTCGCTTGTTTCGCATCCTCCCGCGCCCGCCAAGCCTCAGCACACTCGTGAGCCAGCCTTCGAGCAGTCTGTACGTGCTCTCTGTGCTCCTTCATGAGCAGCTTACGGAAATGGCATGCGTGAGCGGCGATATGGTCCCAAGGCCCATACCGAGGCGGCGGTTCTTCCTCCGCCTCAATGGCATACTTGGAGCACCGCTCTTCACTTAGCACGCCCCCTGGCTCCGCAGCATCGAGTATCCGCAGCCTCAGCAAGGCCTCTTCCTTCGCTTCCTCCGGTGTGAGCTTCTTAAGATCCTCGCCCGCCAGAGGGTCATCCTGTTCGAGCCAGCGAGCAAACGAAGAATTCTCATCTCCGGGCTGCGCGTGGAGAGGGTGCAGGTAGGGAAGTTCGATGGGACCGGTTAGGTCGATCTTTGGGCGCTGCGCACGCGGCGAAGCGTCGCTGTGGGAGCGTGAATAGCCATTTTGAGAAGCATTTGCCTCGGCAGCACTCTGTGCTTCGCTTATGCGGCCTGATTTCCTCCGCGGCACGCCATTCGGCGTCGAGTTTGCCTCAGCACGTGCTCGGCGGGAGCTCCCATGTGTAGGATTGGCGGCTTGCGGCGTACGTGCAGGCGTGGACTCGGCGGCTCTCGATCTGCGAGCAGGTGTCTTGTGGGCGGGCGATTGGGCGGCGGAAGACTTGGCTTGGTGCTGCGGCTTCAGTGATTTGGGAGCGGGGGATGCGGCAGCCTTGCGGGCGGTCTGAGAGCCTGCAGTCTTGGTAAGGTTGCTGGTCGACGTCGACTTCTGCAGCGCGCGGCGGGACGACCGGCGCGCGTCGGGCTGTGGCGACTGCTCGACGGGCAGGGCATTCATGCGGCCGGAGCGACGCTTGCCGTCAACCATGAAAGATGTTGGGCCGTCGGCCTCGATGCGCTTCCACGGCGGCGAAGGCGGACGCGATGGCCTGCTCGAGTCGTCGAGCTTGCGGCGCTTGCTGGGCGGGCCTCCGCCAGGCGTGGCGGAACGATCGGTGGGCGCATCGTCGGCGAAAGGCTGGCCGTTGGTGCAGGTGGCGTCGTGAGCATTCCCGTCGCTGGGTGGCTGCGCGGCGAGGCCGTTACTGCGGTGGTGGGTGCTCTCGTCGCGCTCGAGAACATCCGTGTTTTGCATAGCCAGGGCTTTGGAGGGCCGCCAAAGTCGTCGGACCCCCTCTGCACATGCGAGCGTCGCGTGCGGGGCGCCGAATTCGATGCCGTTGGGAAGTTCAGCGCGCGGGAGATGCAGTGCCGCGGTCAGACATGAGCTTTGCGATCTGGCGCGTGCGCGGTGGGCGAAAAAAGCGCGTGAGCGTGGACGATGGGCGACGGAGAGACATTCCTGAGCAATCAGCGCCGCCTTGACTTGCTGACGCTTGGCGCGAGGCACGCTCCACCACCTCAAGCAACCACGCCTGCCATCCCGCACGCAACACCACCCATTGCGCCCCCGCTGCCACCGTACGCGTTCCCGTCCCCGCTCCGGCGCCCGCGCTGATCCGCCCAGATGCTCTCGCGCCGAATTGCTGCGGCGCGCCCGCTCACCCGCGCCCTGCGGCCCGCCGCTCCTCAAGCCTCCCGTCTCCAGCTCCGCCACGCCTCGACCGGCGCCGATGTCGAGGACCCTGACATGGTCAGTCTGCCCTGTGCCCGTCGTTAAGTTCCGCGGAGATGAGGAGAGGGCCGATTGGGAAGCAGTGCTGCAGGAGGGGCGGCTTGGCGGGACTTTCTCCGGCCGCTGTATACCGCTGCGGCATCTCTGTCGGATTCGACGGCTAACCCGCTTGCTGCGTACAGAACGGCGGCTACGTCAACCCCCCGGCCGTCAAGCGCCAGTTCCGCGACCCGTACGGCGACTGGTGGGACAAGCAGGAACGCCGCAACTACGGCGAGCCCGTCCACGAGGACAACGACATCCTTGCCATCTTCTCCCCGGAGGAATACACTCACTTCAAGCCCAACTGGGGCTGGGTCCTCTTCGGCACCTTCTGGGCTACTTTCGGTAGTTTCTGTGGCGTCACCTACTATCTCCGCCCCGACAAGCCCAGCGCACCGAGGACTTTCGTCGATGGCCTGGAGAAGGAACTGGGCGGTCCCGGCGCTGTGCGCGTAAGTTTCCCCTGTGAAGTAGCTCCATACTGCTCCGATGCTGATCGACCCATCTAGGCGAGGAAGGACGGTGAGGGCGAGTGGTGAACGGACTAAAGGAAACCATTGTATTGTACATAAAGTACTGGTAACGGGCCTTAGACGGCACCAATCTAACCTTTCATTGAGACAGCAGCTATTGCGTAAGGAGAGCTTCACATCTGCTCATATCAAAAATGCGTCGATTCATTTAGTCCCGTCCACGCGCTTGTGACTGATGGCAGGAACAGTGATGTAATCCAAAGTGGGCGGCCTTGTCGAATTCCCTAGCCGACATGCACCTTCGTCCTTGCCTGAATATGCTTTGCACTTGGCTCCAAGCTTAGATTTCACCATAGTCCGAGACGAGTAGAACCATTCCCATACAGCACGAATAAGATTCCAGCCCCGAAAGCCGTCGTTGGCGCAGTCATTGCCAGAGTCGAGTATATCTTCAAGGGGGATGTTTGGCAAGGGGTTTTTCTCCATTTTATCCCACGGTGGAATAAAGTTTTTGTCCGCTGCCAGTGCTCTTTCTTGATCGGTATACGTGTGGGATTCCGCGATGTGATAACGCTGCCATTTGAGATTTCCCAGATTAGACGGAGACCAATCCGGGTTTCGGGAGAGGTATTCACTCTTCGCTCTAAGACCTTCTAGATGCTCGCCTAAGCATAATTCTCTGTCTGGCTGCCGTCTTCATCGTACTGAACATTCGAGAGTTCGCTCACACAAGACTAATTATCGTTTCTCGTGGTCGCGATCGCGGGCCGGCTTACGCGGGATCCGGCGTCAGTTCTCGTAGTCACGGTTATGGTGGTGGGCTAACTTACGCGGAATCCGGCGTTACTTCTCATAGTCCTAGTCGCAGTAGCGGGCTCACTAAGATCATCCCAATCATCTTTTACTATAGGTATAGTGGTATTATAGTCGAGGGCGGTTAACGCTCGGAAATTTTGCTTAAATCCTCGTCACCGCTAGTGTGTATCAGGGCGACTTTCGCTTTCACCATCGTAAGGACTTTGTTTCTACTCATGTCGTCCTTTAGGGCTGTGTCAATTGAATATTGTGTCCTCATTACGCTCGCGGTGGCTACTGTAGAATGAATGGCCGGGAGGGAAAAAAGAATAAATCACTTGACGAAATAGCAAAACTGAACCCCGCTACATGCGGGTTAAGCTCAGAAAGACTCCTTGGGACCG